AGTACTACTTTTCGTATATATTTAGACTTCATATTTAAATTGAATCTAAAAAGCACTTATCGAGCTGATCTTTTGTATTTATGTAGACCTTGAACAGTCCAAATACATGCTGTATAAATAAGTGAAAAATATGGATAAGCTCTAAATACTTTCATTGGTGAGAAAACCGGCCATTTATTATGGGGCACCCGTTATATTCGTAACATAGATTGATATTGATGAAAGATAAAAATAGCATATATCGCTTCTTATGATCGATTTTTCTGCACAATATTTATTTTAGAATGAAGCGTCAAAGAATGACGGACTAAATCTTACTCTAGTTAAGCGTCTGTAAATGAATAGCTATGAATGTTGTTAATTATTTAACTTAAATTTCATATTTTTACTGTGTAACTACTCATTCTAGCCAACTTTCTTGTCGAAGAGCATGGTGTTTGTTATGTTCAGTACTTGCTGTTGGCCTTATTGTATCTGCAGTCATTGGTATTGTACTTGCATTCGAACTTGGTGAGCGACTTTACTCTACACTTAATTTATACAATTTTTCTAAAATTAGGACGTGGTACCACCACATCGACAACAGTCACAAGTGAGTAAAATTCATCATTGTAAAAAAAGGAAAAATTGAGTTGCGAGATTGATAAGTTACTAGCTTTATTAGAAAAAGATCCATGAAGTAAGTTGTGCATACTACTGCGCAGTATTTTTTCATTTGTTTGATGAGAAAAAGATGCATTACTAATGCATACATTTTTCAATTAGAAAGGTCATAGATGAATATGAATTGGATTGTATGGTATGTTAGAAGGATTCGATTGCAAATATTATTCTTGTGCGAATGGGTTCTGCAGCGTGTAGGGCTATCTCGACCGAGGACTTGTAACCTGCGCCCTTCCTCGAATTAAAGGTTTCAGGGCAGCCATGCTTATATTTGGCAAATTTCTTCATTTTATCACCGATCTCGAACAAATTTGGAATTGCTAATTTCTTCATAGCTTAATAAAAATTAAATATGATAATAAAGTAGCTATTTTTATTCAACTGTCTATGTTTTAATCAATCAACTTTAAAGTATCCCAGCCTTCTGTCATTCACAGACAAGATCAGAATGCATGTACACGCTTTAGGCGCGTGCTTGCATCATTGAAGTTATTCCGTTTGTCTGTATAGCTTATTCAATTTTTCTCCATAGAGTCTCATGAAATCATTAAAAAATATCACTGCATAGTAGAACAAGTGACAGTCTTACAAATGAAATTAATAAAACCATTCACTGTTGTCTGTCAGCAACCTAATAAAAAGAATACAGAGCATTATCTTCGATAATCAAATCACACTGCATAAAAACTGATACTTTTAGCGGCAACAACAACGACAGCGACAACAACAACGACAACCACAACAACAACATCAACGACAACAACATCAACGACAACAACAACCACGACGACATCAACCACAACAACAACTACTACTACATCAACGACAACAACAACCACAACCACATCAACAACATCAACAACTACAACTACATCGACAACAACAACAACAACGACAACAACTTCAACAACAACTTCAACAACATCGACGACATCCAAAACAACATCAACATCAACAACTTCTAGTGAGGCTTAAAACTATTATAAGTCATATGTAGAAATCGAACAATTACGTAAACCATCTTCATTTAGCTTCGACTTCGTCGACCAGCACTGCAACTACAACAACTACAACAACTACAACTACAACTAGAAGTGCGTAAAAACTTTTCCCTCTGGCAAAACCGAACAGAAACATTAGATTATAATTCATGAAAGATTGCATCCACAAACTTGATTACTAGTTTGAATTCAACTGAGTTGTAGATGCTTCAGAACTTTGTTCAAATAAGCCATAGCTGTGGACTAATTTCAGATCACATGAATAGGCCACTACGTTTGCATATTGTAAGAACAGAAACTAACTACTCTCTCAATATGATTCATTTCGAATCCTACACTTAAGGAAGGATGATCGCTTTTCTTTTTTTTAACACTCTTTAACAGAGTATATAGAGAACTTCGATTGACTGGTCCCTGTTATGATCATTATTTACACTTATTCAACAGTGATATTCATTCGAGTTGAGTTTTTTTATTTCGCCGCTATTCAATACTTATTCCGAAGTGCACTTGTTTCTATGAATCCGTTTTGCTATGATCTGTGATCTATTTTTGGTCTTTCCTTGTTTAGAGGAAAAACACATTTACTTGAGCATGTTTGAATGCTTCAGTTGAGTATCCTTTTTTAAATCTATTTATCATGTAGCCGAAAAACTTCCATGGTCAGGACGTATATTTGATGGAGTAGAGGACCATGTCTCATTATCAAACATCGAGTCTCCTAAAAGAAAAAGTTTATTTCCAATAATGACTTTGTTTTATTCAAACCGTGTTGAATTTCTATTTTTGATCTTGTGAAATACAATGGGCTACTTTAATTTCTAAAAATATATTGCCTTCATTTCTATTTATTTTATTTTATTTTTTCATCTAGCAACGACGACAGCAACAACTTGTAAGTGTTGAATAGAAAAACATAATATTGATTAACACTTTATTTCATTTTAATCTCTATAGCACCACCATGTACTAAAACTCCAAATGTAGCAGGGGCCATTTTTAGCTTTTCTACTGCCAGTATCCCGCTTACTTATACACGTTACTCATATGGATTCACGGCTTCTGATTCTTCATCAACTGTTACATTTATTATAACAGGCGATAGTGGACCTGGTCAGCACTATTGGCTCATTGATGATGTGTCTGTGAATGACACAAGAAACAACACAGATCTTCTAACCAATGGTGACTTTGACGATGGTACTTTTAATGGTTGGACCCAATTTTGTGCGACAGATGCTAATTGTGGAAATGGTTTGTACGGCCAACTAACAACCTCTCCTTGTAGATCTGCACCAAAATGCTACATGGATAAATGTAATAACGGTCGTTACTATGATTATTTGTTACAATCATTCCAAACTGTGACTGGAAATTATTACATATTGTCATTTTATATTAGAGGTTACGCCAATGGGGGTTCTCATTTGGCATACGTCATGCTGCCCTAACGAAACATGTTACTATGGACAAGTGCCTAGCACTATGAACAAATAGACAGACATAACAAAACGTGTGTGTGTGTGTGTGTGAAACAATATTCTTTTAAAAGTGACTACAACGCTTCTTTCTTTTTGCATTTTTGAAATAAAACTATAATCATATCTGGCATATTACTAATCTCGAAATTGAATAGTTTTTCGTGCCTATGCTGGACATTTATTCACCGACTGGCCTATATTTATTAATACCTCAGCTATATTCATCCGATTTGTGTAGAATATTCATCAACTGATTTTGATTTCGGTTTTGTTTAGCTAGCTTAGTTAAAAATCGATCATATTCTTTGTTGTATATAATATGTTGATTCAAGATGTTGATCGCTCAGATAAATGGAAACGCCGTTTTGTGTGGCAGTATGATAGTGGCAGAACTATGAGGCTCCTTTCCACTCACATCGATGTGCGTTTATTCGTGGCAATAAGTGTTGAACGTACTTCCTAGAGCTCCGGAACTAGATGGGGTGGGACAACATCAATTCCCTTATCTGTCCCGGCAAGTTGGTAGGGATGTAACAATACCATTTGGAGACATCTAAAGATGGCGAATTTTCATAATGAAGATCTACCAATACCAACCTATACTTTGTGCCACTTATAACCGAAGAACTTAGCTCTACCTGATAGAAGAATAAAAAAATACCAATACCAACAGAAAATATTCCCAGTATTGGTGAGTATTGGTAAAAAAATGGTAATTTTCACCAATACTCACCAATACTCACCAATACCGGGAATATTTTCTGTTGGTATTGGTATCTTTTATTCTTCTATCAGGTAGAGCTAAGTTCGTCGGTTATAAGTGGCACAAAGTATTGGTTGGTATTGGTAGATCTTCATTATGAAAATTCGCCATCTTTAGATGTCTCCAAATGGTATTGTTACATCCCTGCAAGTTGGTATACGCAGAACTAACGACTATGCGTAAGTGTAGGGAAAGGACACAGTGGAGAGTTGAATCCCGGTGGATTCTAGGGTCTGGTAGGATTCTCCAAGTTCCATCTGTCGGCACTGATTATAAGTTATTGTAAGCCTAATTAGCTTTTGATGATTAAATTAGACTGGAGTTTACTCAATTACAGTAAGTTCTGATAATTCTCCTTGGATTCTAATAAGTCTATTTTACAATTTATTAGCGTTCATTGGTGTCCATAAGACTCCTGCAGTATCCAAAAAGTTCCAACAGGATCCGCATTATTGGTTTTTATTAAAAATCAGTGCACGTTGCTAAACTATAGCAGGGATGAATTTATTTCAGCGAGACTTAATATATCTCAGTTGATTTATGAGGATTCTAGTAATTATTGATGAACTTCTGTACTGCCGAGCGAATCAACTTTAGGGCCCAACTGAATCCATGGGATCCACTCCGGCGCAAAATTCGTCCCCCTTCCTTCATAGGTAGTTCTATTATGATGGAGCATAGATCTTCAATTAATCGAACAAATCTTAACGGTGTATTTTTTCTTAGATCAGTTACTCGAAAAGCAATACTTTCACTTGTATTTCTTATTGCATTTTTCTGTATTTTTTTAGCAGCAACTTTCTTATGGCAATGCCATTGTGATGGAAATTTCTCCCATTTAAACGCTACAGTGTAATATATAAATAGCAAAACGAATGAGTTTCATTGAACAAGAAACTATGAATTAGCTAGTATGCTTCAATTACATTTTTAGATAAAAAGAAAGGATTGCGTTTATACATTAAAATACTAAGGGATGGGATGGGATCGGACTCTAGAAAATGATAAAGTGGAACTGGACGAACCGGAACAAGCTGTGCGGGATACGGGACGGAATGGGACAACTTTTTTGTCGTTCTGCGGAGCTCTGGTACGTTCAGTATGATTCAGTTCGATGAGAAACTCTAGAAGAAGTTGTAGTATAATTATTGTTCTTATGAAACAACTGGTTGCACGATGATTGAGAGGCTGAGATTAAAGTTTTCTTATAAAATGCAGACTGCCTACATCTTCTGCTAAAATCAGAAAGATTGATATGCCAACTTTGTATGCAATTGTCATCAAGGGGATAGGTCATGGCAGTTCGTTTTAGGAAACATAATCTATTTGATTTGTTTCATAGACATCTTAGCTAACCAATAGGCCGAAAAACACATTAAAGCTTGATTGGTCGTATTTGATAGTTTTCAAAGAGCTTATATTTGTCTGTGATAAAAAACTTTTAACTTATTGCATTCAACATATTGACATTTTCAACAACGAAGCCAGTTTTATCTATTTTCTATGCATCTGTCTGATTCGAGTTCGAAAATTTCATTATCACCAAGTATGAAAAAGACAAAATTTAGCTCAATATGAAATAAGATAAATTTTGATTTCAATTTGCATTATTAATTGCATTCAGACATGGATGCAGTGGCGTAGGCAGGGGGGCATTGGGCAATTGCCCAACGATTTAAAATTTATTGCCCAACGAACTTTTCAGATGATGACATTTGCCCAATGTCAAAAGCTTTGACACGAATGCATTTTTGAAGATCACACTGACGCTTTATTAATAAATAGCTGCTTATCGCCATTTAATCAATCCATTTAAAAGGATCGATTGAGATTTGTTTCATCAAAGTAATACGCATAATGATTACATTGCTGTTATATTTTTCGGTCAAGACTCCTTGTTCTACTCAGCATCGTTGATGTAAAATGTTGGTGGATTCTCATGTATTTTCCTGAATATATAAGATTATTTAGAATGTAAATAACTGAAATTATCTAAGAGTAACACTGCTGAAATAAGTAATGGCATGACTCGCGCAGCTTAAGAATTAAATACTTAAAGGAACTAGGTGAGAATTTAAAGAAAAAAACAATTGAATGCATAAATGACGAGCAAAGTTGCACCTGGTAGGATCTTTTCTTTAACGGCATAGTTTGAGAAGGTCGAGTAATATTTCAGCATAAATCATTACTCATATTTTTTTACCTGATATCAAGAAAATCAACTCCTCGATTAGTCATATCCATCTTGAAATCAATGCAATAATGGAATAATATTTATTATTGAGCATTTTTTACTGCCGATTTCGATGTATTTTACACACTTAACGTCTTTTAGTGAACAGAAAACTATATAGCACTATAAATTCTACGTTGCCTTTTTTTGGACTTTATTAATTATTCGTTAGATATAGACACCGATCAGTAGTGTCACGTGCAATCTGCTTTCGTGATCGTTCAATTTTTTTTGAAATTTGTGGGAAATCTATCCTGGAAATACTATGGTTAGTACAAGAAACCTATGAAAAATACAATCTTGAAGAGTGCTCTAGTTTCTTATGACAGCATAAATTGAGATGACCGCGGGTCACTGAAATGCACCAAGAATTTAATGAGGAATTTTGACGATATATACTAGTTGTATCCTTCTCTTCCAACGTGAATCACCTTTGACATCAATAAAAAGTGTTTGATATAGGAAATAAATATTTTTACAAGCTAGATTTTCAGGAAAAGGCACGACAGTTTGAAAAGTTTTCATACCAGTCAGTATAAAAAAAGGTTGTAGGGATTGCTAAGTATATGGTCCGATGAACAGTTCTCTACTTATTAGGATCAGACCTAGTGTCTATCGTTATTTCCTGCAATTATAGCTTTGCATATTTACACTTCTTTTTTAAATAAAATTTTAAAATACTTAAAAGCTGAAGGTTACATTTGTGAAACAGTGTCAGAAAAGTGACAGAAATATTGTTAGTCAAAAGTAATAAATTTCACCTCGATAAACATAACGTTTTTTAAAGACAATAAATTTTAAAAAGTGTCACCCAATAGATTGATGATTGCCCCTTATTGCCCAATACTCAAAAAAATGTTGCTGGGAAATGGCCCATGGCTCAAAAATTCCTGGCTACGGCATTGCATGGATGCCTGCAGTATTTCAAGTAGCAACTGTTTCATTTAGGGATGCACCAACTCTGATCGATTCCAGCCAACTCTAATAATTGTTGCACCCTTATTTGGAGTCATGGATCGATCTACTTAAATCAAGTACGTCTCACGATAAACAAAAGGATTTAATTCGATGTAGGTTATTAAAACTTTCTGATTGGATTGCGAGGTTTGAATATGATATAGACATCACTTCATCTCGAACCCTCTTAGCTATCTACGACAGTTTGTTTTTTAATTTTATAGTGAAATTTAAATCTTTATCCGTATAAGAAAAGAAAATCTGACACTTCTGCAAAAAAAATAACTATTCGTCTAAATCATCAAACATTGCATCGAAAGAGCTATCGCCAAAATCAAATTTTGGCATTACTTCTGAAGTTTTTGTTGCATTATTTGATGATTGTTGTTGAGCTGCTGATTTGACTAAACTATGCCAATTACGAGGTTGTTTTGTAGGTAGTGGCTGCTGAAGAATATTCTCATCATGATAAATTGGTGTTGGATCAGAATCTTCGTCATCTGATTTTTTATCGTCCCAAGTTGTCCAAGATATTTGAGGAGATTGTTTAACAGGAGAAGATTTACTAAATAAAGAATCATTCATATTGTGAATGAAATATAAATCAAATTTTTACATTTCTTGAGAACGGGTATTGTTGAATAATCGAGAAATAAGTGCATCGTTTAGTAAGCCTGGTTGCTGTTGTTGCTGAGCGGGAAGAGAACGTATTGGTAGAAGTAGCTGTTCTTGAGATTCTTCAGATTGATTCATTGGACGTTTATGAAATGTTGGTGGAATAAAAGGAGAAGATTTTGAGATTTTTGGCAGATGACTAGAATAATTATCTGCACCATTATCATCAGCACTACGCTTCATAGCGGTCGTCATTCCAGCATAACCCCATTGATGTGGATTATGTCGTTCTAATGTAACCATTGGTGCTGGTGGCGATGGTTCTGATCTAGGTACTAAACGTGGTGGTACAAATGCCTGAATTAATTCAATAAATAAATTATCTGAGTGTCAATGAAAATGGTAAATGTACACATACTGCTGATTTTGGTTTATTTCTCATCGTTGGATCGTTGACAGCAAAGCTCGGTCTAGGACAATGTTGAGTATCATCATTATTTTCTTCAATACTAATTAAATATCGATCTGTTTCAAATTCTCTTCCAGGTTTAATCTGATATGCAAGAAGTAAAAAATTTATTTTATAGATCTAATATATCTTTCGCTTACATCTTCAATACTTGAATAAAAAACAACATCAAGTTCATGTTTGCCAGCAGATATCAAACGTGCCTAAAAAGAACTTTGTTCATCGTACAAATCAATGTAATAAATTATTTACTAATACCGAATTTAGTGTTGTACGTGGAACTAAATATCCATCTAGCCATATTTTAACTTTCTTTGTTTTTTGCTCTGTGTAAAGAACCTTTTTTCGCATGTTACAATTAAATTTATTCAAAATACAAAATAATCACTTACAGGTATTTGATTAGACATAACTCATATAAATCTAAAACTATATAGTCTATATATAAATTACTCTGGCTTTTTTTAATTTAAAAAAATCAATATTATTCTGATATAAAAACAAAATATTGTTTTAGAAATTCAACAAATTGAATAAGAAACAAAAAAAAACAACAGATGCAGGAATGCTATTGCACGACAACAAAAATATTCTGCTTGAAGATTATTTTATGATAAATCAAATTCAATCCAAATCGGGCAATGGTCACTAACTAAACCACCCCATGTCCAACCAGCAGGAATCCACATACTTGTCAGATTATCTCGAATAACACCTGAATTAGCTAAAAGTTAAAAACAGGATAAAAGCTACTAGATTGGATAAAAATATGAACTATTACCTGTAATTAAAGAATTCGCCTCAGCAGAAAGCCATATATTATCGACACATGTAGATCCTCCTGGTGTTTTCAAACTTATATTTGTATTTTGTTTTATAACATATGAATAGTTGTGTTGAACTAATGCGTTGAATTCAGATGCTGTAGGTGCAATATTAAAATCTCCGAAAATGACTATATTTTTTTGTTCTTAATTAGAAAAATAAGCACAAAATTTTCTCATTTTAACAAAATAAATCATATCTTACCAACAGTATCATCCATAGCTTCTGCTAGTATTGATATTGATGAAGCTTCATCCTTTGTTTTTTCATTTTCAATTTCATCGAATCGTCGTGCTTTTAAATGCAAATTAACAAAAACAAATTCATATTTATCATAGATACGAAATATGACAATATATGGTGAACGTGTAAAATAATTTTTAAATGGTAATAATGATGCTTTTTTCAATTCAATTCCAATTGATTCATCGTATATAAAACCAAGATATTCATTGCCCTTTTTATAAAAGGAAAAAGATATTAACACAATTTCTACAAAAGGTAAATGTAAAAGACGACGGTTATAACGAATGTCTTATCATCTAGTGTGTTTACATCCTAAGTATGATACTGTGCATGCAATCGAATTACACGTGTCATACTAGTTGACGTCGTGTGCCTAGTTATTACATTGATCTTCTTTAACTTTATTCTGCTTCTCGATTTATTTCTATAACAAAACTCTTACTTGAAACATTCGACCAGCAACGTCACTGATTACATATTTCCATTTTCTATTTTGAGAATGAGGCCAACCTTTAATTAATGGTAATGTTGGATTATTTAATTCCTTAGTTATATAACCAAGTGCTTCTTTATTGCCAATTTCTTGAATACCAATTAATGAAAAACTAAATGAAACAACAACAAAAAAATTTTGAATATTATCCTGAATTGCTTTTTCGTTTTACTTATGTTCAAGAATAATTCGACAAATAACTTCTCTTACACCTGGATTTTGTACTTTATCATTTGTTAATTGCTGTAAATTCCATGAAGCAAAACGAAAATAAGTTTGATTATTGTTACAAATCGATACTGGACGTTGTGATGATGAACGGAGGATGGTTTGTAATTCAGGTGGTAAAGTTTCTAATAGTAGCGATGCCATTGAAAGTGAATCTGATGCAATATTGTTATTATTTTTATTTAATGTTGGATAAAGATTATCGGCAGATGGTTCAAGAATCGATGATTCACTAACTGGTATTGGTATTGTTCGATCATCAACAGTTATATGTGAACGTATGCTAGCTAACACAATATAATTAATATCTTTAATTTTCAGTAAATCTTCTACAAAACGAAATGGTCCTTTTCGTTCACGCCTTTCGATGATTCGTTTTATTAGTATTGGTGTTAAATCAGGTATTGTACATAGCTGATTGTATGTCGCTATATTAATATTAATCAATTCTTGTTTATTATCAGCAAGATTTTGAGACGATAAATCAATCGACAAATCATAGCGAATACGTTCGTATAAATCATGAGTAATTCCAGTAATCAATAATAGTTCATCAATTTGTTTAAAACTATGATTTAATTGACGATACTGAATAATATTTTGAGCTATCCGACGATTGATACCAGGTAACAATAATAATTCATCTTCAGACGCATGGTTTAAATTAATTGTATTATTATTATTATTATTGTTGTTATTATTATTATTTGTATTTGTGGGAATATTTGACTTAGTTCGATCATGCTTAGCTTTTGTCAGTAGATTACGACGACGACGTAGTGTATGTATTTTATCAATGGGAGATGGAAAGCAGCTATGTGCACCGCCCATACTAAATATTATTTGGTAGATTTTTCGTTGTATAAATATTTGTGTTATCAATCTAAAAACACAATTCAGAACTAAAATAAATTCTAGTATGGTGGACTACATAGGTCGATGAAAAGAAATATAAAAATGACTCATCGTATATCAATGATATGTATAGATCTACAATTCTTTTTCTTTTTGCTTGTGTCTGCTATTTCATGAGCCGAAGATGAATGTTCTTGTAATGTTGATGAAAGAGAAATGTGGTCTTTCGAAAGAGAACAGATAAAATTTATATGGACGATATGTCATATAATTTAGTTTCGCCAAAAAAAAGGAGAAATATACATAAGCATTCATTCGATGTCTTGATATAAAATAAATAATGACAAGTATGAGATAATTATAGGTAAACAATAGTTACTGGGTCGTCTCAATGAGTCTTCTATCGAATTCAATATCTGATTTTTCTTTTCTTACCTAATATTTATCGTGTAATCGACGTCTCTCTCATCACAATATACAATTATTGCAACACTCAGATTTATGATCACCGTGTTTTTTTTTCTTTTTATCAATATCATATATCTGACAAAGATGCATGTAAGCATACAAAAAACAACAACAAAAACAAATATAATATGTACATGAGTGTTCACGTACAGAACTTTTATTCATGACTAACATTGAAAAAATGAGGTCGGTCAGAACCAAGAATAAAAAATATAAACAGAACATGTTCTTACAAAAATAATTATCACATTAACCAATGAGTGTGAAAAACCGGAGTTCACTTTTCTTGTCTTCTCTTAAAAATATATACGTCTAGATTGAATCAAACGATATGGTTCGGATCCCATCGAGCAGCGTTGTTGATGTAACCTTGACTCGAAATTTGTGCTGCTAGCCGATCAAGTTGAGCTTTATTCGAACGACATTCATAGCATTGATAGCTCAGACAGCATACCAATATGGCGATTGCTGCTAAACTAACGAATAGATTCCTATATCCATATGATGAGCAATTATGAAGAGATAAACAAAGTCTTGACGATTCATTCGGTACTAGTTGATCTTCATCATTAATTGCATTTTCAATATTAAATAATTTTTTCTGATTTACATTTTGTGTTGGACGTGATAATGCATTACCGTGTTTTATATCTATAGAGTGTAGAGTCTTCATTTCTATGAATATGAAAACATACTTTTATTTCCTGCATATTAATTCACTATAAGAATACGAACTTACCTATTAACAAAAATAAACAGGTAATCCATAATTGCATATCCTTCAATAAAATTTTAATACAATTCATCAAACGAAAGTATTACAATAGAAATGTTTTTCTTCTTTTAATCAGGTGTCGTATATGTTAAACGCAAATGTTTTTTTATTTTGTCAAACATTTACAGAAAACAGAAAGGTTGTTTTCGTGTCTCGTAGCGTATCATGCTGGAAATAAATAATAGCGACTTGGTAAAAAGAAAGACGAAATGTCAATAAACTAAAATGTTATTGTAAAAATGTTCTCGTCTAATAAGCTTACACAAACTAGAAAAATATTTTCTTCTCGAGTATAAATAAAGCTGAAACCATATAGATCGTACGATGAAAGCTCATTACTATAAAATCAATTAGATCTTCTAATTGATCGTTAGAATATAATCTATAATATATGTTACTTCCTCATGCATCCATAGGAAACGCATTTATTTTGAATGCACCATAGGAGACTAGTCTATAGTTAAAAATTTATAGTCGTCACTTTCACCACTTCCTAAAAAACGTATTGTGCAATTTAAAAAGAAACAGCCTACGAAAGCTTTTGATATCAATTTTACTGTTTTTTTTGTAAGAAATCTGCAACGTAATCTTAAAATTACCCTTGACTTTAGGCATACCTGTTGAATGACGTATAAAATTGATTGATGACGCAGATTTATCACTCTGCCAATGAAAAAAAGAGACCAAATAATAATAATAAACAAACATAGATCTTTTTATAGAATGGATACCTGTTGTTGCAAATCGATTATTCAATCGACAGATACCACTAGAAATTCTCAAAAAACACAACATGTCGACATCTAGCCAAATATTTAACACGTTGAAAATATGAGCGAATCAGTACTAAAATAATTTCTGATAGTGCGAACGGGCGATGATACGATACTGTGTCATCATTTGTCATAATTAAGAAAAATATTCATGATCAATCAAATTTATACATGAAAAGGTAAATATTTATTCCAAATCTCAAATAGTGAAGTAAAATGTTATATGATATCAGGGAATCTTTTTCTCGAACAAGGTTTATGATTATTTTTCGACCTTTAAATTTCTGTACTTACGCCAGTGATAAATCATGGACTTGTTTTTTTCTTCACTCTCTCGAGATAACAGATCCCACTCAATGCATATATATATATATATTCATTCATTTCTTTTTTTTGTCTTACATTGTAGATATTTATCTATATTGATAATATTATTCATCGAGATCGATTATTCATTTTCAAAATTGACAATGGCATCAAAAAATTTAGAGGCAGCATCTGCAACTTATTTACGATTAAAAAATGTACATGGCCATTGGCATAATCAACCTCATAATCCTGCTACGGATAATTTTCAAGGGGAACGTCATCAAGCTATGATTGAGTTACAACAGAATCTAGGAAAAGCAGGTACATCCGGTGATGAAATTCAACATTTAATGGGTACACCCACGAAAATTCTCAATAAACCTGATTTAGTTCTTGAACATGAATTTCGACGTGAGAATGAAAATTATACTTATCCGAAAGATGCAAAAATTTGGATTTATGAATGGCGTGGTTTTCACGATTATGTATATTTTGTTGTATCAAACGATAATAAAGTTTTGCAATCTGATTGGTATAGTGCTCTTGAATAATAATTTTCGACCAATTTGATTTCTACATAAACATATATTCTTTTATTTCTTTTTTTTTTGTACTGTTACGATTGATTTTTTATCATACGAATAAATGAATAAATAACAGCGAAGAAAATAAAAAGGAAGAGTAATACAAAAAATATATAGAAGTTTTTTAGACTTGTCTTTGATTTTGATGATTCGGTTATGTCTTGTTGCTGGAAACTTGACCTTCGGCTAAGATTTGCTGATGAACGACGAGATAAATCAATGTGATCGACAGATAGTAAATTATTTGGAGTACATACTGCATGTCGTCTAAATTAGGAATCAAATGAAAATATGTATAGAATTTATTTTTCACTTAAAACAAGAAAATTAAGTCTGAACTTTTTACGCTTCGACGAATAACGACAATTTTCAGATCTAGACGATGCATCCATTTAAACATCCATTTATCTCGCACCACTATATTTAGTTATATTTCTAATCGTGACTTATCATGGGTAGATGATTAGTTTGGTTGTCCTAATACCGTTTCAAGAATGAAAAGATAGGGATATATATATATACAAAAAATAAAATAAAATAAAAGAGAACCAAAATAAAAGAATGCTGATGCCAGAAAACAGAATATCGGACACATGATGACGATCAACATCGGTGATATTTGTCACCGAGAAGTCTATTCATCAAGTAAATGAAGGATGCCTAAGCGCTATAACTATCTATATGTCCCTCTATTCATACTTATTTACAATTTTCTCTCTTTCTCTCACATTATATCGATCATTGATAGAACACCCGTACTATTCATCAAATTAACTGGAGTTGTTGATACTTTTTCTCGCTATATGCTATTCACATTAGAGTCCATACATCTGTATATATTGATGGAAAGTTCTAGCACGTCAAATACTTCATATAGACTAATTCTATCTTCGAAGAATCGATTTATTGCTAGTGTCTGTCTTTTGGGAAAAAAACACATTGTCTGAATCGTCGATAATCATCAATAGAGGTAGAAGATGAATGAAATAAAGAAAAAAGGAAATACATATCTAGATGAAACACCTACTTATTTAAAACATTTGCATTTGCTGATAGATCCATTTGTTTTATTATTATTATTATTATTAAATTTTGCTCGTCACAGAATCAAATCTGTATATCTTTTGGAAATCTAATATAAACTATTTTCGTTCTACACTTTCTGAAAGAAGAAATGACGCGAAAAAGAAATGTGACACAGTTGTAAATAACTAATTTTACTTGTTAATGTTGTTTCGATAAAGAAAAAAAGCTGTTACATATTCATTCTGAAACTCTTATGTCTTCTCTTATTTTATATTCCGACTATGACAGAATCATCATTTTTTCTTCTTCTTTGTTTTCTAATGCAAAGCGAGCTTCTTTCACGGTTCTGTCTTTCATATGATCGTGTGTGCACATATGATGATTAAGAGGCAGACTCTACTCAAGATAAAGTGAAAAACCAAGAAGAAAAAGAAGAGGAAAAAAAACAAAAAAAAATGTGACGACGTGACAATAGAAAAGCACTTATTTTGTATTGTCATGCGTATCATACGTATTTATATAAATACAAATAGGGACAGATGATCTTTAGAAACAAATAAGACGCAGATGTGAATATGAGAAAAACTATTTATTTTATGCCATAATCGGTTATGCTAATTTATATGATTGCATATCGAGCGAATACACGATAAATGCGCTAATCTTTTGGTAGAACAAAAGAAACTTTAATCGATACCATGTTTTATTATTTAGAGTATACTTTTCTTGCAGCTAATGCTAGCTTGAAAATAATCATGCAGATACTTCAATTATCACAAGGACACACAATAGCAGCATCAAATAGTAAAAGTCGTATTTGATCGTGTAAATAAATCAATGATTGTCCTATGTGAAATATTTCTCGAGAGAACCGAGAAAATAATCTCACACGACAAATTCTACATGCTTTTTACCCATTTGGAATTAAATTATCATTTTCACTGTGCTGGCTTGAACTCTGATAGACTTCATTGTTAACTAGCAATGTTGAACTTGGACGTCTTGGTATTGTTGTTAAATCAGATGATTGAATAATTGATTGTGCTAGTTCATTTGCTGATGCAGTCGTTCGTCGTCGAACTCGTATGACTTTAAAATATCTCATCATTACTTTGTACTGTTCTACAATTAAAATAAATATATGAAACAAAATATATGATCTTCTGCTTTTTTAATTTAGAATGAATGATATAAAAATCTAGAGGAAAATTTTGATCGTCGTAGAAATATGTCAATAAAAAAGAAAAAAGAAATCATCTATTAAAATAACGACTACTTTTATTATTATGTTTAATTTACACATTTAAGTAAGAAATATCAAGTTATCTTTATACCCTGTCTCTGCAAAATATCTTCATGTTCACAGTCTTCACAATAAAAGAATGAATGAATGAAAAACAATGCATCTGACGACTGATTAGACAGGCTCGCGTTCTGTTTTCTTGTCTCTACTGCCGTTTTTAGACGTAGAGAAAAGAAAAACCAATATATATATATATATATTTAACGTTCAATGAACACTCAGAAAAACAAAGAAAGCAAAATTTGCATCTATTCAGAATACTACTAATATTGTAACAATTGCTAAATGGATTTATCGTTCTTTGACATTTTATAAGACTAATTCCATATGAATTCGAATACCAGAACTAATCAATTTTTGATCGATAAAAATATTTTTAGTTTGAAACCTTTTTGTGACTGCCATCTATTAGTGCTAGATCGGGCTCATCGAATCACCTATAGAGTAATATTTTTCAAACTTTCTAAAATACTTTTTGTCCGGAAATAGGCTTAAAATGATTTATATATTGTCATTGTCAATATTAAATATTAACATTATGGTACCGAAACAGTTTCATCGAGCACCATAGTTAGAACCTTTGAGAGTACGTGCAAATAAAAATAATCATAGATTTCGAGACAAGCAACTTCCTGTTTCTATTGAGATACTTGTATATTTTCCAATGTCAATGACAGTTCTTCTTGTTTATCAGTCGTAATTGTCATGTCTTAATTTTCAATAAAAGAAATAATTTGAGAAGTATCAACAAAATATTATTGTACACAAACTGATGCCGAGGAAAGATTTTAAGAAAGATTGCTGATGAGAAACCATAAGTAAAATTTATCTAAATAATTTTTGTTGTTGTTGAAATATGTCACTTCTGTTACTGATACTGATGGCATCGTTTATTTTTCTTGAAAATTGAGATATGATAACTAAAGTTACAAAACTATACTGATTGATAGTTTTCTGGTGTATTCTTGTTGATACATGAAATAATATGAGTTTCTTAAAATAGCAAGAGACTTGCTGATTCAAAGTCTGTATTTATTTTTATTTGCATATACTTGAAGACTCTATTTACAGGATAAGAATCAGTAAACGATGTATCTATGATGCGCTGATGTTTATGAAAGTTGTATCATCGAATCCGTTGAAAGTACTTTTACTTATAAAACATTAATAGATCACTTGAGACCTATTTTGGAAATTCTGTTTCGAGAATAATCAATCTCAAACTGTTTTTAAATATTTCTTTTACAGTTGACTTGCATGTTTTTCACGGCTTGTAGTTTTCAAAATAAATTTATTTGTTAAGCCTTGATGAGATTGATTCCATAAAAATAAGTCAAAGAAGCAATGTATTTCCGTGAATTTTGTGTTGCATCTGTTGTTTCAAAAAAAATACGAAGCGTGTTCTCATATTAGTGATTTTCTAAATAGTTTCTTTGTCTCGACTAGCACTGACAAATTCATTCTTCTGCTTTTCCGTCTTCGATTAAAGTTCCGTATATTGTTACTATCACTTCGCTAAATTCATTAATTATTTTCGATCCATTAGATGATCTCTTTTTACATTTAGTTTAAGTAAAGAAGAACAATAATTTCTACTGTTCATAGGAACTGGCTATGATTAAAAATTGAATGAAATAAAAACAAGTATATTCTCATTATATTTAAACTGCTGCGATGCACATAATTAAGTCACTTATTATGGGTTGGTACAATGAATGACATAGTTCAACGATGAATTTTTATTTTGGTGTATGAAATTAAGAAAAGTTTTATTTGAACAATCAGTCGATATTTTATCTAGACAAGTATTTATTAATTGAGTATTGAAGTAATAATTAAAATGAACACGAGTGCCCTATTCGTACTTCTATAAGATTTAGTAGAGAATAATATTCTCTCATAATTTTTATTGACAATTGAACATATAATTTGAAATAGACCAAATAAAATTGATATTTAGAAGAGAGACGTCATTAGTTTCCAGCAAGTCCTTTCTTCCCTGTCACTGCATCGAGCTGTGTTATGAATGACATCAATCAAAACGAAATTCAATAGGAAAGAAGTCTATTTTTGTTAAGATTTGTAGTTATTACAAGACCATATGGTACTTTTATATATTACTATTTATAAATTTAACCCACGATCGAAAATTCTCATATATTCCTCACTGATATATCACAAAAACTTTGTTCTCCTAATGCGTTCTTGAGTAGAACATATTATATGCACAACAACAAATGTATTTTTATTAGTTGAACAAAGAAAAACCTTGTCAAACAGCATATTTTAGATCATCATTCGATAAACAAATTCAAAGTGAAGGCAAACACGAAACAACATCAAATAAATAATTGTTTAAAACAAAATACGTAATAGGAAAATTTGTTTTGATCAATATCAAAACCAATCAAATGCTAAGTTGCCACCTGATGGTAGTGTCAGAAGTCCACCAATTGAAGCAGTCCATGGTACAGCACCACTTTGCAATTGTAGATAGCCTGGTGAACCACTCATTAAAGGATACGGCTGACTCATTGTACATACTTTCGAATTTGCATTGCATTGTGCTGTCATCTTGAAAGGAAAACATAAACAATACTTTAAGAATTAGTTGATTCAAGAATTTAAATGCTTACATTCGAGTATTCAGCAAAAGTAGTGACAGACCATGTTAGGCCACGATCATCACTACGCATTATCGATAGACCATCTTGTGCATATCCATATAAAGATTGTCTTTCTTCTACAGTATCATAGACAAACAGTTTAATATTTGCTATCGTTGTATTCAAGACTGAAAAGAAATAAGGATCAATCAAATTTAATAAAACTTTTATAAAAAAAAAAAAGAAAAAATAGGAGAATACCAATCCATGTAGCTGTTGCTGATAAATCACCATTGAGAAGTACATGACATAGAATCGATGTTCTAAATAATAGGAGTAGGAAAAGAAAAGAAAAGAAAAGAAAAGAAATTCATAATCATGATACCTTGTTAGTATTTCATCGCAAACATAGACATCATTTGAATAACTGAGACCCGTTTGTGCAGGAGGTGCTACAAGTATTGTACGTGGCGAAAGTGTGCTTGATATACTTGGACAAATACCTGAAAAGATTCGATGTAATTGACTTTTTTTTTACTATAATAGTATTTTCTTACTTGCAACAGTAACATTCGTAGAATTAACTGTACCAGTTATATTAAGAATAAAACCTGATGTTTTCGTTAATAAATCATTTGGCTGAACAACATCAATTAAATAGATACGAAACGATTGAATTAATACTTCATTTGATAATGAAAATACATATGATGAACTGCCATTAACGAAATAATTCGTTGTATCCATAGCGAAACTAGTTCCATCCCAACTATAACCAAGTCGAAGAAGACGAATCGGTGCAAATGCAGGCGGAACAGTTAATTGAATTCCATTAATTAATGTGAAATTTCCGAAATTAATCTGCAGATAAGTAGCACCCGATAACATCCATTGATTTGATCGATAGCCAGTTTGCCAGCCAGCTATACAAGAAATAAAGAATTATAAATCTATACTGATAAAACTAATAAGAATTTGTATTACTTGTTCGTACTAAGGATGCATCTGATCCAGTTACACTCGATGAAAATTGACAAGGATTCAATGTATCGAGTAAAGTTGGATAATTCAAAACTAATTTAAATTAAATTCATCAAATTAATATTCTGTAAAAGAATGAGAAATACCTGGCATGGCTGATATTGATAATGAAATAATATCAGTAAAAGCAAATACATAAGATGCTGGATAATAAGCCACATCAGCTCTTTAAAAAAAGACAATAAACATTTGAACATTAGTTTTTTCTCGAAATTAATTTACCTTGGGCGTTTCATACACATCAACTCATAAGGTATTGTAATAGTCGGTGAATAATATCTTTGATAAGCTAAAATCATCTGAGCAGATGTACCAATATTAAGAGTGAATGTCAATGAGCCCACATCATTAAATAGAAGTACACCCAACTAAAAATGCAATATTCATTAAAGAAATTGTTTCAATAAAAATTCTAGTTACATTGAATAGAATATATGATACATTATCAGTTGTATAATTTACTCCCAAAGTTGTTGAATTATAACTTTGTAATGATATCCAAGTTGGTACATAGATAATGATTCCAGCATTAATACATTCAGCATTGGAATTATTGTCATGGCCATAGCGAATGATACCGCTGTATGTTGATCTGGATGCAAAGAAAAATTTAAAATGTTTCAAAATATACATATATGTTTGTCTTACCCAATTCCATAAGTTCCACTGGTAATATCAGTTCGATTGATAAACATAATGGGCTCTTCAGTTCCATTTCTTAATACAATATCTGAAAATGAATTTGAGCTATTCATGGCCCCATAAGTTGCAGTTAAAGCAATATTAAATGAAAAATTTGCTTCAGCTAATGGACTATCAGTTAAATATCCAATTGCTTGAACAAAAATATAATTATCTGTTGCACTCGAAGATGAATTCTGCAATATCGATGTTCCTATTTTGTTTAATCAATTCAATAAAAAGAATTTAAAAAACAAAACTCTTTCTTTTTTTTCCTTCTACCTGTATTTGTTACAACACCTAAATCAAGATAGGCCGTATCTTGATAACTTGAGCCTAGTACACTTGATGAATAAGTCCAATGATACTTATCCCCAAGTATATATTCACTCATAAATGATCCAACATTAATGCCTGCTGAAAGTATATCAGCTGATATGATATTAATTGTAACACTATTTGCCATTGGTATACTAGCTATTGAAATTTGTAAGTGTCCTTGAGCGTAGATAGGTAAATATATTTTAAATGGAAATGTAACTAATTGATGGATACCACTTTGTACTGTTGAATTTGTTGTCGATGTAAGTACAGTGACTGTATCGTTTGGCTAGAAGATTTATTTGAATAGAAAATATGGAAATTTAAAAATATGAAACTTACATATACTGTAAAACCAGTGTAGGCCGTATAGTTTGTTACTGTCCATGAAATACTTTCATTTAAGCCTGACTGATTCTTATTAACAAATGTTGCTATATTGATTGATAGTTGATTATTTACTGGAACTGTTGTTGACACTGGTACACGAGCATTAGCTTGAATAATTAACTAAAATTCATAAATAACTAGATGGTATCCGAATTGCACTCGTATACGAAATGCGATGCGAAGTAAGAATACGGATCTTCACGAAAAATCTTCAATTCAGAGAAATCTTGAATGTATTCTATGTCGACATGATGAAATTCATTCCTGAGAAAACTCTATTCTTACTTAGCGATATATTCTTAAAGATCGAATTCGATTGATCGATTAATTATCTCCCTGACTCATTATCTTTGACCAGCTGTAAATGAATAGACTATAGTGGCTAACATGTGGTGATGACGTCACTTTAATTATCTCGCAACAAATTTCTGTCATTTTCGTCGTTTTGGAACCACATTTATGAACGAGCGGAACTGCAGATTCAAGATTGTAAAACAGGGGCAAAAGGTTCGATCTCGATACTTTCATCTCCTGTTTCAATGAGTTTTCTATGATTTTCGGTAATCGAGATCATCGCGTCACAAAACGACGAAAAAGATGCGTACGTCGAGAAAGTAAAAGTAAAAGAAAACACGCGACGGACTACATAAATGCTATGCTTCGCATCGCATTAAAAACAAATTGATGGATAATGAAAAGAACAATGTTATTAACTTACGGTGTTCGCTGTGATATTCGTAGGATCAATTGGATAATAGCAAAATGTACCGAAATCAACATACATCGAAGTATTATATACAGTTGAACCACCACTATGGAAAGGCAATATTTTTTAAGTGAACAATGTTTGTTTTTTAAAATTCTGTTCTACCTGGTAAGAGTTAATGCTGGTTTCGCTTTCACGCACATTAAATTATTACCAGAACTAATTAAAAATGCATTCGTAAAATAAGCTGCATCAGTATTTGATGGCGTAAAACTGAATTGGAATAATAACGAATAACACGATTGATTGGTTTGATTAGAAGCAAGTATCAATTCTGTACGAAACAATACATCTTGACCAAGATAGACTCGTGTACTGTTGTTTGGATCATTTAATTGTTGATAATTACTTGTATTTAATGAACTCGTCGATGATATCTACATAAATATAATTTTAAAGTCAAGGAAAATCTTGTTTTGCCTAATTATCGCATAATTTTCAACAACTAATTGGATAGGCTTGTAGAACAAAACTATCATTTCTTTATCGAAAAATTTCATATGAACTTTCTCTTCGAAAGTATTCACGTAGAAACAAGCGCTTTCTAACGACCACTAATATGGACTATTTAGTAATCTCGTATATAGTATACATCAAAAACTTAATTTAAATAGACTGTAATCTCAAAACAATCTAATAAATAATAACTAATTTCTTAAATAAATTGAAACATTTACTTACATTTCCGAAGTTACTTATCGTGCTACCATTAAATATTGATGTTATTGGTGCTAATGCAGTTTGGCCAGTTGGTACTAAATTCGATAGAGTTAAACCAAATGTTGAACTTGTTTGTGGCATAGCCAGAAGAAAAACTTGAACGATCACTGTATTGGAATCGAGCGACAGTGTTGCATTCAACGTCGAAGAATTCGCTATTAACAAATGAAGCAATTATAAAGAAAAAGATAACATAAAATTATTTCTACAATTTCAATCAGCTATACTATTATTTTTAACAAAACAATTTAAAAAAAGATATATATTTCGTATCACTCACAAGCAATGTTACAAATCATTCCAAGATCTGTTGTTGCTAATGAAGAATATCCATTTGCATTGTAAGTAAATGCTGATGATACATCATTTGAACATGGAACATTTGTACCACGATTTGGTGATATATCAACACGACATATACTTGTTTGTTGATTAGGTTCATTGATAACTATATAATCAAGAAAGTCAAAAGAAAAGACATTTCTTTAATATTCTCACTTGAACTCGACAATGATGAATAGGTTCCATAGGATGCAACTGGAACTTTTAAACCATAATTAATAACTGTTAATGAATTTATATTGAATGGTTGTGCTGTTGAACTCAATGGAAAAAATAAAGGTGTTCCCTGAAAAGAAAAGAAAAATTGTTGTTGATTCGTTATAAGAAATTCAAAAACAAAATTCGCACCACAACATTTGGTGCACTCGCTGTTTGATTTCCTGTAAAAAGTATTTGTCCAGTCCAAACATTTAGTGGTGTATAATAAAGATTGAGCCCTACATAAGTGCTCTGTCCATTGCCCAATGATGTTTCAATTTTGACATAAACACCTGTATAATTTCTGAATAAATAATTTCCTAAATGAGAAAATTCACTTCTTACCAATACGAATTCGACCGAGATCATCATCAGGTTGTACTGTTTCATAATTACATAGTGGACCTAATTCTATATCAACAGTATCATTTTTTTGTTGGCTGTATCTATAAATAAGAAACATGTTTTGTTGCTGCTGGTCAAATTAATAATTTAATAAAAGAACAAACCTTGATGAATACGTAATAAATGGTGATTGATCTTGATTATAAAATTGTGGAATGAGACATGGAAGATTCTGGCCAACATATAAAATTTTAACAAGACAAATACTTGCAGCTGGTATTCTACTACCAATCGATGTTTCATTTGTCATTATTCTTAATGTCATTGGTGTATAAGTACCAGTTGCTTTAGTATAGATATCATAATAGAATAAACGTGTAAGTCCTAAAATTGTTGTTGCTTGATTAACTGTATTATTTGTTTCATAGGATAGATTGAAAATTGGTTCAGTTGCATTCTTAAAAAGTTTCAGCAAAGTGATATTTACAAAAAATAAATAAATAAACTCTTTGGTTTTCTTACTGTTGTATTATAACTTATAGTTGTAACAGTAACAGGTGCAGTTCCAACCCAAACTGTATCATTTCCAAATGTAATTCCAACAACTGGCCAAACTACACTTTCCGTTGTATTTAATAATTGAAACGCTGCATTAAAACTAAATAAATAAAAAAAATTTACGAAGAGCAATTTTTTTATTGATTATTTTACTTACACTACGGTATTGACTGTAGGAGAAACGCTTGTTGAAAATATGTTCATATCAGATAACACACCATAGTCATACGATAATTGATCATAAACGGATGAATTAGAACTTGATGTATAAGTAAATCTTGAAGTACTTTGATCAATACATTGAGGATTTGCATTGGCAACATTTTCACCAGCTGATTGAAATATAATTGCGCAAGATTTTACAGCTGCTGTTGAAGAATTCACCGCACCGTTTAAATTAATAACAATGGGAGCAGAAAAACCACTTGGAATAACCACTGTGACTGTCAGTTCCAATGCTTGATAAATACCAGCTGTACTGATTCGTTGTGAAAGAGTAGTTGCTGGTAATGAACCATTCTGAAGTTCATAAATTAGAAATTAATTTTAATTCTTTATAAAAAAATTGACTTACTAATGGAAAAGCTGCAATAGATGGTACTGCATAGATGGTATACATTTTTGTCACTGTTGCGCTTGTTGATGCGCTTACTTGTGCCGTCATTGTACCAGCTAAAAATGAACTAATGCTATCAGTCTTGAATACACGTCCAAAAACAGTCATAAAGAGGGTTGCTTGTGAACCATTCAAAAATTCTGTTAAGGTAAAAGATGAAATAAAACGATATATTTAGTTAACACGATAATCACAACATACGGGTATTGACAATTTGACCAAGACTAATCGAAATTTGATTATTAGTCAATGAAGTTGTTAAATTTTGTGATATTTCATATGCTAAATTTGGTAACTGTTCGAAACCAGATGTTGCACTCTATATTAACATAGAAACATGTTTTTTGTTACGATACAATCTCTCGATGGTTATTCGAAAAACGTATCTATCTCAAGATTTAATAGGAAACTAGTGTTCAAATAGACGCTCTTCTTTTCTCGTGTATTAAGAGAGATATTAGTTAATCTATTACTAATTGACGAATAGTCAGCTGCAAGAACTGATTCAAAACAATAATCCTCGTCAAGAGTCGAATTCGTTTTGTTTCAAATGACCTAATTATATAAGCATAGGTGATTTACTTGAACGTATACTGAACAGAGTCCTAATTGCGATGGATTATCGTTTGTAATTGTAAAAACAAAATTCGATGCATATGTACTATTATAATTAACCGGTACTGATAATGAAAATGGTGAACCTTGTGGAATTTGTAAACTTGAATTGTTAATACTACCAATTGTAAAAGGACCCGTTGTCACCTAAACACAATCTATAAATAATGATCCGTCTCCGAAAATGTATTTTTTACAAAACCCTCGAACTATTTGTAAAATAAAACAATGATTGACCAATCCATACTTCTGAAACATTGTTGTATTCAATGCCAACAGTTACCCACTAGATCAAAGGATATTTGATTGAAGAAAAAAATAAAGATTGAATTAGCTTTTATTTATTTTTTTGCTCACATATGCAGCACCGTCGACTTGATAACTTGGACAGCTAATAACAACGCTACGAAACGAAACCGTAATTGAACTTTCTGTAGCATTATTTGCTGCAACAAGGAAACCATTCGTAACATTTCCAAAATTGATTTCAGCATTATCATACTAAAGTATATTTCGACATTTATATTAACCTGAATAAAAAAGAAGATGTTTCGCGTTCATACTTGCGACGTATTCATTTGGGATGTCATCGTTATTGTTGATTGATAAAGACTTGCTGAATTGAGAAAATTTCCACCAACATATGTTATTTTTGGTTTTGACATTTGCATAACAATCGTGCCATTATCAGGCATTATGATTTCCATACTAAGATCAGTTGAAGAATCTGAGCCGTTTGATGATCCAATAGTCATTGTCACAATATGATCACAATAATCACCTGTGTATAAAATAAATCAAATTCACATCATATTTATTATTTGATAATACTAACCAACGCTGGCTGAAAGTGATGAATTACATCCGCCTAGTTTAAAATAGTTAACCGTAACAGATGTATTCGTTGCTGATGTTAATGGAATCACTGAAATAAAATTTAAAAAAATCGAAGTTTATCAAGATTCTTATTAAACGATATATCAGCGGTATAAATATATATTCTGGTATTAATTAGTATGAAAGTTCTTTATTGATTTTTTATAATGAAACAATTTGACTTTAATGGAAAGATTGAGGGGTGTCCAAGAACCGAGGATTAGGAATTCTTTATCAGTTCCCCATACAGTTCTTTGCATACTAAAGGTAAAAATATGGGATATTCACGATAATTTTTGTTCTTACATTCATTTTCACTTGTAAAATCGTGAAAATCAATAATTTCATGCAAAAATTATTTTCAAAAACAACAATATCGCGAATTTCGTGAATGGTGAAACTGTGAGGGAGCCGATAGTTGATTCCCATTTTCTCTAGGAATTATCACAGTGACATTGACAATTCCTCGGCACATTAGGAATTCCTGTTTCTCAGTTCTTGGGCACTGCTGGCTCAAAGACGGGAGATAACATTGGGTCATATAAGATGAATTATTTATCATTCAATGGCTCACTTGCAATACTTGTAAAAATGAATACAGGTGCCAATAGCAAGTAAAACTGCTTGAGATGCAATTCCATCTTACTTGCAATACGCTACTCACCTAAATGAGTATCAAATGAAGTTTAAAAAAATAAAAGAGTAACTATTTTCTTTTCATTCTCTCTTTCCGTTACTCTTATTTCTAAACTACAAATGAAAAACAAAAAAAAGTGGAAGGCGTTGACGACATACAATCATATACTCTAGTTTGAGCATTTTCTTTTTTACATTTTAATTTCTTCATGACGAAGTTCAATTAATTATATGCCTCCATAATATACATATCTACCTGTCACTTTCCTTCTCTTTTCTTTTGATATCAATCAAACACTTCAGAAAAAGAAAACTTTTAACTTAATGATAATTTTTTTCTTTACCGTGTGAAAAAATATTAAAATAAAGTTGAAGAAAAAAAAGAAGTAGAAAAACAATTTCATCTTGACAGCCTAAAAAAATGATGTTATAAGTGTATCAAAGGCAGGTCCTTTTCTTCTTCGATAATTTCTGGAAACACAGACTAGTGCCTATGTAAATAGATCTGCGTTTGGTTTGGTATCTTTTATTCATCTGAACGCAAGCTATAATAGAATATTAACTTTGAGGGAGACCTACTGCGCAGGCATCTCTGAAATTAATTACATCTCTTTCAAATAGACTGCTGATATGAAGACAAATCAACTGATGGATAATTTGTAGCTTTATTTTTCGTTTTTAAAAGCTTCAAAAGCACTTTTTAAACAGAACGATATTCATCATGTTGATCTACTTTCTCATATACATTATTGATCACTCTTGTTGTTTTTCAGCACCAACGTACTATTGCATTTTCGACAATCAAACACAAAACTTGTCTATGAATGAATTGCGATCTTTACCAATCACACGGATAATATTTATTTTAGATAATAATTTGCGTTCATGTTGATAAAATCATATATGGTGCTCTCTAGTTGCAATGATTCGACATTCATTAAGAAGACTTAGAAAACAATATGATCGATTGGAACAGGTCGTAAATAAGCAAGCATCAGCTGTTTTTGGTAGTACTTCCTCTTGGATTTCCCATATGAATAAATAAATATTGTGTTCATTGATTATATTTAGCTATATAACTATTTCTCAATAAGTACTCTAGGAAAATCTTTTTGTTCTTCTTACCCTTGATCTGTACAGATCTCAACATTTGTCCATAGAGCATAATGTTTCTGTTCTAGATGTTCATGCACAGACCACAATAGTTAAAAGCTCTTTAATCTTTGATATTCTCTGTTTGGAAACACTGCCGACAGATTATACTTCTTATGGTTTCGTCATCAGTGTATATACTGCTTGATATTGAAAAATTCTAAAAAATCAAACTATTCTGATTTTTAGTTGCTGCTAAAATAGTTTGACTTGAAATTTGCTAACTCTGTATTTGCAGCCATTTCGAAGTAAAATAGGACTAATTAATTATGATTCAAATCAGTTTAAATATTTAATCATACAAAATTGGTTTTTCAGAAGACATCAAAAATACAAAACAAAATAAAAGCAACAAATTAAAATGATTAGAATACTGAATTGACGTGATTTCTTATTATGTTAAATCTGACTACAAGATACAACGAGACATTATACATAAAGCAAGTAAAGTACGTGATAAAAATAAACAAAAAACAAAAATTTAAATATCATCAAACGGTGGTAAACCAAATTCGGCAGGATCAAATTTAAGAAGACTATCCAACGTAAGTGTCGCATGTTGAATAACCGATTGATCATAATTACTTAATGGTAAACTCGGTACAAGTACAACTTTCATCCCAGCAGCAATTGCAGCTCGTACACCATTTTCTCCATCCTCAAAAACTAAACATTGACTCATTGATAGTGGTGGATTAGGAAATTTTTCTGCGCATGCTAGAAACACATCTGGTTCAGGTTTAGTTAAACGTATTTCAGTTGCATCTGTACAAATAACGGGATCAAATAATCTGAACAATTCACGATGACCACTTGTCTTGAGCAAAAATAATTCATGTGAAGATCCGGTACCAATTGCTAAAAAAGAATTTCATTCAAAATAAGCCAGCCTTGATTTTTCTTACCCATGGGAATATTATAAGAAGCTAAATGTTGAATAAGACGTCCAACTCCAGGTAAAAGTTCAGCTGATGGAAATGCTTCTTGATATATATCGTTGGACTTTGTTAAAAATTCTTCATCGGTCATAGGTAAGTTTAAGTTTCCTATGAAAATATTTCAAAATCAATAAATTCTATTTTCGAATAACAATTATCACAAGTACGTATTAAGATTTGTCCAGCTTCCAATGATGATTTTCCCATCATTTGTAGTTTTGTTTCTGTACTAAAATTTTTTCCGTAGGGCGCACATAATATTTGTAAACATTCAGTATATATCGACTCGGTATCTAATAGTAAACCATCCAAATCAAATATACAATGTGTAATACTCATTTTTACTATTCACTAGTCTATATCTAAAAGAAAACTGCTCTATTAATCTAGTAACAAATCTATATTTAATATTACTAAAATTTAAAACCTTCATACAATATCAATAGCATCATTATTGACACGACTATAAAATTTATCGGCTGTAAATCTTGACTCAATAATAGAACTTTGAACTGAAATAATGAGATCTTCAGCATCTTTGTTTTTTTTCTCAAGTCGAAATAATACTGTAATTTTTATTTATCTGTCGTCCCACTAGAACATAAATACATATTGAATAACAACAGTATATAGTAGCAACATTACTATTGAATTTTACTTTGTTCTACATATTCAACAGATATTTTTAATTCAAAACTTTCACATACAAACACCATGAAGTACATTACCTAATATTTCAATAATTAGCTGCTCTTTATTATTATTATTATTATTAATAAACGTGTCATGATAATATTGGAATATTAAAAATAATTGAAATAGAAATTTGCCATTTTTAATAATTATAATTGTGGAAAAGAGACAAAAAAAAATGAATAATATTCTGCAAATATTTCTGAACGTAGATTTGTTGCTCAACGACACCATCAAACAATAAGGCTCTCAAAGTTAAAATAGTAGCAAAGAAAAGAAAAGAGATTCATACACATGAAAGAAGCAAAAATATGAAAGACAAAATATTTCTTCAACCAAATACAACATCTAATATCATCATTATTGTAAAGCCACCTAAATGAAAAAAAAAACATTTTCTTCAGATAATCTTTAATTATTTAGATGGAAACCTCCCAGCTAATTTTTTCAGCTATGATTACCGTATCTACTAATATCAAAGTATGGCTATGTTTTGTGTTGGGTAGCACCCTGAAAGAATTATAAAGTTTGAAAAAAAGAAAAGGAAATCCCCATTTCCTGCTTATTACATATTAGCAAGAAAAGTACTCTACGCTAAGTCTTGCGCTCTTACTTTGAGTTTTGAAAAAAATCCTATTCATAACAACCTGTTTTTCATACTTGATTCTATTGAACGAGATATTTTCATTTCACAAAAAGATCTTGTTTACAAGTGTGTCTCAGTGCAAAATTTAGTATACTATTCAAAGGAGATATTTTTTCTTTAAATTTCTATTATACGCATTAGCATCGTTAAGGTTTCCATGAAACCTTGTGTGTGTGTGTATGACTACCTATTAAGCATATTATCACTAAATTAACATTACGTTTTGGAGGCTACTTTTAAGAAATATAAAAAGAAAATGAGTAAATGTAGTAATTATACTTGATATAAAACAATAAAAAAAAATCGCTGAATAGCTCGAAGTGTTCCGATTAAAATTTCTTTTTTACCAATTTTCAACTAGTTATACTTATATTTTACGGAGCTACTTATGTATGTCGTTCGCGACGAAACGATGTGGTGCAGCACGGTGAGGAAGAAAAAATTTAAATAATAGAATATAAAAATTTTACAGATGCTTTTATATGCTTATATTCAAAGTACAATTGCCGTATTCTCTAGTTTTTTTATTTTTATTTCTTCAATGTAGAGTCTCTAAAATGTCATTTAGTTCAGTGATAATACATCTTGCAGGCATTCATATTTGCATACATAGTTTCATTGTAAACCAATGATGCTGAAGCGAAATACATAACGCTTCAAAAAACATCTGCTTTCCAACTTTTGTTTTTACGCTGGACTTAATCGCCAGATATGCCTAGAGACTTGCGATTTTAAGGAAACAATAGTATTCTTCTGAAATTAAATTATTTCATCCTGAAGAGGCAAACGTAGTGAACACATTTTCATGAATAGAAATTTTCTCTCAAGCAATATAAAGAGTAGATGATGTGGCGCAGATTACTTTTTCCGTTGACACCGAATAAGTAGGATATATCGACTTTAACAAATCTGATTATTTCTATGAAATGTAACTCGACCGAAAACAACTTGTAGTTATATTGAGACATGTTGGAAATATATAATTAGCTTGTTGATAAACGGTGCACTTATTTATTACAGATACATCCGTCAAAATATACGTACCTATCACATACCACGACGACATTGTTCGATTTTGGCTGATATAAATAAAATTTTATCCTTTATTTTCAATGCTAAAAGAAGATCATCAGACTTACGGACTAATCTCTGGAATAATTTCATTAAAAACAACAAAAAGCATCGCACCAGCTGCAAAAGCAAGTGCAAATGGAAGCAGACAATTTGCTAATTGCACAAAACAAACACCAATGACCCCAGCTACAACTTCAACTAAACCACTTAATTGGCCATACCTATACAAACAAAGTTGATTATAACATAAAATAGAAAAGAAAAGAAAACATTGAAGAAAAACGAACCAAAATGCTCTAAATGATCCTATACCAAATGATCGCAAAGGTAAACTTATCGCCAATCCTAAAAAGAATTAGTTGACATAGTTATTTTTCTATGAAACGTAATTTTCATCAATGAATCAATGCGATGAACAGAAAATTATCATGTACAACACGAAGCAGTGACTTCCGTAAAAAGCAGATAGGGAGAAGAAAAAAAGAATTCTTGTTTTATTCTAAGGAAATGGTATCTATAAAATACAAAGAGTATTCATATTTCTCATTTCAAAATCCGACATTCTCTTGCGAATTGTCTGTCATAAAAAGATCTTTTAGATCTTATCAAAATATATTTGACAGTAACTATATTCATCTATATCGAGCGAATGACATGAAAAATACTTACACGAGAGTAATTTTCTTTTTGAATACGCTTCTCATAAAATAATAAAACACGTTACAAGAATAATAAGTCAAATGTAAGGATTCATTCTTTGTCATTCTATTTTCTTTTACATTGAAATCATACTTCAGTAATCTATTCTATGATTTTAGGCACGACATTGACAAAGTTATTCACCAAAACAAAAATACTTTTCTTTATTAATCTTTAGTTTTTCTTCTGTGACTAGTCTTTCATGTGTAAATAGTCACTAATTGCTTTCTATTCTTTATCAATTATTGTGAAGAATACTCTATCTTTCTATCATGAGCAAAAAAAGACGGAAAAAACAACGAAGAAATGAGCTAAATCATATTAAAAATCAAAACACTAGATACATTGTATGTAGTGTTCGCAGAAAATTTCTCAAGTTAAACAAAATATTCCTTGATGTACACATAAATACTAACTCCTGATTTCATTTTGATCACACATCGTTTCTTATGATTCATCTGACGCTTGATGAATTACAACAAATACTTATATTTGGTAAAAGGAGAAAGTCTGGCCTCCGATGGCTACTTTTTAAAAATCTAGGAATCCTTAGAGGATTTAGCTTATCAAATATATAGGATTTTCGATAAAAAATGACCAAAATCTAGGATGTTTTTATACGGCGTTTCTGTTCAATTGTTGTGATTTTTTTTAGCTTCTCGGATCGAAAATCGTTTTTATGCAGCTGCTATGAACAACTCAATCATCACCAAGATTCTTGTGTAACTTCTTTCTACTGAAATAAGTTGCCAATTCCAAGATTATTATAAAGTCTAATTATAAAATTTTCACAAATTAATCAATAACAATAAAGTAGATCATAAACTTTGAAAAAATAAATACATGAAAAAAACAAATACTATTTCTCATAATAAAAAGAGACGTTTCAGATTACGGACATGACTTCCCAAAAAATCTCAACCTAATTTTATTGCCCGGATAATCAGCATTCATCGCTTATTATTTTCCACAAGTTTATTTTGTATTTTATCATAACTCAATTTTTTCTGGTAATAAATAAATCTAAATGATGATTCATACACATAGGATGGTGTAAAACTTCACGGGCTTTCAGAATATGTCGTTAATTTTAAAAAAATATATTCTTTCGGTAACAATATCCTCAAAATACAGAATGAAACTTATTTCCAGGGGTATATATATATACAGCTTTTATATCTAACTAAAACTTCAATAAAAATCCGAAACTAGTACATGATCACTTTGTGAATGTTTTTTTCTTTTGAACTATTTTGTATTTTCTACTTAGTATTAAACAATGTCTCAGTCAGCCCACTGAATAGGCGAGAGGAAAAATACTGTTTAAAACAAATGTCACTATAATACAAGAATTAGTTCAAAACACATGATTATACACATTAAAAGTTTTTTTTTTCGTCAAAAGACAACAGCAAAATGAAGAGGTTTTCGGAAATTTTCTACTTTTTTCGATAAAATATAGGAAAATATAGGACAAAAATAGGACTTTTTTTGAAAATATAAGTCGAATCGCAGTCCAGAGAGAAAGAGAAATAGAGAAAAAAAATCAATCAACAAAGAAAAATGAGCCATGAATGCTTCACATATTCTTCTATAATCATCATCGATTTCTTTTTCTCTTCTGAATACAGGGATTGCTTTTTTTTTCTTCTTTACTACCACAGCTTGATACACATCTTATTAATATTTGATTACATGATTAAACAAGAAAAATCGATTTTGTTTTTCTGAAAATCACGGATTTTTTTATCATGTTTCAATGGTCTTGCAAGAATTTAAATCATTATATTTTGAATTTACCTTCGGGGAAATTTTGTATACCAATGCCAACTGCTAAATTTCTAAAAATATTTTAAAAAAGTGAATCGAAAATCACGTTAATAGTGTGTGTTACCTTGCATGATTGAAAGCTAATGTTGCATTACTCGATGATGGAATTGATCCAAAACCAACACCTACAGCCATGCCCTCTAAAAAAAAGAACAATAAATGATACTATGAATAACAACAAAACATCTTTGATAGGAAAATTTGAAACCTGATGCCTACAGCAACCTTGTTAAAACATAAGCGATCCGATTCATTGATTCGTATATCTGACTTGAATTTACATTTAAAAATTGGAGCCAGTGAATTGTTTTTTATCTATGGCTATCATCTATATTGAATACTGTAGTTTGATGTGTTGTTCATTATTCTACAAAAAGCATGTAAACAACTAACAAGTGCCTGTTTTCCGGTGAGACATGCTAGTCTTAGAATGTAATGTAAGTCACATTGGTGCAACTAATTCTTGATAGTATAAAGGCGTTTTCATTACAGAAAAAGTAATCATAAATTTTCGATAACATGATGCTGCAAATGTGCAATAATTTTATCGAAAATTGTGACAATTATACGAATTTTGAGCGTCTTTACATTAAGTTCTAGCTGTTATTGGATCAATTACACAGCAAATAGTTTTCAAAATTAAAATCAAACTAAAGGATATATCTTTGACTGAACAACATCTTTAACACACCACTTCGAATTGGTACTATTTGTTTCAACTTTTGAAAATGAACTCGATTCAAATGTTGAAATTAAGTTGCTCTTTCTCGATCAATGATAAAATAAGAGACTGATACTATTGTAAAAAATTCCATATTCACGTAATTTTCGAAGAATTAGATTTTTTTTAAATGAAATTGTAGCTCAATTGCTGAGAAAGTTTCATGAAAATGTATTTATTTATTCTTAGTCTAGAGAAAATGTAATCGCACTATCAATGATTAGTTGCACTAATGCTATTTCTGCCATATTCCTAGCCATACCAATCTCAGTGGGAAGAAAACCATTTGCTAAGTGCGCATATGCATTTTGTAAGATGAAGAACGACACACTAACTCCACTTTTCAATAGAAACAATGTTGATAGATACAACAAGCTAGTCGGTTATAATTATCGATTATGCATTATCAAATCGATGAGCAACATTTGCTTCTTCTCATAAATAAATAAATACGGAAATATCGGATTCGCATCCGATTGTTATGTGTACTGCAAAAGCTGAGTCAATTTATGTATGTTGTGAATAATTCTGAGAAAAGAATTTTTGTTTTGAAAAATCCCTGTACCCCCCTCCCCCTTTCAGCAATGGTCTGGTCAATAAAGACAATTTTTTCGATAACTCAGCCATTTCTTGGCGGATCCTTCTCATCTTCGAACTCGACTGAGATATTGATGAGATCACTCTGTGTACAAAATTTCATGACAATTGGATGAGACTTTCAAGAGTTATCGTGTTAACGGACGACCGGACACACTGATCGAATCTAGAGTGTACTCACTTTTTGAGTACACAAAATGAAACTGATAAGAAAGATAAAGACAACCATTACCGTTCAGTTTTCAGAAGGAAATCTTTCCTTACCGGGAAAATTGTGAACTGTAACAGCAATCATCAGGAGCAATAATCGATGCCATCTTGTTCGCTCGGCATGTTTAATATTAATTTCTTTGATCTCTTCAATCGGACTATCACCAACAGGAAGATTAGCTCTTTTTGTAAAATCTTGATTACGTTTTAAACGAGAACGCACAGCTGCATTAAGTTTAAAATTTGATACTTTGTCTTGATGGTTTTTTAGTTGTAATTCATCAGTTTTTTTATCTGATAAACATTGAAATACTTGTGTTGACGTTACCGATGGTAATAATAAATCAGCCAAATAAACAAATAAAGCACCAAGTAAAAAGCCAATGGTAATTAATATAAAATTCAAGTGACTATTTATAATCGTTTGTTCAGAAGCAATTCTAAAAGCTGGCTGAAGTAAACTCCAAAATGATGCTGCAGTCATTACCTAAGAATAGATTCAAAAGTTAAAATTAAAAGTTTTTCTCCACTAATATATATGCATACTCCAGCGCCAAAACCAAGACTATAATCGAGTAATTTTTGCTAGAAAAAATGAATTATTTTAATATCAAATAGTTCATTATTTTTGTTCAAACATACATTGGGATGATGGAATACAAACACTAAGGATGCGCCAGCTGCTGTAACAAGCCATGTATAGCCAGTGCCTGAAAGAGAAAGAAACAAATAAAATTCTATTCCACAATAAATTCAATTCATAAACTTACCCAAAAGGCACTGGATAAGTGGTGATTGCTCACGCAACATTATTAAATGTGAAATTCTCCGATCCTTTTTTTGGTTTTGATAATCATCCACATTTTATCCATAACGTCCAATAATTGGTCACCAAATTTCACCAATAAAAAACGACCGAAAGAACAAAACAAAACAATAGAATATACTACATATGTATTCTATGTGATTATTAGACAACACAAATAAAAATGAATGAAACCTCATCATCTCTTGATTTAAGTACATTATGGGTTGAATATAAAAATCCCGATGGGCGTGTAAGTATTTTTAATTCTTCTCACAAATTGAAAAATTGCGAACTTTTTCCAATAGATTTATTATTACAATGCCAAAACTCGTCAAACGACATGGACAAAACCAGAAGGACAACGTGTTATGTCTCAAAGTGAACTTGATCAATTACTTGCTAGTCAAAGTGATGCATCAAAGAAACATGTTGCACCAATAGATACGGATACGATCGAAGAGGAAACTGAATCAATAAAAAATGATATTATACCATCTTCACCAACAAATGACACTTCAGCAGCGAATTATAATCCATATTCATATCCACCACCTACACTTGGTATGCCATTTGGTACATTTCCGCCACATTTAATGCCACACATGGCTCAGATTATGCAAAATAGTAAATAAAAACTATCAGAAATTATTAAATCATAATGATTATTGTTTTTTTTAAATATTTAGATTTTCCAGGTTTTGGTTCAATACCTCCGCCCGCACATTTACTTCGTTTTATGATGCCACCGTTTTTAAATCCAACAGGTTTAACGGCAGGAAAAACTCTAGAAACATTACAAACAGAATTAAAAAAGGTTCGATTTGTTTTCTACTAAAAGATTTATTTTTCTTTAACATTAATTGCTTTTATAGTTACGTGTACAATTAAAAGAACTTGAAGGAAAAATGGAAAAAATCAATAATGAAGCATCAGTTTGGTCAGAATTTAAAAATCCAGAAGGACGACCGTATTATTATAATTCTAAAACAACTGAATCAACATGGGATAAACCTATTGTATTAAATGATGTGATTGGTATAAGACAAAAACAATTTGATCATTTATTTTATTATGAACATTTGGTGTTTTTATATGTTTTTAGATTTTCAAAATCAACTTGAACATGTAAATAAAACAATTCATGAATCTGAAAAAGAAGCTAAACGACTCGAAAGTGAACAAAGTCAATTAGCCGCAGTAACAGCAACAACAACTAATGCTAGTGATAAGCAACCACAACAAGCTGCTGCAACACCAGCATTCATTAATGGATTTACTTTAGAAAAATTAGATAATAATGAAATGAGACGTTTTGTAAGTATTTTTGAAAGACATTCCATTAGGATTTTAATTGACATTAGAGTGACATTTCTGAGAACATTTCTATTGGTCCATTGGAAATCAATACAATCTGATTAAAATGCTTAGTTCTATACACTACATGAATTATATTCTTAAAAATTTGCATTTTCAATTTATCATAACAGTGACTTCTTTTCAAAATCAATTCTGGATTAAACGATAAACAGTTTTCGTATGGAGAATATCAATTTCAGAATGAAATTAAAGTAAAACTACTGTTGATTGATGAATAAGTGTATTCAATCGATGTTCGTTCTCTCAAAAATATTTCTTCTATTTTAAAATCTAATAAGATATTTTGAATGTTTTTCTTTTTCCTAGGGTGAATCAGGACTAGGAGCAGATCGAAATGCAATAGATGATAAATCAAAAGGTAAAGCTAGACCGGTATCAACAAAACCGATATCCGGTACTCCATGGTAAGTCAACAGAATATCACAGAAAAACTTTCATGTATCATCTTGCATTTCTTCACACTAGGTGTATTGTGTGGACAAGTGATCAGCAAGTGTTTTTTTTCAATCCAACATCACGTATATCACTGTGGGATAGGCCAGAAGAATTAAAAGGTAACCATCGAATTGTGAAGCCAGGAAGGACGAAATTCAGTTCAAGGTGATCTCATGAATTGCTATTACACTAAAATTATAGTGTTACGTTTAGTAAATTATACTTTCTGTAGAAAGAATACTGTGTATGTATATAGTCGATGTACTACGGTGTTTTCCGACTGTTCATTTGAATTAGCCTCTTTTGATATCAACACTTACAGAGCGAGCAGTGTCCAGATTCATTTCGTCCTGTAAGATCATATTTTTTCGAAAGAGCAATCATGAAAATGTGTATCTGGAAGTATAATATTGCCTTGTTGATTATTATTCGATGTTTTCAAAATTTCTAATAAAACAAATACTTTGATTTATTCTTTAAGGACGAATGGACGTTGATGAAATGATCCAAGCAGCGCTGCCACAAGATGATCAAACAAATAATAATAATAATAGAACAACTGCAACAAAACAAAAACTAGATTCAACACCCGATGGAACAGAACCTGAAACTAAAAAACTCAAGTAAAATCAGTCATTAAACTTTGCACTTCAATAAATATCTTTTTATTTCTCATTCAGATCGGAGCCAATTTTAGCTACAAATACTTCTAATGGCAATGACAACCATGATAATGAAGCAAAACTTGTACAACATACTACTGAACGTTTAAATATTACACAAGAATCTAGTTATGATGCAGAAACAAAAGCAGCTAAACAAAGAGAATTAATTCCGTATGAAACACGGATTAAACAATTTCGTGAAATGCTTGCTGAGAAACAAGTAAAAATAGATGAATTTTTTTTACTGATCACATTGTGTTTCATTTCGTATAGGTTAGTGCATTTACAACATGGGAACAAGAAAAAAGTAAAATTGATCATGATCTACGTTTTTCATTGTTATCAGCTAAAGAACGAAAACAAGAATTTGATCGTTATACGCATGGTTAGAATTCAATTTCGATGGAGCTAATATAGAAAATTATTTTGTTTAGAACGAGCTGATGAAGAACGACGAGAAAAAGAAGCTAAAATTAAATTAAAAAAGCAAGAATATCGTGATTTATTAATAGAATCGAATGTTTCAATAAAGTAATATTGTTCTCGAGATTAATCAAGCACTAGCTAATCTTTGACATTTTAGAACGACATTCACTGAATTTTCAGCACGACACAGTAAAGATGAACGTTTTCGTGCGATAGAAAAAATACGAGATCGTGAAGCATGGTTTCATGATTACATGCAAGAATTGAAAATCAAAGAAAAACAAGGTTCTAGTCGTCATAGTGACAAAGAAAAAGTAAGAATCCTATTCCCTATCATTTCAACTCCAGCTAAAATCTGTATGATTATTCTCTCGCTATATATGTCATACAACAGAGAGAGAGAGAGAATTGCAATTAATGTTTTCAATATTTCGAAAATATTGATTAGTAAGATAAATCTTGTAGCTGATAAATTGTTTTTGATTCGAGTCAAAGTGAATGAGTAGAATTGATTTTTGAAGGATAACAAATAAAAAGACAGGAAGTTTCCGCATAAAGTCTGCTCCTAAGTACTTTTTCAGGCCAATAATAGAAAAGAAAAAGTTTGTTAGTGCTCCCAAAAGGTTTACAACATTGATTAAAAAGGCGCATTAGCTCCAAGGTCAGCAAATCAACTCTTTTTCAGATTTTTCATGTGGTATTTTGTCTCGACTTAATAATGATTCGTTAGTTGCAAGATTTCTCTTGTGACAGGGATAAAAAAAAAAGTCATTCATTGTTTTCAAGAAACGATAACACATTGAATTCTCAATAATTAATCATTGAATTGAATGGAGTACTTAAAAGAATAATTTTAGAATTGCTGAAAAATACTTCGAATACACTGAAGATACTTTTATCTTAAGATTAATACAAACTGACTTTGCCATCAGGACTAAAAGATAAGCATGAATGCAGAAAAATAGGCAATATGAGTGAAACTCGGGAGAGAAGAAGGCCTTCATTTTGATCAGAATATATAATGATTCTTCCGAGAATATAGTTTCATATTGAAGAGAAGCATATCTTCGGCTAGACTGGATAATATCGCTTTGTTTAAATTCAAAAACATCCTACCATACAATATCTTTCTTAGGAAATGAATATGCTTTTTTTTATATATTGACCCTCAAGCAAGCTTCTATCGATCCTTATAAGGCAATATCTAAATATAATTTTTATTTCTAGTTAAAAAAAGATTACTTCTCACTATTAAAAGAATTAAAAGTCACTCGAAATTCGTCTTGGTCTGATACAAAACATTCCGGTGAACATGATTCACGTTATAGAGCTATTGAATCCAGTTCAAGACGTGAGGATTGGTTTCGTGAATATCAATCAAAACATATTGATGAAACAACAACTAATTCCAATGAAGTAAGACAATAAAAACTAGAATTTGCCATAGAAATAATAAGTAATACAAAAAAACAATTGAATCATATTTAGACAAATGAAGAAAACATCGAACGACAACGTGAAAAAGACAAACAAAATCGTATTGATGCTAGTATAAAAAAACGTGCTGAAGAAGTGAAAGAACAATTATCTGGTTTTCAACGTGAATTAGATAAAGAACGTGAACAATTGAAAAAAGATAAAGCCATAGAAAATTTTAAAGCATTATTAACTGATATGGTCCGAACACCTGATGCTGAATGGAAAGAAACAAAAAAGAATTTACGTAAAGATTCGCGATGGGATCAAGATATCGATCGTAACGAAAAAGAACGTTTATTTGAAGAACATATTAGTTTGTTAGAAAAAAAACGTAAAACAGCTTTTCATAATTTATTAAGTGAACATTGTACATTAACATCGTCATGGAAAGATGTTAAAAAAAATATAAAATCTGATCCACGTTTTGAAAAAATTTGTTCTAATGAACGTAAACGCGATTTAGAAAAGGAATTCGAAAATTATATAAAAGATAAATATCAAACAGCGAAAACAGACTTCAAAGAGTTATTAAAAGAGACAAAAGTAATTACATACAGGTAATTATTTTAAGAAATAGATTTTTCTTTGGATAAATTAATATTTTGCATTTTAGATCACTTCAAACAATTAGAGAATCAGAAGAACAAAATCATTTACGTGACATTGAAAAGATTTTACAAAAAGATAAACGTTATTTACTATTAGATGTTATACCAGAAGAACGTTCGAAAATTTTAATGGACTATTTAGAAGATATTGAACAACGTGGTGTTCCACCACCGCCAACAGCATCAGTAGACAGGCGAAAGCTTTGATGTCAAGCATGGTTTTTTGTTTCTCGTTTTGCTTTTGTAATATTTTTTTCCTTTTTTTTTGATGTCGACACAGAGTATCTGTGCATCTATGTGTATCAAACTCAGAGTGATGAATAAAACTAAAAACAAAATAAAAGACTGAACCGTGCACTTCGTTGTGCAACGATTCGTCTATAAACATATAAAGAATTTTTCAAATAAAATCCTCGAATTAATAATGAAAATAATCTTTTATTTTCAAAAGATCTTTCGTTGATGACTGATAATCTTATCAGCTACATAGGAATTGTGATGATAATGAAAGAAATTCGAAATACAAATTTAATCTTTTAGTACTTTGTATTATCGAAAAAGAATATGATAAAATTATACGTTTGTTTTTCAACTTATTAGAATTTTTCTTTTGTAGCGATAATCTTCTCTACTGGATCCGTTAGATTAATAATTTGACTGCACACTATTACAGCCTATTTCGTTCTCTTGAGACAAAAGATTTTCAAAATAATCATCGAGGAATAGTCGTAAGCCAACTGGTTCTCCGTGGAACTCGAGAAAATATTGTAATTTAACCAAATCAATGATTAGTATTCCATTTAGTTTTGGTACGACTGAAATTATTTTGAAATACAATTTATCGATCTTAAAAATAACCTTTCATCAATCTTCTATTAGAAGCACTAAAAAGATTGTCAATCCATCTTGGAAAATGGCAGAAAATATTCTTATATTAATATCAAATGTACTTGAACTCTACATTCTTCCGTTTTGGACAATCCGTTCGTATAAGCGTAGTAATCATTTTGTTTTTCGACCTTTACATTTTTAGTAGAATCTTGTATTAATGGAAAAGATCATTATAACCACTCGATAGTTATCTTCTTACCATATTTATTTTCTTATATGATTTTGTTGCAGTTAATGCTGATAGCTATTAGTGCGTAATAGTATCATGTTATTTTGAGAGAACATTGCGAAGAATATTGGCTTACAATCCCGTCTAATCAAATTTGAATAACATTTTTGATATATAGCTATCGAATCGAATGAGCATTTATTAAATTACATTATAATTTTCAAAAAAAGAAGATTTATTCAATTTCTTTTTTTTTCCACTAAATTTCTTCAATGAGCCTTATCTGTGAAGGCGTGTTGGCCGTATTCTTTTACGTGTTGTTATGGACGGTGTCGTCTCTCTCATCTATCTTTCTCGATTGCCTTCATGGCATAGAAACTGCTCACTTATTATGTTCTCTCTCTCTCTCTCTCTCTCTCTCTCTCTTTTGATCTCTTCATTTCTTAGATATTGTCTTTTTCTATTTTTGATGAAGACGATTAAGACTGGAATGATGAAGAAGCTAGACTCTTGCTCATTTCTAATCAAAATTATCACCATCGAGACTGAAAAAAACCTATTCTTCAGCAGACAATAGTTTCGTTAGTCACAAAAAATCATTATTTCTTCACAAAAATTTATTTGTAACAGACTAAAGTACTAACTACTCATACATAAGTTTTTTTTTTGCACTCGATGTTGATAATTTTGATTAGACATGAGCAAAAGTCTAGCTTTTTCATCATTCCAGTCTTAATCGTCTTCATCAAAAATAGAAAAAGACAATATCAAAGAAATGAAGAGATCAAAAGAGAGAGAGAGAGAGAGAGAACATAATAAGTGAGCAGTTTCTATGCCACGAAGGCAATCGAGAAAGATAGATGAGAGAGACGACACCGTCCATAACAACACGTTAAAGAATATGGCCACTATTTTATACATGAGCGTGGTCGACACGCCTTCGCGAATAAGGCTCATTGAATAGATACATGTCAATATCAGAAGCTATGAGAGTCTTTTTAATCAAAAATATAGAGACGTAGATAAAGAAATGATATCTGAAACCATATTGTTCTGATTAATAATTGTGTTCAGCTACATGAAGATTCTTTTTAGCTTCATTACTGATTTGTTTTCCGTCATATTCTCCTTTAGCAGCTGCTGCATTCGCTGCAGCTCTTTTCAAACAGCTCTGTTGAGCATTGAATTCATTTTCTCGTTTTCCACTCCATGCTTTTAAAGCTAAACAGAATAATAAAAATGAAATAGTAAAAACAAAGAATTCAACCTGATGCTTGTAATGCTCGTCCATAACTGAATGTTAATGGCCATGGTCGTTTGAATCGATAGAGTGTTTTATTCATTTCATTCAAGTTAATTGTTGCATCTTCTTCAGATTGACCACCACTAAGAAAAACCTATTCGAAGAAGTCTATAATTAATTCATCGATATTAACATACAATACCAGCTAAAGCTGGTGGACATGTTCGACTCAATGTTGTAATTGTTGCCAGTGCTAAAATAATAAATAAACAGAAAACATTACGGAGATAATTGGTTTTATTTTCAAATTTTCTTTCACCAATATCTGTTGATTTTACTCTCTTCTTAGCTTCTTGTCCTGATGTAACCATGTTCTATACGATAATAGAATTAGTTTAACTTCTGTTTTTACTAAATAATAAAGACTTACTGGTTTAAGTAAACAACCTTCGAGGTAAATATCATAATCTGACAAAGCTTTAAATGTAGCAGCAAGAACTTTTTCTGTTACATATTGACAAACATTGATATCATGATCCCCATCGGGTATTACTTCAGGCTCAATAATTGGTACTAAACCTACCGAGGAAAAAAAAGTTAAGAATGAAAATATTCAATGTTTAAAAGATTAGAAACCTTTGGCTTGACATACGGATGCATATCGAGCTAAAATAATAGCATTATGTGCAATAGCTACATCTGTTGGCTGATTTTTCAGTTTATTAATACGTAATACACAACGCCATTTAGCAAATCGAGCACCTCGATTAAAACTGAATAAGAATTTAAACGATTGTTTTTATTTCTAATAAATAAAATATGCCATACAAATCTTCACAACGTTTTTCTAAATCATCAAAACCTAATGTTGTTGTTTCATTTGTGTTTATTGTTAAGGATTCTAAACCCTACGAAAAGATATTAAACTTTCCATATGATTTCATTATAATTAAATTTTCTACAATTACACGATCGAGTTTAATGCCCGGTAGAATACCGATTTGAGAAAGCATCATGGGAAATGGAACTGAACTATCATTGGTTTGATTAAATGTTTCTTCGTGCATTATAACTCCACTTATATATTGTTGTATATCAGGTGTCGTAAAAAGTAACTGTCGATAGATACGACGTTGTTCAGTAGTATTCTCGACTCCAATTGAATTAAATCGTTTAACAATCGATGATGGACTTTCATCGGCAGCTAATATACCTTTGCCTTGTTGAACAATAAATTCAGCATTTTCTTTCAGCATCAATTCAATGGATGAATTCGAATTCATATTTTTTATTTTCGTTTGTTCAATAGTAACAAAGACGGAAAAAAAAGAAACAAAATCTCGTGAATACTATAAAAAAAAGCACATTAGCCGCTCTTTTAATTTCTTTTTTAATGCTTATTTTTCTAAGACTCCAACAAGGAGAAAAATGAATAATATATAAGCATCTTCTAAATAGTATTAGTGTCAATGCTTTGTGAACTATTCATTTCGACTATTCTTATCCAGATCTCCCAATAGGAAAATTTTGCTTTATTGGCGCATGTCATTCTTTGTCAAACGGCAAATTTTTCCTATTAGCGGAAAAAGCAATTCCTATTGCTTTCAAATTATCAAGTGACATTAATCTTCACGAAATAAAATTAGTCATCGATTATTTTTAAGTTATCGTTTCAAAGTGAATTATTCATTATTATTATTTTACATGCATTCATAGCATCATTTACATTCATCATCATGAATATAATTCGTATATATTATGGATAACTCATCAATAATAATAATAATAATAATACTAAAAACAGCAAGCACATTGAAAATGTTTGTATAATAGATATTCTTCAGGATACAAAGCAAAATAAGAAAGTCATGCAAAATAGCAACGAAAAAGAAGGAAAAGAATGATTCTATCGTGAGCTAACTATCTATTTCTGTTTATCATTGGCCTATGTTAATGTAAGTCTACTTGTCCTTGTTAAAAAACGATGCATGAATCAACAATAGATGATTGACAAGGGACAATCAGCAACATCAAAATGTCAACAATTGAGTACAACCATAAAATACGTTATTGTTATTATTTTTGTTTGATGAAAAACTAGTCAACGATTGAATGAGTTCAAAAATTATTCATATTGTTTAAATGCAATGTAGTAGAAAGAGAAATAAAAGAAAATGAATTTGTTTTTGTTCTATTTATGTCACACTTACACATTCGTATGTACGTAATTTGTAGTCGAATACAAGCTATCAACTAAATTCAATAAAATATGGTAGGAAGAAGAAAACAAGCTATCTGAAATTTATCATTTCATACATCGTATTTTCTTAAGTAAACTTATTATTATAACCAATACTACTAATTCTATTATAGAAGTCGAGAAGGAGAAAACAACAAGAAAGCTATAGGAGATTTCTTCTCTTGTTTTTATCATATTTTTTTCTATCTTAGTTCCTTCAACTATCTCGTTCTTTCTGCATCTCTCTTTCTCTCTCTCTATTTCTCATAAAATCCCTAGATGCTGTATAGTATAATGTCGAATCAAGCATGTGATACAAGGAGCTAAGAAAAAAAAAGAAATGAGGAATCGAGAGAAAAAATATATCTGACAGCACTTACGTTTGCAACTCGTAGCTATCTTTTTATCTTTGTCATATTGCATTCATCTCTATCGTGTTGACGACAAGTAATAGAAAATAAACACATCGTTCTAATACAAAAGGCGACAACAAAGACTAATCCGAAGACAGTTAAAAATAACAGCGAACTAGTCAACTGCATTTAATTTTATGGGTAATACAAATAGTAATAACAGTAGTTCAACAATTTTACCACGATGGTCAACAAGTGTGCAAGATTCGGCATCAAAGCAAATTCAGATAAGTACTGATCGGCCTAATGGATTCTATTTTGCAGGTGAATGTTTAACTGGTACAGTTGAAATTCCGATTTCACACTTACAACAGCATTTACGTAGTAAAAACAATCGAAAATTAATCGAATTTATTCGTCAACAATCGTTGGGTAATGATATTCTGGTGGAACTTATTGGCAATGCAACATATTCAGCTGAGGTTGATGTAGCCGCCGATAGTGATGGACATGCTACACATCAGGTTAATGTTTGCCGAGAACATTGCTTTGTAACAATCAATCAACATATTGAGGAAATATCTATTCAAAATGATAATCAATTAGAAACATCATTTGATCAAACAACGAATACTACGAGTTCTCAATTCGATACACAAGATATACCATTAACATTGCCTGCGTCTATCAAAGGAATATTTCAATTACGCATACCGGATGAGCTTCCACCATCATTAATTAATAGTCGGCCACCATCAGTCGAGTATACATTAGAATTAAGCCTATCATCAAGTCGTTATCGCTATCAAATACCAATATTGCTAAATTCTAAAGGTTGTATACCGTGCCCTATTAATGATATCGAATTAAGTTGCCGTACTACTAAACAACATGACATTTGCTTGCAAGCCTATTTATCAAAGACGTTCTATCGTCCCGGCGAACAAATACTTGTCAGAATAAATTATTCAAATCCTCAAGAACGTTCTATTCGCTCCATAGCCGTAACACTTCTACAATTTTATCGTATACATCACGATGAATATCGTTTACAATTAGATGGTAAAGAATGGGTATTCGATAACTCAACAGTGTTGCCACAACAAGAATGGTCTGGTGAAACTCTTTTACAATTACCAAGTCAACCATTACAAGGATCGTATTCAAATCAATCTGCTGGTACAACACAAAGAATTGGATGTGAATTAGATTATAGAATTTTCATTGAATTAAATGAGAAAAGAGGCGATGATATGCATTTAACATTACCATCGATTAACGTCACATATCAAACATAAAAACAAAAAACTCTAAATTGTTGTTCTATTTTATCTTGTTGATATTTCAATTGCATAAATATTTAATGCTTTTTTTGTTCGCGTAGAAGAAAATATAAATAAAACAGAAAAAATTTCATTTTACTAAAATAAACTACTATAGCCATGCAATAATTTTGGCCTGCTTAAATTTTGTTTTGCATCTCGTTCTCACTTTGTATAAATTTATTTTGATCAGGTACCTGAAAAACAACCTGATTGAGATTAAGCATTACAGTTGTGTTGATAGATTGAAATATTTTAGTATGGCTTGCAAAGTTTATTTACCTATGTGAAGGAGAATTGATATAAAAATAAAATTTCAAACAGAAAACTTTTTTTGCTCAGTAAACTCAACGATGAAGTAATAAGACATTTGTTTGATTTTGATGTGTCTTCTTTTACAGTTCTGTTCGCACAGTCTTAATTAAGAATGGACAACTTTCAACAAGTTGTTAATATATGCGTACATGAAATACTGAAGCAAAAAAAAGTGTGTAACATATATGTTGTCCTCATACTTTTGTCTATTTCTCTTTTCGTACAGGTACGAAATAGTCTATGCAATAGTCTCATTAATTTTTTTTCTCTCTTTTTTGCATATATATATATACATAAAGGGATGAATATATGAATATCGGTTCTTCCTTCTGCAACAAAAAATATTGAGAATAAAAAGAGCTACAATTTCGTCGGCGGACATATAAAAGAATAAAACAACATTCATATGCGCACTACATCTAATTTCGTTGTTTGACAACGACAATGACAAAGGTAGAATAAAAGAGAAAAAAGAGAAAAAAAAGAACAATAGCTGAGTCTATTTGTAGAAAAAACAATACAACTTTTGATTCGTAATATAATTGAATTTTGTAATTTGTTTTAGATGATAAAAAACTAAGAATTATGCATTATCTCTTAGGCGGTCAACACTATTATTTTCCATCGTCCGATGAGCAATCTTATACATTAGAAGAATTTCTCGATTTTAAATGTAATAGTGAACATCGTTTGCCAACTGTTGTTCGTATAACAGCATTGAATAATTATGGACGAATCATGAAAAGTCTCGTATCAAAAGATACACCCTTATTATTGTTAGATATACATCAATTCGAATCAATTCTAGCTGAATATTATTCATCAAACGATAGAAAATATCATTCGAATAAACATCGATTCACATTGAATCAAGGAAAACTAGCTTCGAAAGCAACAGCTAAATTTCGTAACATGAAAAAATTGTCGACATCACTTGTTACTCTATCGAAAACGAATCTCACTGATGATAATAGTGATGATGATTTTGATAATATGCGTATTATTATACGAAATTTAAATCAGAAACGTTCATCTGTAACTCCGCTCTGTCGTATACCAATAAATTATCATGGCTTTTTTGAATTATTAAATGAAAATGATCAAGCTATTAAACCATTTCATAAATTATCCAATCTACTTATAACTGAGTATAAAGATGAAAATAATCAACAAATCCCAACACAAAAATGGCCAAACGCATTTTTTCTTCGTAGTATATGTAAAGCATATACAAAACGATATATTCCAGGTGAAAGAAAACTTTCTGGTAGTGCTGATTCTTGTTATGGATCATTGTCCGATTTAGATCCACAGAAAAATCTTTTGATTTTAAATGACGATGCATTAGTTCTTCAACCCGGTCAAATAATAACAATAATAAATCAATGTTCGGCATATCGTAGTCAAACACCTGAGAAAGAAGCCAATGTCGATCAATTCGCATCACAATCATCATCATCATGGTTTCGAAATAAATCTCGTTTTTTTTTCCTGAGAAAAAAACCTCAATCAGCACATTCACATGCTACTCAACATGCAACAAAAAATATTTATGATATTTCAAAAAGATCAGAACCCTATTTGAAATGTCAAGCAGAACAAGGTGATATTGTTTATATATCGATACATGAATCAGGCCTTTTCAGTTCAATTAATTCACAAAATAATCGATCAAAATCAACATCGGATTCCGAACATGTCGATATATCAGGTGTTTTTCAGCTACATGATTTATTAGGAAATTTTCGTTTTCCATTATGTGTTAATTTACTCAATAATTCAATATCATTTGATAGTATCTATGCACCAGCAAATATCAATCAATATGAATCACCTTTTTTATCATTAACAAAATTTCGTCTCTTATTACCGTACACTGAAAATGTTATATTTGCTTGTCCATTAGTAATACCCTCATCATTTAAATCTCAAGTAGTTGTTATTCCCATACCAATAAATAGTGATATTGAAGTTCAACGTTGTCTAAACATGCGTGAAATAACAGCAAATCGATATTATCATAATTTAATTCAAGTCTCTTCTCATATTATGAATCAATATAAAACCGAGTTTTCATATGTTCATTTTCCGCTTGTATTAAATACAACAACGAAACAAATCTTGAAACGCAAACAGCCATTATTTAAAAAACGTTCACAATCAGAATCGCATATTGAATATTATGCATCGGATCTAAATAAATCGAGTCATCGAAAATCATGTGAAATATTTCATCATAACGATGAATCTGATGCAGTAGACGACGACGGCGACGACGACGACGATGATGATAATAATAATAAAATTAATAATAAAAATGAAAAATTACATCATCGGGATAGTTATGAAAAAATAAAACAACGATTAACAAACAACTTAGCAGATTCAAATCAACGACAACAATCAACAAGACGTTCTGGTCACTATGCAAAGATAAAAACGGATAAACCAAGAAAATATTCTCGACAACAAGACGCTGATCCAGAAGACGAAAATTATCGTGAACTTGATCATATTTATGATTATATTCGATCAGGTGATATTACTGATGATATTCAAAGAATACAAGAAAAAGAGCAGGCATTAAATAAACAATATAACGAATTAAATGATACTTCGCAAACTTGCGAATCAGCTCTACTCAATGAATCAACCATAAAAACAAGGGTAACACTAAATAAAGTACTAACATCGTATATCTATATTTATTTCTTTTCATATATATATATATATATATTAGAGATCAGACAGACGGCCACCACGATCAACAAATAACAATTCAAGGTCGAAAGAAATTAATCGATTTTCTCATAATCTCGATGATTCTAGACCCTATAATAATGCATCTGATGATGATATACATAATGTTACACATTTAGAAACTAGACGAAATACATATAATACTGTATCTGCCTCAACATATTCAAAGCCAATTATCAAAATGAACAGATCTAACAGACACTAAAATTTTTATCTTTGCAATACGAATTAAAACAGTTAATGTTCATTAATTCCGTTTCATAAATTTATTTATTTTATATAAGCTATTTTAATAATAAATACGTTTGTGCTAATGTTGAAAATAAATATGGTACGCAAGAAAAGAAAAAGAAAAATGTCATATAAAACTTTCCTTCAAGTTAAGTTTTCTTGGTAACAAAAAAAAATAATTAGTTTTTCTATAGATAGAAATTGACTATACGGCTTTGTTTTTGTAAACATTTCAATTTAAATTATTCAAATATTGAATCGAAGGTTGTTGCTAGTTAATCAATGTTTCAAAAAAAAAACACAATGAAAATGGAATCTACTTTTCTATTTCTATTTAATTTACAATATTTCACGCCCTAACTGAATGTTAGAAATATCGATATCCCTAAGAGAAAATCAATTATTTATAGTTTTATTATGTCCTGCAACTTAAAATAATATCCCAGGATGCCTTATGCTTGTTTATAGTTCTTGCATCTGTTTATCAACGATGCTATACGAAGAGAACTGCTTATTAGATATGCATTTGAAACATAGCATTAAAATATCTACATATACACCGAGTTACTTTTAGATGAATTCGTTGATCTTTCATTAAATTCGGGAAATTTTTCGTGATTTAAATTCGATGAGAACTTTGATGCCTATTGATAATAGGAAATAAATGCGGAAACCAGAGTTACCAAATTCAAATTTTAGAAAACAGGAGTTTTTCAGAAGAATCTTGTTCGTAAATCAGGAGAAAAACCAGGAGTATTTTTTTGACACTCAACAGTCACTGGGTGGTCTTTATCTGGCAACATCCGATTTTTCAGTAATAGACGCATTAAACTCTTTTCCTATAATGAGATTGAGGCTGACATTTTCCTTGTAGGTGAATTATAATTGAAAATAGAATGCGGACTTCATAAATTTTATTAAAATAGATAACTAAAACGTGCTCATTAGAATAAATAATAAAAAATACTTAACCAATTTACTCAGCAATTCGTAGCAGTTTGGTGACGTGACTCTACTTATCTACCGATTGAATATTTCTTCAAAAGATCTGGTTCATTTGAAAGATAATGATAGAATTGCATGAAAGTGAAATGGGCAGTGTTGCCAGATTCCCATATTTTGCGGAATAATTCGGGATTTCTAAAGTTTTTCCGAATTTGCAAAGCTTTTCTCGATTTTTTCTAGATTTTGAAAAGTAACTCTGGATTTTTTTTGGATTTTCGAGGTTCACATCGAGCAACATTGTTATATGAGCACTTTTTTATATTTAAATATATGTTGTAGATATGTATAAAGACTGTCTTTGTTCGGAATCTGCTAGAGTGAAACGTACTTTAAATGACAAAAACGGACCCGAAAAATCTTTCCGGATTTTTTCTGCATTTAAAAAACCCACAATTTTTTCGCATTTTCAAGTTCGACATCTAACAACATTGCAAATGAGTGTTTATTTTTATCTTTAACTCAGCTCCAACTAAATCATGGTTCATTTGATTTCGAGTGTCATTCCATATATAAGTTTAACACTTAAATAGATTTGTTCCTTTCTTTTTAAAAGCGCAATAGGTTCAAAACGTTGCTAGTTGTCACATTTAAAAAATCAGAAGAAAATATAAAAAAAACAGCTCGTGAAATCAGGAGATTTCTTGTCAGGAGAAAAGTTTCAAAACCAGGAGATCCCTGGTCAAAACAGGAGCTTTGGTAACCCTGGCGGAAACATCGGATTCGCGCCCGATTGTTATGTGTACTGCAAAAACTGAGTCGATTTATATATGTTGTGAGTAATACTGAGGAAAAAAAATTTGAAAACATCCCTGTACCCCCCTGTCACATCGCTGAGTGCACATAAGACGCAACTAGTACAAGGACCAGGTGCCACAATAATTTATTTGGTAGATGGCAAGATTGTTTGTAAAAGCAAAGATTGAATATAGGTTGAATTTATTTTTAAAGGATCAAGAAGTGTTTATTTATTTAAGTAACTCACACTACTCTGAATGAGCGCGCGAAAAAGCAAGAAAATTAAATTAGTAAAACAAGCACATATTTATATGTGTATACATATACAACAAGCATCAAAATAAGATACAAAGGCAATGCTGCCGTCACACCCCCTCCGCCTTCAGGGATGGTCGGGTCAATAATGACAATTTTTTCGGTAACTCAGCCATTTCTTGGCGGATCCTTCTCATCTTCGAACTCGACTGAGATATTGATGAGATCACTCTGTGTACAAAATTTCATGACAATTGGATGAGGCTTTCAAGAGTTATTGTGTTAACGGACGGCCGGATACACTGACCGATTCTATAGTGTACTCACTTTTTTTTTGTTGAGTACACAAAAAAGAGATTGAATATAAAACTACAATTTTTCTTTTGAATTAAACACGATATAATCAGATACTCTTTTCAGCGACAAAAATTATACTGTGGCTAAAAGCTATTTCCTGAGTATCTGTCGATAGCAACACGAATAGAATATTGCAGCTTTCATTTTGGAAAAAAAAGAAGCGAAATAGAATGAAAGCCTTATGAGAGACATTTTCTGAAATGTTCTCCAAAGACAATTAATCAATCTTTTAGAAAAAACAACAAGTGGCGAATAGATTTCAGTAGAATAGCTGTCACACCTAAGCAATTCAATTTTAAAAATTGAGACATTCGAAATTCACCCAGATCGATTTTCATTTCTTGTTGGTAAATGGGAAACCCGTGTATCTCCATTTCTTTTGTATAAAAATCTATTTCGAAGTGCACATTCGTTTTCTAGTGGATGCTGTTGAAAAAAAATTTAATTAAAATTATCATCTTAGGCGATGTATGTACAAGGCATTTGTCGGGAATCATTCAAAATAAAAATATGTGATATAATTGAATTTCTTTAAAAGCTAACAGAAAAAGAAACATTCATCGTCAATAGAAATTTTCGTGCAGAAAATATAAGACACCTATACAAACGTAGAACAACTTTTTTAATTTTTTGTTTGAGATTGATTTCTTTTTTAAAATAAATAAAAATTCGAATATTACTAAAGCAGGCAACAAGAAAAATTACTCACATATAACTTGATACTAATTGAACAGGAAATTAGAAGATTTCTTTCATTCTAATATCTAATTCAAACATCGTATAAAAGTTATCTTTTAACAGAGAGATCTATTTTCAATAACATAAAAGAACGCTCCAGCTAACTGGCTCTGTAAGTACAAAGAAATAACAAAACAATACATGTCAACTGCTAATAAATGTACGAACTGGCAGCTCGTTTATTAAGCTGATCGCTTCAATGTCTAGTAAAAACCTAAAATAGAAAATAAAGTGTTGTTTTCATCATTTAACTTTGATTCGTGTCATCAGGAACGTTGATGGCAGCCTTATTTTCAACATGCCATGATGACCTCGTTCTATTTTTAAGAAAAAGAAGGAAGTACCGTTAATACGTTATAATTAGATGATCGACTTCAACCAATTAACATAGAGTTATCTAAACGTTATAACTAGATCTAACTTATCAACATTCTTTTCTAAATTACAACTGTGTTGCTCTGTTATGACGAAATACATTTGAATCTATTCACTTTCTGCAGTCTCATAGAATCCGAAAGATACTCCGACATCGCGCTTGTCATTTTTCTTTCTAAAAATTTGTGTTGATTCTTTATACTAGAAATTAAAAATATATTGATTACAATGCAATAAATTGATAGTAGAATAACAGATAAATCGCATTTATTTCACTGTAAAATTCTGTTACAATTTCAATCATAAAACTGGAAGAAGTAAAAAAACACATAACTGCGTCTGGAAAATATCTTTTTTTAAATCTACAAATTAATTTATCTTTGAAAAGTGTTAACTAATTCATCACTTATCAAAAACAGCACGAAACAATATTTGACCCGATTCAATAATTGTTTTACTTTCAATTAAACATAATTCATTTCCGCATGTATTATGAATACTAATTGGTTTAGATAATTCTAAATAATGGGAACAGATTTCTAAGATGACAAACAAAAAATAGCTAAAACTTACCAATAGTTTTTAATAAAACCTGGTGAAGAATAGATATAGCTTTTTCACAAGCACACTAAAAGCATCAACGATTAAATAGATATGACTTGCAAAATGATAATTTTTAACTTACAACTAAATTATTTTCTTTATGTAACCATGCAAGAATTAAAGCAGAAAATGAATCTCCTGTGCCAGTAAAAGAACTTTCTAAACGTGGAAAATCGATTCGGAACGTTTGATATTGATCATCTTAAAACTATTGAATAACACAAAGAAATTGACTAAATAATTATTTTTACTCGAAATTTTTGAGCTAGCTCTCATTTGTAATATATTTTCACTTCGGCCTATTTTATCAGCTGATATACTTGAAATAATAATATGAGATGGACCCATACTATGTAAAGTTCGCAATGATTGCCAAATACTATTATCTTCATTTTCAGTATGAGTATCATTAGATTGTTCTCCAATCAATAGTCTAGAGGAAAAATTACTTTTTACCTTGCATAGAAAAACAGAACAATAGATTTACTTGATTTCAAAGTCATTAGGTGTAACGATATCAGCTAATGGAAGAAGTTCATTTTTATATACTTCAATGCACGATCGATCAACATACTATTTAGTTAATATTTAAAAGAAAAGGAAATAGAATCAATAATCTATTGATTATTTACCAATTTATTATTATCACCAATGACTGGATCGCAAACTAAAAGGTCGATAAAAGAATTGATTAAAAGCAAAGATGAGATTATTCTGTTTTCTTTTTGTTTACCGTATTTGACATGAGGGAATTTAGTTTTAATTAGTTTCACATGTTCAGCTACGACATGCAATAATTCGCCAGAGCCCATATAACCTAATTATTGGACGAGATTATTTTCAATTTTTAAATCTAAGAATTACAGACCAGTAAGAATATAATCATATTCTAAAATATCATTAGTTAATAAGCCTTCGAAAATTGATTGCAATTCATCTACACGTAATCGAGTACCTTTTACTGTTTTATAGCCTAATTATTAATGAGAATTATTGGATGAAGAAAAAAAGAAAATTTTGTAACAATATAAATACGAACCAGTATGATTTGAAAAATGGACAGAATTGATCAGATCAACTTCGAAACCGTAAAGCTAAAATATTTATTGCTAAAATTGAAATTAAATTTTTCATTAGAATACAAGAAAAATACCTGCAGAATAAAAGCGGCACATTTATTTCCAACAAATCCGTGAACAACATGGCTTTGAATTGATAAGACTCGTGGTATTTGATTAGATTTAGTAGAAGGCATAGCAAAAATATTGCGTAAAACCTAAAATTTTGCTAGTGTTGCCTGAACTCCAACAAGTGCTCCCTGAGTCATTAAATATATAATATGGATGTTTTGAGAGAACTATAATCAAGAGGTCGCACTCAATCAGACTAAATGTTGTATTACCTAAATAAAAAGATTGATAGTCTTATTTGCATGATGCAAAATCGAGACTAACCGAATGTATCAAAATCAAAATATGCACTTTACTTATTTCTCGGATAACGAAATTCAGAATAGCCACCGACTTTAACATATACTACACATTGTAATTTATCAATTCAATGAAACATAATATTCTTTTCAAGTTTTTATCTACTTGTATAGTAGTCTAATTTAAAAGTCTTGATATTTAGCGTCATTAATTCAAAAGTAATATAATGAAAATATCACTGCCTGTTTCCGCTCTATCAAATTGATTTAGCTCGATTGAGAACGCTCGTAGACTGATTTTTCTATTAGAATATTCCCATTCTGATACGATTTATCATATTTCGATGCAGTTAGATTCAAAAACAAAATTTTGAACATAACGTTTCATATGTTCAATTGCTCCCTGTGGAAATGCTAACTCAAAGTTATGTCATGCGGGAAACGAAACTATATAATCTATAACGTATCGGATGAAAAGCTCGTAACAATTCGTTTTCTTATATTAGCACAGCAATTGATGTGATCATTTATTTCAGTTTAAAAAAAGCACAGCATAAAAGCGTCAATAAAAGACAATTCTCGTGCATTTATATAAAAAAAAAAGACTCTTGCAGAAAAACACAAATGACAAAGAAAATCATACAAAGTATTACTATTGTTCGATTAAGTCTTAATATTATAATTTTATTTCTAACAGTATTCTATTAATGTCTTTAGCGTGCACGCTTGAAGACAACAATTGCCGATAATTGTATTATTAAATTCTAAATAGCAAAAAAGATAATTTTTTTCCTAACTTGAAAACATTATCTAACTTACGCGCATAATCTTTAACTAAAAGTGTGTGTGTATATGGATCGTCATCAACAATCATATGTCGTTTTTCATGTGAAGACGAAGGTAACGATTCTGATACTTGTGCTTTTAATATGAATTGTTTAACTTTATCACATACCATTTCAAGCATTCGAACTAAAGCAGGACCACATAGTTTAATACTAGATGGTTTTCGTGTTGCTGTTGTTGTTGTTGTGGTTGTGGTTGTGGTTGTGATTGTGGTGGCGGTGGTGGTTGTATTTTGTATTGGACTAGTCATATTACTTTCATTTGTTATTATAGTTATATTGTTTCCATTTGTAAATATTATAATCAAAGTTAGAAGAATAATAAACGATGATCGGAACATGTCGATGATCAATGGGATGAATAATATTACTAGTGAAAATTTGAGTCAAGTTCACTTTCACTATTGCTAATCTCATCATCGATAGTAAACATTGAGCTCACACATGGTATTAGAATAATACTCGTTCACTTCCATGAAAATTATAAAATAATCAAACAATTCTCCTTTCTTTTCCTTATTCTTCATTTATCAAACGAAAGTTATATAGAGAGGACATGCACAAGGACAGGATAAACAAACAGATTTTAATGTATGCATAGAGATTAAAAACTAATTAGATTTTTTCTCATTCGCTCATATATATATATAAGAATTCTTTTTGTTCCCCTCTTATTTTTCTTCTTTGCCAAATGAGCTATGCCAATGAATAAGCATCTTTCAATACACTGCTCAATGACAAAGATGTTTCAACTAAAGTATTCTGTGAAAAAAGAATACTTTCTACTGCCGATGTTAATGATTTGCTTTAGATTTTTCTTTGAGACGGGAAAAAAAAACTTTTCATAATTGCCGATGTGGTTATTATTTAGCTGTTGGAAGAATAATGACGCTGATTAAAATACCTGGATAAGGTCACAACTATTTTGATAATAGATGTCTTTTCATAACTGTTAAAAGATGAAAAATAATATTTGATTTTTATGCCAAAAATTAGCGTATTCATTTAATCATGTTATAATAGTCTCATGACCTTCATATGAATGGAAAACGAGTAACACATATCTGTGATTTATAATGAGCAACAATACAAAAGTTACACAAATGTCTCTTTCCATAACCAAATCATGAGATCAACAGTTAATTATAGTTTGAACAACATCAATTGTAAAACAAATTATTAAACCTATAATAATACAATTGAATATTTTTGTGAAGATCTTATTGGCACTTCCGGTGTTTTAAATAATGATTCCGGTAAACGGAAAATATACATAAACGCCTACAATGTTTTCATCGAAAAATAACAAATAAAACACTTCTCTGACGCCAATTAATATTTTTTTTGACATCTCCTCGGATATCGAACTGACCAAAAAAATAAGTATTATTACTATTCGAAGAAAAATGACTTATTTTTCTCTTTTATGCATAATTCTTTATTTTTCTTCAATACAAATCAACTTCAAAAATACGCTTGGAATAGATGCTTACATATACACAACACAATACAGATCAAAAGAAAAGAAAGAAAGCGGACATTTATTTTTTGTCTTTGCAAAAAAAACTGTTTTTTGATATAATAATCATAATAACAAATCATCGAATTTTATACAAAGAACGATTGATGTTTTCAAGTTGTAAGAGATCAAATGTAATAACAATACATAGATAGCTTCCATTCTTATTTTTAAAATACATAGTATTTATTTAATTCAAAATCCAACTGTTACAAAAATGAAAGAAAAAGAAAAGCAATTCTGTGTGCATATGTATAATCAACTTGTACGATTCGTGGAATTACTTGAAGATATTGAATCTAATGTAATATGATGATGATGATTATTATTATTATTATTATTATTATTATTAGTTGTTATAAATGAATTAGTTGAATTTGCTTGTTGTAATAAATCAGCTAATTTATTTCTATCAATCGATGTTGAACCAAGTATTGCTTGTGCTACTTCTGGTAAAATATGTATTGTTATCATGGGTCCTGACGATGAAGCATCATTGGTTGTTCGAGTTAAGGATGCATTACCAAATAAATCTTGTGCATTTGTTAGATTGATAGTAACACGTTTAGTATTATTTGAATCTAACAATGTTGTTGTTGGAATTGTTTTAAAATCTGCTTTTGATATATTAAGAGTATTTGAAGTTGTATTGGTCATTGGTAAATGTGATTTTTTTAAACATGTATGACGATGTAATAGAGTTTCTAGCTGATTTTTACGGTCAGATAATGTTTGTACTGATCGTTGAAGATTTCCTTCTTGTTCAATTAAGATTTGTTCTGTCTATTGAGGAAAAAAAATAGAAAGATATAAAATTGTATTTTTTTAAAATTTTTCGTATGCTACTTTTTCTAATTGCTCACGAAGTTCATTTCGTTTCTTACGACATTTTGCTGCTGCCTGTTTATTTCTATCACGACGTTGTTTACGTTTATAATCTTCATCAGGCGGAAGCTAGAAAATAAAAATCCATTAACACATCGATAAATGATCATAGAAAAATTGTTTATTGATTCTTACAACTACATCTTTACTCTTTCGACCATTGGCCAGTGTTGGCGCTACATGTTTTCTTGGCTTAACCAAAATTGGTCCGTATTGAATAGATTCGTCGGGTTGTTCTTTTTTACTTTTGGATGTTGATGTCGATTTATTTGTTTTTCCTCGTGACGCTTTTATTGTTGAATTAGAATCATTTGATGTTTGATTATAATCATCGGTCGACATTGATGCGTCATCGTCGTTAGTTTCTGAAATATTGTCTTGTTTTCTAGGTCGTAGTTTAGCTTGATTAGCTAATGCTGCTGCTGTGGGAACGCCATGTGATGTCGTATAATCAGCAAGTGATAAAATTGGTAATGATGATGATTGAGTTGATGTATTAATTATATTCTAAATAAAACCAAAAAGCAAAATAGTCTGTGAAAAGCATTTCAAATCTATTTTACTAATTGTTTAACTGTTGTTGTGCCTCGTTGTTGGCCAGTTGCCATTGATACGAGTGTATTAGCTACTTCAGTGGCAGTGTTCTCTGGGTTATTGGTAAGAAATACTGCTTTTGTTGATTCAGATGAATCTTGTGTTTGAACACTTTTTTCAGCTGTTGGCTGTTGTTGATTTGCCATTGCGAATAGAGTTGGTGAAAATGTTTGTATCTTTGATCTCAAGAAATAATAATAATAATAATAAACAATAACATTTCTCAAGATGACGAGGGACAAAGGGTGGGATAATTATTTTTCTCTAGTTTTATTGCTTGTTGTTTTGTTTTGGGAAAGTACCTCATGTTTTCTTTTGATAGGAAAACAGAAGTAAACAAATCGATAAACAATCAAAAGAATTGTAGAAAACTTTATTTTGATTATTTTTCTGTATCGGAAGAACGAGAGAATTTGTCATTCCACGAGGTGCATTTATTAGTCAGCTTATGTACGTTTGTTGAATCAGCGATATGTCACCAGAGCGCAACTCGAATGAAAACGCAATCAAAACTGTCATATTTCTGAGCAAACATGTATACTCTTAACTACATATGCCCATACGCATACTCAGTCATCATGTTAGCAATTGCTTCGTCTTCATGTACGTCTGATTGTTCTCTGACGCCACTGCCGACAAGAAGGCAAGCAAAAAGAGGAAGCCTTTTGAAGGCCGATGACACATTTTTTTTTCTTTTTCTGCTTTTTCTGCACTATCGACGATGATTAACAACATATGCACACGACCAAAAGAGCAACAACATTAGACTGTTGTTGTTGTTGCCATGTTTGCTATATGATTCATGTCGAACAAAAAGAGAAAAAAAACTTCGTCTACATATAAAATCAATTTCAGGCAAAGACAAAATAGTTACCTAGTAAAATAACGCACACAATCAAGATTATTTCTTTTTTTTTGCTGTTTTCCGTCCGCGCAAATGCATGTCTGCACCTTAAGAATGAATCTCGGCCGACATTTTTTCTTTTCTTTTTTTTTACAGCTCAACAATCAAATGATTGATAGGAAGCATATAACATACCTATCTTGCACGACACTAAATATTATATTGTTACGGTCCATATATTTTATTTATCATCTATCACAATCTGAAATCATAATATCATAACATTTATTTTGATAAATAAAAACCAAAACAAAACAGATTCAAGTTTTTTTTAAACAAACAGAAGTTGAACAATTTTCACATGTAGTAGAACAATTTTTATTCTCATATGCTACATCAATTTTTCTTCGCGTTTGTTTCATCGGTCGATTTTCAAGATTATTTGGCGTCCATGGTCCAAGACTATTCTGAGAATAGAAATCCATTGGATAACGATTTTGCCATTCAATCTGGCGAAGAGCTACCATTGCCTAAAAAAGAATCACGCAAAATGTGAAAGAAACGCAGAAAGAGAGAGAAATATGAATCAGCTTCACGAACGATTATTTTGTTGTTTTTTTCCTCTCCGTTTATTATACCTCGTAAGGTGTAAGTATTGGCGTTTGAAAACCAGCACCCCAATCAATAGACAAACGTGGGCATGATGTTTGAATCCAACTGTAAAACAAAAATGATTGTAGAAACTAAATATTAAATCGAATAGTTAACGATGAAAAGAAAACACGTTACACGTCGACATGTTTAAATAATTTTAATTTATCGGGCATCAATTCAGGCATAATGACTTGAATAAATTTTTTTCCATTTGCTTTTAAACGTTGTTTTATTGTCTGAAGAAATTAACGATATTCATAGACATACAATTAAAATATAGAATAAAACTTTACTTCTAGTACTTTTGGTGAACCTTGCCGGCCTAGTGAACCTAAAACTAAACCCCAAACTTGTCCTTTTGCTGCTTCATTAATCTCATTTTGACGTATTGTATGCATTGCTTTTGTATCATAATATTCACGAGTAAATTCTTTTGAATATGGATCATATCTATAGAATAAAAATTGACTACTATTTTTAACGGTATATTTTAACATACTTATATGCTGGTGCATCCGGATTATGAATCATAATTGATTCAATATGAAATCGGCCATCACCAATATATAGAATTGAATAAGATTCTGGAAGTACTGGCGACGTACAGCCAAGAATTTCACCGGGTGATAATGGTTTTGCTTGTGGCATTATAACATCGGCAACATGATCTTTTAGTTGTTCTTTTATAATCTAATTTACATAGAAATAAAAATATTTTATATGTTGAAGGGAAAGGAGAAAAAAGAAATAGTTTACTTGTAATGTTCGTACAAATTGTATTGTACTGACTAGTGCTAATTTACTATCAGATGTAAAATGATGTTTTAATGTATCGATAATATGTTGAACATTAACTTGAATATCAACAAATATATAAAGAATACTAATGCCAGGTGTTTCGTCAATGGGAACTAGAAGTAAATAATCGTATGAGAATAGTTTTTCGAAATCTCACGTGTTTTTCTTTAAATAAATTGTCTATACCATAAGTAGAATTATGATAAAAAATAAAATGCAATCGTATTCAAGAACATTGAGCATAGTTCGACTCAATTGAAGGTCTCACCATCCAACTAAGAATAAAAGTTCGGGCAGATGTGCAAAGATTGATATATATATGAATTTGAAGGCATTGAGAATGTATCTTATAATATTACAAAGAATGAAAACAGAAATTTCAATTTCCATACGAGTTCTTTTTTCAATCTAACTCGATCATCTCTAGTCATCTTTGAGAAAAAGTACAGAAAAATATATTCTGTTGAAACTTCCTAATTGCTGACACAATACATAGACTACATTTAGGTTAAATTTCTATCTGTCAGTCTGTTTATGTCATAAGCAGCTCATATTTTAAATTTGTTAGTTGTCTAGTCAAACTTAGAATTTGACACGAATATTTTTCTTTCGTTCTGACGTTACAAAATACACGCTTGTGTTGTTTGATGTTTATAAAAATTCTTCTCTACAAGAATATACCAATGAAATATTTACATCACTGCACAAACTATTATTTATTTATCAAGAAGAATACGCAGCAAGACTGATAAATTGTTTGTATCAATTTAGCTTGTTCTATTATTGACTACTAAATAGTTCTAAGAACTTCATTTGCCTTGTCAAAAAAAGCACTTCTGGATATATAAAATTCTTTTGACTTTTCCTCGGTTGGTAATAGCTATGAAAAAGAAAAGATGCATCAACATTTTCTCTATGAATCGTTTATTGTCCAAATTTTGTTGTTATGATAGACATTAACACTCACCCACCGAGACAACTATGCCCATAATGGATCAATAAATCGCATTTCAATGCACGAGCACCATAATCGTCAATACAGCATGCACCATATGCCACATCACCCATAATAACAACATCGACATTCGTATAACTTAAGAAGAAGAAAACGATATAAATCTGAAAACAGCCTTTATTCTTCTGTCTTACGCTTTAAGGACATCAGCAATCGTACAAGCAAATACAAACAAACCTTCAGGCATTTGCATTGCGACTAGTAAAAAAGAAAGATAGAATAAAAATATTGAAGAGACATTAAAACTTCTTTTGTTTTTACCTCGCTTAGCTTTAATGGTTTTGATTCTCCATATAGTTTTATGTATTTCAAAATTATAATTTTCCGGTAATTGTTTGATCAATAAATTAAGTTCTTTGTCATTTAGTAATTCATTTGGTATCTGATTGGCATTCAATGGTCGTACTTTACTCATCTACAAAAAATAAAATAAATAATCAAATCCATATTTATATATTTGTAATAAAACACGAAAGAAAAAGTTTTAATTCTGCTTTTTATGTAAACGTAGATATGTTTGATAACAACGTCTAAATTGTCCACATGAACATGACGAACGAAAAACTTCATGTAATGCTAATTCAATGATTAAATATAAACGTAATTGTGTAGAAAGTTGACTTAAACGAAATGAGATCGGTACACAACATGGCTTTTTTGCCTAAACGGAAACAAAAAAACACTTTTATTTGAAAAAATTTAATGAAGTATTTTACTCGATAAACATTGATTTCATAATCATCGACGATTTCTTTCAAAATATCGCATTTTTCATTTTCAGAATCAAATGCTTTTATTGTTGCTCGAATCAATTTCACATGTTCCCTGAATTGAACAGTATGAATGAAAAAAAACCGTTTTTCCTTCTGAACGTTTACGTACTCGGCTTGATAATCGAATGTTTGAAGGAATTTTTCTTTTAATTCTTGAATTTCATTATCACGATCGATTAATTCTTGTTGATTGTCGCTTTTTAATTTTAATATATGAGAATTATACTAAAAACAAGACTATTAATAAAAATGAAAATTTTCTCTTTCGATTGTGATTTACTTGTTCAAGGAATTTTGTTTTATCGTTTTGTTTCAATTTTTCAGCTGCTTTATCCTTGGTTTGATTTAAACGAGTTATTGTCCGTGCAAGTTTTAGTTGTCTCATTTCACGACTATCGCGCTTACGACGTTGAGTTATAATTTCATCTTGTAGTTGTTCTATCTAAATTATTTTCGATATCATCGAATGAAGAAAATGATTGTCTTTATGAACGAAATAAAACTCTTCGGATTTAGCGCAATAAGAGAGTATACAGTTTTTCTATTCGTAACTATGAAAGATTAAAATAAACATAAAATCTGAGCTCAGTGCTTTATTGTAGGATTACGTCTCTGTTTATTTAGCGTTCTGATAATTTACACCGTTGTCAAGTAGTTTTAGACCGAGAGCGAATTCAGAAATATGCATTAGAATTATTACATCCCGACATGAATATGAGAATTAGCATGAAAAGAAGAAGACTTATTGACACTTCAATTTTCATAGATACATAAAGTGAACTGGTTGATGAGTTTCTCATCTGTTTTCGATTTAATTTGTAACTCACCCTATCAGTCAATTCTATTGATGATGTCAATAATTCATCAATCAATTGATCTCGTTCATCACACATTTGTTGTACACTTGTCCTTTGATAATTTGCTTTGTTAAATGCATGACGACCAGCTTGAATTGATTGCTTAAATTAAAGAAATTAATTTGCTTATGATGAATACAAATATAAAACAAAATAAATACGAAAGGGAGGCACAAAAAAAAGACAAGGGAGCAAATAAAGCTATAGTTTTTATGCTCGAACTATACGATGCAGCTAGATAATATAAATACACATACCTCTAACTAGATAATCTATTTTAAATTCAAAGATTTTTATAAAGACAAAAAAAATTAATTTAAGACGAAAAAAAACAAACTCACTGTGAGTGATGCACGAAGACGATCAAATTTTTGTTTAAATAAATTTAATTCGTGTTCACTAGTACTTAAACTTTGAGCGAGAAAAGTTTCTTCTTCGCTCGAATGCCATGTTAGCGTTGATCGTAATTTTAATGGTGGCAACTGTAAAGCAGTACTGTGGGAATTGCGGTGCCGGTGTGATAAGGTTAATGGAGCCACAAGTGAACGATCAAAATAACTCGGAATATTTGATAATGATGATGATTGAAATTGAAATGGTGAACTACTCGAGTCCCATATAAGACTACTAGTATTCGATTCGACCACCATTTAGATAATCTAAAATTAGAAACAAAATAACTTGATTACAATCACTTAATATCACTGTAATACATGTATATTTATATATTTATAAAGATGGAAAAAAGGAGTTTTTTCTAGCATAACAAAAAAAATTAATAACAACATATTGACTACAATCATGCAATGAAAATAGAAAATGAACTATATCTATATTTATTTATTAATATGGTCATATAAGAATCATTCTTCGTTGACTCCTAATGTTGTTGTTATATCATTGTTATCATCAGTACGTAAATCAAATGTTCTAATCAATTGAAATAATGCACCTGCTTCTTTTATATTTCGAAAAGTAATACAAAAACCTTGTACTTCAACAAAATGATCTTTTATATCAATAACTTTATTACGTATTAATGATTGAATAAAAACGCTAACAAGACGTACAAAACGATTTTGTAAATATTTATCTGTTGTTACTTCACATGTTTGTATACAAGTTGATATATATAAATAGAGAAATTCCTTTGGTAATTCAATTGACGTTGATAAACGATTGACAACTTCCATTGAATGTAAACTCATATGCATATTAACTAATGCTTCTAAATATTCTGTCATTTGATTCGACGATATTAATTTTAATAAACAATTTATACTAATCAATGGATTATTTTCTACTAATAGCGGTAATTTAGAGGGTGTAAGACCAATATGATAAATAAGATCTGGATCATTATTCAGTTCATCTACAAGTTTTTGTTGTTCTTGTAAATTTATTGCACTTTGATAAGCTTTATCCATCAATTGACGAATTGCAAAATTAGTTGAATGAGATACACACATAGATGAGTCCCATGCTAATAATGATGTATCATGATCGATATTTACTATTGGTGAAAGCCAAATAAGTTCATCTACTGTACATTCATGTAATGGTGGAACAAGACGAAGATATTCAGGATGTATTGTTTGTTCCATTACATTATTTAATAATAATTGTTCTATGGTTTGCCGACTATTAGCCGATCGATTACGTGAACCACCAATGAGCGTATCGAATCCATACTTGAAAATAAAAATCAATACAAAAAAGGTTTCTCCAGGTTTTATATGATGTCAATAGTCACTTTAATTTTCTATTATCTCTCTTATTACAAGATTGAATATTTAGTAGTGAGGTTTTCTTTTTCATTCAATCTTTTCTATTTATAATTTTCTTATGAACTATGCGAACTCGAAAAAAAATCAAAGGCTATTCTATTCCTACTTACGAGCAACGTGTTTAATGCAAATCATTATTTATACTAATAGTAAAGCGTACGTATACATGTTCTGTTCTTAAACAGAATGTGTGAAAAAAAATGTACAATGACGAGCCCTTATAAAGAATGCATTTAAAAAACGAGACAAAAAAATTAATCTTTTCTACGTTTAACCAAAACACTTATCGATGATCGAGAAAGCAATGAGAAGCAAAAAGACTTAGTTTTGTTCTTTTCTTTCTAATTGCATTAAAAGAGCAATTGAAAAATCGAACGAAAACAACTGTTTTCTAAAAAAAAGCAGATAGAACAAGTTAAACTTAAAATTTTTTCATATTCGAAAGAGGAATTTAGTGTGTACGTAAGAAATTTCTTCTATGGATTTTATTTCTGCTTAATTGACAAACGGCTATCGGAAACATTGTTTTGGAAGACTTTTATATTCAATATTAGATTGAATAATGATATATGGTCGAAGTATCAAGAGAATATGATTGCCTTTAAGATTTTTTTAGACATGAAGAAAATACAAAAATTTGCTTATTTTATCAGTACATAAGGAAATGGGAAAATATTCAGCAAATGATTCAGTTTACTACATATTAGATAGAGAAAAACATAGGCTATCAAAGTCACTGTTTGCGTTTGAACTAGGTTCCTCAAATTATGCAAAAGAAAAAGATTATGTTAATCATAAATCAAACGTTTTAACTGGTAGACAACGAGCTCAAGTTTATTCAAAATGTTATATTTTGCTAGACAGAAATCATAATCATGTTTCTCTCTTATTCATATCTAAGTCTTGCCATGTAGTTCGACGTTTTCGATTCGAATATACTCGCCAAAGTAGAGATGATACTTTTAAAAATCTTGTGTAATTTTTATTTTACATATAATATCTCATTGAAGTTAAACTTCTAAATAAATCTTATTTCTTTCTTAACACGAATAAAACACTTTGCTCTATTCTATGATTAGAGCAAGTTTTCAAAATATTGACATACATTATTAATTTCTGGATCATCAATCACTGCTGGTAGATGGCATTGAACAAGAGCTGAGAATTCTTTTGTTCTTTCATAAATATTTTCTTTTAATTGTTGTTGTAATTCTTTTTGCTTACTATCATCATTCGATAACAAATCCGATTGTAAAATTTCATTGGGTGTTTTATTTAATAAATCTCTATTATTATTATTAGTAACTAATGAACAGAGAAATGACCGTTCATGTTTTGTTACTGGTGAGATAACCCAACGAAAATATTTTTGTGTAGTTGTTGAATTTTCTTCATTTGATTGTAATACAGATAAAAATACTGGTGCAAAGGGATTCATATATATTGATTGTTGTTCATTTTTGTACATTTCAATAAATAAATAAAATATAATTAAGCGTTGTTGTGCTGTTGGAGCTAAATCTCGATTTTGTAATAATAATACGAGAGCATTTCCTAAACGAAGATAATCTGATTTTATTATTCCATGTTGAAATTTAATTGATATCTGTTCGAATGTTAATGATGAACCACATGTTTCTTCATTAAGTAGATTTAAAATAAGATTTATATCTTTAGGCGATAAAGACATTTTATTTATTAACATAAAAAAAATCGTATGTAACAAATAACATGCACGTTATAGACAGACAGCGATATCCAATTATGAGTCGAATGGTGAACGGAAATAACCAATGACAAAACAGAGATGTCGTTAAATCAATCTATTCTATTTATTTTTGTTTTAGTTTCTTTACAAATTGAGAAATTCTGAAGAGGAAAATAAATTTACTGCATCATACGTGTATATACTTCTTATTATGGTACGACGAAGAAGTTTCACCTCTGTACACATTGTCTATACGAATGGCAGATATCATATGATCAAGCATTATGCTTAGGACATTAGAGCTCTTTAGTTTAGGCAATTCATGTGCTAAACAAAGGACAATGCTGTCAATGTTCTTCCTCTATCTGTTTCAGAAGGTCAATATACAGAAAAATATACGTATAAATATTCACGATATACCTCACTTATTAAGGTCATCATTCTGATGATTCATATTCATGGTCATTCATTATTATGTATTCTATATGTATGATTCTTCATTTTAGATTTTTGTTTACATTTATTTTTCTTCTCGAACAACCGATATATTTATACCTTGAAATACCAAGGAAAACCTATTCCTCATGGATGAAGATGATCAATTTTTTATAGGTACCATTCGTTAAAAACAATGATTCAAAAATTAAAAATATTTATTTATTTATTTATTTATTTCTACGTAGATGACAATAGTGAAGACGCGGAAGAAGAAGGATCTGACGATGATACTGGCTTTTTCCCTATCGATGAATCCATTGTACATTCAACCAATGTAACAACAACACGAACAGCGCCAGAACAGTTACCAGCGAAATTCTCCTCCGGTATTAGTGGAGCATCGAATAATTATCCACTAGATAATAATTTCGAATATGTTGGTAAGATTATTTACAATGTAAATTCAATTGCTTTTAAAACACTAGATTTGATCGATTAATTCTGCTAGAATTCTTGGTGGATAATTGCATGAAATGTTTTTCTAATCAATCATTATAATTTCTCGAAAATATATTTTTCTGTTTATTTTGTTTTAGTTCTATCACAAGATGAAATAGTCAAATATATGGTTGAATGTATAAAAGAAGTGAATGAAGTTATCAAACTACCAACAACAACTGTACGCTTATTATTACATCACTTTCGATGGGATAAAGAAAAATTAATGGAACGTTTTTATGATCCGAATCATCAAGATGAACTATTCCGTCAAGCACATATTGTTAATCCATTTAAAAAAGCTCCTCAACTACAAACACAATTATCGAATTCATCACATCGTTCAGCACGTCGGCAAACTTCAGTGACGTCACCTTCACATTCAATAACAACAGTAAATCCACTCAGACCTTCAACGGAACAAACATGTGCTATATGTTGTTCAACAAAATCGGCAAATGAGATGGCTGGTTTAGAATGTGGTCACATTTTCTGTACTGATTGTTGGCGACATTATTTAACAACAAAAATAATTGACGAAGGCATCGGACAAACAATACCATGTCCAGCTAAATGTGATATTCTAGTGGATGATAGAACCGTTTTGGGTCTCATCGAAATACCAGCAGTTCGTCGAAAATATCAACATCTAATAACCAACTCTTTTGTTGAATGCAATCGTAATATGCGTTGGTGTCCAGGCAATAATTGTACTAATGCAATTAAAGCATCGTATTGTGATGTTGCTATGGTAACATGTACAACTTGTAAGACATCATTTTGTTTTCAATGTGGTCAATCGTGGCACGAACCAATCAAATGTAAATGGCTTAAAAGATGGCAAAAGAAATGTCATGACGATAGTGAAACAAGCAACTGGATTTCTGCGAATACAAAAGAATGTCCCAAGTGTCATGCGACCATTGGTAAGCATAAACATGATTGAAAACGGGATCTCTGATTGATTAGTTTGCCTTCAAAAAAAATTTCTTTTTCAATTTTACTAATGATAAGAGAAAATTTAAAACATTGAACTTTAGAATTCCTTTGTCATAGTAATGTAATTGCTGTGAAGAAAGCGGAAAATTGAATTTCCTTTCTTTTATGTCTTCACTTATAGAGAAGTTGCAAAGGGAAATATTAGAAAGGGAATTAGTTAATTCTCAAGTCAACGGCACCTGCGCATTTAATTGATTCATCATTTAACATAGTTTTTAAATTATTATTAGTACTACTAAAGTAACTCATGAATAGAAACCATATAGTAGTCAATTGTATGATGAGATATGTAAAAAAAAAGAACATCGTAGAATATATCAGACAATATGATCCTATTACTAGATGTGACAGTGTTTCAAAATTTGTTTATGGATATTATTACATAGCAATAAAAAAATCGATATCTATAAAGATTTTCTAATTTAGAAAAAAATGGTGGCTGCAATCATTTAATATGTAAAAATCAATCTTGCAAATATGAATTTTGTTGGATATGCTTGGGACCATGGGAGCCTCATGGTTCATCATGGTATAATTGCAATCGTTTTAATGAAGATGATGCTAAAAAAGCTCGCGATGATCAAGAACGTTCTCGTGCTGCACTACAACGTTATCTTCATTATTATAAACGTTATCACAATCATCATGAATCATTAAGATTAGAGAGTAAATTATTAGATCAAGTCCAGAAACGTATGGAATCGATGCAGCAACAAATGAGCTGGATTGAAGTACAATTTCTACAGGTAGCATGTGATGTACTTCGACAATGTCGTCAAACATTAATGTATACTTATCCATTTGCTTTTTATCTCAAACGAAATAATCATTCGTAAGTTATAAAAATGTCTCGTATCAATTTACTGTTAACTTTTCAGATGTATGTTAACTCGCGTACAAAGTCTAAACGGTTCCCTTAATAGGAAAATTGCTTGCAGCAAAGATTAATGCGCAGTTTATATTTTCACCGTCTACTCAAATCTCAGACTGTTTGGACGCATAATTTTACGAGTACCTAATAATTGGAAATAAAATCTTGTTGTGATTATTCAGAATAGCTGATTTCATTCCATACAAAACAACATGGCTTGAGGTTCTCTACGAAACCTTTTTTGAATGAGTACCACTGGCTGACAGAAAATCATCGAATTTGTTTGTACAATGTATCCTTAGGAACTGAAAAATAAAATGGCTACGCGGGTTTTTTTCACCGAAAAAAATCGCAATCGAACGGATGTGAGCGTTTTTTTTTCTACCAGGTCATCGAGATATTGTAAATTTGTTTCTACACTATCGGTGTGAAAACATTTGTGGTAGCAGTAAATATATTTTAAGTCTTGTGACTTATTTTAGTCTCGGTAACATAGAGAAATTCGTTGAATACCATGCTCTGTATACTTTTTCTTACGTGCTACTTTATTTCGTGCAAGTCTATGGCGCACACATTGATTAGAAAAGTGATAGTAGCTTGAGATTCATTCGATACGATTTCTTAATGTTGAGAAGCACTGTTTATAGTAAGAGGAGAGACTCTTTTCTAAAAAAATTCTATAAATTAGTTTATGTAAAACTTGATCTGTACTCGTTTTTATTTCCTGAAATCTATTCATACATAGTAGAAAGCCTTTCTATTAGAATGTAGAGATACAGTGCAACACTATTTGCTTGAAATTAAATTCGGATACTTTCTCAACCGCCTTCACTAGATAATAAATAATCAGAATAGTACTACAGCAAAAACAGATCAGCTGCTTATGAAGGAGATTTACGCAATGAGTAAAACGTAGAAATCGATTGATAGTTCTTATAACTTCATAGACGATTCACTACGAAGAAGTTCTTTTCTAAAGCAAATTTGCCTTTCTCTCTAATAATCTCCTTTCACTACAACCTATGTACAGATGAAGAAAATGTATATTTTATTTTTTTAGAATTATTTTTGAACAAAATCAAGCTGATTTGGAACACGCAACTGAAGAACTCAGTGGCTACTTGGAACGAGACTCAACTCAAACAACAAATCTTACTGAAATGAAACAAAAAGTACAAGACAAATATCGTTATTGTAGTACACGTCGTAAAGTATTATTAGATCATGTAACTGAAGGATATGAAAGTGACTATTGGTGAGTTTTGAAAATGGTCTCATTTTAATAATTTTCATTTTCTTCTGCTATTTTGTTATTCTAGGGAATATAATGAAGATGTATGAATATATATATATATATACACATGAATCATTACTTAGCGCACAACATGTATATGCCAATAGTAGATATTCATTTCAATTGTGTGTTTATATCTATGTCATTTATTATTAACCTTGTCGTCCTGATTCGGAAATGTAGATGAAATTTTTCGTATAGTTGTCATTCTATATTGGCTCTCTCGCTTTTCCTTCTTTCACATAAACTTTTTCTTTTTCGTTCAATTTTTTCAAGGAGAAAACAACATATTAAACAAGAGCAAACGGTTTCTTCTCGTTTCCTTTTTTCTTTTTTAATGATATATTGTGAATTTTTTTTGTCATACGACAATTATATATATATATATAAATAAAGCTCGAACTAATCTCTTTTTTCTTTTCTTTCTTAATTATAAATTAATTTCAGTTAGATGGTCAATTTTGATTGGTTTATCAGAATGGATATATTATCAAGTGGTAAATTTCAATCCAATCTTTATGAAGAGAAAGAAAATTATACTTTTCTCAACAATATNCGGAGAGGGGGGGGGGCACAGGGGAGCCGCAAAAACCTAACAATTAAACTTACACTCACAATTTTCTTCGAAAATATATGTGAGTTCCACAAAAGCGGCAGCTATGCAGAGTCTTAATGCCACATAAACTCTCCTATATGTAAAATCTATGATTTTTATATGTACAATTTAAATGTTGAATCTCTGAACGCTAGAAGTAGATTGATTTGAATGTTCGACGATTGGTAAAGCTATTGAAATGAATAACAACAATCCTATCAGTTGTACATTGTTGTTGTAAAAACAATTTTTTTTTGCTTATGAAGAATACCCTGTTCTATACAGTTTGTCTAACGTTTTTTCAGTACCAAAATTCGACCATTCATGATATATAATTGTTTCTTTTTTCTAAATGTCATATATTAATGATTCCAAAGAAAAGAAAAGTTGAAATTTGTCTCTTCAGGAAAAGATTATCATTTCCTATTGTATCTAGTGTACGACTTTAAACTCTCGGGATTCATTTAAAATATGTCTTTTGTCTATGTTCGCAAATCCATATAACTCAAATAGATCAAGATAAAAATTGAATAAGACAACTCTGTATATGTTTTTTTCCAACATGAGATCAGACTTTCAAGAAAAGTTAAGACGGTCTTCATCTGTCTTTGAATAGGGTGTGGATGTGGGGTGTGCTTTCGACTGAATGCTGTTGGGTTTATTCCAGAAACAGTGGAAGACTGATGGACCGTTGAAAACTAATTGGCGATGATAAACAAGAAGGGCGGCAACATGATGGCGATTTTCGTATTCAACGAATCGGAACATCGCATAAGTTGTTACCATAACAAACTGGTAAGTAAAATATTTACATTTGATTGGATTTGAAGAGTAAATATGCACTTTGTATTTATATAAAGATGTCAAGCAGATGAATTCAAATGTAACGTCAAAGAACAGAATTCGGTCATCAGCATGATCCATTCGTTGATTATTATTTTTTTTGATTGGTTCCGATTTTCAATCGTGTATGATCGATAGATGTAACAATTACAAACAATTGAAAATGCCTATTGTCATGAAGAATTATCGACCAGAAGAAATCAAAGTTTCATTGAAAAGCTATGATTTAGTTGTTCAAGATGAACACCATATTAAAAATAAAAATCGTTCAGAACAATCATCCTTCTTCAAATCAACAACGCTACAACCCAGTATGCAAGCTGATCAATGAAAATATCAATTGCAAATTGAAGTAACATTTATTGAACAAGAAGAGAATGCAAAACCAATAGAAAATCAGAAGAAATAAAAGTCAACACAACTAATTTTAGTGTGGAGAGAGACAATACAATTTTATTTTATTCAGTATTGTATAAGATATTTGCTGCTTTCTTATCGTCAGTTATTTTTAAATAAATAGAAAAACAAACAATACCATAGCTTGATTCTTGTAATGTGGAGAAGTTCGATATGATCTATGACAGAAGAATATTTTATGCTACAATAGCACGACTAGTCATTGTTTCAGAAGATAGAGAGTGCAAGATGGAAAATCCTTTTCAATAGGTCTAATAAAGAATCCGGTTTTTACGGCCTGTTTTTATTTTTTCAGTTTCCGATAGTAAATTGTCATCAAATTGATTAGGAGGACAATCACAAGATCTTAGAAATATTAAATCACTCTTATTGTGGCTATTGGTATCAATGAAATATTTGCTCTAGTTTTTGCATGTAGACCAGGGTTGCCACCTCTTCCGTTTTTTTATGGAAAGTTTCCGCTGTTCCGCTTTTTTGTATAAAACGTGTTGCATATCAAACATATGTACAGAATAATATTTGATATTATTGAATCAATTTTTATTGTTTACAAATACCGTGAGCCATCATTCTTTTACGTTTGAAACTTTGATGAAATAAAAAGAAATCCAATGAATATGAAAAAATGCCTAATATTCTCCGAAGCATTACAAATCTGCAACAATATAAGCTTCCGCTTTTGTCTATTTTTGTTTCCGCTTTTTAAGATCAGTTTTCTGTTTTTTAGACTTCACCAGGTGGCAATCGTGATGTAGACTGTGTTTTATTTCAAGAGGAATCGTAATAGATTCTCGGAGTTATTTTTAGATGAATAATTTTATTGGAAATTAGACTTCGTCCTATGAAATACATTCTAACATTCCCATTGTCGATTTCATAAGTCACATTTAAGTTTTTCTTGATTTCTTCTATATCGTCGTAGTTTTGATATCAAAGTTCAATTTCTCTTTCTCAAGTATTTTACGAAAATAAGTAGAATCAACGACAAAGTAAATTCAGCATAATATGCTTTAAAAATAATTGCGATATTACATATATTCATATTTAACTTTATTTACCTATTTCTTAGGTTTTTTATTCTATGTTTATGAGAATGAGTTGAGAAGTAATAAAAAAACGAAATGAATAATCTAACATCCTTTTTTCTTGTCTCAAGATTTTTCCATGACAGAAAAAAAGTGAAACAGAGAATACTAACAAATAACATTTGATTAAAATCTTTTCTTTTAATCTTGTCGACCTTTCAATTCCCGTACAGTAACCTTGTTTCTTTCAACAACATAAACAAGTACACCCCAACCACTAGCTGAATCGCGATCAACACCATTGAGTAAAGATTGGGATGTTGCTTCAAATAATTCATCTGCATTCATATTTGGTTTAAAAAAAAGTTCGCCTAGGAAAACAATAATAAATAATAAAAATAGTTTATTTTAGAATTCATTGCATACCAAGACCAAATATATAGTCACTAGCCGTACCAACTGTAGCTAAATTAACATTATCACTTATTGCGCCAATATTATCTGAATCATAGACAAATGTTTCTCCAGTTTTTGGGTCAAGACCAATAACAAGTGAAAAAACAAAATAGGGTCCAAAACGACGTTCATATAAAAGATTTGTTAACATATTATATAAGACAATGGGTTTTATTTTTCTTTGTTCACGTAGTTCATATAAGTTTACACGAAATCTCAAACGTTCAGAGACTGTTTGAACCTATTATAATCAAAAAAATTCAATTGATCTTTTCATTAATTTACTGATTATGTTTGTTGGATAGAAAGAATACTGTCGCTTATGAGATGCTTGAATCGAAAGTGTCTAAATTTTATCCCTGTTTTTTGTGTACTCAAAAAGTGAGTACACTCTAGAATCGGCCAGTGTGTCCGTCCGGCCGTAGGCACGATAACTTTCGAAAGGAGAGTCAGACCGTGATGAAATTTCCCACACAGNAATCAAATTGCCTAGTTTCTCATGATAATTTTGGTGTTCGGACATTCTAGAATGACTCATATGTCCCATGCACTTTTTGCAGTACACATAACTTTCGGATGAAATCCGAAGTTTCCACATTTATTTTTCTTCTAAGCTCAAATGTTTCATTGTGTTAAGAATTCGATCAAAGTGTATCTCCTACAACTCGATTATTTTTTGACAGTTTTATGCCGATTGCATGTTACTGGACTCCCAATGTGTTCTAAGAATGCGATCAACTCAAAACAACAAGTAAACTCACATCTGTTGCTAAGCCACAGAATGAAACAAAACAATAATCGCCATATTGAAATATTTTCGTAAAATTAGTTGCTATTGTTCGATTTTGCACACCATATCGTTTATCGCATGCTATGGCAACACATTCTTTGCCTTTCATGGCCAAAGCAACACCACCATTATATGACATCATATCATCGCCCATGTTTCTATAAATATCGTATTCAATCTACAATTAATATCATTTTTATTTATTAGATAGACAGAAATAGAGAGTTGAAATAAAAGAATAATTGCACTGTTCAAGGAAATAAAAAATTAAATAAAAAAAAAGAGTAAATTTGAATAGTTTAGAAGAGTGGAATATAATTATCAATTCTAAATAGAAAAATTTAATTGGTATTGAGAATCCAAAAAAAAACAGATAATATTCAAATTACCGTGCACGATGTTTTTGTGAAATACATTCAGCAATCCATATTATATTACGAATTTCTTGTTCTTTTAATTTTAAATATGAAAAAAATATACCAAAATGAAACTGACGAAGAAATGCATTCATATTTAATTTAACCTAATTAGACAAAAAAAATCTATTGTAGAAACAAATTGTTTAACTTGAACTTTTACTTCATGTTCAAAAAATTTGTCTTCAATCGTTTTATCACCTAAATTTGTTCCGGATCCGTCAAATAAAGATTTATACACCTGAAAATATGTAACATAGAATAAACTAAGTGAAAAATAGATCTACAAACTGGATAACGAGCAGCAACATCTCGAACACCTTCATAACTATCAGTACGTCGTAGTTCTTGTAAACCATCTGGATTTAAGTAACCACATGTTGGATACAATTTGAATCGTTCATCTTGTGTGAGCGCTGTACCAAATGCATTGATGGTTATCATAAATGCTCGACGATCAGCTTCAAACTAAATAAATCAATCATATTAGTTTATTATTTATATTCTTGGTAACATACAGCAAGAATATCACACATAACTTCAGCTGTTATGCCACCAATTTCTTTACAATAATTATAAAAATCTTCGATGTATGCCTAAATAAAATATTTTCATTGCAAGAAAAAAACTAAAACACTATTTGTTGTTTTATACTTTATAAAGCGTACTACGAATGATTTCGACGTTTAATTCGTCGAGATCATGTTCAGAAATACAATCTTTAAAGTAAGGTCCTAAAAAACCACCGAAAAAACAAAGTTCATTAATCAAAATTAAAATGATGATTTACCCAATGGTGTATCAACGAGAACAGCTGTATAAAGTTGAGCTGGTGTATCAGCAATTGTAATACCTCCAAGTTGTTCAAAAGTTCCCAATGGATGACATCGAGGCAAAAGATCATTGATGGCACGTTGATTAAGAGTGCCGGTAATTAATAACACAATATTATCAATCATATAACCATATCTAATAGAGAGATATAATTCGATGGAATATAAACACGAAATTTAAAACAACAATAGCATGTTTGATCATGAAATCTTTTCAGCATTTAGCACATGCACTTATTTCTAGATTAGATGTATCTCGTATGAATATTGCTATGTGCACTTTATTGAAGTCATCGCGTGTATATTTTAAAAACTTACGTTATATAATCCATAAATGTTGATAATGGTTGATAAGATACATTGCGTAGATGTAGAAATTCTTGAACAAGTTTTTCACGTAAACGATCATCAATAATGTTAACAGTTAATGGAGTTGCTTCATTAGCCAAAAAATTTCCATAATCAGTCGATTGAAGATGAAGCCTTAAATCTTAAAGAAACAGAAAACAAAAGTAAATTATTTAATTTTTCTCTTGAATTCACCTTCAAGTGTTTCACATTGAACTAAATTATGGTAATCGGCTGCTTTTAAAATTCCACTTTTAAATCCTCGACATAAGCCTTCAGCATAGCCATGATCCATATTAAAGAAAAGGTCGTCTTTCATTATAGAATTGAAATTTTCTAAACTATCTGAAAATTAAATAAATCAAAGTTCACTAATTTGATCGCCTTAATAAGAAACAAATATATACAGATACATTCAAATTGATGCGTATGATAATAATATATGAATAATAAATAGGAAAAAAATCATTTGTATGTAACAATAAGAAAAACAGAGAGAAAATGAAAAAAGAGATTAAGCTCTATTTTACAATAACCGGCACATGCAAAATTTATAAGCTGAATATAAAAAGGAAGGAATGTTTGTTCAATCAATCACATTTTACAGATAAAGAATTGTATTAAGGTGAAGTATGTGCTGTTTCGGTAAAAAAATTGAGTAGATGTTCTACAGTAAATTCAAGTTTTATATTCGAATTCGGGTAACAAATTTCAATTAACGTTGTCATTCGCTGATGTTCTTCAACTACAAGAGTTTGAATATCATGCCATATTGCCTAGATAAAAATAATAAGATTTTTTATTTTCGAATTGATACCCAGTAATGTTCGCATTTCTTTTTGATGAATTTTATGTACAGAATTTTTGTCACGGTCGTAAACAGAAACAAGCGACTCTCAGAGTAACTACTCGACATTGCCGTTGGCACGAATTCTGTAAAACTGATGTGTCCCATTCGAAAAGTATCGTAGAACATTTCATAATGGCACAACATTAGTGACCCAAACATATCTGTTCGTTTTACAATATTTCAAGAACTGAAAAGCTGAATTCCTGAGAGATTCTATTCTCATCTATAAAGACTTGTTTCGTGGCGATATTGAATTTTAAAGAAACTTGTCCGAACAATATTGAGATTGACTCTGTACTTACTTGCAGAAGTGATGAATTTTCTGATAAATGTTTTTCAATTTTTTTAGATAGATTTTCTAATCCACGTTTAACCTATTTTTAGAAAAAAAAAGTAAGGAAATATTTTTGATGTAAGAAAAAGAATAATATGTATCTTATACCTCTTTTGGTGGATGATCACGAATGAGACGACGTAGTTCAATGATACTACAGTCACTTTGAAATTGCACATCTTCATCTTTAGCTAAACGTTTACGAATTTCGTCGACACGTTCAAAAAAGTTCTATTGAAAAATAGATAATATATTAGAAGCTTTAATTTTCGGCTTACATGTAATCGTTCGAACGGAACTCGGCAATATTCACGTTCATAATCAGCTTTTGCAGCATTGTAACATTTTCTTGCTTCTTGTTTTTCAGTGTCCAATGCAGATAATTTCCTTAGACCCATTATATCTATTGAAGAGATATTATTTACATAAGATATAAGCGTGCTTTATTTTACTTACGTTGCATTTGATGATAATTTTCTACGTAGAAAAGAAAAAGAAAGAAAAACAACTAAGTTTTTTTATTAAATGTAAAAACGTATCTTTTCTGTTTAGGAGAATTTTCTAACAGTGCCTATTAAACCTTGCAAATAAAGAGATTTTAAATAAATTCGCCCTGAAGTTTGACAACAATTAAATAGTCTCTATAGGAAAATCAATGCACAAATATAGACATATTTATTAGTTTAGAAAAAACTAATTTAGTGAATCTATTGTTGTAATACAATTAAGTATTGTGATGTTCTGAATAATTTTGATCAATATATTCTTTTAAAACGTACATTGAACATTCACTTCATTAATAAAGATGGCTTTAGCATATTAAATAAATTACGATCCCTATTTTCTAGCCAGACTTCGATTTATATTAAAAGAAAAGAATTAATATTCATCTTCAACTTATATGATTTTCAACGAGCCAAGACTCATTCCTATCTATTCTATATACTTCATGATCTACTATTAATCGTACGAGCTGATATTGAATATATTCCACGTCTCAATTTAGAATTTCTTTTTTTATTTGACGTCTCACTATCATGTAAATCAAATTTCTTACCTAATCGAACCATTGAATCAGGCGTTTTTGCATCATGAACCATTACAGAGGCACATTCTTCAATACCTTGAAAAATAGCTGTAACTAAATTTTTATAAACTCTATGTAAATCCACTGCTCTTGCTGATTTATCAAAAATAACTTCTGCTTCTTCGCTAAATTCCTAAATAAATAAAAAACAGATACAAACACTAATTGAGCAAAACCTTCATTGTACTAACTGAAAAATAATTCACATATGGTAAAATGCCAACGCGACGATTTTTAACTGGCCGATATTCGCGTATGCGTTTACAAGTCTCGCTCTAAATTTAATTTTAATTTGAAACTTACACAAAACATAATATTAAACTTACAATATAACTATCAACATCTCGCTTAAGTAATATCAAGTTACTTGCGAATAATTTATTGAGAAACGCTCCAAAGTTTTGAACAACCATTGTAGTTTCACTCAAACGAACAAATAGATAAAGAATCGTACTTGAAAACAAAAACAAGAATGCATGAATCTTTTGAAAAGAAGTCCTATCAAATAATAAAACATACAATGGATCATAGTTTTTTATATGTGTAATTAATCCTCTTATTTCTTCGTCAAGCGAATTAAACAAATCCGATAGCATTTCTCTAGAAATAAATGATAAAAAGAATTCAAATTTCAAAAATATATTTACCTTAAGCCTGATGAACTAAAATTTTCAATGCTTTCTGTTGATTCAGGTACATTCTAAATAGAAGGAAAAAATACTTCTCAGTACATCCTGTTCGGAGCCAATCTCTGGAGCGCACATATGTTACTTTTTGCTGCCAGCATTTCTTTATTTTATTTTTTGAAATTATTATTCTAACTATCCGAATAAATATTTTTTGCACATATTGATTCTACTGGCAGCCAGTGTTAAAGAATTTTCAGAAATCTCAATAAGCTCATAAGTACAGCTATCGATTTATAAGTTGATCATCACATATGTTTTATGTTTCTTCGTTCTTCTCGCTTATGACTTCTGTGAGTTGCAGAATGTAACTTACTTCGCCTGAAATAGTTTCTTCTTCCAGAAAATTAAAAAAATTCACACAAAATAATTGTTCTTCACGTACAGCTGGTGCGATTTGTCCAAGAACACGCTCAAAAATCTGTTCGTTAGAAGAAGAATAAGAAAACAAATCACAGAGTCGAATCAAATTACTTTATCACATCGTGTACGAAAATCTTTTGTCGAAATTTTCAATGAAAATGATTCAGAATCTGTTAGACCACCAACGAAAGAAGTTTGCATATGCTGTTTATCTTTACGTATTGTATTTAATGTTGAAACAGATCCAACTAAATACAAATATATATATATTCTATATTTCAATAGGAATATTTTCTTGCCAGCTCGTTTTTCCGGCATCGTTGTAGCACCACGTGTAACCCCTATTTTTGCTGATTCGAAAAATGCATGCATTTCTTTAGCATAAATTGGTCGAATTTGTGAAGTATAAGCCTTGAAAAAAAATAACAGAATAAAGCTAAAAATACATAATTTTGCGCTTCATAATCACTTGGCAAACTTCTTTAAAATGATTCGAAGATGATACTTTCAACCATTGACACAAAGGACTAAATGGTAAAAGTGGCCTTGTTATTTTTTCAACATGATGTGGTAATTCATTAGCGCCAATTTCACAGCGATCGCCGTAATCTTGCGACTAAACGAAAACATACAATGAGTTAATTGATGAAAAATAAATAACATTGGATTTACTACGCACGAACAAAATTGTGAAGTTTTATATTACATTTGAAAACAAAAGCAGAGAAAATATTCTAGCAAAGTTATATTCAATATTCTTAAGAATATCTATGACAAAGTGTTTTGATAAGAATACGAAAAAGAAGTGTTTAAATAATTACTCTGACAGATAATCAACACCGTATGATACAACGCAGCTACCCTTGCTATGCAGAAATTCATAATCCTCACAAGTCAATAAAAAATTTCATTTCTATTGTTAACTTACATATTTTATTATTGTTTCTTTTATCTTTTCATACTTCTTATCTGTAATGTTTGTCTATTTGACAACAATTTCTTCAGGTAATAATGAAATCAGTTTATCTACAATGCAGCTAAAAGGCTAATCATCTTTGCTATTTAATCTTCTGCGTCAGTCCTTATTTGCTAGTCATACTGGAACAAACAAACAAAACTTCAATTACACCAATTGAATGGTTTTTACGTTCCAGATAAATGAAACTACGCTATTTTACTGTCTAATTAAAATTTTTCGAATAAAAGGAATGCGAATTAATTAGTTTAGTAAGAATATTTTTAATCCTTAGTTCATTCTATAAAATATCATATCCATCTAGGATTATCATCGTTCATGATATAACGTACTACTATTCGTTTTAATATTGCACTCATATCATAGATAACAATGAACTTTAATCACTGACGAAAAATGCTTTTTCCATTGTTTCAAATTTAAAAGCGTTATAATTCTATTGAAAATTTTTATGATAATTTAAGCGTATTGTGAATTACTTAGAGTTGAAAAATTCAACGAAATCACGTTTGGTCTACAACAGGGGACTCACGATTTCATAGCACATTGCTTACTGAAAAATCTTGACTATGTGTCACGCAAAATAATAAACATAAACTATTTTAACTTTCACAAGGTGAACACATAGAGCACGTGTTTCATAATTTTACTTGAAATCTACTTACATGAAAAACAAATTTGCTACTAAGAAAGTTTTTACATCGTAATGAAAATGCTCTTTGAGTTTGTTCAAGTAAATCTCGTCTTTGCCGTATTGCAGCCATTTTTTCCATTCCTATAGAAATATAAAAATAAGATAATTTTCAATTTTAGTTAAACATCTAAACCTGGTTGTAATTGCACAGATAATGCTTGAGTTAACAAAGTTGCTGCTTGAATACACATTGTTCGATCATTATCATTTGTTAAATCGCTATTTTGTAATAATTGAATATAATCATCGGAGAAATCTTGCATTTCCTTTATTTTTTGATAAAGAAAAGAATTATTCGCAAAATAAATAAACATAAATTTTCTTACAAGTAAATTATCAAGTGCTTCAGTCAATTTTTGAACATTGGCTGTTTCGATTTGGATCAGTGAGTCTTTTCTACTCATTATCTTAACTGCATCAGCTACTGTCTGAAAAATTTACAAAACAAAAAAGGAGGCCATCAATTCAGTGCTTTCTAAAAAAAATTCATCCAACGTACACTTAATTTTTTCTCATAGAGACCTAAACGATTATCAATTTTTGATATTTCTTCAACGGCTTTATCTAACATATTCATTAATTGAACAGCCCCTTTTTCTGATGCCATTACTGTTTCAACATTTGCCTAATAATGAAAGTATTAAGATTAAAAAAAAAAGAAGAAATTTAATTCATGATTGTTTTTACTTACCACGTCAAGATCAGTTAAACGCTGTTGAAGCATATCAACAAATCGTTCAGCATCTTTAATTGCAAAATCATATTCTGACATAAGATCAGTTAAATCCTGTTCTTCTTGCTGCGTTATTGCATCCCATGTTTCAGGCACCGATGGACGACTCGACAAAGGTTCAAGATTTTGTGTGTCTAAACGGATCAAAAACAAATTTGTATTTATTTTCTTCTCAACTAGAATAAAAAGACTAAAGACTTACTTCCTACTAAATCATCATCATTTGGAACATTAAGATATTTCGGTTTATCTCGACTATGTCTTAAATAATGAGCTGTTATCTAATAGAAAGAAGGCTATGAATTATTTTTTGTTTTGTTTTGTTTTCATCGATACAAACTTTTCTGAGATTAGAAACAAATTCTTTCTTTTCATCGAATGATAATGCAAGAAACGAATATTCTCGATCCGCTGTTACGATATCAATGCCAAGTGTTGATGGTTGACGTTTATCATTGATTACTGGAGCATAATCGATCGTTTTTACGTCACATAATAGAATATTCATTTTTTTCTTGGCTATTTCATAGCCTTTGTCACCAAATCGCAATAGATGTAATGTTGGTTGTGCATCGGCTTTTTGATAAACTAGAAAGAATATAAAATCATTTTCATAAATCAAGTTTACAGAGGCGAAATATTAACAAAAAAAAGCTTCATCTACAAACAAATTCTTTATTTTTCAAAATTACATTCATATCTCCTCAACATTGCATCATTAGCGATCTATAAGTGCATTTCAAAGTAATGCTTATTAGTATCCTGAAAGTCAAATATCAATAAAAAAAATAAAATGTGTTAAATCAATACACTCACATGATAACATCATTTTAGTAAAATTATATTATTTTTCTACTATAAAATTGATGACTAGATAACAGTTACTCTACGCTCTAAGAATTCTGAAGACATGTCTTCGTTGAGAGCTCTGGCCAATTCACTTTTATGTGTGACTTGTTTCGAAATGCCTGCAGGTCAAATGGTGCTTTCTTTTTGTCGAATATATTTATTTCTACAACTCTGTATTAATATATCATTTAAGTTGTTTACCTGAATATTTTCTATACAAGAAACGGTTCGACTAATGTTTTATTTCTGATTAAATCGATTCTATTTTACATCATTGAGAAATATCTAATCGTTATAGCAAAAGCAAGATGTCATCAGAGAGAAAACGAAGAAATAAGGAATATAGGAAAGTAAAAGATTCTTTTGAATGAAATAAAATCATCTAGCAATTTTTTATATTCAATACCTAGGATTTAGACGTCGAACTGATCAAGATCTATTTCTTTTAATCAGAACCTCAGCGAAGTTTTTGTTTATCGTAGACAGAATAGTATGTCACTATTTTATCGGATATGATTTCCTAGGCAAATAGTCTCTTGAAAATTCATATACTTACTGCAAGCACATATAATGTATGATTTTTCTTTCGATTTTTTTGTTATATCTTGAACCCGACATAAAGCAAGACATGTTTCTTGCGTTGCTGAAAAGAGATCATCATTTAATTTTGTTTGAATAACCTTCAAGTCTTGCATCTATAAATACATAGAAATAGAAGCTTTTCCTTCGTATTCAATCCATTACTATTGATCAGACCAGCTCAAAACAAGTATAGAATACAAATAAAACTGATCGATGATTAATTAGAAATGAAAATTATCAACATTTCAATCAATTAATCATACTGATCAGATTAACAATAAGAAAATAGCATTAAAAGAATGATCAAAATTGTTGTACATACAATTTTTCTACGATATAAATTAATTCAATCGAGAAAATAATATGTTTTAGTATGATATTTCGATGGATAAAAGATTCAAAGTGTTAACATAGCTTTGCTAACAGAATGAAGATCAAAAAAGTAAATAGATGAGTCATTTCATTCAGATTACTAATGACATCTAGAAAAAAAATTCGTTAAAAATTCGACAACTATTATATTATAGAGGTGCGACTTTTCAATATACGAATGAGTGTTAAAGAATATTTCAATTTTCAGAAAATATTTTCCTATGAAATTATATATGATATGCGTATGTTAAGAGATGTCGTGAGATATAGACTACCGTAGTAAAATTTATTCGGATTGATGAAGATGTTCTCTTAGTTTCTATATAAAACTGTTCATTGAATCATTATCATTGATATTCCTAAGATCATTTGTTGAAATTTCACTTTAGGTAACGTAAAAGATGACATCAACCTATATTGGAATAGTTCTATCGAACAATCTGCATCGCACATTACTGTATTTAGAGAAAATGACTATTACTTGTTAAGCATGTACAATCACATTTTTGCATGTGGCTAATGTTCCTAATAATTAGCACGTACATACAGAACGAATTTTGCTTCCAAGAACCCACTATGATGCAAGTACTTTTTCAGCCTGAGCCATGAGTACTGAGTTTTTTTTCGCTTTTTTGAATGATAAGAATTCACATAATATGAGCAATGTGTGTTTTATTACTCGTTGCAGTACACGAAAGAAAGAAAAAGAGATAATATTACCATTTTGTTCTGCTATGATGATCAATCATGAAGTATAAAACGACGAAGAAGAAAGTTATGTGTTGCTTTAAAGAGAATGATGTTTTTGAAGGCTTTGTTTTTTCGTCGTATTGAGCGATCGAATTAACTAGCAGATAATAATGAAGAAGAAAAGATCTCATCACATCCGTAATTTGCCTGTAAACGAGTTAAAATAGTTAAATTTTGATTTGAACATAATGTTATAGTCTTATTCAAAAGATTCAAAAACACTAATATCGTAAAACTAACTTTCATGACGAATTCCAACAAAAGTACATGTCAATCAATGATATTCTCAAATATCGATTTCATTTTCTTTTGCATGAATAGGAAATCCTAAAGAGATTCATTTCGTCAACATGAAAGAGAAAAATTTATATTTATTAAAATAATTTGATCAAAAGAAAAATATCAACGGAAAAACCTAATAAAACACTAGTAGGGAAGTAAATTAAAAATAACAATAAAATTAAAAAACAGAGTTTGTTCATAAAAAAAGATTTGAAATATTGTTTGGAATTATTGTTGAAAAAAAACTGTTTTCTCTTTATTTATATTAACAATTATGTCGTTCTTATTATATGATTAACTTATTAAATTTTCAGTAAAAATAAGTTAACTATTTTTTATAAGCAAATTACATGCCACTGGATAAACCGGATGGATCTAGTAGCAATACAGGCATGGCAACAAATGCCAAGGCAACCAGAAAAGAATTAATAACACCAAAACCCATTGCTTGATTGCCAGCAACAACTTGAATTGCTTTTACGCATCCTACTGAATAAAAATGATTGACAGCGCCATTTGCATTTGATATGCAAACTTTGAAACAAATAAAGATCGTTTCTATTTCATGTAAATTATCGATGAAATAAAAAATGATACTTACAGAACATGCTTGTACTATTGTCTAGCAATGCCCCAGCCGTACAACAAGAGTAAGGTAAAGTAACACCAAATGAAAGTGGCAGACCGTAGATACCACCATAAACAATTGATGCTTGACGTTTTTGTCTAGCAGAACCAGCCAACGAAAGGCTTTCTTGATCATTGATATCATGGACATCTCTTTTCAATTGTTTTGTAGCATCAGTAGCAGTAGCAGCAGTATTAGTAGTGATAGTATCAGTAGCAGCAGCCGGGGTGTTAGTAGTAACAGCACCAGACATAGTGGTGGTATTAGTAGCAGCAGCCGAGGTGTTAGTAGTAGTTGTCGTCATCATTGTAGTGGTCATTACAGTTGTTTTATTTACCGTCGGTGATGCTGCATCTAGTTTAGCATTCGCCCAATCAATCCAAGCATTCGCACCACAGCAGCTATAATGATTTTGTAAATTATCGATTGTCGCCATGTCACCTGGGCTAGCCATGTAGTTCATCATTTTGCCTGTGAAATGTGATCTCACGTAACTGAATGACTTTGCATTTATAATAATTGCAGTTACTAATGAAGCAAGTGCCATGATGCCTACTAGACCAGATACAATAAAAGCAATTGTTTCTAAATTAGAAAAAAATATCGTTGATTTTTCATTTTAAATCTAACTGAATTCTAATCCAAAGAAAAACCTCTGCTTTGAATGCACAAACACTGAATGTTAATATTTTTTGTTTGATAAATACGTAAAACAATGGTTCGTACGAGGAATATTTATAAAAAGGATTTCATAGAAATATCATTAAAAATAGGAACAATCTTCATCAGTGATGCCACGGATATCAGTATTAAACAGATTTGTGCCTATTGAGAAAACAGATAGTTTCTACCGTAAAATTTATGAAGATTAAACAATTTCTTATTCTTATTATAAACTGATACATGACTAAACTATCTGTATGTTAAGTTAAAAATAAATTTTGTTTTCTGAGTATTAAAAAGTTTCGTTTACACGTGATACGTTCATTAATATTTCGTAGCTTGTAAAAATATAATCTTAATAAAAACAATTGATTTTTTGTTGTCACATCTGCACAATGACTAAGATTCTAATACAAAAACGGTATGTCAATGATTTATATATCTATATGACTCAGACTGACTCATTTGAAAAATACATATATTAGCAATATAGAGCAAAGAAAATAGATTTTTAATTTATCTGTATAAATCTTTTGATTTCTAAAGTAATCTTACTTAATAATTTTGAACCGAGTGTAATTGCGAGTAGACCTATGACACCAGTCAACAAACCAAAAAAACTGATAGCAATATTGTAACCAGATAGTCCAATTTGTGGACGAAAAATGTCACCATATTTACGGAAATCAACAATAATACCAATACTAACACCAAGATGAATGAGAGAAAACAGAAAAATGGAAAGCATAAGAGAAAGTGGAAAAATACGACCACGAAACTCCATGTTGTGTATTGAACACGAACGAAATCAGCTAAAAAAGAGATTTCATGTAAGTAAATCTAATGGTGTTAGTCTTTTCTCAATTAAACTTGTTGTTTCAAGTATGCAGTCTGATACATTAAAATGAGGTAAGTGTACAATGTGAAGATAAAAAAGGAAAAATCATATTATGCAACGCATGAATGGAGAAATGTAAAGAACGACAAATGTTTATGACTGTTACGAAGTGAAGGCTTTTTTTTGTTTTTGATGTCTCATGATATATATGTAGGCAAACAAGCGCGTAGGCTGACCTTCATTACTTTAAATGTTACTCTAATCATTCGAATTGATTTTTGCTATAAGGTTCACGATAATAAATGGCAGATATTTAAATTTAGTTACATAAAATGAACTTTTTCTTTTTACGAACTATTAATAACTACTCGTTTCTGTTATGCATTCAGATTGCTTTCATAAACATGTGTAATGATCTTGTTAACTATTTGCTATATTTAGTATTCTGAGAGGACTCATTATCTAATCAATCATATGTGAATCGAAAATGAAATTCATAGGAAATGCCAATAATATTTCATTGGAATAATTACAGAGAAATTGTTTTATTGTTACACGAAAGAATATGAATAAAAATGATAACTTTCAAAACGTTCTGATGCATCTCTTATACAGATGCGTCGTTTACAACTAGTCCTTAGATTATAGCCAACGGAAAAGAATAGTTGAAAAATGATTTTTTAATTTAATAATTAACCACTTCTTTACCATGAAACTATAAAATCAAGTAATCGACAAAATAAGAACGTGCAAGTGTTTATATTTCAAATAGTTATGTCTTTCCGTTTCGATCATATGTTGTTGCTTATGTCAGATCATTATTCTTATTTTCATGATCAATTTAGCACTGCTTGCTCTTCTCTTATCTCGAGTGAGTTGATCGATATGGAACAAGGCGAATTGCAACCAAATTTCACCCTTTAAAATCATACTGGGAGCTACTATTTTGCCGTCAAACTCATTTGCTATATAATATAATCTTCGTATTCAAACCTGAAAAGAATAAAATTTTGAATGAATTGAAAAAATAACATCGAATAAAAATAACAGATTCGACGACAAGAGCAATAGCGATATGTATAGTTCAAATAAAAACTTAGTCATACTCTCGTTCTTTAGTTGATTCGTTACGTTCGTATCGACCGTTCCTTGAGAGATGCGTTTGCATTGATAATATTACAATAGATACTATTGGTTAGTAATGCTGTGTTATTTTCGTTTTTTTTTATTATAGATTCTTGTCTATTCAATGCGTCTTTGACGCTCGATTTCTTCATACTTCAGACAACACGACTCTGATTTTCCTTAGAATAATAGTATCATCTATTTTTCCGATAAAATGTTTTTTTAATAATTTGTAAATCGTGGTGAAATTACGCTAAGTTATTTTTAACATATTCGTTTTAAATTTAACAATGCGACGGGTGGGCCATAAAGAATGACGGTTGCCGCATTTCTTAAATATCTTTTCTAATTTTGATTGACTTGACCTAATTTTTTTTGCAAAAGATTCACCATTCAATTCTCTATGAAACCATCTGTAAAATATTTTCTTTTAAACCACAAAACGGCTAACTACTAGCCCGAAGAAAAAATCTTCAACTTTCAAGCTCAAAATATTTTAATCTTTGGAGTATGTTTCAACAATTTATACGTTGGCTTAAATTACTTGAGAAATATTTTCTGGTATTTGCTAATACGTTCTTTCCGATATCTTTGAGAAATATATTCTTTGGAAACGGTCTTTGACTATTAAATTGACATTTTTTCGAAAACTTCCAAAACGCCTTAACTTCAGTTTTCAAGAAAACAAACCGCACAAATATTTTTTGTATAACTCGAAGGAGTGTACAGAGATGTAGTATAGTGTGTTAACTTTCAACGAAAAAACAAAATGGTCAAAAAAACACGGTTTTTTTACTGAATGGCATGCGTTTTCGTGCAAGCAGAAATAACTTGAAACGAAAGTGGAGTTTTCTCAGAACAGCGAAAAAATTGATCCAGAATTTTTTACTCATCTTTTGATAAAAAAAATGTTCGAAGGCATGAATCTTGTTCAGAAATTGATGCGCTTTAACGTGGCTCACTTGGTTTTTGTAGCTTCCCTCGTATGGAAAGTAAAGTTTAGAAAACAACGCGTTTCTGGGCTTGAAAGTTGAAGATTTTCGGGCCTTTTTTCTTCGGTCTTTTGCTTAGTCTTTTTGCCGTTGAACGAAACGTTTTTGCACGTGGTTTTGTAGAGAATTGAATGGTGAATCTTTTGCAAAAAGATTTAGTTCAAGTCAATGAAAATTAGAAAAGATATTCAAGAAATACGGAGACCACCTTTCTTTATGGCCCATCCGTTACGTATACAGGATAATATCAGAGTCTTTGTCTCTATTTTCTATATATTAAATATACCGTTTTATGCAAGCTCCGAATGAGAGGAATTTAAAATTAATCTTTCAATAATTGTGAAAACAACAATCCATATCTAAACATACTGTATAGAAAATGATTAGTATTTTTTATAGAATCTAAAACAATAGCAGAATCTATCGATGATTTGCTTAATCCAACAGGTTATGATTAACAAATCAAATGCAAGGATTACTCGAGTGCAGTATTAGCGAATGATACGCCTTCACCTTGAAGAATAAAAACATATATATATATGTCGGAGTTGACTTTAAAATCCAGTTGCCTTTAAAATTGAAGAGTCAACTAGTTGTTTTTAAAATTTGATAGTCAACTAGGATAGAGCTAGTTGACTCTTCAATTTTAAAGACAACTAGTTGACATTAAAATCAACTGGATGGAGCTAGTTGATTTTAAAATCAACTAAGATGGAGTCAGTTGACTTTAAAATGTATAATCATAAAGTTGTTATGCGCTAATCGATAATGAATTTGTTTAACTGATGGAAACTTTTCGATCTGAAGTTAACAAAGAATTATTTATTTACTATCAAACCATCATTTCATTTAATAATGAAGGCGGCTTTCTACTCAAAGCTAGATGCTTAGTTGAATGAGTTAGATACTAAATGACCAGCGAAGTACTTGATAACAACTGAAACATATGAAAAAGGGTGGAGTGTGGGTGTGGGCGTGGGCTACCCAGGTCGAACAGTCCGACCTGGAAACGGCCGGTTCCGAGTAGTTCCGTTGATTTTGTGGAAGCAGTATTCCGGTTGGAAATTTTTTCGGTGATTTCCGATCAATTCCTACCGGAAAGCACCGGAACTTGGCAGGAGTTCGCCGGAAAAGTCCGGCCGTATTTTTGGCCGGAATACTGCTTCCATGTTCCAACGATTTCCCATGTTTTCCTGCAGGATATGGCGACTTCCCCGCATATTCCCTGGAGTATCCTACGAGATCCGGGGACCGGAATGTTCGACCTGGGATAGACTCGAAACCATACCCACACCCATACCTACTCCCACACCCTCAATCTCATCTATTGATTAAAATACTCTTTATCATATCAATAACAACTTTATGATTATACATTTTAAAGTCAACTAGTTGACTCTTCAATTTTAAAGTCGACTAGTTGCCTTTAAAAGGCAACTGGATTTTAGAGTCAACTCCGACATATATATATGTGACTACTGACAGAAAGAGAAAGATAAATGACCTTAATGCCCCTCAATTCTTGCAAATAGCAAAACAAGATCAATGATAAATTCATAATACTATTAGTAATATTACAATCTTTTCGCCCCAGAAAATATCACTCTACTGTCAAATTTTACGAGCAATATAAATTTTACAACTAGCAAAATTAGAAATACACACATAATAGCAGTTAAACATAAGGTTTATTGAATATTATGATATTTAAAAAAATGCTACTTATGTGAATTGTATCACTTTAAATAATCGTTTCAAGATGAAATTTTTGTTTTGTTCATCATGTTTCTCGAAGTGCGAAACGTGTATGAATTTCACACTCGAACCTTACTTCGTTGTTTCGAAATAAGCAACTAAATATTAATCACTTTTTAATTCATTCGAAAAAAACGTTTCCGTACATATTTATGAAGGCACATAAGAGCGAGACCGAGAACTGTTCATTGGTTATATTGAAATTTTATACGAGTCAATTGGGTCCTATTTTTGCTGGTTCATTTATCGAAGTCAAATAATTGAATTCTTTTGCAAAAAAAAGGAATGCCTTAAAGGTTACACATGTTATCTAAAAAATGGCATTGGTGAATTCTTTGATAAAATCATGATATTCACAATACTAAACAGTTGTTATGGGAAATATGTAAAATAAAATGTCCGCATCACCTTGAAAACTAAAATGAACTTTACATTATCATCCTATTTAAACAATACATCAATTACTTTAGTGTTAAACGAAAAGCTATGCCTGAATCCGGTAGTTATAGATTTTGCTGCATAACATTAGAAACTCAGAATAATAACATCAAGACAGTAATGCCTATATAAAACTATATAACAGAAATTGAAAGAGTTTTCTGATTGTTGTCATATTCAAATATTGGTCACCTTCAGAAAACATTCTTAATAGGATTTCTGTAAACCCCAAGGGACTTCTAAACTGATCATCGTTCAAAATTTTTTAACGGGACTTCTATTATGCGAGGGCTACTAATGCGACTTTCGTACAGAAGTTTAAAAAAAAATCAAAATATCAAATAATTAAAAAAATCAATGACTCGATCTAACATCAGTGAGAAAAGTTTTAATCTCTGTTGTCCAAAATATCAATTTAGGTTGAAACAACTTGAAACAGATTGTTTTGATTTCTATAATTTGTTCAAATTTTCATACTTTTAATTTTTTTAGTTTTTAAAACTTTTAATTTATTAATGATTTTTTTTTGATTTTTTCTAATTTTTAATCAATTGATTTCAAATCGAGAAAATAAGGAAAATCACAGAAATAAGAAAAGTCTGATTTCAGCTGTTTGCCCCAAGTAAGAGAGTCATTATTTGAATGATCGTGACTATTTATTTGCGATAGGTTCAAATAATTTCACGAAAATCTGTGAAATTTTAGACAGAGGCAGAAAAAATTTACTACTGTAGTAACAGAAGCCCAGGGGGCTTCTATTACGGGGAGGGGATTATATAATATGATGCAAGCTGTATCTCGGTTCTAAACAAAGACAAAAAAAATGAATACAGAACTTTTATCGTGCCCGCTATGTACATACATTGTAATTTATTCAACAGAAAAATATACAGCAGAAAAGTAAAATTGTTTTATTTTAGTTCATAGCATTATTAAAAAAGCACATACTGACGTGTGACACCCTCATATTGAGCAGTTGAATTATCATTACTCGTGCAATATCCGACAGCTTAATTTTATCGATCTCGTTGCATTTTATATGATAAGCGTTGTTTATTACTGTCATGTTTTGGATTAAATACCTGAAGAAATATACTAATTTCGATCGGAAAACATACAAAACAAACAATAGTCAAACAAGTATTAAGAAAAATAATGCTCGTAATTGGCGAAACAACACTATTTGCAATAGGTGGCAAGTATCCACAAACATAAAATCTAACTGAGCCAATATTAGGCATGACTGAAGACCATTGTAGTCGTTGCCGACGTCGATGTTTTGAATCTATGAAAATACAATTAGAAATTTCAATCATTGTCTTCTATTTCTGAATCATTTGATTCTTATCTCTCATCATAGCATTGTTCGTGTCATTGCTTAAATTCGAGTCTGAATTCATTCTCGTGTTTGTAGGGACTGACAGTTCACCTTTTATTGTATTGAGTTGAATACGATACCAATCTAAGCCATAAATTTACACCGCAACACCGATATTTCGTTCGAATGACATAAATTATTTTCATAGAGTCCGTATTTTGTATATATGTACCAGAGCTAGGACGAGTACTTTTGAAGAAAAAAAGTACTTAAACAAGAAATTTTTTGCCAATTCGGAATAGACCCATACCCAATAGGCTCATTTTGTTCACCATAACGAGCTTCATCAGATACATTGATACATATTCCATGTGCAATCTCCGTACTACAGAAAATCGCGCTATACTGCAAAAATCACCTGTACTTGAAAGTATTTGCGATTTTTGCAGTATTGCGCGCTTTTCTGTAGTACAGAGATTGTACATGAATTATGTATCAATGTATCTGATAAAGGTCGTTAAGGTGAACAAAATGAGCCTATTGGGTATGGGTCTATTCCGAATTGGCAAAAAATTTCTTGTTTAAGTACTTTTTTTCTTCAAAAGTACTCGTCCTAGCTCTGATATGTACTCATACGATATGATCAGCGTGATCTTACGCCACTAATTGTTTGAGAATTAACGACGAATCCAGCAATAAGTGATGCTATTGCGAAAATACCCAATATAACTGCGACAATAACTACAATTTTAGCTTGAAAAAGAAAATTTCTCTCGTATACATCTAATTTTTTACACAAGAATTATTTACTCAAAGCAGAACGTTGTTGCGAGATAGTAATCAGACCTAATATTCCAGCTATAATACCAAAAATATCAATAACAATATTAGACACAGATAAACTCACTGGTTGACAGAAAATATCACCACAAAGACAGTATTGACCAACAATACCACTTTCAACACCTAGATGAATAATGCCCAATTCGAGAATAAGGACGGTAAAGACATAAGCCGCCTGAGTTCTTCCTGAATCAACCATTTGAACTTTTGTAATAATGACAGTATCATACGTTTCTTCACATGTATGATATGTATTGTATTGTACATCGATGATTTACGTCACTTAATCATTGGTCGTACTTTCCTATTCTATAGCCTTAAAATAACTACAAATTATTATTTCTACTTAAATTTATTGTCATCAATAGTCTACAATTAATGTTAACACATTTACTGTAGTATCAACGCATATCTGAATTCATCGTGAGTCTCTCACAGATTTGCTAATGAATTATTTTACAAAATAAAGTGTAACAAATATTTTTTGATTCTATTAGTTAAAACACATAGATCAACTCAAAATGTGTTAATCGTACGTCAATTGATAACCATCAAATGCACTCGTTTACTTTTTTCATTTTTCTTTTAATCAGATTGAGTCAATATCAATACAATAGAATTTATTATCAAAAGGGTTTCTTTTTTTTCATATGGCAAGACAAACAAAAAGATATATATATATATATATATATGCACGAAGAACAAAGACAACAAATCAACTGCATTAAACAACACATTCGCGAGACGAAATAAAACTTGTCATATTGAATTGTGTTTCAGGCGATTGATCAATACCTATTTCGATATGATGATTCGGAATTGTTGACGTTGAAGATGATGCTGATAATTCTAAACTACTAAAACCATAATCTGTACTTGATGATTGTGGAATCGTAGGAAGTTCATTTAAATGTATACATGGTGGATTTTGATTTTTACGTAATAATTCAGCTAGTTTAAGATCATAATAATATGTAGACGCTGATGAATACATTTGAATTGTAGGTTCTTTTTGATTATACCATGCATCATTTTTTGTCACTATTCCACTTGATGACGAATTCGATGATGATGAATGTCCATTGATAATACATGCTGAATCATCTAGACAGAGAAAAAGAAAATTTATAAATAGAACAATGTTTCATACGATTGGACATACGATCGTCTTCTCGAATGGTTGAATTTGATGAACTTTTACGTCTATCATTGGAAATTTCAGTCTATTAACAAAACAAAAACAAAAAAGAATTAAATTTTCAATCAAAAAAATAAAAGATTTTGTTTTCTACCTTTTCACTATGATAATCATCGCTACATTGTAAAAATGTATGTTGATGTGTTGATGATAAAATTTCATTTTTATGTTTATTTTTTCCACAACATAAACATATTATTAATGAAAATATAATAATACATATTGATGTTATAACTAATGCTAAACAAACTGCATAAATCAATATCGTTCGATTATCAGAGAAATAATACGATTGACATGAATATAATATCGAACTATTGCATATATCAATTTGAAGTTTAATCGAAGAATTTTCTTTTGTATATTGATCAATTACATTTAAAGATAATATATACGATGAAGCAAATGGATTCGATATAAGACTAACTTCACCTGTTGAAGTTACATTCCAACATGAAAGTAAATTTGTATTATTTAAATAAACAATTGGTTGATATGTATGATTATTAAAAGTTGTCATATCCAAAATAAATGCAGCATTTCCTTGTGTATTTATATCAAGTTTTGTTCGTTGAGTAGATAAAGTTAAAAGTTTAGGCAAGATTTTATTATTATTTGATAATTTTGATTGAATATTTACTATTAATAATTGTGTTGTTGAACGTGAATTTATTGGATCATAATCACTTGCGGTTATTTCAAATGTATAAGATAATAATGAGCATGTTAAAATTGATGATTCATATGGAATATAAACATAGCCAAGTGATGTTATATCAAGAGTTAAACATGGATGAAAAGAACGTATAGAATAATTTATAAGACCTTGTAAACCGGAATCGTTATCATAGGCATGTACACGACCCAGAACAGAACCTGATTGAAGACTTGATTGTGAATAAGTCCAATCATATGATTGATTTTTTGCAAATTCAGGCGAATGATCGTTCAAATCGTGTATACGAAGAATAATTTTCGTTTGACTTGATAACGATGGTTTTCCATGATCTTGAACTTTAATATAAAATTCAAAATTTATTGTTGTTAAATGCTTTTCTTGTTGTCTATTTAATAGATCAAAATCAATCGATTGCTTTAAACTTATTTCACCAGTTTTCGAATTAAGCGCCAATAGATCTGTTTCATTTAGTAAATGATATTCAATTTCAGCATTTTCACCTAAATCACAATCATGAGCAATTAATTTATCAATAATATAGCCGACTGGATTGTTTTCATTGATATCATATACTGTTGAATTTTGTTGGATTGTTGGTATACAATCGTTTACATCTATTATATCTAATATTAAATGTAATTTTGTATGTAATGTTGGTGTACCCGAATCATGCGAAATCAATTGAATATTATTATAAATTGATTTGGATTCACGATTAAGATTTTGATTGAGAATAAGCGAATATAATTTTGTATTATGAAAATTATTTTGATAGATTAATTTATAGATTAATGGTAGTGGTGGTTCAGTTGTACGCAATTGAAGATACGGATTTCCATTAGCTAAATGAAAAAAAAGCAAACAATTTTATTTAATGAATTCTACGTAGTCTTCATTGCCTATGAACTAGTGTCAGGACAGATACTATAGACTCCTTTTAAAATGAATCTTTAAGCAGATATCATGATATTCTCCGAAGATATTTAAAAACCAAAAGGTCATGCCTATTATAACTTTGAATTTGAACTTCTAGTAGGGAGATTGTTAATTTTACGAACAATAGCTAAAACTTATCTTTTCGAGCCACTGGAAAGATTTAACAATATCACAAAGAAACTAATTTATTTCGAAAGATAAACGATTAATAATTTCAACTTTATCATTTTTATGTGATGTTGAAATCAGTGCCGACATTGATCGTAATGCCCTTAGGTCTTAAAACTGTAAAATATAACTAGAATATTAAATCAACAATCTAAATGAAATAATATTCACGTCTGATTTAATATAAAAACTTCATTGTCTAGCATTATGCGTGAGCATGTTGACGCAATCGTTAGCTGATGTTATTTTTATTCTGTCGTTCGTATTCAATATCGGCACTTCGACGGCTTGCGTATTTCTTCGAGCGCGTACCCATTAAAGTTAGACATTTTCTTATAAAAATATAATTCGAAAGATACTAAATTTTTCGAATCTTATTTTGTGTTTCGAGGTAAATTTTTGAACATATATAAGATATAAAAAATTTACCAGATGAATCAAGATCGTTGAGAATAACATGAGCAATTGTTGTACCCAACGGTGTATCTTCTTGAAGAAAAAGTACGCTTTTATCATTTTGTTTTTGTTTCATTATTATATCTCCTAAATGAAATAGATAGTTTTGTCCTTGCGCTGAGATTTTTATTTTTAATCTTTATTTTACCTTCCACTTTAATCTGCATTGAAACTGGATTATCATTAATATCAATAATACGAATAAGTATACTAGCATAAGTTGGTATCAAATTTTCATAAGCTTTAACAATTAATCGATAGGAATTTTCTCTTTCATAATCCAATGTTTTACTCAATTGAATTTGTCCAGTTAAACGATCAATTATGAATGGAGACTCAGTTAAAAGTTCATAAAAAATCTTTTCGTTATTATCATTGATCGCTTCAATTTTTAATATTGTTGTTCCAATGACTGTATCTTCACGTATGTCAATGTTATAAATAGATTGAACAAATATTGGTATTGAATCATTAATATTTAAAACAGTAATATTGAGTTGAATTGAAGTTGCACGTGGTGGTTCACCATGATCAGATGTAGTTAACAGTAATGAATAAGATGATAAACGTTGACTATCAAGTGATGAACGTACAATTAAAGAAGGAATATCAAATGTAGAAAAATCAACGTCAAAATCTTCGGAGTTCGGTCCATCAAGTCTATATGATTGAACACTATTCATTCCTAAGTAAACAAAAAGAAAAAGTCTAGTTATTGTTTAATGGACGGCATAGTTATTTTGGTGTTTTGTTTTCCTTAAGGCAATGTTCCTTTTTATAAAAATATATATATATCTATGTACAACAAGGTCAACAACGTACCTTCATCCGGATCGTTTGCACTAGGCAAAATGATTCGATAGCCTAAAGGTACATTTTCTTTGATATGTATAGCGTGTATCATTGATTGTTTGTCGAATATTGGTGAATGATCATTAAGATCTTTTATTTTAATTTCTATTATTTTATAAATGGTTTTATCTTGAATTTTTATGAAAAGTTGAAGAATAATTTCACATGAACTGCATGAACATTGTCGTTTTAAACACATTTGTTCGCGATTGAGTATTGATCTAATAGTTAAATGTCCAGTTTGATTGTGAATTGTAAATAAATTTTTATTCAATGGTGATAATTCATATATTTGAAAGAATCCATTTGATTTTATATTTAATTCTTTTGATAAATCACTTACAAGTGTATTGACTGGTAATTTTTCTTCAATAATATATTTTAAAACTTCATGACTGGAAATTCGAAGAACAATGTTAAGAAAAATGATTATAAACAACATGATTAATCTGAAAAACAAAAATGAAACAAATTTCAAAATTTTATTTTACCTACTGAACATTCGTTTTTCCTCCTTTTCGTTTACAACAAATTGCTATCAATACTAGGACAATTACTTTCATTCTTTTACTTGGCTACACATGATGTATTCAATCATCGATCTGTCCGATATATATATATATATGTAGACAGTAGTCAGTCTTTCGTTCGTGTTTCAATCTTCAAGTTGCTTTTTTTGTAGTTTTGAACAAACAAAAAATATGTATTGAATGGAATGAGAGCAAGCAGAACGAGAGGGGAAGACAGGGAGAGAGGGGAAGACAGGGAGAGAGGGAAGAAGGTCACTTCACGCCCGTTGGGCAAGAGAGTGGCGAGAAAAAAAAACGAAAATTGAATTGGTCAATAGATTCGATAATCGATGGCAATCAGTAACAAAACAAAATAGTTCAATTAAACGAAACCTATTCAATTGAAATCCAAAGAAGAGTTCATAAAAAAAAGATTTTTTTCTCTCCTTAAAGAATAAAGTCTAGATGTTCTCTACTGTAATTTCACTTCTTTTTTTTTTCAAATAAATCATTCGAGTGTCCTATGTATATGAAAAAATAACAATTTTTGTTTTCGTTCGGTATAAATTTATTCCCATGATAGTTCGAAAGAGTATATACTACTTGTTGTGTTCTTTTTTTCTATGCACAGTCTCAACTCTTTCAAAGTCTATGCCGATCAACTCTTGAGCTATAGACAAAAAGAATCCACTTCACCATGGAATCAATAGACATACTACAAGCATATATTGATATAATGTTGAGAAGAAGAAAAAAAGAAAAAGAAAATCGAACAATGAGAACCGACCTGTATGTTAAGAAGTGTATCTTCTATAATGCCACGAAAACGTGATCAAGACGAGAGAAGATATATACATAGCTCAATGTGATGGGTGACAAATTTTACTCATTAAATATATTGTTTTTGATCTATATCGTTCTCTTCTCTTTTGTTCGATTGGTTCAACTTATTCATTGGTGCTCAATATACATCAGACAAAACAAAAAACGAGAAAGAAAAACATCATGATGAACATATTCATTCATTCATTCATCAAACATAACATGAAAAGTAGAAGGCCGGAACTGCGACAGTTGCAGAATTCCGTCTAACTTATTATTGATCTCAAAGAAGGATATTCTATATGTTTACAATAAAATATTGTCTTGAAAAAAAGAAGAAAACATAATCTATTTGGATAATCACCTAGTCATACGGAGGAAATCGATTTGTTGACCGATCAGATAAGCGAAATTAATTTTTTGCCGTCTTATATCTCTGATGTGATCATGTCATAACAGATCTACTCAAAAAAAAGTGACAATGTTGAATAATATCGACACATACACGTATATACCCCATAGGGATGGCAACACTCTATAGTTTAACTTTTTCTCTTTGTCGTGTCCATCGAGAGAAACAAACTTTAGCCAATTCATATCAAGCAGAAAAACAACTTGTTAGAAATAAACAATTGACTTTTAAATTAGAATTATGCCATCAATTTTCACATAGTCACAGTCTGTTCGAATGTTTGTACATCAATCATCGACTTTACCAATGTCATCAGCATCTTAATGAATGCAAAATAAAAATTAAATTAAATTTCCTTTTCCTCTTCACTGTGCACTTGATCAACAACAATTGAGAACATTCTTGAGTTGGACAGATGCACATAAAGTGCAAGAATATAAAAAAAACGACAGAGAAAAATTTAATATAATCGACATGTCATCGTTTCAGATTTTTCAATACGGAAAAAAAGCACTTGCTCGTTTTTGTTAATCCCTATTTCGCTAACATTGCAGATGCTGATTCGATGATCAGTTTTGTCAATATTAAAAAGCATATATTCTAATGATTTCATCGAGTGATTTTTTTCTTCTGCTAAATAGAAATGTAAATAAAAAAAACAAGAAGAAAGTAAGATGATTGATTTGAACGAAAAATACTTTCATAATAATTGCGTTACGACGGCATGAAACAGAAAAAAAGATCAAACGTTTGAAATATATAAGCGCTTTTGTCATATCTTGTTAACAGCAGGTATCCGAAGTCTTTGTGTCACATGACACACACACTTTGATCGATTTGCTAATAGAAAATAGCTAATGATGTTCGTCAACGTAAAATTACGTACGATATAAAAAAAAAGATAATTGAGTAGAAGATAATCAGACAATAATTTATACTGTTTCTTTTTGGTGACAGATGGAATTCATTCTAAATCTATTTTGTTTATTAAATTAGATAGTGATTGACAAGTTTTTTACTTAGACAATTTTATAATTATTTTCGTAGAACGATCACTAATGGTTTCATTCGAGATTTAAATCAGAGTAATCATTTAATGCATCAATATTAAATGGATCTCACCTTCCGTGTCGAGTGATGAAGATTGACAAACATAACGTTTTATTTTTTTCTGTGACCTATTAACAGGAGTCAACGAGATTATTGACAACTTCCTCATCATTTAATCATTATAACGAATAAATCATAATGAATCGGACTTCATGCAAATATTATTTTCCATTCATTGAGATTGACAGAAAATATTCGTGTATGTACGAAAATATAGTTCATGATGATTTCAAAAGACTTTTTTCAAAACAATTTAATCCTTTTCAGTTGCACAGTTTCTATTTCGATGTCAAATAAAACCAACGAGTCTGGTCATTAATGAATTACAACAAAAAACATTTTCTCATCAAAACTTCATGAAAATAGATTAGATATTAAATGCTGAACTTTTTTCCTTTTTCTACGTTTCTATATCTAGTTCATTTGTTTTTAGTTCCATCGTAAGGATTTACAGTGCTCTTTAACTTGTTGTTTGTTTCAAAGTTAAATAAAATTCTTTGTAGAAGTTAAGTGTATAGTATTGTAGAGCTTCCGATTCTTCATTTTCTCACATGTAAGTGAATATTCTATATGAATAGTAAATAATTGAAACATTACATTTTCACTTTGTTGGATTCATGGTGACCTATTCATTATTACTGAAGTATTTTGCTAGAAGAACAACTCGATGATCATCTTTTTGAACATTTATTACTGATTGGCACTAAATTCTAGTGTATTTTTATGTATTTCGAAATAGCACTACTTTTTCTTGTAAAGATAAGATCATCATTTTTTGTAATCTACAAGGAGAAATGTCTACAAACTACGGAGAAATCTTTTGAATATTATTAAATTATTTATTTCGAGTACGACTGTAAGAATTTGAAATATTTCCCATTTAGTACGTATGTAATGTTGCATGATGTATCAGTCTAAAGTGAATTGTGCACATCTATTATCAATCTTAAATTATTTGTTTTCGATTACATCAGTTATAAGTCGTCATTATGACACGCGTTCACAGTGTTGTCTTTCTCTTTCGTTATAATTTTTAGATATAATCTGACAAAATGAATATTTATCAAAAAAAGTAAAAGGGAGACAAAGAAATTACGAATGATAAGACGCGTAAATCACATTTAATTGCGCTCTACATTTATGCACTCTTCATATACACTAAGAAAGATGGATTCAACGAGTGAAAGATTCTCTATTATAATCATAATATGACATCAATATGGTAGACTTTGAATCCTAATAATTTGATACAAAATTTATTTCAAATCGAGGGCCTCGCAAGCCCACTTGAAGTTGAATTCAAACTGAAACAACACATGATTTTCTTTCATCTGTGTCTTGCTCTGCAACATTAGAGTAGCAAGAATGCAAAAGATATTCATTTTCTCTAAACACCTTCGTCAATAGATATGTGAAATTTTTTTCGAACTACTCAACGATTATTTGACGTCATTCTATTGTAAAAATCTACGAATGACAATCAAGGTCAGCTAGCTAATCGATGCACATGAGTCAAAAGATAGTAAATCATTAGAATGAATTAAGTGTGTCCATAATCTAGAACGGTTTGGCTTGTCTAGCTCTAGAATATGTCAACGGAAGAATTCTCTATTCTGCAATAGGTTATCAAAATGTAACAAACTTTGGTCATCACGCAGAAGACGTCTGCGTAAAAGTGTGATAGACCGAACAGGGCAATGTACGTATACTCTTATCTCTTGGTATTCTTTGTGTACTCGGATTGGTTCGCGTTTTTATGCCTTTATTATGAATCACGCATGCATCGTATGATATTTCTGTTTTTTTTTTATAGCATATTCTCGTTTTGTTCTTTTATTAACCTTGACTCAGCATCATGCTAACTTTGTCCACTTGGTCTATGAACAAAAGTAACCTTCTATTTGCCGTTAAAAATATTTCTACTTGACGGATGTTTCATTGATAGTTGTTTTTTATTTTTGATTGATGAATACTATTTATAAATAAATCATAATATGTCGTATATACCTATTGAATTTGTACATGGCGAGAGCATATCTGGATTTTTATTTTTGTTCTTTTTCATATTGTTGTCATGTGATTCTATTTATGTTGTCGAGTAGGAGTAACATGTAGGCAACGACAGCAATACGACAATATTATTCAGTTGAGAGAAAGATATGTCGACTATACGCACCTCACCATTATTATCAAATCGTTTAAATCCATTTCTAAGTGAAGCAAATTTTAAAAAATCATGTGAAATAGTTCATACTAAATCTAAGCGCTATGATAAAAATATGGTTGATAATATTCTTGTTCATGATGATCCAGACAAAGCATTCATTGAAATTAATAAACGTACATTCATATGGTATTTAGCTATCGGAAGTATGACCAATCCTATTTCGTTATATTTACGTGATCTAACGCCACTGATGTCTTATCCAGTTAAATGTCCTGATTATCGATTAGCTTTTCGAGATTGCTGTGGCATGGCTGATATTGAATACTGTCCAGGAAAAGAATTTCATGGAGTTGTACATTTATTACCTATGAAACAAATGCTTTATCTAGATCAAATTGAACATATTTATAAACGTATTATAGTTAATGCAATTGATTATCAGCAATGTTCGCATCTTGTTTATGTTTATAAAATGAATTTAGTTGAACAACAAGAACGACTTATGAATTTACCATCGGAACGTTATGTAGATCTTATTGTTAAAGGTTGTGAATATTTTGGCGTTCACACTTCATATATTAATCGATTAAAACATGAACAACCAGTTATAGCTCGAAAATTGCCAACTACATATGAAAAAATAACTAATGTGCCGGATAACGTTTTTTTTACAAATGAAGATCTTTTGAAACACAATGGCAAAGATCCAAATTTTTCTTTATGGATTAGTGTGAATGGAAAAATATTAGAATATAAAGGTTTACCATCAGATGATCATCCAGATTATGCAAATAAAAAGCAATTTTATGAATTTGTTTTATCATGTTTGGGTGGACGAGAAGTTACTCATGCTATAGCAAGATCATGGTATGAACCAATGTATAAACTACCATTGAATGATGATGATTTAACAGATGAACATCGTGCTTTTGCTGAAGATATGTGTGTTTCTTGTTGCCTTAAAAGTAGTGGAAATAGTCATGAATCCTGTTGGAGACCAATAGGAAGGCTTCGAAAAACATCGAAAAAGAGTCAATCTTAATGATCTTACGTTTTTGATATTACTATTGATGTTGAATAGAGTGTAAAGACGTTTTTCAGTGGATAGGAACATGTTTACCTATTTTAATAATAATGAATTTTTGTTTTTATTGGAGTAACTTTAATATGAACCTATATATCAATTGTTAATAGTTTTGTATGTATCAGTCTGTAAATTGTAATATGCAACAAATAAAATAAAAAAATTGAAGTTTCATAATATTTATCTTTTAATAAATTGCAGATTGCTTGAAAATTAATTACGATCTGTTATTTGAACTCAAGATTTTCTTATGTACTGTAGTTGCACTCGCGCTGAAAAATGTCCCAAAAGCTCTAAAATGTATTTTAAACAGCCAAAAATGCGTATATTTGAGACATTGATTTTCAAATGTTTACTTGGACTTATTTATCGCAAGAATTATAGAGTCTTGAATATATACTTTAACGACGCTCGATAATATTCATATTTCTACGGTTTTGTGATTTAACTGGATACAATCACTTATTGACCTGACCCACGAAAAAATTTTCTTATCTTTTCTTTTCTTTTCATCATGAAATTGCAAAAAACGAGACAGTTCTTTCACCTTTACTTGTTTGTTAAGTGACGTCGTATTTTTTTTATCTCGCTCCATCAAATCTTTTCATTCATTTGAATGGGATTTGTAAGTAGAAAAAAAAAAGAAAATTTTATTTTTCTTCAAAACGCGTTGATGGGAAAATTATCGTACAATTAAGGATAATGAAAAAGCAAGTACTGATAGAAACTGCAGTGCTAATCAGTATTTTCATATTTCACTAGTTTTTACTTCAGGACTAATCTGCGTTAAATACAATGAGTTCTAATAGAATTATAATTGATAGAAAAATCACTATTGAAAACTGAAAAAAGTTCATTTTGGAAACAATGAAGTAGTTGTAGCGTAACGAAGGACAAGAAGTATAGTAATTATATCGAAGTGACATTTTTAACCATATATTTAATTCGCCAAAAAATTAATTCGAAGCCGAATAAAATGAAGTTTACAAACTTTAACATGAAGATATTTCTGAGCTTGATTTAGAGCATGAAGCGTTTTAATAATTATTAACGTAACAAATTTTCTTACAAAATAAATATTTTTGTCTAATTTTTAAATATTATTGTTATAATCTCCTACATAGTTTTTCGAATTGCAAAATGATAATAACGACCTTGCAGAGCAAGTAATTCTTGATGAGTTCCACTTTCAACTATGACACCCCTATGTAAAACACAAATTAAATCTGCATTTTGAATTGTTGATAAACGATGTGCTATTGTAATTGTTGTTCGATTGTTTTGAGCACGATCTAGTGCATCTTGAACTATTCTTTCATTGTTGGCATCCAATGCACTTGTTGCTAAAAAGTTTATAAATATATTATAGAGCTATTGTATTCCTCGTATTATTTTTTACCTTCGTCAAACAATAATATCTTTGGATTTCGAATTAATGCTCGAGCAATTGCTGAAATCGATTAAATTACATGTAAACAATCCTTCTTCTTCTTCTTCTTTTTCAAACTTTGATCTTACCGATTCGTTGTTTTTCTCCGCCTGATAATTGAGCTCCTTTGGTACCACAATTCGTTTCATATTGCTAAAACGAACATGTGTTCAATAACCCGGAAAAAGAAACGTAATCCTAGCTAAGATTTACTTCCGGAAGTCTTTGAATAAAATCATGTATATTAGCATTTTGAGCTGCTGCGATGATCTCTTCCATTGGAATGTCATCTCGACTATTATCACCATAAGCAATATTTTCTTTTATTGACATATCAAATAAAACGGGTTCTTGTGAAACAATACCAACTGAAAACAAAATTAATTTAAGATTGACAAACAGAAAAGATCTATTGAAATACTTTGTGATCGATACCATTGAAGATTAAGACTTCGAATATCTTTTGAATCGACTAACTATGAAAAGAAAATAGAAGAGCATGTGAGTGTAAGACAGTGATATCGATGAACTGACCAATCGACCAAGATTTGGATCATAGAAACGTTCAATTAATTGAACACTTGTTGACTTTCCACATCCAGATGTACCTAAACGGAAAAACAAAACAAAACAAAATATATATATTCAAATTGATGATATCATAAAGCGACAGAAAAAAATGACGCATACCAACAAGTGCAATTCGTTGACCTATGAAAAGAAAAATTAATAGAAATAGATGAATAGAAAACCGATGAAATACCAGGTTTAATTTTAAGTTGAAAATTTCTAAGAATAATTGCTTCCGGTCTATTTGGATAAATGAAATGAACACAGTCGAATTCTAATTCTCCATGAAAGTTAGGCTAAAACAACAAAAAAAGATGAATCATTGATGAATATCATCTAGAATAGTTCATAACTATTGACTCACAATTTCATCACCATCCTGTGAACTGTTGTTAATGGTTGGTTTTCGATTCAATAGAATTAGAATTTTTTCAGCAGCATCAACAGCCTTGGTGTAATCTGGAGACCTAAGCACAAAATGTTCTTTTATTCATATGGTTTTCATCTCAACATTTTCAATTATTTACATTGATGCTGTTTGTCCAACACTTTGGGCACCGAATACAATGCAATTAAAACACCTGAACTTAAATAAATTTAACATATTTTAAAGAGAATTATTCCTACAGTAGTAGATTTTCAAATGAAACTGAGCCTTGCTCGATGAGAAAAGCACCTAAACTAAATAGTGCTGCAAGACTAAAGAACATGACAGAGTTTGTTAATGAGAAGAATACACCAAAGAGATGTGCTCGTTTTATAGATGATCTATAATAAAAATATTCTAATATATTCTCAATTAAAATTATAAAAAATATCTACAATACCGATAAGGAACTTCAAGGTATTCACTATATTCATGATGAAAATAATTTTCTTTGGTTAATTGTACAACTGTTCGAATATTTTGTATAGATTCTACTGATACCTATAGAGTATATGATCAAATGAACAAAGTTTATTTTAGAAAAAAAGAAGACTATTGCACCTTTCCAGCATCTTCCAGCGCTTCTTTATCTTTACTGGCAAATCCAGTCATTAAACGACTTTGTAAAAATCCACCAATAACCATAAATGGAACAAAACCAAGAATAAGTAATGTCAATTGCCAAGAAAATACAAAACCAAGTATAATACCAGTACCAAGTGCTGCAATATTCTGTATCATAAGTCCAATACGAACTCCAGTTGCTCCTTGTACAGCAGATGCTTCAGTAGCTAAACGTGTACATAATGCACCTGTATTGTTACTTTGATTATCAAAATAAGCGATTTCTTGACGTAGAAGAGCGCTGAAAGCTTTTGAACGTAATCGTTTTGTTAGCGCTTCGCCCGAACAAGCAAATAGAAAACCCTAATAAGAAAAAATAAATGTGGAAACTTCGGGTTTCATCCGAGAGTTATGTGTACTGCAAAAAGTGCATGGGACATATGAGTCATTCTAGAATGTCTGAACACGAAAATTATCATGAGAAATTAGACAATTTGATTTCTGGATGCAGTTTTTGTGCATTTTGAGACGTTTTTCAGGCGATGTTTCATCAGAAAGCTACGGTTTAGCTCAAAACTAATATCAGATGATTCAGAATCAGTGTTAAAAACTGAGTCGATTTATATACGTTGTGGATAATTCTGAGAAAGATGTTCTTTTGAAAAATCTCTGTACTCCCCCTCAGGAATGGTCTGATCAAAAATGACAATTTTCTCGATAACTCAGCCATTTCTTGACGGATTCTTCTCATCTTCGAACTCAACCTAGATATTGATGAGACAATTCTGTGCACAAAATTTTAGCTCAATCGAATGTAATTGTGAAGAGTTATCGAATAAACGGACGGCAGGACACACTGACCGATTTTAGCAGTGTACTCACTTTTTGAGTACACAAAAATCAAATCCAATAAATGTATCAACAATTTTGGAATCATTCAAAGAAATAGAACATACTTGAAGAAACATGGTAACTAACATTAGAATACCAAAACCAATAAACAAAAGTATATAGACTAGTACTCGACTTTGCTGAACTCCTTTATCACATTCTTGAAAGACCTGTTTCAATAGAAACAAAAGAAAGAAGCAATATTTTTTTAATGAACATTTGTAAAAATGAAAATCTACCGCAGTCAATTTGCTTAGAACAACACCGAATGCTGGTTGAATACCGCCATTGCATAGACATGAGACGCAGCCAATAAATATATATTTCCATTCTCGTTTGTTCATTTTTAACATTGCAACAGTCGCACTCGGTTTTTTTACCTAATCAAAGCAAAGTGATTGAAAGTTGAATATATTATTTTTCCTCCCTACCTCAACATTTTCTTCATCAACTGCATCGTCACTAGTTTCTGAACTCTTTTGCTTACCATACAGTGCAATCTTAACCGATGGTGTCATACTAACGATAGTTGAAGCACGCTTTCTTGAGAAGCCTAATGGGGCCTCGTCAGTTTTGGCAGGTACAGTCGATTGATTCAATTCAAAAGCTAATTGTGCTTCTTCTTCAGCCTTAAGTAGATTTTGTTGTTCAACAAGACTATAATAAGTTCCACGTAGACGCATCAATGATTCATGATCACCTTCTTCAATAACTTGACCTTTGTGCATGACAATAATTTTATGAGCATTACGAATTGTCGATAGACGATGTGCAATGACTAATGTTGTACGGCCTATAGTGATAGCGATTCATGAATATTATAATGGCAATAGTTCGATTAAATTTCCAGTATTTATACCTTGAGCAGCACGATCCAAAGCTTCTTGAACTATTTTTTCACTTTCATTATCAAGCGCACTAGTTGCTATTATATAGCAAAATTCAAACTTAATATAAAAAATGAAATATTTATTCACCTTCGTCCAGCAGTAAAATTTTTGGATCGCGAATTAATGCTCGAGCAATTGCTAAAAACAATTTCATAAGATAACAACAACAATGATGATCAACATTCCCACGTGTGCTCCTAGTGCACACTTACCAATTCTTTGTTTTTGTCCACCTGAGAGTGTAGCTCCACGATCACCAACTCGAGTTTCATATTTCTACAAAAAACAATACATATGCACGCAAACAAATCGCATAAACAACAAAACCGTAAGTATATCTATTACTTACATCAGGTAAATCCATAATGAAATTATGTGCATTCGCCATTTTTGCTGCTTCATGAATTTCTGCATCAGTTGCTGTATCTCTTCCGAATAGAATATTTTCTCGGATAGTTGCTTGAAATAAAATTGGCTCTTGACTAACAACACCAATATGTTCTCTTAGCCATTTTAAATTGTATTCATCGACTTGATGATCATCAATAAAGACTGAGCCTGCGTCAGGATCATAGAATCGTTGCAATAATTGTACACATGTTGATTTTCCTGAACCGGATGATCCAACAAGAGCAATGGTTTGACCACGCTTAACATCAAATGAAATGCCATCAAGAATTTTGACGCCAAGTCGTGATGGGTAAGTAAAATGAACATTTGAAAAACGAATATCGCCGGTAAGACCAGCTTTTTTCAAACCCGTTTTGGAATTGCTATGAATTTTAGATGGCTATGAAAGATATAAATTAGAAAGAAAAACATTTTGATCGACTTGAATCAGTGTGTTGTCTTCTTACATCATCAATAATTTTCCACACGGCATACGCAGCACCTCGTGCTTGAGTTAACGCTTGAAAGTGTGGACTAGCTTGACCCAAATTGAAAATAGCAATAATAATCGCAAAGAATACCTAAACATAACAATTGTTATAAGAAAAAAAAGAAGAACACTTCAATTCAAATGATTTTAAAAGCTATTTTGTATATAATTATCGAATGACTATATATATATATATATCTTGTTTTTACTTAATTCGATATTCTGTAAGCTTTTAAAAATAAATCATTAATTCATTTTTGAGTGTTTTCAACGTACAGTGATAACATCACCAATACTATATCCTTCGTCTCGAATCAATTTTGCTCCGTACCAAAATCCTATTATAAAAGTATACTTTACATCGACGATAAATTCATTATTACTATGACTAACATACCTAGTGCATATGCACAATAGATAAAAAACCAAACAGTACCCATCGTAAAACCGTTTATTGCACCTCTTTTTATACCATTCTTTTTAGCGTCACCAAGATGCTTTTCATATCTATCAAAAACATATAATTACATTGTTGCGGAAAAAAAAAGAAAACAGTTAGTGCATTTGATTATCAAACTCAAACCTTTCCTGTTCTCGCCTTTGCCCATTGTAAGCGAGCACTGTACGAATCGAACTAAGTACTTCTTCAGCAATGGCTCCTGCTTTACCATAAGCTTTTAATTCCATTGCTGTCAAACTAGAAGCAAGCTAGAATTAAATACGATAATAATCAATTTTCATATTTTTGTTTTTCTGTATTAAATACGAAAAAAACGATACCCTCGAAAACAGCACAGCGGAAGTAAATAGTAATGGAGATATCGATAATATAACCAATGTTAATTTCCATCCTTTGGCAAAGCCTATACAAGATAGTGATTGAAACTTATAAATTGAAATTCATGTAAAAATAAATATTTATAAACTTACCAATACAAAAGCCAGTAATAAATGCAGATAGAAATTGTGCTGCTGCACCGAGTTTATCTCCAATACCATCATGAATTTTATTGACATCATCTGTCAATTTCGTATTCAGTTCTCCAGCTTTGTGTAAATCAAAATAGACCATATCTTTTCGTAGAATGGATTGAAATAATCTTTTTCTAATAGTTTTTGTTTGCTTTTCAGCTGCCATACTCCAAAATGCTACTTGGAGATAACCCATCACAATACTAACACAACCGAGAATGACCAAATAGTTCGTTTGTTGCTTTATTTGACTTTGAAAATCGAGTGTTATATTAAGGTTACAAATACTAAATAATAAGTAATTATTACTTTTGAAAATTTAGTTCTTCTCTCTAAATATAGACTTACGATAGTGATGATAAAAAATTCGATGCTGTCAATTGGTAGCCTGCTGGACAATACTGAGTAGAAAGGGCTGTATAATTGAGTGTACACAAATCAGTAGATCGGCTAGTAAATGAAGTTAGAAGGTTTCCAAATACAAGAACCATAAGGGGCAAAAGAACGCCATTGCCCAGCCCTCCAAAAGTACCAATTAACATATAAATTATATCGATTCGTGCAGCATATCGAAACTTAAAAGTCAATTACTATTCTTATTTTACATAGAAAATAAAAATCATCATTACTTACCAAACTTCGAAAACCAACGGCTTCGACGGGTATTTTATCTTTCTCTTTGCCAGGAAGCTTTTCCGGTGAATCCAACTCATTTGAATTACCTTTTTCCGTCGACGAAGTAACACTACATATATATTAGAAGTGTAAAAAAACATTAGCATAATTGTTTATTATACTTTTCATCAATAATTTGATCTTGATGTAAACCAGCGATACTTCTATCGTCGCCAGGTATCTTTGCTACTTGACTGCCAGTCATTATTCAACTTTTATTCTACTGGAATGCGCAGCATCAATGGTTATAAATTTCATCCGTGTTTTTTTTTCTTTATTTTTTTTTCTGCTTTTTTCTCGTTCTCAGAAGCGTTTCACGGCAATATTTTACACACGTACTTCAATGCTATACGTCATTCAGCCCACAATACAAGACACAACAACTCTTCTCAAACATAATGCAGCATAAATAGATCTCTTATTTTACTTAATGCGTTGTGGACATTGTTCAGGTAAATATATGTTAAAAGAACTGATAGTACGTTCCATAAGTGCGATGCGTACACTATGCAGATGCGTGAAGTTATATTTTTCTATAGACAACATTGAATAAAACTATTTTTTTAAATTCTACTCTATTTGCTTAACAAATAATAATAAAAACATTTATCGAATATATTCCATGGAAGCAAGATTTTTTTTCGAAGCAAATGCTATGTTGTAATCATTTTCGAATAGTTCGTTAAAGTACGATGTCGACGAGAACCTGAATATTTATTCACTGCATAAAACATAGACGCTTAAACAAAATAAACAAATCGAAAAAGAACGAAAAATCGCCGGTTAAATAAATGAAATGCGAAAGAAAAAAGAACGAACCGATTAGATTTAATTCACCGTATGATTTTTATTTTTCTATCGTATTTCGTTTTCAGTCTTTTTTTTACGAAACCAGAACGTGCGATGCAATTCACAATGTTCTTCATTTTATTCGCACAGTGAATTGTGCCTGTTAATGTTCTTGAAATTAGAAAACAACAGATTGTGAAGTATAGCGAAGAATTAATGCTAATTTAAACTAATAATTGGATAGACCAATTCATTTTTTCTTAATAATTAGCATTTCGAATTTTAAGAATAGAAGGCATTGCATAAAAACAAAACTGATTAAATCAATAGATACTTTATTAGAAATTATTTATTATTCTCAAATTTAGTCGTAAAACATTACGACAAAGTAGAGTCTTATAAATTCGTTAAAAACAAAAGAACGTAATAGACAACAGATACATGAGTCAAAATTGTACAATAAACATAAAAAAATGCAAACAACATTAATATCTCTATATTGTGAATAGTTCTGCGATTCGAAACGAAAATTAGACTTCAAAACGAATACCCTCTTTATCAGCAATCACCGATTGTGGAGCAGTTCGTCCACTAGTTGAAAATGTGTCATTACGCACAAATGATGATGGTGGTAACGGTGAAATAAATGTTCGGTATTTTGGCGTTTGTATGTCTCCATGATTTACAACAGGTGGTACATCAACTAAGGACGATGATGTTGTTGATGACAATGTTCCTGACTTTTCTTCAAATTGTCGAAATCTTTTCATCAAGTCAGTAAATGTCGGTCGTTGTTCGCTGAGTTCTTCCCAACATGAGCACATTAATGCATAGATTCGTTTTGGACAATTCATTGGACAAGTTAATAATTTTCTATCGCGTATCATTTCAATTACTTCTGGATTTGTTCGTCCATAATATGGTTGTATACCATAGGAAAACATTTCCCAAAGGAGAACACCGAACGACCAAACATCTGACATTTCAGTATAAATACCTGATAGCAAAGATTCTATTGCCATCCATCGGACAGGTAATGAACGATTAGCGATCTTATAATAATCTGCATCATATTTTGGACGGTAACGTGCAATATTAGAAATTTTGATGTCCATATGTTCAGAAATGAGAATATTTTTGGCTGATAAATCATTATGAACAAAATTCTTTTCAGCTAAATAAACCATGCCCGATATAATCTGTATTGATATATAAAGAAAATCAGTGAGATCACGTTGTTGATACAGCGAAATTGCTGTTGAACGTTGTAATAAATATTCATGTAAATCTCCATCATTTAAACGTTCATAGATCATTAATGAAAGTGCATTTTGTGGTTGCATACAAATACCAAGTAGACAGGATATATTCGAATGGCGTATATGACGAAAAACTAAATAGAAATATTTCATTTAGTAAAGAAATTTGAGAAAAAAACAAACAGTGCGTATTGAATTACTTTCTATTTCACGTGAATATTCTTCACGATTTTGTGGTGATGCAAATTCAGTTTGTAACGTTTTTATTATACATTTCTGTGAACTATCAACAAATTCACCTTTATATATTCGTCCAAAATCACCTAAAAAACAAATTTTAATCCATGAAAAATCAAATCTTAAAAAGAATAATATGCATTTACCTTCACCAAGTTCTTGTAAAATTCTTATATTTGTGAATGGAATTTCAGCTAGAGAACTTTCTGATAATGGATTTTGAAAATTTGGATGTTTTATTTCCGATTTAAGTAATGTTTGTCGAAGGTGTGTGTTTGTAAAATATGTATTTGATGATGATGACGACGACGGTATATAACGTGGATTTGGTTTATTAATATTTGTCGTTATGGATGGACGAAAAGGTGACGATGTAACCGTATTAATAAGATGTGTAGACTTTTTAATTGGTGTTGATGTCGATGAACATGTTGACAGATGACTATTATTATTATTTTTACGATGGCAACGCCAGCATATAATTACCATTATGAGACATACAGCAACAGGTGCAGTAATAACACATAAAATAGTCAATATGTGTGATGTTGATGTTTCTGGATGTCGAGTTGTTGAACGAGAATTTGATGATGAGGAATCTAAATAGATAAAACCAATAAAAAATGATTAAATTAAAATAGATGTGTTCTTTTGACAGTATTTTACTTCTTTCACTTTCACGCTATTCTGTATTAAAATCAATGTTTAGATCTTTTAAAAACTAGCGAATATGACTCATTCAGTTTTTTTTATCCACATTCTTCGAAAGGTCTTCATTGCCAGAATTTCAAATTTAGAGGAAAATTTCCTAAAATGCCAAATTCGCAAGTCCACTTTTTACCAACTCGGTGATAAATTTCACTTTCAAATACTAATGCTGGTTCAAAAGAACACTGCGAGCTCGTTTTCATAATCCATATATGAAATTTTAGTTTAGAATGCAATTCATAAAGAATTCCATTGGTGTCTAACACCTTTATTTGGATTTTATTGCGCTGCGTAATATCGTACACAAATATGCTTTGTAATTCGATATTCTACATATTTCGCAAATTTTTGATTTAATATGGCAAAAATATTACCATATCTTTCAATGACGTATGTAGAATATGAATTTTTCATTTCATATCTAGATGATCTTAGAACACTTCTCACTATTAAATCAAACGCCAACTCGAAAGATAATGCCACTTATGATTTAACACTTGCCTCTTTATATTCCTACTTTAGACGTATCGTAGAAATGAAGAACACTACAACTATTATCTTTCTCTCTTTCTTTCTTCTCGTATCAGCGATTAATAAATACATTGATATACAATACTAATGAGTGATAAAATTGCCATACTAACACTTTCTATACGTTATCGGCGTATGCACAACAGTTTCAACGAATTTATAATCAAAACAAAAAAGATTATGCAATTAAATTTTTCATCTCTCATCTAATCATACAAAAAGTATATCAAACACGAAAACGTACTTTTACTCTTCGGACGACTTGATACTGTTTGATTAATAATAATACATGTTGAATCATCACTGGTCGGTGGTAGATTATCACATGTCGGTATCTTTTGTATAAGTTGAACTAGTAACAAAACGCATATATTTTGTTTTCTCTATTTAAATTATTGATTTGAACTTACGATTAGAATACATTTGTGGTAGTTTATCATTAAATAGATTTGAACATGCATGATTTTGAAAATATTCACATGAATGACGACATATAGAACGTACACTAAAACGATCGTTGTCACATATTGGATATGCAAATAAACATATCATTTGTAATAACAATTGACCACATTCTTTTGATAATAATTCATTATTAGTAACAAAATTTAAATTTTCCATTAAATTTTTCTCAATCTCATTTTGATTTGTTGTTGATATATATTGAGACGATATTATCGGACGACAAATACTACCCGTATATTGTTCACATTTTAATTTATTTGTTTGTTCATCACTATTTATAACTATTTCTGGTTGAAAATCAATTGATGGTAATCTTCGATAAAGAAAAAAACATAAATCATTATGAAAACTAAAAACAATGTTTTGTTTTTGTCTTACAATTCATCATTTGAATCAGTATCATCGATATCCACTATGATAGAAAGAAGAAAACATAGATTGATTAATGAATTGATAAGAGAAATTGTTTTTAGCTACCGGGATTTTTAACTCGAACAAATCCAGTTGATGCTAACGTTTGAAAACCATTCGATACTTCACATGTATAGAAACCAGCTTCGGATTCTTTTAAATTCTTTAAATTAATACTAAAAATAACAAACGTACAGATATAGAAAAATAAGTTTGCTATTATCTATGTGGTATTTTGTTTATTACCTAGATCGGAATGCACTTTGATCAATAGAAAAGCGTCTTTTATCAAGCGGATTATTGTATCTATACCAATTGAATGATACTGTATGGGCTGATTGAACTTGACATTCCAAAATAACTGTGCTACCACCATTTTCTGTTATATTTTTTAATGTTTTTATCCATTGCATAGAAGTTGATGCTAATAAATTCGATGGTCGAGTACTTAAAATGAGGAAAGAAAAAATTACACCTGATCGATCATATAATTGCATTGAGAGGAAAAAAATTGATAAACGCATTTAAATATCATTATCATGATTAGATGAGATGCTTTGTTTTCTTTTGTCAAGGTAAATTCGATAAGGATCTTTTACTCATCAATCTTAGCTTATAAATACATATATGAGCTTCTTTGCTCTATTGATTAGGTAAGAAACCCTTGAGCGGTTTCTTCGTCTTTCTTTCTTTTTTTTACGTGATTGAACAACCATTATGTTGTTGCCTTGTACTTACACGGCTGGAACACGCACGAGACAATTTATATTTCTGATTGACGGATGTATGTATGAAGCAATATTTCTCGTTTATCCGCGTATGTCAGGCTTCCTATTCATATCGTCTCCGCCAAAGATCAACAATGACTATCAATATACTTCTATATGTATATTGTATGTAATACCTTAAGATTACTGGAGTTGGTTGATTGACAATTGTGTTTGCTACTTGTGCTTGACGTTGATTATTGTTGTCGTTGTTAACTGGTGACAGATCACCGAACGGCACAAGTCCAATGAAGAGAAAAAGAAGACGACGAAAGCCTAAAGAAGAAAAATAAAGTAGCAACTATATATCAGATAGGTGATAACTTTGTGTTGTTCTTCCTGGATGATTGCATTAACACAGGGTGAGAGAGAGAGAGAGAGAGAGAGAGAAAACGCTGTGTAGCATAGAAAAGGAAGCTGCAAATATGCACTTGGCACCCATGACTATAATGCCACACGAGAAATCAATCTGCTGTCTAAACATTGCGCTTGATCAACATATGTAAACATTCATATATGTTTTGCACTCTTTCCGATACGCTACGCTACTAGTTCTTTTCTTTTACAAGTGTTTGGTAAGCAGCGGGTTATGCCTTGAGTAAATAGCAAGATACGAGTGTGTCAAGAGTTTTAAAGCTCTTAACATGAGAGGCAACCAAAAATCATTAGCGTTTTTCGGTAGTTAGTAATGATGGTCATACTTACAAGCATACATATTCAATAAGTACACTTGTATGCTTAATAGTAATAATAATAATAATAATATTCTTAATCCGAATGTTAATAATAACTGTTGAACGAGAGAATAAGAAAAAAAAAGAACGAGCTCTTCTGATATGATCTAGTGAGGTTTTTTCTTCTTCTTCTTACCCGTCATTAGATATCTGTCCTTCGAATTGATAAGAAACAAGAGTAGAAAGTCAAATGATGTGCATATCTTATAGAGAAATATAATAATGATCAACTAGGTTCTTTCTTTCGTACAAGATGAAGACATGAAAATGTCAAGGCTTGAGTTTATTATATATGCATATATATATATATATATATATATTTATGTTTCCTAATCGTTAAATTACTTACCAAATATATTCATGGGTATTAATGTTGAATTGTTGTGACGATAATGAAGAAAAATATGAAATTTTTAGTTAACTGTGACTAAATGATTGTCAACTGGAACAATAATTAACGCATTGAATAATTTTCATCGATCTAAAATAGTACAAATGGTTTGATTCGTTTTTTTACATAATAAACAAACTAAATCATATTCTCTTCTTGTTCACATATGTGAACATATATGCAATCCATGATGTGACACCAATAACTCTACAAGATGCCGCACACACCAGCGAGGGAGAGAGAGAGAGAGAGAGTAAGAAATGCGAATGTATGCATTATCGTCATTGCTCGTTGGCTATATGAGTTGTTCTCTCGTTTTCTCTCACCATCTCCTTCTCGCTCTCTCCCTCTATGTCTCTCGCTTTTTCTTTATGTACAATTACTATATGTAAGGTCATCTTGTCAAACTGGCATGAAACAAAAAAAGAAAGAGAAGGGACTATTTCAATTCATCTCTATTCGTAGAATAGTCTAGTGTTATAAGCCTTCATATATTCTTATATGGCTGAATTTATAAATTATTCGATTTTTTTGCTGGTTCTTTTGTTTGAACGCAAGCAAATATTTTCAATAAATTTTGAATTATGCGAATGCACATAGTGTTCTCAAGAGAGAGCGAGGGAAAAAGTCATTTATAATAAACGTTATGATTGAGTTTATAAAAATGGTTTTATGATTATTTGACACAAAAGAAAATTAAATGAAACAAATGTGTAGATGCTAATAATTATGAGTTAGTTTTTCTAATTGTCTGATCGCGATAGGCAAACACATACGTTTTATATAGAATGAGTAGTGGCGCCGGTTCACTTCTTCTTCTTCTTATCTTTCACTAACATTTACACATGCATACGTCGTTCGTACTATGTTTATTATGAGAACATTATTAACACTTATCAAACTCAACTATAGCGGCAAAGTTTTAAGCAATTGTCATATATTGAACATGACTGTGAGAATAATAAACTGTCTTCGATCTCAAGCGGCTCTATAGATGTTACAAAAAGAAAATAAATTCTACTTCAAAGAATCATGTATAAAATAAATTATTGCTTAGTAATTTTCTATGCCTTATCCAGCGACCTTCTTTTACTCTACCACCATATCTGAACAGAGCAACAGTAGTATATAGGGAGTAGAGCGGACGTTGATCTAAGCCAGACGGTCAACTCAAACTTGTCAAACGTTCACTGACTCTTACAATTGCCATATGAATGTATTCATAAAGAGAGACGTTAATTCATTCTCATCGGACAGAACAAGTGTGTGCATATTGTTGATTTATTGTATTTTAACTCATTATATACGTGTATAGCTGTGTTATTCTATAATTCATTTTCGACTACTACTACTACGATCGTTACCTTCTTACCTGCAGACGTGATTTGATATCATCCATATACACAACACACAAAAAAAAAGGAAAAGAAAAAGAAAAACAAAACGAAAACAAAAGAGCAAAACGAGCTCATGTAAAAAGTACAAGAGAGTGCTTTAGTGAATATACGAATGTGTTATATAGCATCTGGTCATCTCTATTCACCGATTTCAATAATCGATTTTGTCTGCACATCGTTCAAAATGATTGCATGATATGATATATATATATATGTATCAAATGGGTAATAGAACCTATAGCACACCCTTGCATAGTGTCTCTGGATGACGAATGATGATATGGTGTTGGTAGTGGTATCAAGTCTTATTTCTCTCTCAATTGTCTATCTACGTACATATATATATATGTGTGTGTGTACGCGTGTATTATTATTATTATTGTTAGACGCATAGCCTATATTCAATGATGCTCGAAGCATTTCTTCTCTTTTCTTTTTCTTGATTGAAATAAAAAAAGCTGTGAGAATCAGCTTTCTTGTTTTTCCATGTATAGTTCTATAATCCATTTTCACACACATATTATCGTATAAGATATTCGTCATCAGCTTTAAGAAAAACAACTATATTATTAATTTTTTTTTCAACAACAATTCATTTCTCACTTCTACTTAGTGCTATTAAACAGAATATGCAGATGAATCGAATGATATCTATATCTATATATATATATATATATATTATGTAAGTTGAATATGGCAATGATAACAGATTGATTTTTACCATATACTAAAGCAAAAATTATACATTTATATCTGAATGTATCGAACCATTTAGCTATATGTTGTGTCTCGGGAGAGAAAGGAATGAGAATGAGAAAAAACGTTGCTTAAATAAACGTTCTATTTGAATCATAGTTTTGTTTGTCTTGTCTATATTCGTTGTTAGCCTATTTTTCTATATCAATAGATATGATATGCAAGAGAAAACTTGTTCAATCATAGGGTGTCAGCAATCATCTACGTCATTATGATTTGATCATCACACTCTAGCCGCTATGTGGCTTGTCAGTACGATGTTATTAAAGTGTTCAATTCAAACAACTCATCAATCGTACTGGTCAATCTCGATTTCTTTCTTTTCTTTTTTTTAATGTTAGAATGTTCATGACAGGTGACCATTTTTCTTCTCATCGATGAGCTTCTTAACAGATAGGTTTCGAAATTTTTATTTTTGTTTGTTTCATCATTATTTTATCTAAGCAAAAAAAACATTACGAGAAAAGAAAAAGGTTTTTTTTTCCTACTCATTTGCCCTCAAGGGTTAAATATTAGTCTTATCATCGTTGAATTAAGGCAACAGATGTTAACTGGCGAAAGTGTTGATGGCTTGGTCTCTTTGCAACAGACGACCGTCAAGTGAAGTACTAATGTCGCTTCGTTTCTTGTCATTTCAACGGACAGCTGCATAAAAGGCCATCTTCAAATGATGCATGTTCATAATCAATGAAAATCGACTAATTTGATGATCTGATAAAATTTTACAATTATTATTGTTTAACCGTTATTATTATTATTCTTAGGCGCTTTTCCAATATTTTGACAGATGATGACGGCGACGCCTATCTATGTATAACTCTTATATGATTATATGGATAGATGCGTTCATCGTTCATTTACCGCCTGCTGAGAAAGGATAGCCCAGACATGACTAAAGAAAAGTACACAATAATCAGAATGTTCTAGTCAATTTGATTATATGATAATTTACAAATGTATTTATCGATAATCACAAAAGAACAAAAAAAAAAGGAAATTCCCGAGAATGTTAAGATTACATGTAAAAGAATATGTAAGATAAATATAGAAGCAAAACAAAATTGTTCACAAGAAATTCTATACCATCATCCAGCGATATTATTTGCCTTCGCATAAATTTTGGAAGTAAGTTCGAAACAAGCAGAAAAAAAAGAAGCTCATGGACATGTCAATCGCAACTAGGCAAACGAAAAGTTCATGAATATTTTTTTTACGGATTGTATAATATAAACAACGGAGCGTCTATTTATTATTTTGTTTTGTTTATTATGTCTGAGGAAACAAGCGATCTTTTACTCGACACTTTGTCGTCATCAAATTTCAAAGGATCGTTTTATGACAAGAAATAAAGGAACCTATTGAAAATAAACAAGTATTAGGTGATACCAATGATTATAATAAATCACTGTTATCTCTAGTAAACAGGGGCGGCGGAGCGTCATTAAGTTAGGTGTGGCTCATAATATATTTTTTTCTACTGGGGAATTTTAAGAAAGCATCCAGTAGAAAATAAGTCTTCTTTTTATTGAACGTCAGTAAAAATAGAAATTGCCAGTATAAAAACGAAGATTGGAAAATACCAAAATATACTTTTGTTTCCACCTACTTTGATGCAAGAATAAAAAATAGCAATAATCAGTACAAAAGCAAGTGAGACTGAGCCTCATCTTGCGAAATCTAGGTGAGGCTCAAGCCTCGTGGGTCTCAGTGACTCCGCCGCCATTGCTAATAAAAGTTATGCCAACGGAACAACATTAAAAAGTCACGAACCGAGATGTTTCTTTACAAATTATGAATCAGTTCAATGAAATAATGCATCATGAATGCTTACGGCCATACCACGTTGAATACACCAGTTCTCGTCCGATCACTGAAGTTAAGCAACGTCGGGCTCGGTTAGTACTTGGATGGGTGACCGCCTGGGAATACCGAGTGTCGTAAGCTTTTTGCTCTTTGTTTTCCACAGACAGTATAAAATACCTATCTGGTGATCGATTCAACATTAGAAGAAATTAAATTTTTATTTGACTTGACATTCGATTCAACTGGCCCAACTTGATGAAAACAATACACTATGTAAAAGTTTTTGGCTCATCAAAACATTCATTTGATTTTAATATTCTCAAATCATAGATATAGATCCGACTTTGAATCATGGTTATCAAGAGAAAATCTTTTCATTAATTTTTATACTAAATAAATCAATATAAAGACTAAACTTATTTTCAGCGTAAGACAACACCGCTCATGAGAAGGAGACTCCCAATTTCTACATTTATTCTTCAACAGTTCTTCTAGATCGTGTTTCATAAAACATCAATTGATTAATACTATCACGTTTAAAATATTCACTAATGAGTTAATTTGAACAAGTTCTATCTAAATGTCTCATCGAACACTTGATGATGACATTAGTAATTCATGATAATATAGATTATTTGAGTAATTGATATTATTCTTAATGTCGAAAAATTTTTTATCTAAATAGAATCAAGATGTAAACGAAGTAAATAATTTTGATGGTTTGAACGAGTTTTTGCACAAGAAGAAATTATGATCATGAATATATTGAAACTACTTTTCGTTTTAGTTCAATAAAAGCACTTAAACTATTAAATCGATAATTTTCATCGCTAATTATAGTTAATCGCACAATGATTGAAATGCTTAACGTATAATTAGTTGAAACTAGTGAAACAAAAGATCATGAAAATTGATTTGGTAACCAACAATTAAAAGTTTCTTCTTTTTAAACAAACAGAAGCATCTTTTCTGCGTAACATAAAAATTAAACAATATTTATGAAACATTTTGTTCAGCTTTCATTTATTTCCCGATAAACTATGTTGAACATCAGACAAGAATTCACTATTGTTAATGATCTTACAAGGATGCTTAAATATCTGATGTTTAAAAGTAGATGATTAAAATTTCGAATCGGAATATCGTTTTTCAAATAAAACATCTTTTTTTTTATTAATATGTCAGAAAATAGACTATTGAAATAAACACACGGACTTGTCTGTGTACGTTTTAATTCATCGATTTAGTAAAAATGAACATTAGCACGCCCTGAAAAGTTATCAAATTATTTATTTTGTAAATTTCTCTTATCTTTATTTCTAGTTTTGCTCTATGCGATTTAAATCGTACCAGATAAATTATAACATAATCAAATGTCCTGCGAATAAATGGGATAGACAACATGAAAAACGTTTTTGTTTTGTATTCAGTGCACCAATAAGAAAAAACAATACTGATTACTTCAAAATAAAGAAAGAACGATGCATTAACTGTGGAGTTCTAGCTTGCAAAACTGAATTGACAATCGTATGGATAGTTTAGCCGATCGTAGGGCCGATTGCAGAAGAAAGCGTTGCATCTTGATCACCAGCTATAAAATTAAAAGAACAGTAGAGTTGTGGGCAATTATTTATTGAATTGAAACTAATCGAATACGTATTCTTTCTGGATCAATGTCGACATCATTGAACTGTATTGGAAACAAAGTTGAAGCTCATTATACATCTGACTTGTATTCATAGTGAAGATGAATAAGAGAAAAGAGGATCTTTCTATTGGGTTTAACATGTGTGTGTACACTTTTTGCCGCTAGTACAATCACAAGGGAGTAATTTATCGATCTATTCGACTGTTTATCCAGAATTCACGATTTCGTCCAGTCAAGAAAGTTAATTTTTAGAAGCTAATGACTATATCTTTATACTACTGCTAGCATAAAACTCTTTTATTTATGTAAAAGTGTATCAAAACAGTGTTGTATTTTATGCTTCTACTGCAGACAAGTAGACAGAATAATATATTCAAAACAGCAGCAAAATTGAAGAATTTCTTTTCATTTCATTATCAATCATTTCTTCAAGTGTCAACTTATTTTCTGCCGTTAGCATTTGGGATGTATGCAATATATTCAAAAAATATGATGATTTCCAGCTAGTATCTGCCAACAATGCCACTAATGCAGTCGCAGAGTTTTCAATTTCAAATGGCTCATCTACATCAAGGAAAAACTTTGAGAGTATAAAACTACTAGAACTATAGTCATTGTTTCTTGAATCAACGATACATTCAATTATGAGTTATAAGAATAACGAAGATCTGGAAAAAAAAACTTACCACAGGTAGTTTTATCGATGTCGAAACGATATATTCTATAGAAAACGGCAGCATACAAATTGCCGTTCTGGTCCAAGCGAATAGATCGTCATTTATCAAAATTCAGATTGTTTTTTCCTATAACTACGCCCTCCTTAGCACCAACAATACAACGAACAATGTGATGGTTTCCATTCTCTGAAATATAAAGTGCACCTTTGTCGTCAACAATATCTGAGTCAGGGTCGGTCAGATGAGCTAAGTCAGAGCTTTGCCATTCTTGTCCACCAGCAACCACATCTGCATCATCATTGCCTAGCGCATACTTCAGTAATCGATTGTTGCCGGAATCAGCGACATAGAGATTTCCAGTACAGAATAGAAACATATTTGCTCGCGAATTTCGGTGGAAACTTACCACCAGCTTTTCTCATAAATGTGGTGATATTTTTGTTTCCTTGCCACGTAAATTTGAATATTTCATTCTTATTTGTTGTGAACAACAAATCACGAGGTCCGTCAAAAAATATTTGCCTGCAATCGACACCACCAATAAGAGTCTCATCAGACAATGTATTTCGAGGCCAAAGCTGAATACACTGATTATCGCTGTCACAGATGGTTCGATCTCCATCATTGTTTAAGACAGTGTCGGATCCAGAAAATCTGTTAGGGAGTGGCGCTCCTGGCCAAAAAACAGTTTTTCAAGTCTAGTTGAGGCAGAACGACTATTTTCTGTTGCATTTCTGCTGGGGAAAATCGAAAAAAATTTCTTAAGGGGTGTGGCGATCGCCGGATAGCCTAACTGGTAGATCCGCCACTGGCTTAAGAGGATACCACTTGGACGATTCAGTTGATCTAGCCTCGATTCAGCTCCTCTGTTACCTGCCACTTGCGAACCAATCGTGGCATTCTGCGACCTACGAAAAGTCAAATATCTTTATTCCCAAAACAGCTGATAGAGCTTTTCATTTTTTCACAGATTAACAGTATCTTTATCTACAATGGATGCTCATAAGAAGAGATAACCGCGTGATCGAACAAATTCTTCAATTAACAATTAGCCTGTTTTCGTTACATATTTACATCTTTTCTTGAAATGCATCAAATAGTTTAAATCTTCTCTCCCATTTCACTCTTACCACCTACTTTACATGTATGGAGGGGAATAAAGCTATTTTTGTGACACTAAGTGGAATCAAGCCAAAGGCAGCGTATTGAAAAAGTGTGTAAAATTCTACACTATAACATTAATGTTAAGTAAAATACTTTCTCTGGCTGTAATATGGCACAAGTCGGCATGCATTCGGTACTAAAATTGAATTTAGTATTCATCCATAGATTTGCTGGTCGTTTTCCAAGACAACACCATAGTTCTGTTTATAATAACTCAAAGATAAATAACATTGTGTAAAGTAGAGAATCGCAATATCCGACATCTTGTTCTATTTGTATCATTCATTTGGAAAATATTGAATTGGTTTCATGTTTCCAACTTTGTACAAGTGCTTACAAACTGGCGGGCTCTGATAGTTTAGTGAGTTATGTGAGAAACAAAAGATTTGAATCAATGAAAATTCATAACAATAATTGACTTTTGCAAGTTTATAGTCTTGATTTTTGAGTTTTAATGATAGCTCATTAAAGTGCGACACTTCGTTTAGTGAAAAACCATCAAAATCATACTTTTATTGTCTCTTCGTTGCTTAATTACATCATCGAGAAGTCTTGGTACTTGGTAAAAAAAAAGAGAACTTCTTCAGAATATAATTTTCCAAGAGTACCCGAACGTTTGAATGTTAAAAGCAAAAATAATATCGAAATCATCTAGGGAGAGGTACTTAACTGTCGAAACGAAATTTTCAATTCTTCAACTAAGGAACCTTTCATTATGTTTAACAATTTTATACGAAAACTACTCTTTTCCTTTTTGGTCAAAATTGATGAGCTTAATCTCGACGAGATAAACAATCCCACGTATTATGTACTTGCTATCAAATTTTTCATGAATTTCTTTTATTCAGGAAGATACATAGTTAGAGCAATGAAAGTCTTTGATCTTAAATTCAATAGCCAATTTAGGTAAAAACTCTCTGTTGATCGAGTCAACGATGCTCTCACATTGGCACTCTCGAAAATTTTCAATGAGAAGGGCAGAATTTTTAAGTATTCGGACAAGGTAGGCAATACTTGTGAAAGTAAGTGTCAAAACATATCGGAAATAAGGAACTTATCATTTGAAAATACAGTGATTATCTGTATTGGCGACATATATATCTTGCTTGCCGTGAAAGATAAAATCTAGTGGATACAATAGCCTGGCCAAATCAAATAAAGCACCACTCCGTCGTCCAACTACGATTCTTGAAGAGTTTCATTTTGTGTCTTTGCAGATTTGAATTTCAGATTCTGGCTCTGTAAATAAAAATAATTGGAAATTGCGCTAACTGCCGTGACAAACTAAAATTCTAAGAAGTTCAATTGATGATGTCAAAAAAATAGCTTCAGCAAGATTGGCAGTTGCTAAATGAACTCCCATCTTGCGTATCTGAGCTTCGAACTATGTCCGATTATATCTAACTATCAACTATCTGAACAATCTTAACTCAAGAAAAACAAAACTAACGAGAAAATAATTAATCTTACCGTTAGAGAATATCACTTCTGACCGCTGCGCTCTACCTAAGTATCATGCAACGAGTAGAAAAAATTTTAAACACTTTAGGCGATTACTTCGCTACGATACTGGATGAAGAAAACGAAAGAAAATAAATGTAAATATATTTAGTATTAACTCTGCACATCGCCAACGATATGTTCAGATTTGATTTTAAGTGTACTATAAGTATATGGGCTAAAACTGATGAGAAATTTTTGGAAAATTCTAGTCTAATTCAATAAAAAAAACTAGCATACCTCCAAGGAATGTCAAATTTTTAGGTGGTGATGATGGACAGACAGCCAGATTTGCTAATGCAATTGGATAACATAGAGGTTGGTTGCTACAGCGATGATCTAGTACACAAATCGTTTCTGGCCGCTTGCAAGTAACACGAAGGTTCTCATAGTTCATTTATCTGAGAAAGCTCGCTCTCGCGAATATTTATTACGACTGTGGCTTTCAATTATGTTTGCAGACAAATGGTCATATTTCTCCACGGTATACAGTAGTTACAGCTTGTATTTTATTCACAGTTATCTTATCAAATAAATGTACTGATATATGATTGAAGAGCTCACTTGTGAATCGTTTAGGAAACTGCCATTGGTTAATTTATGTCAGTAGATTTTCTTGAACTCTCTCTAACGCAAACTATCATAGATGGGTGTAAATGTGACTCTAGGTTATGATACAAACCTTCACCTATAGCATCAATCTATTAAATAAAGATTTTCTTCTCGCAGAAAATTACGAAATTTGCCAATGAAAAAACATGCAGGATAAATAGTGTCACGCCATATACTGCTGTTCTAATGTTTTGGGGACTTTTTTTAACAAGTCTTCTTTCTCTTGAGGTACGTTATCATCAAATGGAGATTCGATGACAACAATCAATTCGGCGAAATAGACTACTTTAGTATCATCACATTGGAAAAATTGAGAACTACTATTCAATTCATGAACTAGTTTTTCGTCAAAATCAAATCCAATCTCTTTCTCGTCATCAGCATCTAGATTAATGCCATGCTAAATTTCATTAATTTATTTCCTAGAAAAAAAAACCCAATCTTCATTATCTGTAAGATTATTTATCTCATCACTAAAAAGCACGCATCATAAAAAGTAGTCGTGCTAGAAAATGTTCGGTTTTTTTTATTGGACTCTATTTTTCTTCTACAAAAATCAATAACAAAATGAAAAACAACATGTCTTCTTGTTTAACCAATAGGAAGTAAATTGATCAATGAAAATTCAGGTGTTCCTGGATCTGGCCCGAGTTTAAAACCCAAATAGATAACAAGTGGAACAAAACCAAAATAAATTGCATGTGGACTATAACCTAGTACTGATTGAAGACGTCGTTTTATGTCATCTGTTGACTTTTTCCCTGTTCGAGACGATGCATTAGGTTGTATCGAGAACATGATCTTCTTAAATCTACAAAACAAAATTGAGTTTCTTGTATGTTTGTACAATTTTTTTCAAGTCACATAAAATTAGTTTATTGCAGCTGTTTCCTTGATTACGCATGATGTCATAATCGAAATTCTCTTCCGTTACATAGATATGTATCTTCTTCAGATTATTCAAATAAAAGACAGATAAAATCTCACTATTTTTTGGATTCTCTTGATTTTTTTATTCCAACAAAAAAAAAGAAGAAGAAGAAATAGATAGTAATAGTTCAGCACAACAAAAAAAAGTACGATTTAAAAAAATGACAACAATCAATCATGGATCATGAAGCGAGAGGCTAAAGAAAAACCAACGAATATGTGTAATATAAAAAAAAAAGGAAATAAGACAAGAAGAGAAAAAAAAAGAGAGAAAGAGAAGTATAAGAAAGGTTCCACAAACATACACATAGACACATACAAATGTTTAGTTAATAGAAGAAGATCTGCGCGCCAGATTGCCTGTTTTATTTGAAGGTACAAAATATGTATAGAGCAACGACACCGGAAAGCTGTGCTCTTTCTCAAAATGATGTTTCTTTTTCTTTTCACGGCATGAAAACGATGATAGTGATGATACGATAAAAAATAAATAAACAAAAAATATAATCGAATATCAAAAGAGGAAAAGAAAAAAGAATGTATTGATGACGAACAGGTTAAAGAAAATGACAACAGCAGTAACAACAATGATAACAACAACAACAACAACAATAACGAGAGAATGCTGCCCACCAAATAGAAATGACCAAACGAAAGCTGAGATGAATGAATAGAGAGAAAAATCATACAAAATAAAACTTGTGTACAAAATAAACGGAAACACAAAGAATGATATAAGAACAAACAAACAAAAAAAATCATCAAGTGATTTTTAATTTTTTTTTCTTCATAGAGAAAACAATAGTCCAACGTATCATCATTCACCCGTTATACAAGCACAAACAATCATCGAATCTATATGAAATAATCTTTCAGAAAACAACAAGCCACCATACATTATATTCGACTTTAAAGTCTCAATATATGTAGAAAGATTGCACAAAACAAAACAAAAAACGAGTAAATATACGCTATGGTTTTTTTAAAGTAATTATCAGAAAGAAAAAGAAATGTACGAGATCATCCAACAAGTTATCCCCCACGATGAAAGAGATGAAATAAAAGACTAACAACATTCATATCCAAAAAATGCGCTAAGTCTTACACAAACAAAAAGAAAAACATAAGCGCAAATGTTCACAAGATAGGAAAAAGAAAAGAAAAGAAAAGAAAAGAAAAAAGAAATTTACACAAAACAGGAGTAGAAAAATGATGTGATACAACATAGGAAAATAAACAAAGCAAAAAAAAAGAGAAAAAAAACAACAACAATCATGATAATCAAATAACAACATTGACACAAAAAAATGTGATCATCTAATTCTTTTTTTTCCTTCTTTCTTCCATTTACCAACGAAATGGTAATGCACGTGGCCGATCAGCGCCTTCTTTTACCAATGGTTTATGATATTCTCGACCTGCGCGTGCATGAATTGATGCCCAGCATGTTTCACAATAATATTGTAAACATGTTACATTGGCACAAAAGAATGGAGCAAATTTTCCACCACAGCGTGCACCAGCACATTCATCACATAATTGATCATCAAGAACATATGGTTTAACTTCAACCTAAATAAATCATTTTTATTTGTCAATTACCCTTAAAAACAAGGAGAGTCCAACACATATTTCTAGTAAATTGTTAGAATTTTTACTACGATGGTTTAGAGCATCGTTCACAAAGTTTTGATCATAGTAAAAATCTGACATCGGAAGTTTCAATTAAAATTTTGTACAAACATAGACGTTAACAACAGTAGTAATTTATTATCAAAGCTTCGGATATTTGATTTACTTATATCCGGAAATAAGAACACCCACCCACCGACATGTATGAGCAAGGTAAAAGTCACGCTTTTAGTATAACTCTATTTTAGGATAGGGATCATTAAAATAAGTAAAAGATTGACAATCAACTTTTCTTTCTAGGGCGTGTCGTTGTAGGAAATTTCATTTCATGTATTTATCTAAGCAGATATAATATTGTATGAATCCCACTGTCACGTGTTCGACTGATGGGAACAAAGTAAAAATATTAGTTTAATGAAAAAATCTATTTTCAGACTATGTATTCATAAATCCCTACTGTAATGACTTTCTCTAACAAAATCGAATGTATTTTTCTTCAATATATAAAATAACCGTCAGAAAAGAAAGAAAAACTTACTCGTTTATCAATTTCTCCATGTTGTAATTGTACGAAACGAGCTGATATTGCAGCAATATAACTTTGTTGATTTGAAAAAGCAACACGACCGGCACCTTTCGGATATTTTAATTCCGGATCAGTATCAATACCTGCGTAACAAACACCACCATATAATCGATCCATAATCATTGCTAATTCAACTAGAAAAACAAACAATGAAATATGAATAATCGATTAACGATTGATTTTTCTCCTACCTGCACGTAATGGTCGAGGTACACCACCAACAAATATTGTTTTTCTTGGATCAAGTGGTTGAGAACCATCCATAACAAAGTCAGAATCAGCTAAAAGCCATGGACGTATTTGTACAGCTTTATCTTTCATACTCGGACTTGACACACACATGTAAAGTTTAGAATCATCAATAACACATTCATCAATTATTTCTTGTACAGAACGTTCGTATGTAAATATTAAAAATGCGTAACCTTTAGGTGGAAAGTAAGATTTGCTTTCTTGTTTATGTGGCCAATCAACAACCAATGGACCAAATCGTTGGAAATGTGTAATAATTTCCTCTATTAAAACCAAAATTAAATTAAAGACAAAAACAAAACCAACAATTACCTTCATCAATATCTGGTGGTAAGCCACCAACAAAAACTTTACGTGAAAAACGTTCTTCTTTATTCATATCTATTGGTAATCCACGTGGCGAACCAAATAAACCCATTGATGATGATGATGGACCGCCAGCTGATATTAAACTTTCTGTATCAAGAATACTTCCCATGCCACTATCATCACTATACACACGTTTAACACCATCTGATGAAACATTTCGCATCATATCCATGATTTGTTGCAATGAATTCATGTCATATGTATCATTGGACTATAAAAATAATTTAATAAAAAACAAATAAAAAAGATGTTTAGCTTTCCTTACATTCATCGATGGAAAGTTTTGCTCCATATCATTTCCATTGATGATATGAGGTGGTGGCGGAGGTGGTGATTGTTTATTTTGTCCTTGAATAAAATTTGTCATAGCAGGTGCACGTTGAAGTGTATTTGATAATGATGAACCTAATTGTGTTTGAATGTTGTTATTATGATTATTATTAAATTTATTTTGATTTGCTGATGATTGAAGAAATGGAAAATAATTATTTTGAGCTGATAATGATGAAGATTTTTTATTTTGTGACATTGGAATATTTCCATTGCCAAGCATTAATGTTTGATTTATATTATTGTTATTTGTTGTATTGCTGTTACCCATTGGATTTGATAATGTTGGAACAGGACGACGAGATCTACCGAAAGATAAATTTATAAATTAAAATAAAAAAAGATAAAACCTATAAACGAAATCTTACGATGTAGCTGGAAATCCATGTGGGATAGATGTATTATTCCATGATGGTGATGGTGGTTGTTGTTGTTGCATGTGTGGTGGTGGCATTGATAAATTTGTTTGTGAACCAATAAGTGGAGATTGACTGTTCCATAATGGCGATGGAATTGCTGTACGTCCATTCATTGGAAGTGCTGCTTGAGTAGATGAAGCTGACATGCCATTACGAATTGATTGTGATGAAAAATTATGTGATGCAGTTATTGGTCTCCTCTGTATTGCCTATGAGAAAGAAAGGAAAATTGTAATTACAAAACAGAAAGATAGACTGATAGTACTTGTTGATAAGAAACTTGTTGTTGCTGTTGTTGTTGTTGTTGCATGGCCATAAGTGGTGGTGGTGGTGTCGTTTGTGGTGAAAACATTCGACCACTATTGTGTACATCAAATGGATGATCACCGGAGGCACCACTCAATGGGTCAATAACATTACTCCATGATGAACCTTGATATGTGGCCTGAAGATCAGGAAGTACACCATTTTGATAATTTGTTGATATTAATTTTCCATCATTCATCATTCCATTTCCATTAGCATTCATTTGTTGCTGGTGATCGTTACCATTAACTGGAACTGGTGATGATGACGATGTTGGCGTTGTTGATGTACTATTGCCTGTATTAGCATTCAGTGCAAGTTTTGCGATCGAACTTTCGGTACTCATTGGATTATAAGAACACCAACTCGATGAGAGGAAAGACCTGAAAGTAATTTTGAAAATAAATAAATAAATAGAAAACATTTGATATCAATAAAAAAAAAGAAACAATTAGTCAATCATGCTTTATTGAATTTAAAAGAAAATACCTGGTAGAAATCGTCGGTGATGCGGCTGAAGAAGCCGTTACCAACGAATACATTTTAATAAGATATGTAATTAAATAAAAAGAAATGGCTCTTCTAGAAAAAGATCACTGATGGAAAATGATTTTCATTAAATCAATGTGGCGCGTTGTGTTATATTGCTAATGCACTTCTTCGTTTCCTTTTTTTTTTACTGTTTCACGTTACTAAGAAGGTCACGAATGATTATTTTAAGTTAAGACAAAATCTGACAACAAAGTGAGAAATCATTTCGGCCGACATACACGACGACAAATAACATAGTCTTGTGCATATGTATGTATGCACGCTACACAATCATAAGAGAGTGAAAGAGAGCGATTGAACTACGACGACAACATTTGTTTGCACACGCGTCTCGTCGACGGTTTTTTTCCTTCTGAGCACAAGAAAAAAAAGATGGTCTCCTATGAATGACAAAAGAATCGAAAGAGAAATGGTTGTTGAGCTTGCGTACAACACTGATGACCTAGCCTCATTCACCACATATATATATATATATATAGGATCGAGTTGCAGAGAAACACATACTATTGATGTTGATAATCGTCTTCCTTTCATTGTCTCTTCTTTTCTATCCGTTGCTTTTCAATCAGCAGCACACGACGATATTTCCTATTTTGTTTGTATGTGCACTATCGCACTTCATTTGATGCCACCATCACCGGCGCTCGGGACTTCACAGAATGAATTGTCTCTTTTAGTCTCTCTTCGTGTCATTTAGTTTCTATTTATGCACATAAAATATTCAGAAGAAAAAATTAATGATGTAGGCATACACATAAACGCAAATACATAAAAAGAACAAAGCAGTGAACTATCAGCTGTTAGTAAAAATTGTTCTCCGCTGAGTGTTATAGTGAAAGCGACACACGATGTAACCATCTGTTCAATTTATGCTAAGATAATTTATTCTGTCTACCTGTATTTCTACTTATATATTCTTTTTTTTCTTCTCTAGTTTGAATTTATTGAAAACTAATACTTTAACACATATTTCCCGCGTATTTATAATAATGATGGTGAGGTAAAAAAATAAATAAAATGACTCGTGCTGATTAATGTATTCAAATATTTGCATTAGAAAAATAAAACAGGTGTTTACATTCAATTAAATGCAAAATATTTCCATGCCTGAAAATTTCTCTTAGCTATTTAGATAAATAATGAATTACCTTTTATATTGAAATTGATAAAAGATTGACTACAAATAGAGATCGTTAGCTAACGAGTGAAACAGGCACATCAAAATAAAAAATAATTCAATCTAAAAACATAGAAAAAAGAACATTATTAACAAATCCTTTTTCCGTTTGTTCGTTTTAAATTAAAATCATTGTTTCATATCGTTTAGGTAGAGTTCAAATAAATATCTCATAGGAGAAGAAAAAAAAAGAAATAAACAAAAAAGGAGATCTAAAATTTTTTGATTATCCTAAAATATTCGACTGTTCATTTATATTTATGATACAATTACAAATTCATTCGTTTTCCCTGATTCCCGTGTATGACTAAATTGTATAAGATAAAGATAAATAAAAAGCAGAAGCGCAAATCTCACTGTTAAACATACAAAATAGAACATATATCACTTAAGCACAGAAAAAACAACAACAAGAACAAAAAAATCTCTTTGTTTTCTTTTTTTTTACCGACCAGCATTTGCACTAGTAATCTACGAGAGAAAAAATATTTCCAATAAAAAAAAAACAAGAACACAGTGTACATATTATCGAATATCCGTATCGAATGCATAATGTTGTGGGCGTACATAATGATAACTATATTGTTCATCATCCATAACATTATCATAAAGTGATGATGCTCGTTTTAATCTTTCGATACCATTATCATGAATAAATGATGTTGTGATCATTTGTGATATTTGTAAATGTTCATCATCATCAATAATATCACTTTTTGAGCTAATTGTATCATCATTATCATCATGACGATTTGCTTTTTGCCTATAACCACTCACCGATGGATCAGCACTCGATAAAATTGTACAACAATCATATTCAGTTAAATATTGTTGATCACTTATTTGAAACGGTTTTGTTAAACGTTTTATTTCAATATATTGAGTTTCAATAGATGTATCACGTAAATTTACTATTGGTGGTAAATCATCATCAGCAGTCGCTAATGGTGCTGTTGATGAAACAAGAAATGTATCAACAGTTGGTAAAGGTGCATATTTTGGTGATCGATCTGCTGCAATAATACGCGGTGACGTATTACTTTGATTGGATGATGTTGAATTAACTGGTTCTGAAATTTAAAAATATAATAATACTTTTTTTTTCTATTTTGATCTTTGCGAAATTCTAACTATTAAAATCACATAAATTATTTCTCATTTATAAATAAAAAATAGGTTGATATTGCATAGACTAATAGTTTCAATTGTGTGCTTGATGAATAATTTATGTGTCTCAATAGCATACTTCGTACATTGCCTTAGGCATAGTTTTTCTATGAGTATTTTTTTTTTGAGGAACTATCTAATAACATATTCATATGATAGCCATAGTATCTTACTTGTTTCATCTGATGTTACAGGTTTATTTGAAATATTAGGAGTTAATTTGGTTATATCACCCATTGAAATGTTAAATGGTTTTGCTGGTAATTCATTGTCTGTTGGTGAGGGTAATGTTAATAAATTATTTTGTTTTAGTTTTTCATAACAAACCATATATTCTTCAATAATTTCATCAGTTGTTAATGTTGAGCCGCCAAAAGTTTGACATAATTCATTTTTTAGAAATGAATTAATACTATCAAATGTTTTTAAATGTAAAAGTTTTTTTCTATGTAAACGTAATATACAAAAAGCTGTAGTTAATAAAACTTGTTCGCCATCTAATACAAATATATCCCATAAACGAAGTGTTAACGGAAATGGAAGACAATCTTAATAGTAGAAAAAAAGGCAATTAATAACAATTAAATGAATTTTTTCACATGACCAACTGGGTTAATTTTTAAACTTCAACGGTTCTTCAATGCTATTCTTGTCATCTATCGAAAAAATGTAATTTACAAAAGAAAAATATGTTCGGTACTAGAATAACCCATGTACAATCAAAGATAATTAGAAAAATGTATTTTTTCTATTAGGCTAGATAATATTAAACTGAAATCTAGATTCGAATTTTAAGAGCCTATGAAATGTTTTATCTAGTGTATTTCATAGATGATGAATCATACTTGTCAGAATACTTGGTTGAGAGTAGTTCTAAGCAACAGTTGTATGTACTAATTTAAAAAAATAATCAATTGCCAAACACAACCTTTTTTTTTAACAAGTTAAAGTATCACAAGAAAAATATTCTTCTTTTCTAATTGTTTTAGCACTTTAATGGAAGCCAATAGAAAACTCTGTCACCATTGCTTTTACTTTCTTCTGTAATAGCATCATTAAAAACAGATCGAATAAAATATGTTGAAAACGATTCTATTTCATTGTTGACCAATGCTGCTCTCACACCAGAGCTCGTTTATGAAGTGTTATTATAGAATGCATGACATAGAAAACTTCATCAAGTATTAAAAATCAATATTTAGACTTCAATTACTCGCTTAGAATATATTTTTAAAAAATGCAATAGTCGCTTTTTCTTGAATTATTTCTCGCATAATTTTATATGCGACACCTGTGAAGCTAATGGCTTATTATTTTCTATGTTATGTCTTACGAAGAACGAGACCTGTCGAGTATTTTTCTTTTTACATTCACTATGTTAAAAATAATCTCTTCTTTTCAAATTGATGCTACTCGAATGAAGTCCTACTAGAGAAAAAAACAATTCAAACAACATAAAGTGTCAACTGAAGAGTCTTACGATAGAATCGCTAATTAAGAAAGCAAGTTAATGTGTAGCAGTGGATATTGACATATCGAATGTCATTTTGTATCGTACTTAGCTCACAGCTATCAATGGCTTTCACCAAATGACAAAGCTCGTATAGATTATTTTCACTTAATTTCTTATGCTCAAGTATACAGAATCATTCTCTCTTTTTATTTTTCAATAGAATTTCTAATTAAAAATAATCATTATTGATAGTTGAGATTGTTTTCTACAGTAGGTATTAATGTCAACGAGAAAGAACTAATAGAGTATCTGTCATGCAATACTTGAAAAATCTCGTCCGCTATACAAAAATATATCATTAATATGGCATGTATGCTGTATACCACGTGAAAAAAAGCCGCTTTCGTCTACCATGTGGCGGAAGGTACATGAAGAAAAAACGATAAGAACTCAAGTACTATTCCAGCTGGTCATGCTTATTCCTATATAAAGATATATACCAAGATAACACAGCATAAACCAACGAATTGTATATAAATCACTTTGAACTTGACATGTAAGAAAATGTTTATACACTTTAGGTAACATTTTTTTCATAATCTTCTCCAATTGTGCTTGAAATCGAAATAATTTTGGAAAACCAGGACAGAAAAATCCATGCATCATCCAACGAGATCCTGTCATTAATTGGCAAAATGCCCAAAATGCTTCTTCTTCAGGTAGATAGAAGAGAAGAAAAGCAACAATCTGATTCATACCTTGAGTATAACCAATTTCTGTATTGTACATACTAAAGTAAAAAAAAAGAAGAATAAAAAGCTTAAACATTCGAATTTAATAAATAGTTCTATTCAAGGAAGATGAACCATAAAAAAAATGTATTTCCCTAAAAATTACTTTTGTCTTTAAATGAATAATGAAGTCCATTACCATTTTTGTCTTTGCGAAAAAATAAAAGTTATGTAATATATTATGATTTTTCTGTCGATTTTTAAATTATGCATATTGACAAAATATTTTGTACTTTTTTTATTCTCAATTATGCTAAACAATCGATTTCATGATCTCGATCCTTATATCCATGTCTTTTGTACCCGAATAAAAAATGTAAATTCTTTTTTTTTTTCGTCTCTTTCTTCGACTTCTAGCCGTCTGTATGATGATAAATGACATTTATTGAATTAAGACTTGAGTATGTCAATATATGTTCAGTATAATGAAAGAAGTTCTAAATATTTAATTACATTTCTATTGTCAAAAGTCGCTTTTGTACTTTTACTTGGCAACATTAAACAGACATGTTCGTAGTATACTGAAGAATTCTAAATCTGATCTGCTCATGGCGAATATTATATGAGATCATCAATTATTTTAAGTGTCGGTACCATATATTTGAATCTTGTTAATTTTATTTTTCTCTCATATTCGGTTAAAATTCTTGAGGGTGTCGTAAGAAAGAGTTAGTTTCACACTTCTTACGTTAGCAGCTATATAGAACTCAAAGAAGTCTATCTGATTGTAGCCAAAATAGCTATTAAAATGTTACCTTAAAGCTATTTTATATAGGAAAAATATTCATTATCGCACTGTTAGTGAGATCTTTACATTAGTTCGAATGTATCTCATCATCTAACAGTAGAAAAACTTCTATGATTTATACAACATAGGATACGAGAACTTCATTATTTTTCTTTCTGTGATAACATCTGATGAAAATAATAAATAAATAAATAAATCAATGAAAATACCTATATGCAGCCAATATTGAAAATAAATGTTTTTGCCTCATACAGTATCTATTGCAAAACATTTGATGATTTCTATATGTTCGATGTACATCAAGATCAATTTGATTTAAATATGTAGATGATAATTTTGCTTTTTTTTTCAATATATCATAATATCCTTTATTAACACGTAATTGTTCATCAAGATCAAATAACCGGGACCAAAATGCACCACGCAATGTACCTGGTAAACCTTTAAACATTCGCCTTCGTAATTGTTCATTATCTCTTGTTATTGTATGATGGGCTTTTCTTAACATTTTATTCCATCGTGCACTACGTTTAATTTCTTGATGAATTTGTTTACGTTCATTTATAGAAAGTGACTTAGTTGGTTGCTCATGTATAAATCCATAATGATCGATACAATTTGGATCTGTTGTTGAAAGACGTGGTGCCTGTTGGCTTGGATCATGAACTATATCCGATATTTTACCTTCGCTTTCATATAGAAGAAAAAGTCTTTCACGTTCATCGATTTGTTTTTTAAGATTTTTATCGATATGGGTTAAAACAGGTGTTGATGGGCGCAATGGTAAAGGTGATGGATTACTCGTTGTCGATGACTGTTTCATTCAAATCTAGAAATATAACATAGGTTTTATTTTTCATATCTGACTAGTAGTTGTGAATATTTATTTGTGTACATAGGTGAAAAGATACAAGAAAAAAAAAGTATTTTAGTCGAAAGAACCATCAAGAAATTCATATAATGGATTTGTATTTATGGAACTAAGCATATGTAAACGATCTAATCGTTTGGATGCACATTGTTTCATCGAACTATGAGCATCACGTGTTAACATGCGAATAAATTCTTCAGTGGCTAAGGTTAATAAATAAACACTATCATGACTAATCATACGTGTATTGTTATCAAGTTTTATTATTGATTTGACTTTAGTTAATGGCAACTGGTACGCTCGTGCCGATGCAGATTTGATTTGATCCGTTGTTGAAGCCATTCCAGTGTTAACAAAAGAATTACTAATAATAAACAATCTTTTTTTTTCTGTTGTGTTGTTGTTCTGTATATCGACCAATGGAAACTAAATTTGATTTAAGTCAATTAAAACTTTTATTTCAATTTCAAAAGAACTTTATTATTTATTCTTTTGTATTCCATAAAACTTGAGAAAATTGATTTTTCTGAATAGATGACACTAGTAAAAATAGAGGATTGGTTGGGTATAATGTTTTTTTTTTTCTTCTCTCGCTGGCTATAACAACAGCATTTATCAAGCAACAGAAATATTGTTTAATTAATTATATACAAACGTATTCAGAGTCTAGGAAAAAATATTATTCATATGCATATGAACAAACATTTTTTTCCTAAGAAATACGAAATAATCGGTTTATAATTTGAGATTTTATTTTGAAGTAGTAATTGTTGGAATTGATTTTTACTTACATTAGATATTTAGTTGTATTGTGTACCATAGGCATTCATACAGTAGGTGGCAATCATGCATGCAATAAGATAGTATGTGTATTATTGTCTAAAGACAGACGGACATATTGCGTTTCGACATCCACCTTTTACCTTGACTCAATGCTGAACGACCTAGAAAAAATACTGAGAAGTAGTATCTTGTTTTTTCAGCTAAAAAGTCTCAACTACAAAGTTGTCTTCTGTTCATTACAGAATATTAATTATACCAATAATAATATTCTATTGTCGATTAGTTAGATTTCAATCTTAAATTACAAGAAAAAGACAGTCACTTCCGAAATATGTTTTAATTCTAGTCGAGATTTCCGTTGCTATTGATTAGACATATAAGTTTGATCAATTTTCAGGATGTAAACTAACTTTAATTATTTGTCTTTAACAATGAATGTATTAATTATTTTGTTTGTAATTATTATGCTTGAATCACATCATATGCAGACTTTTATTGTCTAATACACTAATTATACGGAATGTACTATAATAATATTGTCTTAAACAATCTAGTTATAAAAAAAAGTATACGTAGAAAATATTCGCCTTGTTTTTTTTCTTTATGAGTAATATTTAATTGCAGTGGCAATAGTTTCATAACAGAAAAACAGAGTTAGTTTTTTCTCCTTGCAATAGCAACAAAAGATAGAACAAGTAAAATGACAAGTATTTTTCAGTACTACGATAAATTACATTTTTGTTTTTATCATTTAGAAACTTCATGTGCATATACAGTGTTATTTCAATCAGTTAGTAGTATTTATGTAAACTGCTTGTATTTTTTTTTAAATCGAGCGTTACAGATGTTCGATACGTTTTTGTTTCTTTTTCACCAATTTCCTATTCAAAACATTATTCGTGCTTTTAGTAAGGTTTCTTATTTTTGTCGCGTTTTATTTCTATTATTTTTTTGGAGGAACTAAAAACTAATTCAGAATCTAATGAGGATATCCGAAACTTTTCATAGAATACGAATAGATGAAAATTAAATTTCCTCAGAAAAAAATTGGAGAATTATTTTTACTTGAAATAATTAATTTATTAGATGATAATAGTAGATTTAAAAAATAGCCAACAATAGATAGAAATGAATATTTATTTTGTTTTTAAAAATAAGTACCAAAGAAATACTATAGATGTCAAGTTACAAATGTGGATTAGTAAATTTTGTTTTTTGAACAGGATAGATTATATTTTTCTATCATCATCGAAATTGTTTATTTATGAAATTTGATATCTTTATTTAGAAAGATGTTCATTGATGGTCGAAAGATCTCTCTTTTCAGCGAGAAATCCATGAAGTAGATCATAGAATTTTCTATTTACAGAAAAGTTTTTAGAATTTATACTATGTGCACTGATGCGCAGAAATCATATTTCCTGCTGTACAATGACAAGTATATAGTCAAGCTAAGTGCAAAAAGGAAACGAGCAACGTCCTATTTGTTGCAAAAAACAATATATCTATGAGCTATATTTAAATTAAGTGAAATATAACACATGCATTGTTTTTCATTAGTGAAAAAATTCACGCTTCTACTCGTCAGTTATTCAAGGCAAATGTTAATTATTTATCTTTCAGATATGACTTCTTTATTATTAACATCGAATAGATCTTATCTTAAATTTCCTATATATACGTGGTATCGTCACTTGTCAACAACTGAACATCGTTCTCATGATCAATTACTATTAACAATTGGCCAAACTAATTTATTGCCTAACAGCACACAAAAAAATGAATGGAATATGTTAAGAAATCAATCAACTCAAAAACGTTATATAACTTTACATGTGCCTCCAACTGGTGATGAAAAACAAACACAAAATAGAAATGAACAAGCACCTTTTGAATTTCCGCCAGGAAATCCCAATGATAAACCAAAACTTGAACATTTACGTTATATTGAAAATCAACTCATACGAATTGTAATTTCATAATTCATATTTATTTTAGTTTTTTTTTCTTTTTTAATTTATTAGTTTTTTTCTTTTAGTTACCTGATTTTTGTAAACGAATGCATCCATATGCTCTGTATACACCTGATGTTATTTTTGAAAATTATTATGACGATCCACCCAAAATTATGAAGTAGGCAGAGAAGAAAAGGGTATTAGACAATGTATGTGTGACTGTAGATAGACGTATGACAGTTCGAATAGCGTTTAGACTAATACACGATTTCATGATGAAGTCTTCGCCAACGCGCTTACTAACCAAACTAAAATAATCATAATTTACATATTGCAAGTTTTAAATTAATTAATGCTAATTGTATTCAAAAACTCAGGTAGACATTAAAGATAAACAAAACAATTACTTAGCAATCAATCTTTATTGTCTAAAACTGATCTAAAACTGTCATATTTCTATCATCAACAATAAAATATACATTAGATTTTCTATATATTCTCTTTTTTGATTATAGAGGAGCCGGCAGTTATGCTTTAGCTCTATTCTGGATTCGGACAAAATTAAATTTTAAATTAATGAGCGTAACTATTACTCTACTTAAAACGACAATTGATGAAGAATCAGATTGTGTTAAAATACGTTGGCGTGCGTCTGGTTTATCAAATAAATCATTTGTTGGCGTTCTTAAAGGCTGGAAAAAACCAAAAGATGTTGCTGGAAATATACGTGATTACATCGAGTAAAATATTCATTTCTTCAAAAGAATTCCTTGACGATTTTGTTTTTGGGAAATAGATCTATCGATGGACTTTCAACATTTTATGTTCGTGGCGATGGCCGTATTCATAAACATCGAGTCGATCGAGTAATTCAAATTTGAAAAACAAATTATTTTATTTTTTTCTATTCTTTAAAGGTTATGGTCGATGAAGATAAGGAGCTAGCAGCATCGTTGAATAAAAAGAAATTAGCTGCAGCAACAGCACCAGTTTCTGCGTAGTATAAATTAGTATTGTTCTTCTTTTTTTCTTTTACTTGTTAATTAAAAACAAAAAAAAAGGAAATTAATCACTGATGACTTTTATTTCTGTGTCTAAACGATAAAAATTACGAGCATCTTTTTCATTTCTAGATTATCAAATATATATTCTTCTAAAACGGGTAAGTTTAGTATCCTATTATTAATATTCATTTTTACACTACATATTGCCTTGAGACTAATGCGAGAGAAAAACAAAATAGAATAAATGTTGTTTTGTTTCTTCTTCATTCTCGTTTTATTATGTTATACGATACGAAACACAGGGACCGATGTTTTTTTTTCCTGGTGCGACGCAATAGGAACACTTCTTTCACTGAATCATTTTTTTTCCGCCTCTACATGTAACTGATTCGTATAGCAGATGCGAATATAAGAAGAATATTCTCGATCGAAATCATATTAGGATTTATATTTTTTTACTCATTGCTTGCCGTCTTATTTAATCTCATTAGGATATTTGAAATAAGAAAAAAAAGCGTATTATGAAATCAAAACGTGCTCGAAATGGACCACGTACTTTGAAAGAGGACATTAGAAATACTATGCACATGTCATCATCGCGACCAAAACAAGACACTACACCCTATCTGGCATCAATTATGAATTCTAGTGGTAGGATTTATTGTAAACTGTTTACTGAAAACTATTCAATAGTGCTTCTACAGCTTTCTCGATATACACTCATTTTTCACCACACACACACACACACACACACGTTAATATATTAATACGCATCTTCATATTTAATGTTCGTTTGTAATATAAGACAGCTGATAATGATTAGTAACCTTTTAGATTGGGTATGGTATGCTTTAACGAAATAGAAAAGAAATAAAGTGTTCTCGTCTTTTTTTTCGAATCTTTCTTCTATATTTTTGCTTTTTGCTCTATCTTGATCGACTTACTGTTATGTAATATGCGCGGCTATGATTGTGTTTTTTCTCATCGTAATTCGTTGTATATTGACTCTTTCTGTTTTCTTCTTATTTTAATCTTTCGCTTTTTCATAATCATCGTGCATTTGATGCCATAATATATACAAGTAATTTCGACCAACATTTTGTTAGACGACATCGCCATTGACAATTCAGTTACTGCTATTACTACTACTCATCATCGTACATCTAAAAGCAAGCTTTTATTCTAGTATTTTTCCTGTTCTATCCCGGGCTTTTAGTTTTTCTGTTCACTTTGAAATATAATACTGATTAATCGATACTAGAACACGACAGTAATCAATTATGTTTCCTTAATCTTACTGATTGAAAAAGATTAAACAAATATTTATTATATTAGTTTTTAATTGATTTCTCTCATATTGCTGTATTTTCATTGTCTATATTACTTAATCAGTCAGTTCCCTACTGTTATTCTTGCTGCTTATGCACGAGCGCATTCTTCTTTCACTCGTATTCTAATCTCGATCAACATTCGTTTATCTATTTAAAACATGCGCTATTAATAGTCTCCTTTTGCATAATAATTAAAGCACGATTTATCCGATGGCAGCTATTGTAATGAAAAGAAAATCGGCAAAAAAAAGAGATAATGTAGAAAGCAAACAAAAGGCTTGTCTCGCTCAATAATCGCTCGCCAATAGTAATAGCATAATATTATCGTAGCAACTACTTCCACGCATGTATGATCGCTTTGTTGAAAACAGAACGGGTTCTAAAGTTATAAAACATTTCTTTTTTGTTGTTCAACATATGCGTTTATATTCATCTATTATTTTCAGATCCGAACGTTGAAAATCCTACATTCATTTCTCGACCAAATGTTGCCTCTAATTTTAAAAGATCGCATAATTCCTATCCAACAATATCAACACTAGCATCTATACTAGTTGATCCTAGTGCAGCAGGAACGGATAATTCTAAATTAAATAATTTATCAGTAGCAGAATCTGGTAATTTTTGACAGAAAAACAGACTAAACAAAAATATTTTATTTTCTATCATTAATAGATAACACATCTCGTTTATCGGTATCAAGCGATTCAAAACAAGCAAATACAATGCTTTCAACATCCATGCAAAATTTAAATCATTCAACCAATGCAACAACAATGGGAACTGGTATTGCACCACCTCCTGTTAATTTTCAACAACCATTACATATGCAATCAACGACACCATCGGTCGCTAATGGAAAAGATGATATGCGAGGATGGCTATATAAATGGACTAATGTAAAATAAAATTTTCTTTTCTGTTTTTGAAAAACAAACAAAACTATTTTATTTTCTTATTTTCAGTATTTGAAAGGCTATCAAAAACGCTGGTTTGTTTTACAAGCTGGTGTACTTTACTATTATCGTTCACAAGATGAAATGACACATACATGCCGCGGTACAGTTTATCTTGAATCAGCACATTTATCATCAAATGATGCATGTCATTTTATTATATCCAATGGTTCCACAATATTACATTTGCGTACATCAACTGAAACTGATAAGCAACGTTGGATGAGTGCATTAGAATTAGCTAAACAAAAAGCATTAAAATCAAGAAAACAATATCAAGATTCTGATGAAGATATATCAACAACCGATGATGCTAATGATCAACAATTAAATCAAGCGCATCAAACTCAACTTCACCAACAACAACAACTAACGAACCTAAGTGATCAAACGAAATTATTAACAACTACGACTGAGCGTGCTGAATTAGTTACAATGAATAAAGCATTTGATTCTAAATTAGATGATTTGAAAATGTGTATGGACTTAATTAATCGTCATTATCAAGCACTTTATCGTACACTTGGCGATCTTGAACAAATTGATAAATCAGAAACAACCGTAAATATAATTAAAAGTGTTAACGAACGTGCTACATTGTTTCGTATTACATCAACAGGTAAGAATATTCGAAAGAAAAGAAAAAAAGAGAAATCATCAAATAATAGAATATGCTTTGTATAAGAAGATTTAATGGTAAATGGAATATTTATTTTCATCTGGTTCTGTTTGTTTGAATGAGAGAGTAAGAAGAGAAAAAAAGACGTTTTTTTTGTTAAAACGTCGGAAACAGCATCCCATTTCCGGTTATTTACGATTAAATATTGAGTTGCAATCAATAGAAAATTGATTTCAAGATTTTCTCAATCAGAAACATAGAAAACATCTAATTCATTATGAAATCGATTTTATAGTAAAATTCGCAGTCACTAGGGTTATACGAACGGAAAAATTGCTTAGATTAGAACTTCAAGAAAGAAAGTCCATATAGCTCTCATCTTTATAAATAAATCACATTAATAGGTTTCGCTAGATCAACATCTCAAATTCTGATGACACGATCTAGGCACGCTTAGTAAACTTTAAAATTCTAACTTGATATAATTTTTGTGTTTATAAATGATGAAATTTTTAATGCGGTGCGAAGCACAGCATTCATGTAATCCGTCGCGAGTTTTTTTTTTATTAATGCGATGCGAAGCAGAAGCATTTCTGTTGTTCGTCGCGAGCTTTTTTTTTCTTTCACTTTCTCGACGTACGCATCTTTTTCATCATTTTGTGTCGCATTGATCTCGAGAACGGAAAATCATAGAAATGTCGTTAAAATGTAAGATAGAAGTATCGACATCGAACTGCTTACACCTGTTTTCGAATCTTCAATCTGAACTTCTGTTCACTCACAAATGTGGTTTCAAAATGACGAAAATGAAAGAAGTTTGTTGCGAGATAATTAAAGTGGCGTCATGAACATATGTTAGCCGCCATAGTCTATTCATTGACAGCTGATCTAAGATAATGAATCATGGACATAATTAATCGATCAATCGAAATCGATCTTTAAGAATGTATCGCTATGTCAGAATGGAGTTTTCTCAGTGATGAATTTCATCATGTCGACATAAAAAGTATTCAAGATTTCTCTGAATTGAAGATTTTTTGTGAAGATCCGATTCGAGCTTCGCATCGCATTCTGTATTTCAGTGAAACTTGAATACCATCTAGTTTTCCTTTCTTTCAAACTTGAGTACGTATAAAACGTTCTTATTAAGTGACGCGATAATCTAAAGAACCGTAAATGCTAGAAAATCTATTCAAACTAGATATGAAAGTTTCAAGATCGAACTTCTTACATTTTTTTTCAAATTTTCAATACTAAGTTTCGTTCGCCTAAAAATATCATTCAAAAATGATGATTTTGTAAGGTTTTTATCGTTAGAAAGTGTCAAGATAATAAAAGAGATGTCAGCAAGCAATATTAGCCAATAGTCTATTTCTTCACATTTGATCTAAGATAGTGAATCATTGAAATAATTTAATGTTCAATCAAAAGCATTCTCTAGGATTATGGTGATTATCACGAAAAAAAACATTTTCTCAACAATGAATTCTATTATGATTATTTGAGAACTAAAAAGAGATGTAATGATTTTTTGTTTTTTATTACAACTGCTGAAGACAGGAAAATGTGTATATTTCAAGCGAATATGAAACTAATCAGACCATAACGATGTCTAATTAATTTTAAGATTGCCTTTTCCTTTTCCGTTAAATTTTTAATTTTTTCGTGTACTCGACTCGCGCTTTGCACCGCATTTCGTATACGAGTGAAACTCGAATACCATCTAAGTTTATTTGAAAACTATTGTTCTTATAGCTATGCTCAATGCGTGTCAGGAACTTGTTCAATTAATACAAAATCAAGGTCGCAAATGGCAAAAAGCCATTCAATTCGAACGTGATGCCCGTTTACGCATGGAACGTATGTGTGAACAAGTCGCGTCACAAACAGTTAGATTAGAAAAACAAATGCAACGTGCATCACGTAACAATAAAAAGAGTGTTTCACCAGGTCGCTCAACAATTACTGCTATCAAATCATCAGATTTACGTGGAGCAAACGAAGGTAGTACTTTATCCGATGATGATGAATTTTATGATGCTATTGATGATCCACAAACCATTGGCGTTTTTCGTGTTCCGTATGTAGTTTTTTTTTCCTCGTCACGAACAAGGAATAATTTCAACGATATATTTATTTTTATAAGACTTCAACAGCATGGATCAAATAATGATAAAGAATCACCAAATATTGTTGATGATGATGCAAGTTCGTATGATGAAGATGAAAGTGAATCAGAAGAACAAGATGAAAATAAATTACCAATGGTTATTGTTAAAGGTATGTGTTCATTGTATCATAATTTATAATCGATCATCATCGATTTCGCTTAGCACCAAAAACTGGAGAAATAACTAATGAAGCGGCAGTTACAACAGAATCGACTTCTTCTGTAGCAGTACAAAAATCTGGTAACAATAGTAATCAACAAGTAGCAGTATCAAAACGTAAACGTCGTGATGGTATTCCTGAACGACCAAATTATAGGTACGTAGATTTTTAGTTTATACTAGTAAAATGTATTATCATGAAATGTTTTCTTTTTTTGTAGTATCAATCTATGGAGTATCATTAAAAATTGTGTTGGTAAAGATTTATCGAAAATTCCAATACCAGTTAATTTTAGTGAACCAATCTCAATGTTACAACGTATGACAGAAGAACTTGAATATAGTTCTGTACTTGATACAGCAGCTAAAATAAACAATAATTGGGAACAATTAGCTTATGTCGCTGCATTTACTATTTCATCTTATTCAACAACAACAACAAGAGTTAATAAACCATTTAATCCATTACTTGGAGAAACATATGAGTGCGATCGAACTGAGGATCTCGGTTGGAAATCCATCGCCGGTAACAAAATTTGTTAGAAAATTTTGCGATTGAATCAATTGAACGTTTTGCGTTTTTAGAACAAGTTAGCCATCATCCACCAGCTTTATCAACTCATGTTGAAGGTCAAGGATGGACTTTATATCAAGAATTTACTATGACATCGAAGTTTCGTGGTCAATATTTAAGTATAACTCCATTAGGTAATATATTAAAGTCATTCTTGACAAAAACAAAAATATGTTGTTCGAGAAACAGAATTCATCGTCTGCAAGAATGTATCCATAGTTCAATGTCGATCTGTTGATAAGCGAACGGGAAAAGATAGAGAATGATAGTTTAATTTTTCTTGATAAGTATGCAATTAAAAACACTTGTCTCTGTTCTATAGGTTATTCGCATTTAATATTTAAAAATACCGGTAATCATTTTACATGGAGAAAAGTAACAACTCTTGTCAATAATATAATTGTTGGCAAACTCTGGATTGATAATGTAAGTGAAATAAAAAGAATTCGTTTAAATTATTTCTGTCCTCATAGGTTGGTGAAATGGATATTATAAATCATACAACCAACGATGTTTGTAAATTGAAATATTTTCCTTATAGTTATTTTTCTAAAGACGTTCCACGTAAAGTAACTGGTGTTGTTACAGATGCTTCCGGTCAAGCTCGATGGGTACTAACTGGTAAAATTACACAATAGTATTTTTGCTTTTGAATTTCTATTATAATTATTATTAGGTACATGGACCGATAAAATAGAAGGCGGTCCCGTTGAATCGGCGCCAGGTCGTAATCCACATCCTCATCATATGGAAACACGTAATATGAAATTATTGTGGCAACGTAAAATGCCCCCGCCACACCTTGAGTCTATGTATAATTTCACGCAACTTGCTATTGAATTAAATGAAGACGAACCAGGTGTGGCTCCAACAGATTCTCGTCGTCGACCTGATCAACGTTTGATGGAAGAGGCACGTTGGGATGAAGCTAATCAAGAAAAATTACGTGTGGAAGAAAAACAACGGCAAGTAAGACGTACACGTGAATCTTCTGAACATTACAATTATGAATCTAAATGGTTTAAACGACAACACGATCCATTAACGGATTCCGAAATGCACATATATACAAACGAATATTGGGAATGCAAGCAAAAGCAAGATTGGTCAAGATGTGATGATATCTTTTAATCGTTTAATATAAATTTCTATCATCTATCTATTTTCGTTTGTTTGTTTTCTTTTTTTTTATTTATTTATTTACTATTAATAAAAATCTTTCGTTTCCTTCTCACTTCTCATGTTTATTGTTCGTACTCGTTTAAGTGGTCTCTGATGCGCACAACAGAAAAATATATATAATGAATTTATATCATGTTACTCATTTGGTTGTTTTCTTTTTCTCTTCATCAGTTGTTTCTTTTCTTTTGTGTTTTTCGTCTGAAGTTTGTTTCCAACCGTCAGTGTGTAAGCCAGCAACGTTTTTATAAGATGTATGTCTTGAGAAAAAGTTTGTTTTTCAAACTCTTTTTAGACAACATTCTCACTTGGTCTTTTCTCATTTTTTCCCCTGCATTCTACGATTAAATATATTTTAGATATGATGATAAGAGAAAACGAATAATTTTAGAATGAGATGATCCTAATTCATAATTGAAAAAAGAAATAAAGAGAAATTTAAATGGGATAATTAAAATGATGAAATTTGTCTTGGTCTTTATTGTTGCTTGTTGCTCAGCACAAAACAAACCGCTAATTGGTATGTAAATTTAATTTTTGTAAGCGAGTTACCATTTCGGAACAGCAATCGTTTTTGGGACGTATTTTTGAATAGATCGTATTGCCTAATGCAATCTAATTATGGTTGAGCTAGTAAAAAATCTATTGAATTTGTTTATTAGATACTCATATATGCATGTCAAGTTGACTCAGTTCGTAACAGCGCTCTCTTAGGTAGATGTAATCGAAAAATGGTTGTTGAAAATTTCAGACATGCGAATTTTTATTATTAGGAATAATTCTGTACGCTTGAAAAATAAGTAAAATATTGCATGTCTTCAAGATGTATTCGAGCATTATTTTTAAGTCTTGGAAAGTCGTTTTGAATCTTTATTTTGTAAAAATAGAAAAAAAGAACACGACTAGCAAAATCCCTGCTGGATTGAAATGTGAAACATGATATCATTGTTGTTGTTACTCAATAGCAGTTTATTTTGTTTTTTTGCATTTATTTTGAGACAAACTATTTTGACTTTATCCTTGATACGCGCAAATAAGGAACTAGTTTATATATTAGAACAAGATTTTATTAATGTAGGATTTCTAGATCGAATAAATCTATCGAGACTATTATTTATAACTTCTGTATATATGCTTATTGTTCACAAAATGCCAGGTATAGGCGGCTATAAACTAATTTTATCCGGGTAAACTGTTTTGCCAGTTGGACGTTAAGTGACCTGAATATCATCCCAACAGTTAACTTGTCGATAGAATCTTCTGGCTAGCAGTTCTATTGAGCTTTTTTTCCACAAATCGTAGTCTGACAAATATGTCTTAAACCCCTAACAGTTCGTGTATTTATATATTTGCTGTTTCTATGTGATGAACAACTAGCTAAACTCTTATATACAACAGCTTATTAAAGATTAAATATTTGATTAAAGAAAAATCTCCTCATCGATTCACTTCAATATTCTTTTTAGATCCTGTTTCTACAGAAACACAGAAAGTCATCTAATTAATATTGTTTGATTCAACCGAATCCACACCTATTCAGGAATGATCCCTCACACTCTAGAATTATCATTCTTTATTATTAACCATCTCTACATTTTCTTTTCCAAGTGCAATATTTTCCTAAGCGATTCTTTTTAATATTTAGGGCGAGATTTTGCTCAACACTACTCTCGTATCCGTTTATTCGAATATGACAGTTATTCAGATGCGAAATTTCTTAAATTTAACATTAATGGACCAACAAAATTAGCCAATTGGTCATTGACAATAGCTACTGAAGGAAAATGTCCCGAACAGTTCGCTAATATACACTTGTATGTAATTACAAAAAATAAATATCAATGAATATTCGAAAGAAAAAATTGTCTGTCTTGTTTATTCTATTAGCTATTTGCAATATGGTGCATATCCATTAACTGCACCACGAAATGAAACATTTCCACAAGGATTTATCACTAGTCGTCATCATCTTTTTAAGTTAATTTTTAATCAAACACTAATTAATCCATTAATTCAAATTAATAGTCCTTTAATAGGAACATGGTTTGCGATGGTAAAACTAGCTCTTAAGTTTGTTTGTTTATATAGTTCATCGGTTTTATTTAGACATTTATCGATCGTTCGACATCCACTATTGGACGAAAAGTAAATACTGTCTATAAAATTCTATTTTTTCTTAAAATTTTTATTTATAGATTTCTAATGCAGGATGTAATTTTTATTTATCAACTTGGCTCGATTATGAAGTTATACCAATACCCTTGACATTGACGTTCAATGATCCCGTTCAAATTGTTCTAAACAATGATAAACCATCGATTTATGCATCGTAAATATTTAAGATTATTGTAATTAGCAAAGCAAAATTTCCATTTATTTATTTCTAGTTATTATACATCAGTAGGAAATGCTCGATTGATGATTTTATCGGAATGGTCAAGTAATTGTGATATAAAAATTTTCGCTAAAATACATTCACTTCCAAGTGCTTCTTTATATGATTATAAAACAGGTATAATTTTATTAAGATAATTTTATTATATAAGAAAAAAAATATTTTTCTTTTTATAGCTTGTAAAAGTAAAACATGTTTGATAGAACTCGATCAATTATCTGGATTTTTGTGGGTTTATTTTGAAATAACAGTTAGTAATTTATCATGTTTAGTTAATCCGATTTATGGTCATTTGCTTATTCGGCCAATAGGTATTTAATTTAGCTTCTTTTTTTTCTATAGGACTCGCTTAAGAAAATGATTTATTTAGAATGTCTATCTTCAAACAATGTGTGCATTCAATCTTTTCCAACACGGCGAATAATGTTTAATTATTATTATGACTTTTTATATGTACCGATATATACAACAAATCGATTAACTAGCAGCAGTACTAGTTCTATCACTTTCAACGAACAAGCTTTTTCAACATATTCATATGAATTTATTGTTGATGATAGAAATATTGGTGGAACATTACATTTTGATTTTGAATCTCGTATTATGGTATGTCTATTGACTTGACTTTTTTTTATTAAGATTTTCTTTCTTTTCGAGTAGCCTTTCGTATCGTTAAATGCGAATATTAGTATTCTTGGGTGCATATCAAAATTTCGACCACGTTTCTATGATACATGTGAAAACGACTATCGAATAGTTATTGAAAAAAATTCCATGGTAATCCGATCAATACCTTACCCTGAAATGGCTTCTTGGTATATAACATTAAAATATGCTTGCAACGGGTTAGTTGAATGTTTGATGCCTTAAGCTAATTCGCGTTTTTTTCTTCTCCGTTGATTTTAGTTTAGTGAATGAATGCGCAAATGCTTCACTGACACTCATGTCTCAAATATCATCATCTCAATGTACAAAACAGCAATGTGGAACGTATGGTATTTGTAGAATATTGACATCACAACAAAATGTATTTTCAACTTGTACATGTCTTGGTGGTTAGTTTCGAAGTGTTGTATTTTTCAAGATTGAGCAATAGATATTATGAGACTTTAGAGATCTCTTTTTAACAGATCTTTAAACGAACGAAAGATTTTCTTCTCACTCGATCAAACAAAACGAATGAATTCATGTAATGGAATGTCTGTTCTGAAAAAAAAGTGACGAGAATGGTAGAAAAGCAAATCTGTAAATATTTATGATTGGATCAAACGTTAGCGTTCTATGCACACCGAAAGACAATGAATGTACAGTCTGGTATTTGTGTTCTCATTGCTTGAATCATTTAATAATCAAAAATAAAATGAACTTGATTGGTAAATGACAAAGATACTCTTACTTGAATTTACATAGAAAGTAATTATCATAAGAAGTATTATTTACAAAAGAAAAGTATCTTTTGCTTTTCAAATTGCTCTCTCGCGCTGTAGCTTATGTGTGAAGAATAATAATTAAACATAATTTTTCTCGTTTTTTTATTTTGTAATTTATATAAATTTTTGTTTAGGCTATCGTGGATATGGCTGTACCGATCGTACTCATGCTTATGCATCGAAAAGTTTATCGAGTGTCCTTTTTTTGACAATTAGTAATTTAATGTTTTTACCAGCTATAATCTTGGCAATTTATCGACATTTATACATCGAAGCACTTGTCTATTTTTTCAATATGTTTTTTTCTACGGTAAGTTTTCATTTAAAAATAAAATCAATACAAAGAAAAACGCATTTTTTGTTCATAACTTTAGTTTTATCATGCATGCGATCAAGATATGAATAAATTTTGCATATTTAAATATGACGGTTTACAATTATCTGATTTTATTGGTTCATATGCATCGTTTGTTATTACATTAATAACTATGGCAATAGTGCCAAGATCAACGAAAGTCTTTCTCTTTATGTTAGGCGTATTAACATGCATTGTTATTAATTCACGTGATCGATTTGATCATTTTCAATTTATCTTCTTGATTAGTATTACATTTTTGTTTACAATCGTAACTTGGGTAACAAAAATTGTTTACGTATTTTTCGTTGAGTAACTTTGATAAATTTTAGGCTATCGGTTCGATTAAACAACGTCGTCTACGACCATCGTCAAAACATCTTCTATTTTATACGCCTGGATTTCTATTAGCCTTAGCCGGACTTATTTTATTTGCATTTTGTGAAACAGATGAAAACTATTGGTATACACATAGTTTATGGCATATATTTATTGCGGGTTCAATACTATTTTTTCTGCCACACAAAAGTAAGTTTTAAAAAAATGCGCTTTTTTTGAGGGTTTTCATATTTATATCTTTAAATTAACATAAAGAAAATAACACGTTAGGCATGAAAGAACAATACCCAACCGATCTACCACTTATAAAAAGGACACAATCAGGTGATGACAATCAGATCGATATTCCATATTCACATACCTAAAGCTTGATGAATGCATGATTGTATATATGCTATGGAATTATGACTTATAAATCATAGAAAAATCTTGTGTTTTTTTTATGGATGCAATTTAAAATGCTTCTTAAATATAACTCGTTAAATGACAAAATCTTGAAAATCGACGGACTTTAAAACATCGTTTTTTTAACCGACAGCAAGTTTTCGCATACTGTCATAGATCTCGATAAGCTCAAAAACATTCACATTGACTATTTTCGAAAAGTTATTACTTGATCCTATGACGACTGTGGTATGTCTATTCGTCACTAGACGTCATCTTTGAATTCTTGGTTAAAAGTTTTTATGTTCACGGAAAATGCATTATTTTGAAGACCTTGAAATAAACATACACGATCTATCCTAGATTTTAAGGGAACTGATGATACGTATTCGAGTAGTGTAAACCTTAACTTTTAACGTCACTCCAATCAATATAATGCCAGTAGTTCCTGTGAAAATCCATACAATATTCGTTGATCTTCGTGTCTCTTCCATTCGGATGCATCAATTCACGATATTTCTCTTCGCAAAAAATCTTCTTGTACGTTCGACAAAAGAAGTTTCATGGAAGTGAACGTATCATTCATTTTCTTAAATAATAAATTTAAAAGATAGATCATCTTCATCAGAGCTGAAATATTGAAAATTCAAGAAAATAAATCATTGTCGAAGTCCATTAACATAGCCTTATTGATTCAACCTGCTAGATTTCCTAGTAATTATAATCATGCATGTCTTTTAAATTTTAATCTTGCTCGCAACTCTCACTAGTTCATTTTTTGTGATAAGATAGATTGAACGTTTGTTTCTAATATTTTATTATCGAAAAACAAAATTCTCTATTATTATTTTTTTTAAGAATCTTCAAAACGCCAAGCAACGGCTACTACATTAGATGTAAATATAAATAATGAGAGTCCATCAATTGGTACTGATAATCCAGCACTGCGACCACCCATTGACAATGCTTCTTTATCATCGTCGAATACGGATTCATCGAAAAAATCAACCGACAATCTTCTTAGTTAAAATGAAACAGATTTGTGATTGTTTTCCGTTTTTTTTTTATTTCAACGTGTTGAATATAATGTGATCTTCTCAAAATCAAGTTATTTTGTTGTTTGATATTTCTTACGACAAATCTCTATTTTTTAATCTAGTCTTTTTCTATTTGGATAGCTAGAACTTCGAATATGTATGATCTACTTACATCTAAGCTTGTGTTTATTTCTTATGTTCTTTTTTTTTTATACAAGTGTAAAATGTCTGCGAGATGGCGCTAATCAATATCTGCTCTCTTTTTTTTTGCCTTAATGTAGAGCAATATATTTTTTAATGTCCATTATTCGTATTCAAATAAAATGAAAGGGTATTCACGTATTTTAGCACTAATTGATTGATTTCGTTAACAAATCATACGGCCAGTTCTTTGTCTGATGAGATTAATCAACGGTCTGTGCATCCTATATATTTCAAACAATGAACAGGACTATCAGTCTCTTACGCGATTGGTGCGAATCCTGTTCACTAATGTTCAACTTCATATAAAGCAATGTATGCTACGTTTCTTTGACACTCGAATACAATGAGATATTTGAGTAGAATAATGGGACATGTGCCTAGAATTTAAATGAAAAATAAACTTTTTTTGAAACCGGAAATAAGATTCAGTGTTAGAAAAATTTCCATGCAACTTGAGAATCAATTATTCACTAAGAAATTCGTTTAGATATTTAAAAAAAACATGTGTACTTATCATGGTATATTGGAAGAATATCCTCTTATATCCATTGATTCATTTGAAAGTCATAATTATACAAGTACTATGTTTTTCATCTCACATATTCATATGGATCATCTGATTGGCCTTGAACGACCAGAGTTTGGTAGATATGTTGCAAAAATTAATGCTCCTATCTATATGTCTGATATTTCTAAACAACTATTAAGTACAATACCTTTATATCGTCATCTAGTACCATATTTTAAATCAGTACCTATTGATCAACCATTTACTTTAACAATACAATCAAATGATCCTGTACAAGCAAAGAAAAAAGAAGGAGCCGGTAGCATTAAAAAATAGTATTTATCATTTCTTCTTGAATTATTTATTTGTTTAGATATGGAAAGTTTAAAAAATACTTTATCATCGCATGCACCCAATGTTGGTGAAACAATTGTTGTTACTTGTTTTGGTTCAGGTCACTGTCCTGGTTCAATTATGGTTTGGATTGAAGGTCAACATGGTAATGTTTTATTTACGGGAGATTTTCGTCTTTATCATGGTCAAGCTAAACGTTTAACACATTTACATCGACGACGAACCGATGATGATGATGATGATAATTATATATTCAAACCCATAGACAATATCTATATTGATATGACATTTTTTCGTCCGGAAATTCTGCATATTCCAAAACGTGAAGTTAGTTGTGAAGCACTTATTTTATGGATAAAAGATTTATTAGCTGACAAATCAAATGTTAATTTTCATTTTAAACAAAGGTATAAAATGAACCAAACAAAAGAAAAAGTTAATTATGTATTACTACAATAACAATTTTCTTTTAGTGCTCGTGTCGGTTATGAACAAATTTTTCGAGCTCTATACGATAGTTTAGGCATGCGTGTACATGTAGAACAAAGTCAATATGAATTTTTTTCATGTTTACCAATTATACAAGAATGTCTAACCACGGATCCAACAACAACACGTTTACATGCATGTCGTACACCATCGTCTAATTATACTCAACCTTGCTCGTTATTTCGAAACTGTGATAAACCGATACGAATACTTTTATCAATTATGTGGTTTACCGAACAAATATCTGCTAGTAAGTCGTCATTTAATTGCCTTTTCATCATTTTAACTTATTAGAATCGTCTATATCTTTGATAAAGTTTTTAAAGAAGATAAGAATATCTAAAAATTGTCCTTATACTCGATGAGGTGAAAATGTATTCGAAATTCTGCTGAATAATTATGGCAGGATTGTTTCTCATGATTATACATACATCTAATTTGACCTTTTTTGTTAAATGTCTATTGAAATCTATCAAATTAAAAATACGAAAAAAATCCATGAATGACTCCATTTAGTAGAACGAATCTTTCTCGAGCTAGAAGAAGCTCTGAGCATGAATTTGATGACAGTGAAAAATATGAGTTGTAACTAACGTGCTTCTCCCTTTCATTAGTTTTCTTGTAGCCAACGAAAATTTCACCACTGAGGTTATATCAATTCTTATCTCTATTTACTTTTGTTAAGGCGAACTATTAGTTGAATATCATGAATATCATTCAAATTTTGATCAAAATTTATCGAGACGTTGTATTGGCTTTCAAGATTATGGAGCCGACAATATCGACACAAATTTTCAAGATACATATGTAAATTATCGTTTATGCTATTCATTACATTCATCATTTTCTGAAATAGTTGATGTATTAAAAACATTAAAACCAAAATGTGTTACACCAATTGCAGCACCATTAACAACAATGATGACAACAAAGCGTTTATTTCAAATCATTGACCATTTTATACAAGATAATTCTATTGAAATACCAATGGTAACGATTAGAAATTTAAATGAAAAAATGCAACGAAAATCTATTAATCAACAAATACAACTTAAACATCGTTATGAATCTTTTGAAACTAAACTTGAACGAAAACGTCGTAGGAAATTATTCAAAGAACAACAACAACGAAAAGCGAATGATGAAGAATTAGATTTAGGGATTGATGAAGAAAGAGACCATCATCTTTTGCAAAGAATTGATTCTTTAAATGAATCGATTGGTAAACAAATACAAACAAATTCTTCGGCAAAATTCTTTCGATGTATGTAACGAAATTTCTATAATAAGATTAATTGAAAGGATTAGTGGAAATTTTACCAGCAACATCTGTGCAGGATAACAATGTGAGCTTATCGCAGAGAGATGGGTTTGGTTCTATTTATTTATTTTTGTCCATGTCCCCCATTGAATCCTACAGAAAAATAGTAAACAACAAGTTCATATATTAGAACAAAACATTATTGATGTATGATCTTTTTTCTTCGACTGTTATATTCATATAATTCGTAGAGTGAAGACCAATACATGACGATTTCATTAAGAAAGATATTTTATTACAGATTTTTGTAAATAACTTTTTTCTAAGAGCTATTATGAGCGAAAAAAATATTGCTACCCGAGGGTTCACTTTTTCAGTTAGTAAAAGTGAGCTAATAAAATTTTATTAAATTTACATGTTTACTTTTATCAATGTGAGAACAAAAATAACTTTTAGCATGAGACTTTGCAAACATAATGTTTTATTCATCAAACTCAAGGATATTTCGATTTATTCTTTCTCTAAATACTATTTATCAAACAATATCTTAGTTCATTTAAATAGTGGATCATTTGAAGTTATTCATCAATTATTTTCTTTGTTATATTGTTCGTCGTAAACAATGAACATATATCCTAGATTAAAATAATTCTATTTAATAATGTTCTTACAATAGAAGCGCATAATTTCTCATGTAATTGCATCATTTTTAATTAAAAAAATTTTTTGTCATAAATTGAGGCTATCGAAAATTGTGTAAGCTTCAATTGCCTACAATTAATATAGCCGCTAATCTCTAAAATATCGGAAGATTATCTTTATTGAAGTTCTAGTTGTGTGAGATATTACTTAATCAAGGAATCTTCTAGGACACACGGCATATTACTCTATCTAACGGAAGTCTCCTATCGCCAGAGAGGTTTTAGCTGTAGATAGCTACAATAAATATAAGTATAGAATGATCGAAGTAAATCGTGCGTTGACTTTTAAGTTTGAAAGAAAATCTTAAGCTAAGAATTTAATTTTAATTTTAGCTATTTCATTGGATACAGTAATAAAAAAAGATAAAAAGAATACCATCAATGGCGATCAACAAATAAACATATCTGTCGAAGAATCAACTTCAAACGAAAGCATATCATCAATATCAGAAGATTCATCTAATTCATTATCAATTGAAGATATCAGACCAATCAATGATAACCTTCCTGATATTTGTTCATCTGAAATAGAATATATATCTAGTGATCAACAGTTTGTTGAATTAACTTCTTTAGAGGACAATCAAGAAAGTACCATGTCAGATTCTTCTTCTGATACGGTCGATTATGACTTCGATACAGAAATATGTGCACCACGTACATTCGAATCTCAAGAATGTATGATTCCGTTATCTACTTGTCATGATAGGGAATGTTAAAGAAAACGTTTTTGTTGACTTTATAGTCATTTTTTCTTAATTTTGATGATTATTTAATGTAGTATTGTTTTTTTCCTCTTTTCTAGATCATGAGTTCACTAGCTTTACATGTTCTTACGCTTACTCTTGGCTTGTTTTTTATTCTGGTTGGCCAATTTAAAGTTACGCCAAAACTTTTTCCTGACATACATCAAGATATGGTAGGAATTCTTTTTTTGCAATTCAAATTTATTGTATTTCACTCTATTAGAAACATGAATTTGGACGTGTTAATAAAGTATTTCCATTTTATAAAATGACTGGTTGGCGTCCGTTTGCTAAAAATTACCGAATGACTGTGGGTATCACTGAAATTGTTTGTGGAATTATTTTAATTCTTTTACCAGGTAGTTTAATTTTTTTTTCTTTTGGAAGCTACAATCTTTCTATTTTGAAAAACAGGACGACTTAAACAATTGGCGAATGTCGTACTTCTGGCAATAATGCTAGGTGCTGTTTATACGCATTATGCTCTGGGCGACAAGCTCGATCGTATAGCACCTGGTATTATCTTTGGTTTACTTTTATTTACTCGTCTTATTATACATCAACAAGGAAAACGTTCAAGCTTAAATGTTAAAAATGAACCAATGGTGGTCGAAGCAAAAGATCAGACTAAAAGCAATCGACAAGAATCTGTTGATCTAAAACCAAAGGATAAAAAGAAATCAAATGACAAGAAGAAAAACTAAACCAATTATGTGTAGTCTGTTGTTTTTGTTGTATCTATATATTCAATATTGTCAATTGTGTTTAGATTCTTTGTATTGTTTTCTACATTGTTAATTCTGTGTTTGATATTGTCATTATTTTATTAACTAAGATAGGAGAATAAATTCTGTTTGTGGTTCATACGTGCTGATTACATTTTAATGCACGTAAAAAATATGAATGCCAACATTCAATTATCATTCGCCAGCAAGACTATGAGTGAATTCATTTCGCAGACTTCATTTTCACTATTCATAAGCGGCTCCCGACTTCACCTCAGCCAGTGGAGGTACGACGGGAAACGTCCGGAAAGCCGGGAAGTCGCTGAAACATGGAAACAGCATTTCGGTCAAAAATACGGCCGGTCTTTCCCGACGGATTCCTATCAAGCTCCGGTACTTTTCAGCAACAATTGATCGGAAATCACCGGGAAAAAAATCAGAAAATTTTCCAACTGGAATACTGGTTCCACAAAATCAGCGGAACTAACCGAAACCGGCCGTTTCCAGGCCGGACTGTTCGACCTGGGTATATATACACAGCTGTAAAATAACATGCTCCACAAAAACGAGACAATGTCTCTTCTTCCGTTTGTATTTCAATCTCAGCTAGTCTAGTTTTAAAATATGAATTAATACACTGAAGCGACGAGTAGTTGTAACTATTTAACAAAAAACACTAGATCGATTTGACTCGATTGGTTAATTTCTAGTTTGATTCGGACTTCATGTTCAACAGCAAAATGTAGAGTTTGACCGTGATATACATTTTTGTGCTATTATTTTATTTTCAAGGACATGATGATTTTTTATGTCTGAAAATAGGAAGAAATTCATGGTGATTTTAAGAAGAAAAAATCACCATGATGTGAAGTCTCAGTAGTTTAACATTAGTAAGAAACGTTATTTTGTTGAAATGAAAAAATATAATATAGGGAAAGGATCTGTCTTTTATTAGTTACGTACAATTTAGTGTAGTACATGATGATCGATGATCTTTTTTTAATATATTCATGTCAGACAAACAAACAAAAAAATTGTACGAGACGCATTTTTGTTCATGATTTGTTCTTAAAATTCTTCTTATAATGAAGAATTTTGAAAAGAAAAAACATATTTGTTTTTTACTTTCATTGAAGAAGATTATTTGTCTGCCGTTGTCTAAACAAGTTTCTTGGTGGCTGATTTTGCTTGAAATTAGTCGCTAATTTTTTCAATAAATACAATTGCTCATTTATATCTTCGTCACTATTTTCTTGTAGTGATTTTTCCAACGTTGTATACAGATCATCAAGTTCACTTTCTCGGCGAACAAGTTTTACCCTAAATGCATCGTAATAATCTTTCACTGCTTTGAGATAATTTGCAATTTGCTCTTTGGTTTTAAAACGCGATGGTCGTTCAGGTGGTGGTGGTATATCAAGATAAGATGATAAAATACATGAAGCCAATGCAAAAAATAAGAACAGAATAATGCACGTATTGTTCATTCTAGAATAATCAAATAGCAAATGTTTAAAGATATTTAAAAAAATATATATATGTTCAAAGATAATAGGATTTCTTGCGCCTACTCAAGCTGCGAGAAAGAAAAAAATCTAAACATATACTATATAACTGTATGACTTTTTTTCTTAGTTTTCCTGATTATAGGAAACGATACAGAGAAACAAAACTACTGACTTTAAAACATCGTATTGATGTAATTTAGAATTAGGTAATTATCTAAAGTGATCATTTCTTAATAGAACTAATTATGTTCAAGAACGCTAATAATAATATAACTAGCATATATATTTTGTATTGGTAATCACTTTTCATTATTTTCCTACAGAAAATTTATGGACAAGTAGTAAATTTATTAAAAAACAACTAATTCTATATATTTTGATACTATTCTAGTATGAGTTTTTATGCCTTTCTTGTTTTTACAAAGACCAGAGGTAAAAGAATACGTAAATGAAGTTTTTCAATGCTAAACTAGTCAAAGAAAACATGATCAGATTTCATTTCAACATGAGGTTGTATGAAGACATGGGAAAACTGAATAAATGAGTACATGTGTCTTGTTACCTCATGGCTGCATTAGAATTGATATGAGTGTGGGTATAATTTTAATAAGTCGATAACAATAACAACTCGAGATCTACGATTTTGATGAATGTAACGAGTGGCAGATAGGATGTCTCCTTGTTTTCTAATGTCACCGTGTTAGGTCAAGTAATTATAAAATTCATCATTTTCATGAGGAACTAGAAAAATAATGCAGAAAGAAGATTTGTTTTCTATCAAAAAAATGTTGCTGGGCCTCAAAAGACTTTAACTGAAATACTGCGCAATTTGAGTGACTTAAAGATACTATACTATACAATATCGTTATCTGATATTGCACTTTAATGTATAGGTCACAAGTCATTCTATCTGCAGCAGATGTCAATAGCAAAACTACATTGAAGTATGGCATGATTTTCGTGAATTTTTCAGTCATTTACGGAGATGATAAGTTCGTTTATTAATAATTTCCGCTTGCATAAGATGAAATAGAAAAATGGCGTGAACTTTCTTTTGCTTAGATTACTGATAATTACAACCTGTTAACTGTATTTTTTGTAGAATCATTAAGGTTACCAGCAACTTGTTGTAGTTCTAGTGTGGCCATCGGTTTCATACTTGTAGAAAGAATTAATAAATTAATGAAAAAAACATGATTATCTACTATTGAAAAATTAATAAGTAACTTTCTCATAAAAGAGTAAATAAGATAAGAGCAAAATTTTATTAAAATCTTTTTCCTATTAATTTCAAACTACTTCATTCATTCAAGCAGCTTAAAATAAAACCGACCACACCCTATAATTATTTGAGCCAAAATCTATTTCATCATATAAACTCAAAGTCAAATTTAGCAATTTGAAATGTTCTTAAGTCCAAAGGTCAATTAAAATCATCTACACAGTTAGATGAGTATTTAAGCTCGTAGTAGACAAGTTTATTGGCCGAAAAACTAAGTCTAGATTTGTCGACTGTCAGAAGTAGAATAAAACCAAACGTAGATAACAAGTTTTTGTTTATGGAGTAGATTTGCACCGAGTATTATTTTTTTTATATTAAATTAGACAAAAAAAAAGCTGGTTTATTTTACTAAAGGCACGCGACGAAGAGTACGATCCGATAGAAATAAATTCACTAGTGCATTCTGTATGCAAATGAGAGTATCAAAAACAAAAATAATATTTAATTAGTCTGATTTGTGAAACAAATATTTTTGTCAACCAAGTAGAAAAATATTCTCAATAGATTGAAGAAAGCTTTGGCACCGAACTTTCCACGCCAATATCGTACTATCAATTAAACTTATCATTTTCGCTTGAGTAACACTTACGTGTTGACTTAACAAATGAATTCTTAGACTTACGTTAGTGTGCTTGTATGATCGAAACTGGATGACAAAAAAAGCAATTAATTGCCTATACGATTGTGTTCTGCGTCAGTAATATAAGAGAATAAATGACGATTATAGTAATGAAGTGATCAATAAATTTGTTTAAGCGAGAAAAAACTTCAAAGATAACTCTCTCACTTTATATATATATCATATGAAAAGAAAATATGGACACTGATGAATCCAGAAAGAAAATCAAAACTAAAGCATAACACATATAATCCAGCTGTTCTTATTCGCCTGGGAGAACCTGGCAAGAAAGTAGTAAAAATGACATTTTGTTGACAGAAGAGATACCATTTTCTATTTACTTATGTAAATCAAAATCTTAATTATCATACAACGAGGCGTCACTTCGAATTTGAGATATGTTTCTGCGGGCACTCCTCCCATTGTAAACAGCTAAATATTAAACAAAACAGAACTCGGTAGCCTGCTGTCTTCGTAATTTTCAGGAACACACCTAATCATTAGCATGATAACTGAGTCAGTAGCAATAACATTTCTTATATACAACAACGCCTTCATTTACGTAGGAGTTAGAATGTAATCTAACCTAAATATGACGATAATTGTTTACACATTCATTGGACCGTTAATGTTAACATCCTTAAAAATATGTGTGACAAAGTCATTGACTGGCGTATGTTACAGATTTTTATCTGTATTCCGATAATGAATTTCTAATAACATACGATCTAATGTTTGCATACACAAAATAAAATGAACTCAAACAAGAAAAATAATCTGCATCCTACTTTAGAACGTTGACTTACAGCGGAAAGAATAACACTATTAGTATATTTCAATAACAAATCAGCTTAAGGGAACAATTTATTATGTTTGTAGTTTAATGTAATTCAAATTATAGGTCGTTTATCATTTTAAGAATAAAACTTACCGTTTTAAAAATGTCATCAATACCATTATTTAGTTTACCTTCTTTTTGTAATTGCCTGTTAAAAGATTGATTGAAGTTGGTAAGAATCTATCGGACGTAATGACAAGAAAAGAAACAAAATGAGAAAAGCAATTAGAAAGTTTTCTTTTTAGATTTATGCTACAAGTAAATGGCGTTAAATTAAAGAGATCTCGACTGGTGAAGCATATAGCAAAATGTTTCAACCACTAAAGTAATTGAATCCTTTCCGGTGTGGGAAATAGCTGTTATGATTATTTTTAAGCATAATAAAGATGATTTCTTTCCTTCTATACTCTGATCTAGTCAAAATCTTACGTAATACGAACCGTTAATAGTGCTCAATGAAATAGAGAATTTTCATCAAATAAATTAATGTACATATAGGAGCCTAGATGCTTAAGGTACCATTAAAAATGCTTCTATTAAAAAAAATGTTAATTATTTTTCTTCTCCATCGGTTCGTGATGGTAAATATGCTAGCGTAAAAAAGAAGACACCGTAGAGTTGCTTGATAAAAGTCAGGAGTGTGTTTTCTCAGTACAATTTAGCTGGATATCACAGAGCGAGCATGACGAACGTATAACGTAAGATTGTACTGAACTAGTAGATCTGATATTTGTAACGGTGCTTCACTCTCGTACTATTCCGTCTATGGATCAAACTATTTAACATAGACAATTTTCGACTAAGCTTCATTACAGATCATCTATGAGATAATAAAAGTAAAAGCAAAAGCAGAACAAATCCAACAATCTTACACTCGTAACAGTGATGGTTTTATCCGTCACATCAAAGACAAGTTCTTTTTTTTTTTTATAAAGATTAACAGAATAAAATCTTAATCAGAATCTATCATATACTGTTCTGGGGATAAATGATTATGGGAGACAGGAATCCGAAAGAACATGCTTTAAAAAGGCGAAGAAGACAACGTCAATTGGTTTAATTGAGAATGGCTTCTCAGTGAAGAATTATGATGACATAAAATACACCTAACAGTTAATTGATTACCTGGCAGAATAAAAAAATCCGATTAAAATATGGAGCAGACAAACGAGATACAGTGACTTAATTAAGCAGAGACTGAGCTTATTCCTTCCTTTTTTTAACGGATAGTAAAAAGCTCTGAGCTCTTCGAATAATTGTTAGCCGAAGGTCTTGCCTGTCTCGAAAAACATTGGTGGAAAGAGTAAAGCTTCTCTGAGAACTTTCTTTCAATTGTGCTAGCAATATCCAAAAAAATGTTTCTTCATGGAATATATTAACATAAAAAGAAAATTTATGGTTACAAAAAAAAGCAGTTGAAAACTTACTTTGGAATCTCTTTCGTACAAGATATCAATATGTTTGACACTTACTGTTGGGAAAAATATAAAATGAATTGGCTCCAGTAAATGTAATTATTCTCTTCTTTGTTATTTCATCAAGCTATTTCAAGTATAGAGAAAAGGAAATCTTAGCGGCAAGTCAAATTCAGCTCTGTTATATACTGGAAGAGAAAGCGTGAAGTCCCTCGAAAAAGTTTTATTTTACAGTAATAGTAATCACAATACTTTTTTCTTTTCTTTTATTTCCATTCAATAATGAAAGTTCATAGAACCGTTGATTTTTAATATACAATTGAGATAGTTACTTATCGCTATTTTTAATTAGGATTTTTTCTCGTTTTTTTCTCTTTTATTGTTAAAGAGCAATAGAAGTTCACAAGGGAAACAAAACATAAAATATAAGTATCATCGAGGTTTTTTAATCATATCGATTTTTTTTCTGTACACATTGAACAAAACATACAATTGATAATACATTTTAACAAGAATGTATAAAATAATTTGCTAGATCAATCGAACTGATTATTTATTGGCATTATCCGCTGCATTTGGCATCACAACATGAACATCAATTCGATCGAAACCTGCTTCATCGGTATTATGAACAAATAATAGATGACCTTCATCGATTCGCTCAAGAATATTGCCTAGCTCGTCTATGGTCGCTATTGAATTCTATCATAAGAAAAGAAAAAAATCATTAATCAAAAGGAATATTTAAGATTTAAACACTCACATCTGTAGTATTTTCTTCATTTTGACATGACGGAATGCTGAAACAAAGAAAAAATTATTTTTTTCACATATATGCTATTGTTGTGATAGATTTAGTGTCATTCTAATCAGCACAAATTAAATTATATATTTAGTAGATTAAATTAAATGACAGTTGTAAAGAGATAAAAAAAAGTGAAGACCAAATGTTTTCAACAGGTTTCTGTTATTGGAAAAACGATTTATGTAATATGATAGAATTAAAAATTAATAGAAAAACTACGTCTTTTGTAATATTTAGTACTATGGTGATTTAAGAATACCTATTGTCAAACCAGCCAAGCAAATAAATGCTTATTACATATTTTAATCGAATTTTCGAGGCAACTAGACAAATGAATATGTGTGACAATTGACCAAGTGAGAAATGAGAGTTATCGTTTTACTAATTATTTGTCTTTTTTCTTAACGTAAAGCTAAAAAATGAATATAATCTTAGTTAGAATTGATTCAAATGCAATCCTACAATTGTTTAGCATCTTTTTTGTGTACTCAAAAAGTGAGTACAGTCTAGATTCGGTCAGTGTGTCCGTCCGGGGTCGTTAATATGACAACCGTTGAAAGCCTCATCCAATTGTCATGAAATTTTTTACACATAATGATCTCATTAATATCTCAGTCGAGTTCGAAGATGAGAAGGATCCGTCAAGAAATGGCTGAGTTATCGAAAAAATTGTTATTATTGACCAGACCATGCCAGAGGTGGGGGAGTACAGGGATTTTTTCAAAAAAAATGTTTTTTTTTCACAATTATTCACAACATATATAAATCGACTCAGCTTTTGAAGTACACGTAACAATCGGATGCGAATCCGATATTTCCGCAGTTTTTCGAGAATAGAAACTCTTTAAATTAAATTACATAGAAAATTTCATGATTACAGTTCCGCTCACGTATCATTAAATAACACTCAAATCAACCATCTACTTAGTTTAATGGTACGAGAGAAAAAAATGATTTTCTTCGTATTTTAAGCTTCTTATTAAAACTCGAGATGATAGGAAATTGCGCACGCATGTGTTATTTCATGCATTTTTTTGAAAATGCTAAATTAATCATCTTTTTATTTTCTATAGTCACATTTCCACCACAAATTGAATAATTGAAAGTAAAAATTCAATAGGTTGTGAGGGGGTGTTTGTTTTGAGTGTCAACAACGTCAAGATCTCTATTCTACCCAGTGAAAAATATTCGCTGATTTCAATCAAATTATCGTGCAACAAAATCCAATCCGCAATCGGATTGAGAATTTTGATTATAATCGATTACCATTTAACCCAAACGTGATGCTACTGTTAGCCCAGTGGAAACTAGTTTGATTAAAATCTGATTGTTCTGTAGCACAATTCGAATTATCAATCGATTGATAATGTGGATTTTACTGGAAAACAATCCGATTTCAATCAAACTAATTTCCACTGGGCAAGCAATAGCATTAAATTTGGGTTGAATGGTGATAGATTAAAATCAAAATTGTCAATCGGATTGCGAATTGGATTTTGTTGCACAATAATTTGATTGAAATCAGCGAATATTTTTCACTGGGTATTCACGCCCCCATTCGATGGAGGAAAGAAATTAATGAATGTCTTACTTAGCTAGAAAACGAAAACAAATAAAATAGGATTAATCTAATTTCTTCTTGCTGATTCCTCCTCTTTTAGATCTTCTTTTTTTTTTTGTTGAATAATATTAAATATTGAAATCGTATTATAAAGATTTGTTGAGGACACAAGCTGATCTCTAAATTTTCCCTCGACAAAAAAAGAAAACGTTGCACTTTAAAAAGTCATTTTCTATAACTGAATATTATTTATATTTCAAATTGAGTACGTTCAGAAAATTCAATTGTAAAATATTTTACTTACATTTGTTCGATTTTCGATTCCAGAGCTGTTGTTGTAATTTCAACAGTATCAGCAACATCCATGGAGCTTCCATCTTCATCGTCATCATTGACAAATTCTGCACTTTTCTTTATACGTATACTGTTCTTTTCTTAAAATAAAATGAAATACTTAAAAAAAAAACTGCAGCTTCATATTTCATACTTGATTGTAAACGTTTCTCACGACGTCGATTAATTTCAAGTGGATCAGACGATGACGTCTAAATAGATATGAAGTTGTTGGATATAGTTTATCGAAAGTTTTATTTTTCGCTGATATTAACAACTGAATATAAATACAAATAGTAATTTCAACTTGCTATCGATTAGATTTAATGAAAGGCGGTCATGTATGAAATAGCACAGTTTCTAATATAAACTAAACACTCGATCAGGACTATTGTTTAAAAAATCTTCTAAGACCTGAAACGACTGCGTTCGACATCTGAGAAAACTTCACTAATTAATAGAATCATTGTCAGAATTTGAGTTTATTATCTAACATTATAGGATGAAAGAAAAAATTATACATTGTTTACAGGTCATTTCTTTTATCCCTGTGCAATGCGGATGATCAAAACTTAATTACACCAGATGGCCCATTCACGTGTAGATATCTTTGAAGAGTGTTGCAAGTATTTGAAGATGAATTTCAGTGCGTCGAAACTCTTTCAAACAGAATTAGTAGTCTTCCAATGATTAGCTAGCATCGAGTACATTAATAGAACTAACATGTTTCACTCAAGACAATGTTCTTGATTTCTATTCGCTTAGTAGAAAACAATTTTCTATGACTTCGTTTCAAAGACTAAAATATGAATTAATATTTATCCAACCATTTTTCGATCGTCTACTATTTTTAAATCATTAACACGTACTTGTTTTTGTTTACGTTTAACCATTCGTCGTTTACGTGGTGGTTTCTGTATGCTATTATCTATGTCATTTCCGTTATCATCGTCAGATGATTCTTCTGATGGTGAATAGAAACATGTTAAATCAAATGGAACGCGTTGTTCTTAAAAATAAAAACATAAAGATGAAAACTAAAGAACACAAGTATGAATCATACTGAGAGCTGAATCAACTAAAGTTCTATTTGCTTTATCCTCAGTTTTGAATTTTCTTTTTATGTCATCTCGATCACGATTTGGAAAAACGCGTGCAATTAATGTGAAATCAGTTCCACACATTCGAAGTGCTTGATAAAAACGTAATGTATCTAAAAATAGAAAAGATTTTGGTTAAAATTTGAATTCTGATGTAGAGAAGAATAAAAATAATAAAGACCTCGACTATTCCATCGTTTTCTTCGACCGATTTTTCTATAACTTTGATGTGTTAAATTGTCATCGTTAAATTGTCCTTCGACAATGATCGTATTTCTCGGTGCATCCTCTGCATGTCGTATAAGTATACTAAAATCAAATATATTTTTGATAAAAATTAGTTCTAATATACAAATATTAAAATAAAATAAAACCTTTCTTCATCAACAACTAATGCTCCAGTAGCATCAATTTTTAATTGTGGTGCTAAAACAGCATTTTGTCCATCGGTACTTGATATACTTTGTTTACGAACAGGATCATCTGCAGCATCTGTTTTAGTTGTTTTAATTTTAACTCTAAAGGAAATAAATTAATAAAAATCACAATCTTTAAAAATTGAAATATCTACTCCATTTTATTGGCTTCAGGGTTATAATGAACAAAATCAGCTATCTTTAATTTTGATGTATCAACAGGTTCACCTTTATTACCACCAATATCTTCGAGTTTTTCAAGTGTTGCTGCACGTCGTTTTCGAATTGTCTAGAGGAGCAATAAAATAAAAATTTCATATGTGAAATAATTATAAAATCTACATTATGCGGTTCAACTTTTGCAGCAAGTCGTTGTGCACGATAGCTAATATGTTGATTAAGATATTCACGACTAATTTTTGACGTTGTTCGAGGTGGTAAAAGTAGAGGATTGTTATCAATGGTAGGTGTATGTACTTCAGTTGTTTCTGTTATTGATATTTCAGTTGCGGTTGGAGTTGACATGTCTCCATTTGTGATTAGATCTGACGTGGTATTTATATGTGATTCGTTTGAAACAATTGGTCTATGGAAAATATAGATCAAAATAAGGATACAAAAATAAAACGAAAACTTACTTAATAATTATAGGATTGATGCGTCCAACTGCAATAGATGATGGTGTGGCATGTTTTTGACGAGATGATTCAGTTTCACTTTCTGTACCAGAACAACTAGCAGATGGTCTAGAAAAGGCAAAGCATGTGTTTGAGATTGAGATTTAATCAGATGAATTTACCGACGATGATGAATGACTGTTTTTGCGCCAATATTTGGTGTTGCTCTTATTCGATACAATGATCTTGCTGTTGAAACTGTAGCAGGAGGAGGTGGAGGTGACGACGGAGCTGCTAGAGTTGGAGGTATTGGTGATGAAGGAGTAGCTGGAGGTAGTGGCGATAAAGGAGGTTGAGGTGAAGGTGACGATGAAACCGAAATAGCAGTAGGTATAGCGGGTGAGTCAACAACTGATACACAAACCGAGGAAGATGGTTGTGAGAATTGTTCGATTGTCTCTTGAACATTTGATACTGACTCTGAAATATAACACAATAATCCTTGATTGATATCAAAGTTAAATTTATTTTTAAAACTCATGCTCAAATAAATAAATTAGTACAAAAGCCCACTTAGTTTAATTTTTATGAGTTGGAATAACGTCAAATTTTGTTGCTGAGTTTATACCTTCTATAACCGCTGGTGCTGCTGGAGGATCAATCTGTTGCGAAGATTGCTCTTTTTGTGACTGAGTAGATATTGCCTCCTCTGATACGTCATTTGATCGTACAATACTACTAACTGGACGTGTTGCTTGCACATTAGGCTTAACATTAACACGAGGTCGACGAAAAACCATGATGTATCTAAAAATTAAGTAAACTATTTTTTCAAAATATCATTATTATTCTATAACTAGCCTGTTAAAATATCTCACATATATTTATTTGTTGAATAACTAATGATATAAAATTCAAATTTTAAATGAACGGCTGAAATTCTATTTTCCTGAACCTACTTTATTGGATAAAATCAAAAAATTCATTTATTTTTCGTGTTTATGTTTTTTCTCCTACTTCAATTGAGTTGTTTTTAACTTGCTGCCTTTGCTAGATGAAATACCGCAAAACTTTCATTTGAATTTCTAGTAAGAGAACGTAAGATATTTGTTTCAAATAGATTTCGTTAAATCAGTTCTTTCCAGAATAATTTCATCACAAGCATTTGTGTTTTGTACGAATGACGAAACGAACTACCGTCATCTATCTTATTGGTGAAAAAGTTTCACCAATGACATTATTGACTTCTAATATCAAAATTTTCTAATCAAGTTTCTTTGGTAACGAATTATTTACAAAATGATTATGCAACGACTTTTATGGATTTATTGCCAAATTAGATTTGCACAATATCTACTTCAAGTGAGTTTAAGAAAATAAATATGAAATTATAATGCAACATTTTTTATTTTTCATAGTTCATTGCAAATGTAATCATTCCGGATCATGATGCACGTGCCTTCAATCCACCTTTATGGTCATTCGACAAGGGCACAATCATTGATATTCTTGTTGATAAATTTTTTTCTGGTTTACGTCGTTGGGATGCAATACATTTTCTTCAAATCGCTCGCTTTGGCTATATCTATGAAAATTCATTAGCATTCTTTCCAGGTTATCCTTTACTATTTATTTCTCCATTAGGTTATCTATTAAATCAAATTTTAATTGAATCCAATGCTTACCTATTAAGTGCAATCTCAATTAATTTTCTTCTTGGATTTTGCAATGCATATTTATTATTTCAATTAGGATTGAAATATAATTTAACTTTGAATCATGCATATTGGTCAGCCATACTTTTTATCGTTAATCCAGCAACAATATTTTTTCTCGCACCATATTCTGAAAGTTTATTTTTATTTAGCCAATTATTAGGACACTACTATTTAAAATCAGATAAAACTTTTTACACATGTCTATGTTTTGGATTTGGTTCAATAATACGCTCAAACGGTATAATATCATTTGGTTTTATTCTATATTATTATATGAAAAAAATGTATCAAAGAAAACAACTCATTTTTCCAATACATGATTTTATTTTATGTGTTTTACCATTTTTTCTAACACAATATTTTCTATACAAACAATATTGTTTTGAAAAAAACATACCACTTGAATTACAAACCTATGGTTTCAATAACAATCTCTCAATGCCGCTGAGTAATTTCTCCTCCACATGGTGTTTACAGCGAATTCCATTATCATATCAATATGTACAAAAAGTCTATTGGAATGTTGGCTTTTTAAATTATTGGACATGGAAACAGATTCCAAATTTTCTCTTAGCATTACCAGTATTAATTTTCATAGGAGATTTTATTAAAACTTGGTTTAAAATTATTCGAAAAGATTTATGGAAAAGAAAATTCGAATATCTTTTTTCGAATAGAATTGTCTATCAAAGAAATATTTGGTTTGAACAAAAGGACTTTTTTCCACATATTATTTACATGTTATTTCTAAGTTTATTTGCATTATTTTTCATGCATATACAAGTAACAACACGTTTTCTTTTCTCAAGTGGACCATTCTTATATTTTATTTCTGCTGATAAACTCAAACAACATGATATTAAAAATAGAAATCTTACAAAGATTTTTTATTTATTCAAAATTGAATCATGTCTTTTTTATTACTATTGTATTTATGTTATTATTGGAATCTGTCTTTTTTCGAATTTTTTACCTTGGACATAGAAAAATAAAACAAAAGTAGAACAAAAAGAAAAGAAACGAAACGATAGTCTCTCATTTTAGATTGAATTTAAAAAAACACGCATGCCTCGAAGAACAGCGAATGGTCGACGTCCAGATGATTTGGATGAATTTTGGTTTGAAAAAATTGTTGTTACAACAAAGGTATTGAAATTAAGAGCGTATTTTAAATTTTAATCACACATGCAGTATTCAAATTCAATTTCGACAAAAGAAAAATTATTTTTGTGGTTATCTTTAGAACATAATCTTTCTTGATTAGGTGCAGATTTTAATATGGATTGTAAATGCAAACCATACAACACATAAGTTATTATTCGTAGTGAGAGCGAGTGGATCAATGAAAGTATATGACATGAAAGAAAATTTTCATGTAATAATTGTGTTAATTAAGCTCTTGTTTTTGTAAACTGAGAAAGTTTCAAGGTACTTATAGTTCATAAGAAGAGCATGATATCATTAAAATAGGGCGACACATGAACATTGGATGTTAGTAAAGAAATTTATTTTTATTAGCTTTCCAAGATCTCTTCAAGTTTAAAAACGAATAGAACCTTTAGGTCTAAACTTATTGATAGCATGGGAAAAATAAATCTAAGACGAGAGAAATTCTATTGGAAAAAAATTTTAACAAATTTCATATATTCGAAGTAAAAATATAAGAAGTAGGAGGAATGAAAAAGTAGCGCTGTAATGCGGGCCATTTATGACAAAGAGCAGAAACAAATTAAGTTATCTACTTCTCTAAACTTCTTTTCATCTTCTGTCCTTTAGACAGAAGCTTATCTGAAAATATGTCTTTCTCAAGATATTTATTACTCGCAAAAATTGGTTACTTGCTAAGAGAGAAAACTCTAATCAGGCGATTTTGCACATGGAACATCTAGAAAAGAAATATATTTCACTTTGTTGAAATTTTGACATCTATTCATACTGAATACCAAGAATACGTATAGGAAAATGTACTTGAATTAGTACAAAATACGCCCTCTCAGTAAACAAACAACATATTTGCACTAAAAAGAAATATAATTTATATACAATGGGTATTTTTGCCGTTGAAAAGATAGAATTGAAATCGAAGAAGTCCTTCGATCAAATAGTTGATTAAGACGAAGAAAAAGCGTTGCATATCAGTGTTTACGTAACGAGAGGAAAAAAAGATTTCTCGTAAAAATTTATTAAATATGATCGAATAACACCTTGAGTTTTTTCAGGGATGTCTGTAGGTGTTCTTTTGACAGTGACGATGTGTTTAAACAATTTGTGCGATGAAAAACATGCTCCGCTTAATAATTTATTTGAATCGTCAAGAGTCAAGAAAAAAAGAAGTCATTTTTCACAGAAGTTTTACTATAAAGTGAGAAATCAATTTTTCTTATAAGAATACTATTGATGAAGCGTTTCATTTCTAAATTACTACTACTGATCGGGAGAGACAGCATTTTTAAAGTTAAAATTTACATTAAAATAAGAAGAAAATTCCTTGAATACATATACTATCTTATTTATTTAGACTGCTGAAGAAATTCGTGAACATACCATTGCAGCAGATCTTTCCCCTGTTGCTAAAACATTAGCTATGCTTGAGTATAACTATTTTTTTTATCTAACATAAAATTAATTGAATACTGTTTTCTGAATAGTTCTCGTTCGGATATTCAACGTCTTGCTGGCATTCGTTCTATTTCATCTGTGATTATTTCTGATCGAGACGAAACTTTTAATCGTATATTACCGAAGTTTAAAGTATTTCAATTTTGAAAATGTTATCTTTTTTTGTTTAATGATTATTATATTTAGGCTATTATCGAACAAACACTTGATAATGGAGAACATTCAGTAGCAGCAGAAACAATCGTTTGTATGATAGAACAAAAATTGTTATCTTACTCGGAATTTATGTTATTATTTTCACCGATGATTTGCAAATTTGTATTTCCTACTACAACAAATCGTTTTTCAACGGGTTCGTAAAATAATACGAACGGATGAAATCTTAAAATAAAATGTTTGTTTTTTTCTCTCCAGATTTTGGTCATATATGGTGCCAAGCATTATGCAATATAATTGACGCTTTCCCAAATACAACTTCAATTAATTCGGTTTGAACAGTTGTTAGAAATTTTTCAAAATTCTAAGTTCTCCTATTTGTATAGCTACTTGATTTAGTTTTCAACCATAGTTTACATGGTTCATATGTTCGAGACCGATTGGCAATAATCCTAGCTAAACTATCAACTCGATTGAATGCACAAACGTACGACAGAAAACAATGAAATTCAATCGAAAGTTTTTGTTCTCATTTTACTAGAATCGAAAATCGTTTGTTGCCTGTATTCAAAAATTTCATCAATGATACCAATTCTGACATTCGTGCACTAGCTTGCCAAGAACTACCGATTCTTGCCCGATTATTCGAGTAAGATAGTTCAATATTTTTTCTCTTTATTTTATTTTTGTAAAATGCAATCGACACGAAGTGAAGAGTTTCGGTTTTGTATTCTCCATAGGCAATAAACTAATAGGTATAATATACTAGTTTTCATAGTATTCACGACACTATATACATAGTGTTTTTCATTTTCGTCCCAGAGTGATTATGTCAACAGATTTGTTTTCTTTTAGTTAATGTCACGAGATTAAATTGTAAAGTCGAAGCCTGTACATTTGCAGTGTCAGCGAAAAGACTTAAATACACGAGAGAGTGGAAAAGCGTTTTTCTATCGATAGCACTAAGTATTTTCATACAGATTGATAGCTTCTCTTCTTCTACGGGAGTATCCTACTGGAATGAAGATTGTTGAAATATTGCCAAAACTAATCGAACTATCTTGTATGAACACTTGATTTGAAAAGTGGATCATTGCATCTAGCAGTTTGGTGCCGAACATTATTGATTTTGTCAAATTGAGTTTCAGCATGTCTGAATCTGAAATGTATTCGTTTCAATCGAAATTTTAACAGAATCTACTATTATTGAATAAAAATATCTGACGTAAGTCAAGAAAAAGGATCTTAAGATTTGCTACTTTTCAAATATTTTTGATAGTTTTTCAAATATTCACTTGAGTCACTGTTAATTTTGTGAATCCCTATTCGATGTTTAGATCAAATCAAATGCTCAATTTGATATTACCATTATTTGTAATATTATCTAAGGATGATAATATAAATGTACGACAGACATGTTTCGAATCGTTGCTTGATCTAAGTAATAGTTTGAATGACTCGAGATCTATTGAACAAGTTAGTGACATGATAATTGCACTTATTAAATTTGGTTTATCATCACGAACGTTGAAATTTGTTTCAACAATAGCGATACGTCTGCACGATTTATGCCATGCACTGACTAGTAAGACAAAAAGATAATGAAAATTTTCATAACTTTTCATCTTTTAAAGTTTTTCGTGTTGATGAATATCAATTTATTCGTGAAACATTTTTACGGTTAAGTCAAGAAAAAGTAAGAGAAAAGCCAAATGTATATATGCATATTTAATTTTGTTTGTACGTTTAGCAATATTCAGAGTGCCGATTAGCTTGTGCAAAACATTTTTCGGTAGAAAATATTTTGTAAATTATTATTTATCTATGAGCATGATTTTATTTATTTACTAGTCCGTTATTGATTATCTCGGTCCAGATGAATTAACAAATGGATTCGAAGAATTATTTTTCGAGCTATGTAATGACAATGATACAAAAGTTTGCGCGACGATGTTGTCAACAATAATTAATGTAAGTAGAAGAAAAATTTTCAAACAAGAAAAATTTATTTTTAGAGTTGTTTGTGAATATTGTCTCGATAGGATTTCTTTTTAGCTTACGAAATTGTGCGATGATAATAAAGAAAAGAAATATATGTCAACGATATGGAATGGTTTTGCATCATTATTAAGCAATTCAAATCTTAATGTTATGCTTTCGATAGCAACCAATTTATTAAATATTTTTATTGCATATTCAAGAAATCAAGAGGAAGGTTTTGCGCACGGATCAATTTGTTCGACGCCAGTGGTAAGAAAGAAAAAAGACTCTAGGCAAATATTTTATCATCGCTTTAATATTTAATTTAATAATTAATTTCAGAATGACTATACAGAAGTTTTATTTGTCTAGGGTGATGTTTAGAATTTTGTATGCGCAACACAGTTTTGACTATTCATGTAGAAATGTTTCTTTTTTTTCTTCTGCTTCTAGTTTAAGGTCACAACGTTATATTCAGTTCTGAAAAAGGTACTATATTTAGATGTCATGAATCAGTTAGTTTACCGTGAAAAATCAGTTTTCTATTATGCTTCATTATTTTATCAGTATTAACTTAAATAGCGAAGACTGTTTTCTTCTAAATCAGGGCGCATGAAAATTTATATCACTGTTAATTACTGGTTCGGCGATCGAAATATAAAACCTTCAAAAAGAAAATAGAAAAGATGGCATTCATAGGTTTATAGGAATTAGAAAAGGTAAGTTTATCAGAAGACATGTATTTTCTCATGTGATCTTCCACAGTTGATGAATATTATTGTATTATTCTGATGAAAAAACTTAACTTAATAATAAAAAAAAACTAACTGCAATAGAAAATCATTACAAAACGATAAATCGGTCTCGATTTGAAATTGGGTACATTATTTAGAATCAGAGTAGCCTATAGATATCTTTTAAAAGAGTTCCGACTTGTTTATTTTGAGAAAATATGGCTTGCATGAAATCTTTTTAAATCAAATTGTGCGATAATCTCAAGAACAACTGGAAAACTGGTTTGTAAATATCTACCGAAAATTTTGTAAAGATATGCATCCTAACAATATTATTTTCGTCTCCAATTTAAAATTGATTTCTTTTTCTAGTATTCTTGAAGCGTTCTATAAAATTCTTCTAACAACTAACTGACGTATTTCGACTGGAATAATTTTGAAGCCTGAACTATTTTCAAATTAGTTTAGGTTCAGTGAGCTATATCTGATGTATGAAATTTATTAATCAGAGAAATTTCTTGATAATTCATATACTGTTCTATTTCAGTTGTTTTCTGAAAACTGTCCCATGAGACTCAATAGAATCTATACTCAACGGAACTAAACTTATTTTAGTTTTTACTGTGTAATTGATTCACTTGATATTAAAAACTTACAGATAAATTTATGAAATTGTCAATTGAATAGATCTATCGAAATTATAAACGGTGTGATTCTATGATTAAGAATGAAAATAATAAATTTTAAGAAAATTGAAAATAGTTGTCTTCTTCAGGTTGAATCGAATCTAAGAATTGAACTTGATTCTTTTTGTGCTGCAAGTTACGTATTAATAGGAGATTTGTTTTTTTTAACAAAACAACATCGTAACCGAAAATGTCCGTATTGTACTGAATGCTTCTTATTCGTCATGAAACTAACGCTATTTTGAGAGAGAAAAATCGAATAATCTAAAGTAACCGAGAAAAAAATATCAAATAGCAAGACTATCCGTATACATCGGCCGTGTGGTGCATTTAAATTCCTCTCCTATCAGTTATTCTTATTAAAGACTGTTGCATGTTGCTAGTTTTTCTATCACCGATTTGCAATGAGAAAATACAGATTTCATTGCATTGCATACCATTGTTAATCTCAAGTGGTAAATAAGCATAGAAAATCTCTAACCGCATGATAAAACATACGCATACATCGTACTTAATTTACTCTAAAATAATCGCGTTATTGTCTTTCATTTATTTCAATGTCGAAATAAATGAAAGAAACTTTTGAAAATTTCGAAAAATAAAAAATTCAATTCTCTCTTATTCTTCATAAAAATTCGAGTATCATTTGTTTATACATTATTTATAGTCAATAAGCCATGCGATACTGTAAACTCTGTATTTTCTCATAGCAGACTGATTTAATAATACAGATACATGCAATAATCCTTAAACAAAAACAACCGACAGACAGATGATAAATTGTATCGTAGAGTCAAATTCATTATAAAACAAAGAAATGTTCGAATAAATTTTAATAGATATCCGATTCGGACAGATTTATAAATCAACTATTGGACTATGAACGACAAATATTTGAAACAACGCTATCATGGCGTTCATGTATATTATGTTTGCAAGCGTTTGCTCATTTACCATATTTATTATCAAGTGAACAAATTCAAACAAAAATTTTACCACGTGTTTTTCAACGTATCTATAGTGTAGGAGAATTTCTGGTTTTTTTTGTTCTCGAAATTTTGTTATTTCTTTTTCTAGAAACAAGTTTGTGTTCGTGATACCGCTGTTGATATTTATGTTCAATTATTAAGAAAAATTCCTCGCCGATCCATACGAAGAACTGCATTTCAAAAATTAAAAACTGAATTTCTATTAAATAAATCTTATCAATGGCGTATTATGTATATAAAAGTGTGTCGACAAATTCTTGTTCATTATTCCAAACGATTTTTTAAAGAAAATTTTCTTGATACAATTATTTCTATTGAATATGATCCTGTTTTAAGTGTAAGTTTCATGGAAAGATAAAATGTCTGTTGTCTAATTATCATCTTTTATTCCAGGTTCGAATTCAATTAGTTCCATTGCTTGTTGAAATAAAATCAATTCTTCGTTTACCAGCCGATCTTCAATCAATATCAAAAATTGAAACAATGATGGAATATTTTCTTGCCGATAAAACTTTAACATTGCATGATCTGGCTAATAATGGTCTTTTACAATTAGATCAAATACGTTCCTATAACACATTATCGTTATCGAACCATTCAACAGATGATAAAAATGATCAGCAAAAAGAAAACGAAGAGTATTTTCTTGATGAAATCGATATATCATCACGTCGTTCATTGAATAAATCAAGTGAGCCATATTCAATATCGAAACGTCTTACAGATACATCAATATCAACTAAACAACAAACATCATTGCGAACTTCACAATTGTTAAAAACTTCAGCAGATATTCATCGGAGAAAATCATCACTACCTACAGATGTACATCATCAAAGTAAAGATAATAAAGTATCTGTAACAAAGCAACGCCGTGGACAAACATTTACTGATGCTACAACATCATCGCGATTAATACATCAAACATCAACCAAGAAAAATTCGAAATGTAGGACGCGTTGATACAAATGATTTATTGTTATTAACATACCTTTTCTTTTTTTTAATATTGTCACTTCAGGAAATAGAAAAGATATGAAACGGCCTGTGAAGTGCAATATAATTAACGATGAGCATGAGAATTACAACGCAGAACACAGAAAAACTTGTACTTAAAACACATTTTTTTAAAATCTATTATGCTTGAAAATTTTAATAGCAATATCAATAATTTGAAGGGAAAACTAACAGCTGTGGAAATCGAAAACAACGTTTATGAAACCAGATGTGCCGGGATTTTTCTTTTTCGGCTGTCTTAATTCTTTTTCTTTTCTGTGTTACAGTAGTTGTGAGATACACACGTGAGAAGATAATGTGATTGTTGTTTTATGTATTCGTTCTCTATTTTATTCATTATGAGCAATGCCTGATTACCTTCGTGACTTTCTTTGTATTCTTTTTCTTTGTTAAAATATGTCATTGAACTGCATGATCACTAGTTGTCTTCATGACCATTATCGTTGACACCCTTTTTACTTTTTTTAAACATTGCCTATAGCAATCTAGCAAAGAACAAAGAATAAGTGAAGATATTTACATATCTATAACCGAATAGAAATCGATTGGCGTTAATGAGTATATATACACATTTATTTTATCACTGAAAGAAGAATAATGAAAAAAATAGCAATAAAAATTATGATGCTACAGGTAAGGTCATGTGAAACACATAATCATTTGTGTATCTATGCACATTAGAAAAAAAAATATAATTATAACCCATGCTTGATTGGTAAGCATTCACTAGAAAACCTGAACCCTTTTAGCGTACAAAAAACAAAACCTCACAAAACGACTTTTATTCCTGTATAGAGGAAAGATGAATCCGGCACGCGTGTTAAATGTACATTCAAATCCGAAGTCTTGTGGTAAGCATTATAATAATGACATAGCAAATCAAATGTATCGATTAAGACAAAGAGAAATTTGATATTTAATTCAATTTACATGATGTAGTTCTCATGTGACATGTATATCATTATTATACAAAACGAAAATAGGTAATGATTTATATTCAATAGAGAATTGTGTGTAGAAAATAAAACATGGCATGAAACGATTTCTTTTTTATAGCTCAGAAGGGAATAGATTGGATCGATAGTAAGTAACTATTAGCTTTCTTTCTTTTTTTATCATTATTGATAAATAACCTTGTCAAGTACTTGATAAAAGTCCATTTTTATAAATCAAAACAAAGAGTAAACGAATACATATAATTGACGAGCCGCGATAGGTTTAAATGTCCTTCGTCGGACGAGTTTTATCTGCTTGACAGTTATTTCAACTATCGAATTACGCTATTTTTTCTTCATAAAAATAATACCAATGTTTGCAAGTCAAATATTTGATATAGGTATGAACTTGTTTGACTTCTTTGCCTATAATTTATTGAGTGTTTTTCTTTTTAATTGAAGTGCTCTATTACGTTTTCTTTTGTAAAAGGATCATTTTGTTTATACATATATATAATTATATATATATATATTTGTGTGTTAAGAGTTCGGTAGAGAAAATGAAAAAGAAAAAAATATGATATTTGTAGGTTTATTGATAAATCATAACCTAAGAAAAATAGAATAAACCGTATAAATGTGTGACAGGTGAGAACCAATAAGAAATTTATCATGATTCTGTGGTTAGGCTTGCTAGATCAATAACACATATCGATAACTGACACAAATAATCGATCTTAGACAAGTGTTTCAGCGAGCTCTTTTTCTCTTTCTTGGCTTCTATTTGATCCCTTAATAATCACACACGGAAGAAAATAAAATTTCCAAAGCGATGTTTACGCATCAAACCGGTGTTCTTTGCATGAGCGTATATCAATGCCATAGCTGAGATTTGGTTCAACTTCCTCGGAGCATATATTTAAATCTAAATTAGTCTGTAGATTGAAGATAAAATTAAAATCTTATTCATGAATTTAATAGCGTGTCAGCTAATACAATCATTCATCGATGAATAGACGCAATATAATCAAACAACAATCAACAGATGAATTGAAACTTTCAACGTAAAACTTATCTAACGAAGCAACAATATTAGACGCAATCTTAGTTTAGATGTTGACATATAGATACAACTCGTTGTGGTTAAGTTAAAAACATTTACTAAGAAAGTAAATGCTTACTAGATAAAGAAAATGTCGATAATAATTTGAATTCAATGTCGAAGACAAAAGCAAACCTTCAACAACAAAAAATAATGAAAACGAATCTAAAGAAAAGGACGCCTATTAACACCTTGGTATTATAACGCATACAATCAAGATTTTTGTTTTACGTATATATATATATAAAGCTGAAGATTATTTTTTATTTTCATTGGATACAATCAAGAAAAGTGCGTGGAATAATTCATTCTGATTCCTAGCTCTCTCTTTCATTGACAGAGAAAGAAAACAAATACTTTATACATATACATATATCATATACATATATCATATACATATACGTGTACATATATATAATGGAGTAAGTACATTCTATTCATCAGACTTCTTTTTACAGACTTACTTAAGACAGGTAAATATACATTTTCTTGCCCTTTTAAATATTGTGATGTCATTTTTATGCACGTAAAAGTATTTTCAAAATCAATTAGAATATAGAAATTCGTCAAACATAACACATAGTTGTTGATTACCTTTAAGATCTTGCGTATCAACGATAAAACTAGTTTGTGCGATGGATATAGTATCTGACAAGATTGATTCTTGATTGATTTCTTAAGGAATATTTAAAAAACTCTTTTTTCTCCCCTATAGACTCAATAAGCCGGCGTCATTCGGACACGGACACAATGATGCAACCAATTCTCCGCGTCCGAGCGATAGAGGTAAGGTAAGTTTCTAACTAAAACATAAAAACAAAAATTAACATCGTTCTAATTCTAACATGAACCGCTTTATATTTCGTTGATTCTGTATGTGAATTCAAAATAGTAAATGATAAGTTTGAAAAAGAAAGTAGATTATTTATCTTCAAGAATAGTGGGAGTGGGAGTCATTTTCAATGTTCTCACACGTTAAAAGAAAACCTGCAACTTTAGTCAAGGGTATTCGAAAAAATAAAGTCAGCTGCCTTTTCTAACCCTTTCCGTTGATTCTCGTGTTGAATTTCATCGATGACAGCGAAAAGAAATAGCATATATGGTATTCAGGTATTAAAATATTAATATATACTAAATACTAAATACATTGCAAGAAAAACGTAATTAATTTTTTCTGTTTGAATTTGTTTTTCATAGCCAACTAGGCAACCATTTAATTTGAGTTTTGCTGAAAATGATGTACCACAATTATTCTGTCAATTGGACGTGCTTCGTCGATCAGAAGAAGAATCGGAATATGCTTATTGGAAAGAAAAAGCGCGGTAATGAAAAATTCAATTCATTTGTTTTCTAATGGATTAATTAGTTAATTTTTGTCTTTAGATGGGTACGTTTTGAAGAAATAGCAGAAAATGTTCTAGGCCGCTGGTCTAAACCTCATGTAGCAACATTAATGCAAACTGCTTTATTAGATTTGAAAAATTTATTATCTAACGGGGTTATTCTTCTGAATGCTCACGCAACAGATTTAGGCAATCTTTCACGTAAAATTAAATAGTCTAGAATAAATTTTTCCTTGAGAGAAAAATCTTATTGCTATTTAGAAACGATGGTCCAAGCACTTATCGATGCTAACTACATTGATGATGTAGATAATGCTCAAAAACTTCTTCGAATTCTTGGTCTACCACATTTTCATCATCATGAAAAACGTTCTGTTATGAAAACTGCAAGTTCAGTTAGTTTAACTAAACAACAAGGCCTCCATCCAAGTCCAAGTTTTGTGATTAATCATTTATCTAAAAGAGGTTTTACATTTATTTGAATTTCTTTTTTTTTTCTTTCTATTTTTCTTCATTTAACTAGAAGATGAAACTGATATGATGCAAGATATGTCTGCACCACATTTGATTAGTAAACCATCAAGTCATGATATGGCATTGGATGAACTTGATGAAACAAATACTGCTGCAGTGACACCATCAGCGAAGGTAAAATGAGAAAAGAAAAATTTTCAAACCAAATAAACGTGTGGTTTGTCGTATAATACACTTGATTTGTAATAGCTAAAATCTGATAAGAATCTTATCGAGAATATTAATCAAATAGCTGTTCGATTGAAAGATATAAAAATGTAAAAATGATATTTACTAATGTCGATCATGCATGAAGAAAGAAAGTTCTGCATAATTAAAATATGAGATAAGAATAAATGTTTTATTTTACGCGTTGTACTTGTAGGATTATAATACTAAATTACAACGAAAATTAAGTCGTAAAACTGAAGGTGCTTCAATATTGATATGTCCGGTGACATTTGTTCGTCAATCAACAGTTGTTGTTGTTCGTCTTGAAAATGCTCTTGAACTATTAGGAATGCTTGAAATAAAGTTGTATTCGCGTTTCCTTGTTCTTTTAATTGGACCAGAAGAAAATGAAAAACAATTGCTACAAGTGGGCCGAACAATGGCAACTATTCTAACTGATGATATATGTAGAGAATTTGCTTATACATCCAAAGATTCTGCTGGTATCATGAGTATGATGGATAGATTTATGCAAGATACATATGTTATTCCACCATCGGAATGGGATCCAACAATTCGAATTGAACCGCCATCGAAATATATGAGCAAGGTAAATAGAACAATGACGTTCTTGGAAGATTTCTTTTGATTGTACTTTATTTTAGGAACAAAGGCAGCAAGCACCAGAAGAAAAAGCAGCAGAAACTGAGGAGATTGATTTAACTCCTCATGCAGATCCGAATTTAAAAGCATCAAAAAGGTAAAAATACAATTAAAAAATAATAACTTTATTCTTGAAAATCGAAATTGTTCTAGGCCGTTTTATGGTCTTTTCTGTGATATAAGGAATAAATTACCCTATTATGTATCAGATTTTACTGATTGTGCTAGTTTAAAATGTATAGCTGCTACAATTTATTTGTATCTTGTCTGTCTTTGTTCAGTTGTTGCTTTTGGTGGCATGCTTGGAACTGCAACAAATAATTATATGGTAAGATGATCTTCTTACCTTTTCTAAACATAAGTTGATATGAGAAGATATTCTTTCGTGAATAAAAGAACATGTATGATAAGTATGCATTCATCAGTACAGTGCAGTTAAAATGTTTGCAGGCACATCTATTTTAAATAAGTGAGTTTAATATTAAAATTAATCTATACTTCAGTTATGGTTAATTTTCATTTAAAGAAAGCTTTAGCTCCATCGATTTTAATCCGAATTCGAAATTTATTAAAAGAAAAATGTCACTATTATATTGTATTGTCTGAATTCTATATTGATTCTTTTAGGCAACTATGGAGTGTATTCTTTCCGCTTCCGTGAGTGGTATTATATATGCTTTATTTTCCGGCCAACCGTTAAATATTTTGTCGGCAACTGGTCCTATGTTAATTCTTGAACGTATATTAAAAACAATGTGCCAGTATGTTTCATAATCACGTCTTTTTGTTTCTAATAGATTAATTAAAATAATGGATCATGTGTTCTCATTTTGTTTTACAGTGATTATGGTTTTGATTTTCTTGAGTTTCGTTTATGGATTGGTATTTGGGTTTGCGTAATGTTATCAGTATTTGTGACATTTAACTTGAGTTTTCTCGTTAAATATATAACACGTTTTACTGAAGATTGTTTTGCATCATTAGTTGCATTAATATTCATTTTTGATGCAATCCGTGAAATATTGCACATTCGCGTAGTCTATCCAATCAATTATGCACCGAAAATTCCGTTAAATTATTCATGTTTTTGTAAGATAGCTGGTATTGGTGTTAGTCACAATAAAACAGTACTGTCTTACAACAATACAATCAATTATCTAGTAAATGCAGTAAATTTAAATGAAACATCTAAAATGGCATGCAAAAATCTAGGCGGTCGTGTTTTTGGTGCTGGCTGTACAACACCTGACTATCATCCTGATATATTCTTTCTTTCCGTACTATTATTTGTCTTTACATTTTTTATTTGTATGGGTTTACAAGAATTTCGAACTAGCTCATTCTTTCCATCAAAGGTAAATAAAGAACCAAAAACAATTCCATTAGATAATTATTTATATACATATATTTGTTTTTGATAACATTTAGATTCGATCAACTCTTGGCGATTTTTCTGTTTTAATTGCAATTGTAACAATGTCGGCATGGGATGCATATTTACGTTTAGATACACCGAAATTACAAGTACCAAAAGAGTTTAAACCAACATTACCAAATCAACGTGGCTGGTTAGTACCATTCTTTGGTAAAAATTCCCTTTGGGCTATACCAATAGCAATCATTCCAGCTATAATAGCAACAATACTCATTTTTATGGATCAACAAATTACAGCTGTAATTATCAATAGAAAAGAATTTAAATTAAAAGTAAAAATGAAAATTATTTTGTTTGTCTTTCTAATCAATTTTCTTTTGCAATTAGAAAAAACTTGGTTATCATCTTGATTTATTTGTTTTATCTATTTCAATATTAGTACAATCACTGCTTGGTTTACCTTGGTTCGTAGCAGCCACTGTCTTAGCTTTAACACATGTTAATGCATTAAAAATTATGAGTGAAAATTCAGCACCGGGAGAAAAACCAAAATTTGAAGGCATTCTGTAAGAGTCTTTCGATAAAATATAGATTTTAGAAATTTTCATGTTTTTCTATTCAGTGAACAACGTGTTAGTGCACTTTTAATGTCTATTTTAACTGGTCTCAGTGTATTATTTACCAATGTTTTGGGCGTATGTATTTTAAAAATTGATTTATTTTAAATGGGAAAACAAAATAAGTAGAATAATTAAAGTTCAAGCTCCTTTTTTTTTTTTAGAGAACAGATTCTCAAAGAGTTGAACATATTTCAACAGACGGTTAGTGTCAAGAGAATTCTTTCATTCGATGGGCTAAATTATCTAGCTATACATAAATATAATAACTTAAATGCAGAGTGGTTGGCATGCTATTAGATGCTTGAATCGTGACAGGAATCATTGAAAAAGAAAAAGTTTACAATTAAAAAGTCAATGATTATCGCAATTAGTAGTACTTATTAAGCATGTACTTTTACCAGCATGATTCTTAGAACCTATTAAACATGACTATAAATTTTTATGATGCAAATATGTTTATGACATGAGAACTTGTGGCATGTCAAGAATAGACATTTGCATATAGTGAGAATCTGCGCAATACAATATATATTCATAGTGCTTCTAAGACGGGAACAAACAACATCTATATAAAGCAAACATGCATTCTTATGTTAATGTTGCAAAATATTGTCTGATTTTGACAAATAATTTCGAAATCGCATTGTTGTTTGTAGCTATTTTTCTTATGACGTCAAGACTGAAGCTGCATCATTAATTATATGCAAATTTCTGACTTACTGAAAAATGATAATTTGCTCGTCGAAATAGATGCATGGAATGTTTTACTCGCGATATTAAAATGAATAAGATAGATCGATGTGTGAAAAGTTTTAAAGAATATGTTCTTTTATTTTGACAAAGAGAATTTAATACTGCTAGAATTAGAATTTGTTTTTGCAGAGCTTTGTAATCAGTTTTCACGCGTAAAAAGTGTGGGGTGAGGATGATATCAATAATTCATGATGAAGTAGAGAATATAGTTGTATTCTGTTGAAGTCAGTTTTATTATGCTTTGCGGGTCATTTTTATCGTTAATTTGTTAAAAAGCACCTATTCCACTGCGTCCTAGTTTTTTTTCTTCACTTGATTACATCAGGTTTAGAATATTTTTAGGATTTCTACCGTGATAATGGACTTCCTTCTTAATAAAAATGTCGTTTATTGTATGTTTTCTTTTAGTACTAGCGTTGTAAATCATACTCTTTGAGACTATCCTTTGAAAATCGAACTAATGAGCACGAATGAGTGGTGTTCTGTGTATATCTAAAAAATAAGAAATAACCAGCATGCCATTGGTGATAGACATCCCGAAGAAAATTGATAATCAAGAAATCTTTATGTGGTGAAATGTTTACTATAGCATTTTTTGTATGTAGAATAAATTTCATTTTTACCGTCGAGCAATAGTCGAAAAATTTTAAAACTTTATTTCATATCTTTCAAAGATCTGTTCGTTAAATGGAAAAAGAAATACTAACTTTCTATTCAAAATCACTATTGAATAGAATCTGTTCACTATGATAATTATTCGAAAAATAAAAGACCATTTCGTCTAAAATTGTTCAATATACTCTTTAATATGTAGTAAACTTGACATTAATAGTAGTAGTTTATTAAACCACGGTTCGGGAGTGTGAAGTTATCGAGCTAGCTACTATGTTTTCAAAGTAAATAAAAAGAAACATACTGATCTATATTTAACCAGATTTTGATTAATTACTAAAAGTAAAAGTATGTTTGATTCTTAATTTGTTAAACATTCATTTTCAACTTTTAGTTCATTCCAATGCCTGTTCTCTATGCTGTTTTCATGTTTATGGGTGTTTCAGCTATACGAAATATGCAAGTATGTAACTGAATATAGTTCTCTATTGAAATAAAATTGAAATATAAATATAGATCTTTGATCGAGTTCTATTGATACTCATGCCACAGAAACATCAACCTGATCATCCTTATTTAAGACATGTACGCATAACCCGTGTTCATTTATTTACGATTATACAAATAATTTCACTTGCTGGTATGTTCGCTATAAAAAGTATAAAATCTATAGCACTTGGTTTTCCATTATTGGTAAATTTTGATTCCTAAAAGAAAATAATTTCATCAGGAAGATAAACTCTAATTTAAGGTACTTGCAACATGTTTCGTTCGGAAATTATTGGATAAAATGTTTACGCAAGAAGAACTTTTCTGGCTTGATGATATATTACCTGGCACTAAAATTGGTCGTATCCGTCGCAAATCGATTGTTCGAAATGTTCATATGCCTAAACCGGGCGATGATGATAATAAGGAAACGATAACAGTAAATAAATTTTATTAAATTTTATTTTTCTTGTTTTTTCTTCAAAAACCAAACAGTATCATTTTCAGCTGCCAAAAACCAAGTATAATACTGAAGTTAAACAAGATGGATCAGGAAATAGTTTAAAATGCATTTCAGAGGTCGGTCACTTTTTCATAATCTGAATATTAATTTATATGAGATGAGCTTAGAATGTTTGATTTTTTATGGCTTCTATATAAATTATGCACAATATTTTGAGTCTTCTCTTTCATCTAGATTATAAATAATCCATCAGCAAAACAAGATTATATTAATGATGATCATATGCCAAATAATGATTCGGGTCAATTGCATACTCCACTAATTGTTGTCACAGAAGCATTGCCATCAGAGGAATCAGCAGCAGAAGAAGAAACCGTAAAAGTTCATTCCATGTTTTTTCTCTCAATTTTTAAGCAAAAAAAGCTAGGAAACTATTTTCACTAAAAACGAGATAAAAACGAAACTAAATATTTATTGGTGATGGAAAAGTTCGAGTTACTTAACTTTTACACATTATTGCTTATAGGTCAAATCACAAGCAGCAAATAATAAAAATAATCAACCAAAAAGCTCTACACATGCACCATCGGTGACCTTTGTTGCTGGTCACCCTGAAGATGATTAAATATTGCTTGTAATAAAGATTGTCTTGTGTGAATTCTTCTTCTTCTTCTTCTTCTTGTGCTTAATGCTTCTGAACCACAGTACAGAGGAAACAAAATTATATCGATTGAAATTCTATTTAGGAAGAAGCCGAAAAATTATTGCATCGTGAATTATCATCAGAACAATATAACAATGCAAATGGTAAATTGAAGCAAAGAACTGTCCAAACATCAGTTTAGAAAATATAAAAACAATTTTTTCACATTTTTGATTTTTATGTTAGCTATAAAAAAAAAATCTTTTTTTCTTCTTAATTAACTAGTGAATGCATGCAAAATATTTCATTTTTTTGTTGTCCCTTTTCTTCTCGTTCTTTTATCTTGATTATTTTCATTATGTTGTGTACTTTTAGCACAACGAAAATCTTCTCTATTGTTTTCTTTGAAGTAAAAACAGCAAAAATATCGACTCTTTAGATAGAAAATAAATGATAATGATAGCGCTCTTCGATAACGCTTAATTAAGGTTTTAGATAAAAGAAAGCGAAAGATTAAGATCAAGAAAATAATAAAGCCTATTGATCAAGGCATTTCCGCTGTTTTAAATTACATATTACTTCAAATGAGTAGCATGCTGAATTTTATAAAAATAAAAACAAAAACGGAAGAGAAACATATAATAACTACACACTATATTTAAAAATAATGACTCCTTTTTTCCTGATTTTGTGGTATGGTACTTTTTTTCTATACATACAAGAAATCACATATGCTTCCATGAGTTAAAAAAAGATTATTTTTCCTTGAATGAAGCATTATATAACAAATGATAACATTAAAGGTAAGAATGAATCACGATAATCTATGATTACATAAGCCTAAAGCTTACGGAAACTATGCGTAGGATTTATATAAGATTTGCCTATAAGTAAAACTCTGCGGACAAATTCATAATACTATATTAGTTCAATGCCGGTTTTTAATAATAGCCTAATCATCGAAAACAAATTATGTAAAGACATAACAATTTATATTCATGCCCTTCGCAATCATATTAATTATCGAACATTTAAAGCTTTAAACAAAAGATTGAAGTGTGATCTTTCCAGAAAATAAATAAGAGTAATTTAATTTAAAAAAAGAAACTATGAAAATCATTGCTTATAATTTAACTGTATGCGCTTGCTAAACTCTTCCAATACACAAACAAGAATGTGTATATTTTTTTTTCGATGCGCCGTTGTGAAACTGTTCAAGAATAAATCATGACCTCGAAAAAAATCCTTAATGTCATATTTTATTTAGTCAGCAAACAAATGATTCTTTTATTGAAATGAGACAGGAAAAAATATGTTTTTCTTTAATAAAGATAAGTAAAATGAGAAATGATCATGTTTCTGCTTGCTCAAGCTTGAGAAAGCGTGGAAGAGAATTCCTAAGCATTTATATGCAGATCTGAGTGCTTCACTCTTTTGAATATATCAAAAAATAATATGTCAGTTAATGTAATAAATGATAATAATCTAGTGACGTTTCTATTGGCTAAATTATATTGCAGAATTTAATGGAGAAAAACAAGCAGAAAGGTCTGTTAATAATGAATAATTAATTATTTGATATGATAATCTCATTCTTATAAATATTGCACTTCATCATGATTAATACTGTCTAATATTTCATTTCATTTTCCTTATTACCATTTCGAAAGAGCTCGATCATGTGAGAGTTGCATTTTCTATAAATAGAAAATCGCTTTGGCATTGTTACAATTTATAAGCATAAAATATATTTTGCTTTTAATTGAGAAAAGCTTTTACTTTTTTCTCTTTGTTTCATCAGGAACATGAAAAACTTTGTGTAAGTCACGCCCTGAACATAAAAAACTACATCGACTTGAACAAGTTTTCATGTATTTCTCGTCAATTATTCTCGGACGTGTACATTATGGGTGTAAATTGCTGCTATGGAAAGATATTTTAGTTTAACTAACAGTTAGCTATTATTTTAACAATTCTAGTTACAATAAACTTTACACAATATTTAGTTTATTTTTCTTGCTATTATTATAACGCCTAGTTTTGTCTGCGATCTATTCACATTGTCTAGTAAGTATCATTATGTTTTCTTAATGTACAAGGAAGGAAGTATTTAGACTAAAAAGAAAAAGAATATTTCTTTTTTGTTTCCGACAAGTACTTCGACTTCACACCATACACATGTAAATGCTATGTGATAGGTATGCAAGATCTGTTTTCTTTCTAGCATATGTTACCGCTGAACCAACCAGAAGATCGTATAAGATTGGAAGAAGTTAAAATCCTTTTTAGTATACTAATATAATTGGATGAAGACAAATAAAATTTCCTGTTTATTTTTCTAAGGAGAGTGTTCTTTGTCACCAGATTTCTTTTTTCTCTCACATCATGTTGTCGACAGTGCAGAAACCAATTCAACTTCGAAGAAAGAAAAATTTATTATTACAAGATCTTAATATTTTTCTTCACTAATACTTTTATTTGATTCAGTAGATTTATATCTTTCTTTTGTTTTTATTTAAAAAGAATCCGAAATAGAACTGGTAACATAGTGGGGAAAATATATATTATGAATGGTGAAACCTTTCTGTCATTAGAATAATTAGAAAGCTTCTTGTTTCTGTTATGATCATTTGTCAACTTATTATTTTGAAAAGAAAACTATTTTTTCGAGAATGCATATATATATATATATATCGTTGAATCTTTGCGCTCGTTTATTCACGCCTCATTCTTTGTCTTATGGGAAACATGAACCTTTTTTCCTATTTCTCATCCTCTCGTTCGTCGTTCGTCGTTCTCTTGTCGCTTTTTCATTATCTCATATTTTACTCAGAAAAAGAAAAGAGAAGGTCCTAATAGACCAGAAGAAAAAAAATCTGGATAGAGAGAAAAAAATTCTGCAAAAGAGGCAAGAGTTCTATCAAAGTAGCACAGTATAGCCGCGACTAGTATATTCAGAGCAAGATGCGACATTTTGCATTGAAAGACATAGACGGAGCCATTCTAATAAATAGTATACCGAACCAAAACAGGAAAATAAGTCATCCTATTTATGACACAAAAAATAAAAAGAAGAACTTCAGGAAACTGAGAAAAATAACACTTTGTTGTGTCACCATGGGAAATGTAAGTGACATACATGTTCATTTTTTTTCCCCGTATAAATTTCTAGCCGTGGAAAATCTTCTGTAATTCTATAGCTATAAAGTCAAAGGTATGTATAAATAAATATCTTGTAAAAATTAAGATAGAGAAACGAAGCTATTTTTGAAGAATCATCCCACTAAAAAGAAGAAAAAATATAGTAGACGAACTAAATGTGTTTCCTAAGTCAAAATATTCATTAATTTTTCTATTTTTATATATTCCACAAAAAAAATTAATGCAAACATATATTATATTTTTAGATACAATTTCATTCTGTATTTTAAATATGTCGATCAACTTTAACAATAGTGGTTACAATCAACAGAATCTACATCCTTTCGCTTCACACCTAGTTAAAACTTCTGCGTTAACAACGGCTTCGACAACAGACGCTATCCTACTTGAAAATCGTCCATCTATTATGGCAACATTCATATCACTATACACATTGATATTTTTCTTTGGAATTTGCGGAAATGCACTTGTCGTTCGTAAGTATGACACTCATTTCAAGTAGAACAGAAAAAAAAGAAAATTCAATTTATACCATCTTCCTAGTTGTTGTTTGTCGTAATAAAGCTATGCAGACTGTAACCAATGTATTTATTACTAATCTAGCTCTTTCTGATATTCTTGTAAGTAATCTATGATCAATAGTGATACAAATGAAATTCAATTTTATATATTTCTCTAAGATGTGTTGTCTCGCAGTTCCATTTACGCCTATATCAGCCTATGGTAGTACTTGGCATCTTGGTAGAGTACTCTGTCATTTAGTACCAATGTCATTAGGAATATCAGGTAACCACAAATGATTATAATTAAAAATTGATTTATTGATTTTTCTTCTCAATAGTTTATGTATCAACACTAACCTCATTAGCCATAGCTGTAGACCGTTATTTTGTTATTGTCCATCCGTTTCGTTCACGTATGCGTCTAGGTGTGTGCATATTATTAATAATTGTTATATGGATTGTCGGTATTTCCATATCATTACCTTTAGCAATATATATGCGCTTTGATCATGAAAAATGTGAAGTAAATGAAAAAGAAACAAACAGAATAAAAAACTTTTCATTTTTTTTTTCTTTGTTTTGTTTTATAATCCAATAGGAACATTGGCCACAGTATACATCACGACGTTTTTTTAATTTTTCATCATTAATACTACAATATTTAATTCCATTCTCCGTCATATCATTCAGTTATTATAAAGTATGGGTTGCGCTGGCACGTCGCTCATTACCAGGACGTACTCGTATACGTGAAGAAGTGGAAATATGTCGTAAGAAACGCACAAATCGTATGCTCATTGCAATGGTTGTTATATTTGCTATATGTTGGTTACCATTGAATATTGTTCATATGATTACAGAGTTTTATCGTTCACAATTAAGCCATTATAAAGTACTTTTTTTGAGTACACATGTCATAGCGATGTCATCAACCATTTATAATCCATTTTTATATTCCTGGTTAAATGATAATTTTCGTAAAGAATTTCAAAAAATTGTTCCATGCCTATTTAAAGTATGCTGCTGTTTAAATCGTCGTCAACCAAGTAATTTACCAACACAATTAACAAATGTGGGTGATGGAGATTTTTATGATCGCCCATCAACATATCAGATACCAGCTGAATCGACTATAGGAACGTGTACGCAAAATCCCAGTCAAATGAAACAATCAACATCGAATGGAAAACTCAATGGTTTACCAATAAAAAAGTTAAATAATCAAGAAACTTCTTTTACAGTTCCAGCAGATGAAACATCAGGCTCATTAATTCCACTACACCAACAACCACAAACAACACTTACTACAACAACTAATAAAAATTAAAATATTTTTCTTTTATTTTGACATAGATATTTTCGTATATATTTCGATCTTGTCATTCTTAAAGAAAATATAGATCAATCATTGTTTGCGTGATTCTATTTTTTTTGTTAGTTCGTTTGCATATTCAATGAATAAAATAAAATTCTCAATATGAAACTTATTTGATTGAATTATGTAGAAAGAAAACAAAAATCACATAATCAAATTTTGATCTCTATCAAACAAAATGGAACTGATGTTTTGCTAAAGTAACATAATAAATTTCTAAAACTACAGCATAATTTATTGTAGAAACGTAAGAAAAAAAGATTCTATTATTTCGTATAGAAACCATTTTTATTAAATTAGCTACAAATCAATCGTTTGTATTCATTACAATGTCTTTCACAGTATGACAAGAAACTTTCGCAATCAATTGTCTATTCACATTGCTAATTCTAAGGCGTAGTGGCATCCTCTTGATTAGCATCCGAAAAGAAATATTTTCTTTGAGTAATATTATTGGGTAGGTTCAAATGATAACAAAAGAAATGAAAAATTCACAAGAAAAAAAAGCTCTCCCCGTTTTCTTTTGCAGAAGTCAATTATCCGTCGAAAATAAAACAAGTTAACAAAATCAATAAGACTTTAGCATGTCTGGCATACTAGTCTGGAAAAAATTCACTTTGATTTGTTATTTCTAGAGAAAAATATTTAATGGAGACCATTGAATAAGTCTCATTTATCGTAGTTGATTGAACAAGTTTTCAGAACGAATAACATGGTAAATATATTCATATGTTCAGTATATTCATAGCTCCGATAATAGCTCTTCATTTGGAGATAAACAAAACTCTTGTCCAGTTTGAACAGATTCTCGAGGACTATTTATATCGATGTTATGTGAATAGAACAATAGTCAATCTAACAAAAAAAGTTTTATTGACGTTAATTCAAAGACTCTTTTCTTTTGATCACATTTATTAGTCTAGACAGACTGAAGCTCTTCTATAGAAGAGCTTAAGTAACAACAAAATCATGTAAATAAATTTAACAGAACCTTAAAAATGATTTAAAGATTAAAATAAACAAGTCTACTATGACCTATAATACATTAATTCAAACATCGATTCGTAATATTGTTGAACAGAATGATCATATATATATAATTGAAGATTTCAAAGAGTAGTCCATTGTAGCATGACAATTCTTTTCGAATATGAACTAACTTCTCTCTCTATATATATATATATTAATGTTGAATTTTTAATAATGAATTTATGACTTTTTTCTTTCATTCAACAGATATTTGACTATTTACTAAGAAAAGATTTGCTATTTTGTCAGGTTGTTTTTGTCAAATTATTTCGTATGATAGAAAAGAGACATGCAAAAATATATAGGCATATTTGTTTTTTTTTGACAGATGCAAATAATCATCGACAAACACGAAAACAAATATCAAATTTCTTTTCTCTATGATTTAAGCAAATATATTTTCTTGCGATTATCTTTCGTATTATAACTTGAACTTAGATCGAAATAAGAACTTGCTACTAGTCAACTATTCCATGAGTATAGATGAAGAAGAAAAATAATTAACTTTTTAGTTATCGAATTACCGTTGAATCATATTCCTGTTCAATTCAATTACAAAGACAAAATAGTTTTCTTACGAGTAACCATATAACCTTTTTTCTTGTTTCTTTCTTTTCTTAATAATACCAGGGCTCATTACGGCAGTACTATACAGATTAAATTACTTGTTTTCTTCTTTCTTTCCCCTTTTGACTGATTTAATGATTCATTTCATAGCATAAAAATACCATCGATTATCATCGATTACAGCGATAATATTCTACAAGTGATTAAATTATGGCACGACCATGTTTAAAAACGTATTATCCTTCATATAAGGATAAGGATTCTGCTATTGGTTTCGGCTACGATTATTCATCATCAAATGAACTTAACTCGTCACGATTGACATTAAATAGAACATTTGAAAAGCCTCAATCAAAAACCATACTGTTTCCTATTCCCGGAGTAACCATAAGAAAACGAACGCATACTAAACCTTTAATACGATTTCCATGGGATGGAAAGGTTGAACGTATTCGTCCGGCAACAATGAAAAATAGTGAAAATGGTGATTATATTCTTTGTGACACAGATCGTGGAGCATACGTTGCATATCGCACGCCATTAGTTCCTGAATGGGTTAAAGAACTTGTTAATCAAATTGAGGCAGAACAAAGATAAAATAAAAATAACTCATTTCTATGCATGATTTTATTAACGATCTCTCTTTTTATTTCTAATACTTTCTATTGTAAATGCGATCTATATATATATATATATATATGTCTGGACTGCTTATAAATGTTGTCATTTTTATTCGAATATATTAAGTAGATGCTTTGCATGTATGTTTGATTAATGAATGTATACGAGCGAAAGAGTATTATTGGATTCTAATTATTTTTGAAAAACAACACGCTCATTCGCATAAGAATTGCTTGCTTTTTTTTCTATAATAGCTGTAAGTCTATTCAAGTGTTGTACGAGTCGAAGAATGACAGGAGACTATTTCATATAAATTTTATTTGCCGACTGAAAATCTTACAAATCGCTTGTATATATATTTGGAAAGCACAAGTTCACAACAATCAAACTGATTCATTAGTAATAAGTTCAGGTTGAAATAAAAAATAGAAACAAATGAAGTTGCACGTTGCACGCTATAGTTAATAAAAGCGTGACAACTGTTGAAGATAAATTTCATCTAGTTCTTAAATACGAAACTACTTTGGGCTTTCTATTATTGTTTTTTGATATTTCGCCACCGTTCGTTGTATTCAATTCCCCTTGAATATTTTGATTCAAATGTTTGTCATCGTAATTCTATAGTTTTCATGTCACAAACCAAATAGCAAATTTTCCCAAGATAACGCAGCAAACACTCCTTCAATTATTAACCAAAAACCGGCACAAAGAAGTTCAACAATACACGAAAAAATGTTGACCATTTCTTATTGTACAGATATTCAATACTTGCAATATTATATTGCAAATTCCACAAAAAAATATCACTGTTTCATTGGAATAATTTATTTCACCGATATTTAACAATTATATAGAAATTTTCTGTCGTACTATCATCTTAATATGCATACACGGCATCAATGAAATGACTACGAGAGTATTTGTCGTTCTAAATGGTGAATAATAGGGAATAATTATTTATTGTCACGATAAGTCTATTAACTAAATTTTTGAATGCTACATCGTTATCCGTAAATATAATGTTTTCGCGCAATTATTATCTTATTATTTTATCCAATCTAATCATCATGTGCGAAATAAGTGATACGACACGCATTGTATTAAGCAGTGAATCACGCGGCAGCTATCAAAGTTGCAATCTATAATTCAATATAAACAAAAAACAAACATCTCATACTCTCGTTGAGACTACGGCTCATATGAATGTTATCTATGACGAAAAAAAAAAAGAAAAGAAACCTGAACCTTCCAAATTCTTGATATTTTCTTTCAATATTTTTGTCTTTGGTAAAAATAGTATTATTAACAACAAAATGTAGATCTTCCGAAAAAATCGGTACATTCCGTTTTGTTTTGTATTAATAAATATTCTCAATTCAAATTTGCAAACAAAAGAAAAAAAGGAATCTGAGCTTTTACAATTTTGACACTCCAATAAAACATCCTTCCTAATAATAAATTACACACATAAACAAATGAAAACGAAAAAGAAGAATTTTTAGCACAATGAGCCAAAAAAGAAAGAGAGAAACAAAAAATAGGCTAAACCAAACAATTGGTTAGAAAAATAGTATAAAAAAAACCAAAACCAAAAACGAACAGATATGTACAGACAATAAAAAAAAGAAAGAATTCAAGAAGCTCTAGCAAATTATTATTTTGTTTGCTAATTCTATATAGGTATTTTTTCTTGTAAAACATCACATTTTATTCGCTTTTTTATCAGAGAATACTAATCTAAAAGTTATTATTTGTAAAAACGAAGGCATAAAACAAAATGTCACTGTGTTGACTAGATGATTTAAGTTTCTGTACGAGTCAACTATTGTCAAGATGAAACAAAATTATCAAATGAACCCAAATATTCTAATGCAGAACGATAACAAAATTGATATTGATCCTATTAAAAGTGAAAAAAAATAAAAGAGTCATTCTTTTCTATAGAATGAAAAATATCTAAAAGCTTTACTTCTGTTTGAACAAGTGCCGGTCGTTGTGTACGTAACAATTTCACTGTTTGAAATATATCAACGACACCTTCGTATCGTATCCTTTCAAGTACAATACTTAACGTTAGAAAAACACCCGTTCGTCCGGCACCTTTTGTTAAGAAAGAATTATAAGAAATAAAATAAAAAAAGAATGACATTATCTGAAATAAACTTACCAGCTGAACAATGCACAACAATGGGACCTTCTTGACCGAAACCTTCTTTAGTTTTATGCACTTGTCCAATAAAATCAATAAAACCTTCACCAATTTTGGGTACACCTTGTTCAGGCCATTCAGTATATAGAAAGTGACGAACTGTCCGAGATTGACCATCCTATATATAAATACAGAAAACAACATATAATTAATTCACACAGAAAGAAAGTATATAGTTTTTATTTCTTTACCCTTGAATCAGTCACTTTAAATTCACTTAATAGATATTGCGGCATATTATAAGCACCAACTGGATCAACAATAAAATATCCATAACGTGTTGATCGATCTGATGGCCAATACTGTACACATTTTTCTCTGCCCATTTCTTTTAATTTTGTTAACATCACAATAATAGTTACATTGTGTTCCCATACCATTCTCCAAAAATCATCTACGGTTTCAGTTAATGGTCCTTGCGTAGCGATGTAACCATTTTTAAATCGATAGCTCTAAGAATTATTGTTAATAAAAAAAATAAATAAAGAAAAAAGAGCATTGATTTCAAACTTACATCAATATAAGATGCATTGATATAATCTGATCCTTCAACACCACGAATGGGAGATAAACATAGGCGAGTATTTTCATCTGATAATTAAAGATAAAAGTAAAAATTCCTCTGAATATAGAATAAACTTACAAGGTAAAATGTTCACAAGACGATTTTTAAATTTATTAGCAGGATTATTTGCACTTAAAAATTTTGATGGTTGTGCTTTAAAATTGGATAAACGCTAAATTAAAAATAAACAAAATATATTGAGTATTGAAAAGAAGCGGATTCATTTTTTGGTTTTGTTTTACTTTAAATTCAAGTTCCATTTCAGTTAATGAACTATCATTTATTGGATGTAATAATCGTTGTAAATGTGTTAATAAATTTCTTGCTAGAACTTCCGTTTGACCTGATTGAATAGCTTCATTTATTGCTTCGTAAATAAATATATACTGTTCTTCTGTTTGAACAATATAATTTCTATGATAGAAAAGAAAAGAAAGATGATACTTTATTGCTTTTTCCGCATCGCGACATATTTTGTTATCGCCGTCGAAGTCAGACATGCAAAATATTTTCATCCTATCTCATCTTGAGAAAGGAAAACTCGAAATTAGTAAGATTCTTTTTTAATTATTCGCTTCGTTGCGAATTTTAATACACAAGAACGAACTATCACGATCATGCTAGTTTAGACACGAACGCTAATCGGCATTTTCTCTTGATTTAGCTTAGATCAACGGGAGAAAACGATTCTATAATTTCAAGTAGATTATATTTTGAATCCTTTCAATGTGAACATCATGCAAAAGAGAGTATTATTAGTCATTGAGTAAAAAAAATTGAACAAAAGGAGTATGAAGAATTTGTACAAGACTATTAAATGCATCATTTGAAATAAGACAAAAAAAGATGAGCCTTATGACCGGAACTAAATGTTTCATACATTCGTATTGTATTAATAATCGCTACATCGATGGATAGTCTATTACAATGACGCATCCCTAATCTCGTTTTGCGTCGATGCTACGTGTTGTGTCTTTTAATGAATTTTATATCTGACCTGACGTCATTCGGTTGCACAAACACGCAGAATCTCATTTTCTATATATTTAATTTCAGTAATATTTACTCATTGTGTTTCCGATTAGATTTTCTCGATAAAGTAAGTAAATAAGTATTTATTATTACCGTTGAGCTCTTAACAAAGTAACATGCCCATAAATGTCAATAGTTTTTTCATGTTTTAATCTTTCTAATAAAGCATCAATAACAACAAAACAGCCCGTACGACCAACGCCAGCTGAACAATGTACAACTATGGGACCAGCATCGGGTAGATTGAGAACTTTAACTCTTCGAACAAACATTAAAAATGATGTTGCATGTTCTAATATGCCATGATCTATATGTCGGGGGGAAGAAAAATATAATTAGAAATAAAACAAAATCGTTTTTTCTTCTTCTCTTACCTGGCCACGCTGTAAATTGACAATGTCGAATTTCTCGTTTGTCAGGATGACCAATCTAAAGTTATTTTGTAAAAATTAATTTTTCGTCACTAAAATAAGTCAATCATACCCATGCTACAGTAAATGTTCGAATACTATAAGATGACAGTTCAATGAAATCAGTTAACGTAACTTGTATCGATCCATAAACTTCTGTTCCTCGTGTTGGCCAATATTGATCACATTTAAGACGATTTCTTTCTTCTAATTTTGTCATCATAACAATACAAGCTGAATTCGTTTCCCATATCATTCTCCAAAAGTCAGCGAATGTATTTGGTAGAGGACCTTGTGTTGCTATGTAAGCATTTTGTTTTCTATATCCATCTAAATAATTTGCATTGATATAATCGCTTCCCTGTATACCATCAATTGTGTGTAGAATAACACGTGAATGATCGTATGCAATAACATTGGCATAACGATTTTTTGCTTTATTATATTCAAGTTTAGAATGTTCCCATGAAAATTGTTGGCCTGGGTCAATGGACTAGAAAAGAGAGGAGGAAACAAAAGGAAATTAAAAATAATATAATTTTTTATATCGTACCTCATATTCCAATGAGAATTTGTAATTGTCAGCAGCTTTTAGACGTTCAAGATGTTCAGTAAATTCATCGATATGAATCGGAGAGTGAGTTGTTGAAATAACTTCTTTGATATGAGTATGAATGTTATTATTGTTACTATATGTATTTACTATTTGATTTCGTCGTAATTCTACGTGTTCATTGGATGATGTTGGCGATACTGTCGA